GTGGAGTTGTTGATAGTTTAGTCCTAATGTAAAGAGTTTTAATTTCGAGGTTCTACAGCCTGAACGCACGGACTTTTGTCCCCATGTTCGTAAGCGAGCTCGCCTCTATTTCGACCTCATCCGTCTTCTTCCTGCAACACAAGTAACACATCTCAAGCCGCGTGAGTGTCCCACAGTAGTCTCCAGACCCAACTCTCCGTTGACGCATATGATCATGCAGTCTTCTTATCCGCGCGCAGGACGACCATGCAGCGCAAGTTCGAGGAGCCACTTTGTGGTGCGTGCGGCATTTTCACGATGCCCCTTTTCAAGCTCCACAATTTCCTAAAACGGAAATCCGGACAGGCATGGCAATGACCAGGGACGCGACTCATTTTCCTAAAATTAGAGATCGCTCTCGATACCACTCTGAGGAATACCTTTTAATTGTCGCGTGCTGTCGTGTCCCAAGACAGCATGCCATCAATACCGGCTGGGACGACTGTCATGAAGTGAGTGTTATCGACGAAGAAGTGCGAAAAGAACATCAAAGTCTGACTGGTTGTTGATAGACTTTTGACTAGAGATGCCGTGAACAGGATCTCGGTATCGCCCGTGACGGCCGAAAGAAGCTCGGCGATTGTACTTTATTGTTTAGATGGAGGACTATCGATAGCTCTCGTCCTAGTGGGAGGCTTGTTTGCAGGTTTGACATTGGCGTAAGTCGCCACTCTTGCCTCAATCGCCATACCAATCTTATCTCTCGATAGTTTCATGGGCCAAGACCAAGTCCAGCTTCAAGTCATCGCCCAATCAGGGACGAGGTCGGATCGGGACAATGCTCGAAAAGTCTTGAACGTCCTGCAGCGAGGGAGACACTGGGTTCTTGTCTCGCTTCTGTTAGGGAATGTCATCACGAATGAAGCGCTTCCTATTCTTCTTGATCAGGATGTGAAAGGTGGATGGTTTGCTGTTCTTGCTTCCACGATCTTGATCGTCGTCTTCGGAGAGATTATACCTCAATCTCTTTGCGCAAAGCATGGATTGGCGATTGGAGCTTGGTCATCGAGGTAAGGCAATTCTCTGGAATCCTTCTGCACTATTCAATAACGATTCTTAGATACGTGCTATGGGTTATGTACGTGCTCTATCCTGTCGCCTACCCAATCGCCAAGCTTCTCGATCGTCTACTTGGTGCAAGTCACGGACTTTTCTTTGATAGAGATGGCCTGAAGTCATTTGTAATGCTCCACGAATGCCTCAATTTCTCGACAGAAAGACTCAACAAAGAGGAAGTCACAGTGATCTCGTCAATGCTTGACCTAAATTCACGGCCAGTCTCCGGAATCATGACGCCGTTTGCTAAGCTCTACACTCTTGGAACGAACCAACCTCTGGACGAAATGACACGATATAACATTCTAAACTCGGGATATAGTTGCATTCCAGTCCATATGGAGCATCATGCTACAACCTTTGTTGGGATCTTGCAAGTCAAGTCACTTGTCGCATTGAACCTGATGGAGCAGATTACAATTGGCCAACTCAATTTAGAGAGCATGGTTGTGGTGCGGCCAAATGCAAGCTGTCAGGAATTGATACATGTATTCCGAGATAGGAAAGTTAAGATGATTTTGGTTACGGAAAGAGGTACTCCTCATGGTGAGCCACTGGGTATTGTTACGTCCAGGGATCTTATGAATGAGCTTATAGGAGAGTGAGATAGTTACTGATCTTTGGTGTTGTATCTTCGCTGACGCTAATCCAGCCCTTTATCTTTCAAGGAGGGAGAATAGCGGATCGTCACTGATCATGTGATGACTTCATCATGGAGTTTTTTTGGTTCTACATTGGTTGCGTGTCAGCAGGCGTTATACATGCATAGTATGGGCTTATATTTGGGAGCGATCTTTGTTATGTATCTGATTGACTTCATTCCGGGAATGGCATATCCGCGCGTGCAAGGTCGCTGCAATTCGGTTTAAATTCCAGCGTTCTTGATTCCAGCTCCCATTCTCGAGGAAAGCTAGTAGCCCAGCTCTCTGCCACTTCAGATCCTCTAACTACATTTGAACATGTTATGTTATGAGTATCTTCTCCCGACTCGTCCTCTTTGTTTATCAGATTCCCGCTATAGCTAGCCGAAGGCACCCTTTTCGTGAACGAAAGTCGTATATCAATGTTTAAAAGTTGCGTCAGATCTTAGTGAAGTCTCTTGATTCTCGATATAAACCTCGTGTAGTAAAGTAAAAGTATTGGAAGAAAAGCTAAGCTCCGATGGTTTGGATATGTACAGTTCTTTTTTGTTTCAAAATGATAAGTACAAGAATTCCATTTCTTGACTATTCAAGATCACAGCTAACTGGATCTCAGAAAGAGGATTTTACTTCACTGCATCCACAGAATTCTCACCCGAACTAGCCCGCCTAAAGAACTCCACCAACCTCCCCGCAACAACCTCCGGCTGCTCCTCCATAACATAATGCCCACAATCCGCAACCTCCCCACCCTCCACCTCCACCGCAAGCGGCCCAACCATCCCCACCAACCCCGCTCCGACCGCCTTACTCCCACCCAAAGCCAAAACCGGTATATCCAACCTCCCCTTCGCCGCAAACACCCTATTCTGCCCCGCACTCTCCGCCACGGCCCGATAATACGCAAACCCGTTACTCATCGCTCCCTCTCTCTCATAAGCAGCCACGAACCGCTCTCTCGCTTGCTGCGTAATCCGTTCAGGATGCACGGCTTTATGATCAAACAGCCAATTTAGCAATTCTTTTTCTTTCTCCTGGGTCAAGATCTCCGGGAGGTCAGATAGGGCGTTAAACGAGAATTGCCAGAGCTTGATATTCACTGCTTCAGGCAGAGGATACGAGACCTGTGGTCCATAGCCCGGGATCGCGGAGTCGAGGATCGTGAGGGAGAGGAGGGAAGAGGGGAATTGAGCGGCCCATGCGTAGGCTATCCAGGCTCCGATGTCGTGGCCTACGAGGTGGTATTTCTGGGTTGGGGGGACGAGGGGATGGATTGAGGATTCGAGGAGGTGGGAGATGGTTAAGGTGTCGTAGCCGTGGGGTGAGGGAGGCGAGGAACCGAGGCCGGGTGGGTCGAGAGCCAGGAGGTGGTAGTGGGGGGAGAGGAGGGGGAATATCGGGAGGTAGGCTTCTGCTATTTGGGGCCAGCCCGGGAGGAGGATGACGGTTTCGTTTGTTGGGGAGCCGGCTGTGAGGGCGTGGATCCCGTTTGAGAGGTAGGTGCTTGAGTTGTGCGTCATTGTTGCTTGTTGTTGGGCTGATGGAGTAATGCTGAAAAAGTGATTGGAAATGAAGCTTTATATATACTTCCTTTGAGCGACCATAAGATCCTAGAAGACTGTGGACCTCCAGGTATGGATGCTTAGAAGTGGTGAAAACCTGGATTCTCGGATTTAACCTTTGTTCTTATCTATGAATGGCGGTGAGTCCTTGGCCTATTCCCTATTACATGCATGTCGTCTTAGAAAACGACACACCGTGGAAGTGGATGTCGACCACAGGCTGTGTCCGTCATAGTTGTGCCACACCCGTCTCCGGGACGGGCCGAGCGGTTCGGACGGTTGTGGCCCGAAAGGAGAAATGCCCACGTATCTGGAGGACTTACCGAAATATATCTAAGCGCATGGATCCATCATTTGTTTAAATCAACGACTTTTGTACCTCTACAAATGACCACTGACGCGAGGTGGCATAAGTGCCTCGTTCAGCAAGCCATGAAATGTGTAGGAGCGTTTCCAAAGGAGTATAAGTTGTCATACCAAGATGAACAAACTGAGGATACTTCCTCGGCAGCAAATTACAGCTAGTATTTCCCAAGAAAATTGCAAAACACGGGAATTGTCAACCTTATCCTCGACGTGAGTTGCCCATAACAGACTTTTTCGGGCCTGAAGCCTGGCACGCAGAGAGAGCACAGCGCTGGATGCGCTGAACGCGCGGAACGCGCAGCATGCTAGATGCGAGCCCCTGAACCCCACTTGCTTGGGGCTACCACACAGCCCAGAAAAACTACCCTGTATTTCAAATGGCAACTTAGGGTACTGTACAAGGCTGTCTTCAGCGAGTGCTGGATAGGATTGCAAGTCGCAAATTAGCAAGCACTGAAGTATCAGTGAGGGGAAGTTCTAACCAAATGACAGCAGTGGAGTGAACAGCATGGTAGATCAAAGGCTCATTGCACTGCTCTAATTCTCAGAACAGAATAATCATCTGCGCAGCAGAACCGAAAATAGCCTTGAATATGTCGCCTCTGTGAGCCAAAAACATCATCCGAACCTCAATATTAGGCCCACAATTCACAACAACAGCAACAAAATTTCTTCCTATGGCTTAGTTCCATATGTCCCAACCGAGTGTGCCACATCCCCTCACTTCACAGATCCCAAATTCCATCCGCAGACTCGCCACATACCTCAGCACTAATTACCCACTAACATTCCGATCCACCACTCTCACCTGCACCTCCGGAACTCTCCCATCAGCAAATCTCTCCTTATGCAGCTCCAAAACCTCTAAAACAAGCTCCCTAAATTCGCCCAAGAACTCACGATCCTGCTCCTCAAACACATGTATAGAAACAGTAACCCTCTCCACACCCCCAAGCTGATACAGGCCCTCGAACGGCGTCCACGAGTCTGTTATCCCTTCCGTAGCTGCTCGCAATTCCCATCTGAGCAGCCGATCCAGATTCCTCGGCGTCATCTGCTTCACCACAATATCCACTTGTCTCACCTGTTTGACGGGTCCAGGAAACACCCTCTTGATCGCCTTAACACACTCCGCGCCCGTCGTATCGCCGTCACCCGGGCGGCAATGGAGTTCAATAAAATCATTCACGGGATCGAAACACACAGGCCCATAGCTCGCGAAGCGAGCTGCGAGGAAATCGCGTTCTGCCATGACGGAATAAAATCTCATGGCTTCGGCGCGGCTCTCGGAATTGACGTGCAGGGTTCTCGTCTTTGAAGCGCGCGAAGTCGGCGTGGTTGGCTTGTAGGGTGCGGCGGGAGCGGTAGATGGGGAAGCCGGCGCGCCAGTTGAGGCTTACGGTGCGGGGGCCGGGGAGGGAGTGGTGCCAGATTTGGAGGCGGAGTTCTACGGGTAGCTTGGGGAAGAAGCGGAATGTCTCTAGGTCTTGTCTGGCTGAGGTGGAATTGGTTTGGGGTTGATCGGGAGTGGGGCTGAGGTTCGATTCTTCGTTTGGGGACGACATGTCGTTCAGTTTGTCCACTTCTGAGGTACTTTAGGCAGGCGTGGGTTAATGGCGCTTGAATTGGTAGGACCTAAATTAGGATCAGAGGTTGAAATGAGAGGTATGGCAAGAGGAGGTGGGTGTGATGTGATATACCTTGCACAGTCATATCCGAAAGAATATAGACACAAAGAGGAAAAGATTTCAAGACTTGCAGGCAAGATTATCAAGCACGACAAGTTGTGCAGGAGGAACAAGGAATGATCAACGATTGTAATAAAGAGGCTTGAGAAGAAGTGGTATGGTTCTAAAGGCTTTTGTTTGAAAAAAGAAATTTATTGGTAGGGGAACCTGAGGTTGAAGATAGGAAGGAAGAAAGAGGAAAGTATCGATTTTCTTTAAGACCTACTCAGCTGTAGTATTGTATACTGCAAGACAGGGTTTCTAAGAGCGCCAGTGCACATTGCTAGTGTACTCCGTACACCCAGTGGTGCAACATACTAATAATGCCTCCCACATAATGAACATGAAAAGAAATAATAAGAACAAAGCAAGACTTCAAACTCCGATACTTCGTATTCTCACACTGCAACAAGGCCTACCCCTCAATCAAACCCCACATGGTAAAGAACATACAGGGAATCATAAAATCCAAATCCGAACCAAATCTCCATTCCCCCAAAGAACGCCACGATATCAACGCTCCGTGTGAAAATGAATAATATATACTTTCCCGCCCTCACTGTTCACACTAACTCATCCGAAACCCGGGTGGTTGATCCATTAAGGAAATATCCTGAAACGGCGTCTGAGGCGGCTCCACATTCTGATTCTGATGGTCAACGGCTAGCTTGCTCTCCCCCGCCTCAGCAATATACCCCAATCCCTCTCTCGGACTAGGCGTCCAATCCGTTCTCACCGGTCCACCCGTCAGGGCGGGAGGATCGCTTTGTCGTCTTCTGACGAGACGAGTCATGAATCGTTGTAAGCTTGATCGTTCGTTGCTTTCGGCTTGCAGGCTTGATTTCCTGCTTCCGTCTTTGCCGGCGTCGAGTTCGGCGGCTAGGCTGGAGCTCTGGCTTACTTCGCTTGAGTTGCTGTAGTTGCGGCCGTGGGAGGGTCGGCGGCCTTGGGATGAGATAAGGGAGATGCGGTTATTGTTTTGGTGTTGGACCGGAAGGTCGAAATAGCCGTTGGGGTTGTGTTGCATCTGTGGGGAGGAGTCGAGGGAGGGGTTGCGGTATCCGCCGCTGGATTGGGAATATTGGGAGTCGGAACTGACCACAGGATTGTAGCCTTTGGGATAGTGGGTGTGTGGTGGTGAGCGAGGTGAGAAAGGACTGAGGAAGACGGGTGGGGAGTTGGATCCTTCCATTTCGGGGATAGTGTTGTGTGGGCTCGATACGTTGGATGCTCGATGGAAGCTGCCTGATGTCATTGAGCCTCTCATCATTAGTGGATCGATAGACATCGTGTCGACATCTTGATTGAGCGTGCCCCTCCGTTGACCAGATTGTCTTGAGCGTCTATCGCTGGATCCAGATTGCCGGGAGTTGGCTAGTTCTTGTGCTTTTGAGGCTCGATTTAGACCTCTGATGATGAAAATTGCCGCAATCAAAATGGCCGATAAGAAGAAGATGGCACCACCGATAATGCCTCCTAATGCAGCTGTGGAAAGTCCACCTCCGCCGCTACTCGCAGCACTCGTTGCTTGCTGTTTAGCGATGGGAGACGCGGATGCCTGGACCTTGGGTACGAGAACGCCGATTGTCTCGGTTGGATCGGGAGCACCAGATACAGTGGTTGAGGTAATCGTGCTTGTTAGTGTGACGGTACCCGAATTCGCCTCTGTGGTTGTGAACGTCTCAACAAGAGTAAATGTGATCGGGTTTGTGTTGTAGCAGGCGCTGAGAGCACATCCCATTCCATTCAAGCAGCAGCCACCGCCTAAAGATGCAGGACATTGGAAAGAATTAACTCCACATGCCTGCGATGTGCTGATTCCTGGAGATGGAGAACAGGACTCAGCGGCACAGATATAGTTGGCGGGGCAGCATCCACCTGTCATCAAGTTAAATTCTTGTTCCAAACTTCAGTAATCGTACATACCTCCATCAGCGATATCACAACCAATATATCCTGAAAAGCCACACGCAGTCGCTGGACTCGCTGAGGTAGGCAAACAGCTACTGGTCCCACACGAATAACCATCAGATGGACAACATCCCCCACCCAGAGATGACGGACATGGTTGATAGCTTGACGGACACATATCTGCATCTCGTTTCTGGCCTAGAAATCCATCTTGTATAACATCCCATCGCATTGACCCTATCTTCCACCTAACCAACGAAGGACCCTCTGTGATTCTCGGAGCAGTCACCTCTGTTGCAGTCGATTTGGTAGTCGTGGGTCGAGGTGTAGGTGCCAGGCCGTGAACCGGCTGTCCCGCCATCGATTTTCGAAGATAACGTTCATCATCCGACGATTCCCCCTCAACCACTTTCTGTGCCAGCTTCGGCCAGCTATTCGAGCGATATTTGCCGTCCTTATTGAACTTCTTCCTTCTATCGGCTCTCTTCTCTAGTTCTGTGGCCCATGTCCCTTGGAAGAAGACCGCTGCGAGCGCAACGGTGCAGCTCCAGCACGTACCCGTCAAGCGCATTTTTAGTGGCGGTTGTCTCGGGTCGGATCGCAGCAGATCTCGTCGTCGCAACGTCAGAGCTCACTCAGAGCACCCAGTCGCTACCGACAATTGATGTCGAATCGAGGATCGATTGATTCCATGAATATGTCGAACAGTTCGTTCGCAGAAATGTGTGGTCTGCAAAGAGGACGCCTTCCCGAGGGTCTCAGATGTTGGCGTGGGATTCCCTCTCTGCGAATTGCGGCGTAGGGATAAGCGGCCCACTGGGCTGAGCAATCGCTGGAGAAAACCAACTTCGGAGGGATTTGCGAGTGGAGTAAAGAAGGCTGAAACGTAGAATCTCACGATGCGAGGGCACGATGAAATGATGCGCAAATACGTAGTCGATGTTGGATAGCAAAGATGGAAGAGAGAAGTTGTCAATAGATCGACAAGAAACCTACCTGAAGAGAGCCTGATCCCCGTCCCCTCTCTGCTGTGATCTCCCCCGCCGCATCTTATCCACACCCAAGGAATCCAGCAATCGGGACCTCAGCCTCTTTTGTTTCCATTTTGGGGGCGATCGTGACTGCATCCATCGCAGCGAAACTTCGCGCTGATTGGGACACTGGTCCTGACTGTGTCGTCTGTCAGCCCATGGAAGACCAGGAATCGGGAGCCGTGATCCAATCGCGACTGCAGTGTGGCAGCGTGGGTGTCAAGGAAGACAACAAAGAGGTGCTGATGGCTGGCTCGTTCGAGGCCGTGTCTGCAGGAAATCCATGTCTCCCTTCACTTTGAGTGGCTGTTCATGAGCTTCGGGCGCTGAAGCGGAAGTGTAAACCTGCAGGTCGTCGCGTTCAGCAGTCAGATCATTCTGCCAGAATGCTTCCCCGGGAGAGATTCCTACGAGTAGATAGGGCTAGTCGAGATGTATAAGAGCCTATTGGTAGCCACGAAGCTGCAGGATCTGTTGTCGTAAAAATTTCTCACTCAGAGTGGAGTGTTGGATGCAAAGGAAGTTTCGTTGCAGAGTGAGATGTGGCTGAAGCCCCACAGGGAACAGTAAGCAGCTGTCACGTGAAGCAAAACGGGAAACTCGACGCGAAGGTCTGGACTCGGGCCTCGGATGCAGGAAATCGCCTGTGAAATGGAATGTATAAGTACTGATCTCCTTGAGGTTTGTAATGCTGAACACGCCGACTCTCGAGGGACTACCTCGACACCTTGCCTCAGATCCCAAGATAAGCTTATCACTGAGCTTTCAACACCCTCGCACCTTCTGCTTCACCTCACCGGCAATCAAAGGTGCCGTAACGGTACATTGAATCGGCGCCTTGTTGGTGATTGTACGGCGCAGGATCTCAATTCTCACACCCTTCAGCCACTCGGCCGAGGTCATCACACGAGCCAGAGAGGCACTGTTGTTTTGCATTGTCCTCATTGTGTATGGCTACTTAGGCTATCAAGTCTGTGCAGAGACAAAGATGACGACGAAGAAGAACCAGTCGAAAGAGGCTCGAATGCCCCGAAATTCCCTTATAATCCGCCGCCAGAAGTGCAGCAAATCCATTTCATGGATGGCACACATTCATCATCTCGTTTGCATGCTTTCATGCTGAGTTGACGATCACTTCCCAGGTATTCCCTTTCCGTCCGTGTATACCGACAGTCGTTGTTCGAAGATACGCGAGTCAGCGTTCATATAGGTATGCCTCGATGTGAAGAAATGCCTCGATGCTTTACTACTTTACTATCGAGATGTTAGTATTGATGGCCCAGGATAACGGGGGCAGAGGTAACGTACCAAGCTGGTCTACCACGATTGATAGTTTCCATATGACACACTATGTTTGCATTGATTGTAGTTGAATATACCACTTCGGAGTTCGGTCAAGTCCCATGCCTTGGGGGCGTACTCAAAACTTGGCAGCCTTCTCGCGCTCCTTCGAGAAATCGCTCACGCAGACTTGGCAAGCAACGAGGTCGCAGAGAGGACACTTGAAACTAGTGCCGCGTTTCTTGGTGCAAGAGCCGCACTTGACCTTCTCACCCTTCTTGTTGCCTTCTTCCTTGGGCCAGAAGTCGATGTGGGGGCAGGACTTTTGCTTGGCAGCGGGAGTAGTGTCGCCACGAAGGCGCCAAACCTGCTCTTGACGTTGTCGAGGTTCCTTGTACTTCTTCTCGTCCCATCCCTTGGATTTGTCGGCGTTCTCCTTGCGTCTAGCTTTCTCCTTGTCGGTCGCCATCTCAGCGTCTTGCTGGCGTTGCTTCTCCCTAGCACCTCCCGCCTCACGAGCCTTCTCCTGAGCCTGGTCACGAGCCTGATCACGAGCCGGGTCACGAGCTTTTTGCTTCTCCTCCTCAGTGTCTGATTCTTGGGGTTCGGGTGTGCCGTAACGATGGTCAAAGTGACTCCAGAAGATATCGAAAGGATCTCTAGCCGTGCTGAAGGCGTAGGGTCGTTGGCGACCTCCACCCCTAAAGAAGGAACCTCGGAGGTCCGGATCGAACTCATCGGCAGAGTCATATCCGTCTTCGCTGTTGAAGAAATCTGCAGCATCGGAGAAGCCGAAGTTGGAGCCGGAAGAACGCCTGTCATACTCACCACGCTGGGCAGTGTCCTTCAAAATTTCGTGAGCGGTGTTCAACTACGGGCCACGATTAGCAATGTCTTGGGGTATTCTTGAAGTAAAGGATAGGAGTTGCGGTGGCAAGTGGAACAATAACTTACGCGTTGGAACTTGGCTGTAGCCTCAACACTGTTCTCATTCTTGTCGGGATGGTGGAGCAAAGCCAGACGTCTGTACGAGGCAGTGATATCGGCAGCAGTAGCACCAGCGGTGAGCTCAAGCTCCTTGTACAGATCGAACGTGGGACCGGGAGGAGCCATGTCGCGATCGCAATGCTTTATTTGTTGAAAGTTGTATGGAAGGAGACAAGCGGGCTACACGGTACCTGTCTGAAGATACAGACGAGGTTCCGGGTGGGAGATCAATGAAAGAAGATACAAGCTGGAGAGCGCAGATACTGAGCTAACCAGAATCTGGAGAAAGGCTTTGTCTCCAGGTTGAAGATGAGCTTGCGACGGGAGTCTGAATTCATGAAGCAAACGCGTTGAGCGGCCGCTCCTCGGTGGTCCGTGCGTCTCGCGATATCACGTGATCCTACTTTGAGGACTCAAACTGCAAGATATCCAGACCCCGAATGTCTCGAACAACTTCCTTTGGGGCTCGAATCGTTGAGATGGAGCTACTTCATTCGACAGGGATGTTCTTTCGTAGACAAAGAACTACAATAATAGAACAGGATGTGGTCACGCTTACCCTGCCTTCTTTCTCCAATATTCACGCTTTTCCGAAGATCGGCTTTGCTTTCTGGTACCCTCCAAACCCTTAACTATCAGCTGTGTTATGAAAGAGTTCCTGATCTCCCGATGCAGGAGATTAGTAAGTAGTACCTCCCATGTTCATCTCCATTGTCCAGTTCACCGGTCCAGTCAATTCCCCTACGCTACATACATGATCTCAAATCTTCTTTCAATCATGAAGATCGCGGGATACCTTACAAGTGCTGTCTTTCACCAAAATTATGGATTTTGCTAATCTGAGTACCAGAAATTGTGGTAGAAATAAATTCCGTGCGACCATGTGGCTAAAAATTACCACGAAATACTGAGCCCTCCCGTTTTCAACCAGCTCAGTGCTCTATCCTAATCCCAATATATCCCACACCCAACTAATACCAGATTACCGAGAAAGAATAGACATTCTCTTGTTGTAATAATTAACTAATCATCAGGAAACCCAAACTCCTCGAAATCCTCGCGCGCAGAAAGCGCGAAAGGTTGATTCAAATCTTCAATAGCAGCTTCCACCACGACCAAATACGCAACAGCTATCTAGAAGTCAACCAACTCGGCTCGAAGGAAAACGATTAAAAGACCACAACTCACGATAAAAGTCCACCGAGTCTTGCTCAGTATGGAACAACAAAGGCGGCGCTGACGGAATGGCATGGAAATCTAACCACACATCTATCAATACCTCGCATCTCTCTCAGTCCAGGCTCGAGAACTTACAAGTATCATTCGTCGTGGTGTTTGGACCCAGATCAGGCAGCAAGATAACGGCAGTCTGCTGATTGACACAAGCTGGTCTGGCTATCCATTTCGTACCAATAATCCCTACGCCCGTCCCATTCGTTATAGCACCCGATCCATTGACAGCACAACTCGGGAAGTCAACGACGAAATCTCCGAAGCCGGCGCTGAGAATCGTACAATTTCCCGCGTTGTGAGGTTGGTTGTCCAATCCACCTTGTAAGTCGCCGTTGTGGAGGGTGAAGACTCCTTGGTTGTCGACGAGGGAGTCTTTCGAGCCTGAGATGTGGAATAGTGAGCCTAGGGGATCGCTGTTGAGGAGGGTGACGGATGAGATGTTGTTCTCTGAGATGGCGTAGAGGAGGAATGGGTGGTATAGATCTGAGGAGACGTCGGTGTTGTCTGGGCAGGCGAGAGATGGTGTTGTTGTGTTGGAGAAGGAGGTTGAGTTGCTGAAGGTTGGGGTTGAGGCATTTCCTGAGCTAGTGCTTGATGAGAAGTTGAGGGAAGATACTGTGGTGATGAAAGGGAACATCACAGCGAAGCAGGCGGCAAGATTGAGAGGGTGGGATTTCATGATTATAGAATGAATGATGCTTTCAGAAGAGTGCTTCTGAAAGCTCTCAAAGCTGTCGGTAATGATGAACCTGCAGATAGGACACCATATTTATCAATTGTAAGGAATGTCAATGTCACAAAACTCGTACAGATGCTCTTGTTGACCATCTTGGTACCATCAACTTCTTGTTGTGCATAGGGAAGGCCTCCAAGTACCTGTCTCACTTGAGAAACACCTTGTGAGTGTACAAAGTCTGTGAAAACTACAGTTCGCCGATGACAAGTAACAGATCAAACGAACATGTCAGAGCTAATTGCGAAACATTGTGAGAGTCTCGATTTGCTGAAACGACACACATCGCCGAGCAGATAGAGATCATCAGTCATATTGACTCGAAATTGCGACATGTGAAATGGATGTTGGAGGAGATGTGTCCAAGGTTGGTCTCTTCTAGAGTGGTACAGAGTGTTGGTGTTGGTGTTTAGTAAATTTAGCACGTCGCCAAGAGCTTGGTCTAGACTCTGCAGAGAAATCAGCCGCAGAGGGCTTCTGCTTGTGCTTGTGCTGTGTCTACTGCAGACGAGGTGTGATGGCCCTCCTTTATCACTGGGCATTTCGCATAGGATTTTACCAATTGCATTCATCGTGAGTGCCAGGCTACTCGATTCGACTGGACTATTATATCTTCATAACATCTCACCGCTCCCACTAGCGTAAAAGCATAAATTTTCTCGTGGACAACACATGGACATGGAATAACAGGGTCACAGGAAGTAGAGATATATGGCTGAAGATACAACAAATGCACAAGTAGTACAGATATATTGAAGGTTAAGTGATTTCCCGCTAGAAATTAACCGTCGTCAGGGTGTGAATCTTGATTCGAGCGTTTATGGTAGAGCCTCTGTCACGTTGCTCGTATTCCAGTGCAAGGATGATGCTTGAGGGCTTGACCTCATACCCCGCATATCGAAGGTTCGTCTCCGCGAATCGTCGTCCAGCCATCTGACCAACCGTTTTGATGTAAAATGCGTCGACCACCTTCCAAAGAATCGCCTGTTGAATCTGAAGACTCTCGGACAAATTCCTTGCGAAAACCTCTGTACCTGCTTACTATTGCAGGATGATCATATCATAAACTGCACTTGAGAACTGCCGAGCACACGAGACGAGAGGATGCTCATTTATACTAAGCGTGCTGCTCCCAAAGCACCCAAGCGGAGGTCAAGAGCTGGTAAGCATTGCGCTTCCTCACAGCTTCAACGTGGCACTGACAGAGCATGGGGTGAAAAGGTTGCATACATTGGTAAGTCTATCCTAGATATATCCCAGAAAAGTATCTGCACATGCTAATTGGGTTCCAGCAAAGAAAAGGTTCGGCCGGAAAATCATTCATACGTATGTATCAGTGACCCTGTCTGACCTCGTCACAGAAGAAGAAATGCAACGAGAAACGACCCCAATGCGATCGCTGCGAGGAACGAAATCTGCAATGCGAATATGAGCCAGTGAAACCTCGAAAACGAAGACGGACATCCTTCGCTGGCTCGGCGCTGTCGCACGAAAATGAATCTCCCACTTTCTGCAACGACCGTTGGCCGGGACGATTCGATTATTTTGATGCTTCGAGCGTGGATGGAGGACACAAATGGGAGTCGCAATCATATCAGTACCCAGAGTCGGAAGGCTCACTCGATTGGGACGGTCCGTACGAGAACGGCAATGATGTAGAGGAAGTCATACGGACAGAGCATATGGCAGAACCTTCTACAGCTGTAGCACGCTCAAGAAGCCAATACCCAGATCTTGCAATGATTGCACCTTCTCCTGTTGTATCACCACTGGTGGAGTTCTGCTCGCCCGTCTTCCAAGAATTCACAGAGAAGAGGAATCGACGAGCATTGGTCGACCATTTTTGTAATGTTCTGTCGCATCTTATAGTCTTCAAAGAGGACACGGGAAATCCATTCCGACAGCTAGTATTGCCATTGTCGCATGCTAGCTCACCAGTCATGAATGCTATCTTCGCTCTCTCGAGTGCACATCTGGAATATCGAGGCATCGAGAACGAGGAAAAGTCTCTGGACTTTCACAACAAAGCCCTACAGGGTCTAGCAAGGCTCATTGAACAGAACGAGGAATCCAATCGAGAAGAGGTCTTGGGAGCAATCATGCTGCTCGTGTATTATGAAGTGGTTGGTTTCCAGATGATGGGTTTTTGATCTAGTGCTGACTTCCTACAGCTCGTTCAGAAAGGAAGCTCAAATATCGTCAATGGGCATCTGAAAGGTGCCATGACGATCATGAAGTCCGGTCGTCAGATTACAACGCCTACCACCGTATTTTTAGAACGGGTGAGAAACGCATTCATCATTTCCATTTCCTCTAGGCTGACAAACATAGGTTTTTCGATTCTATGATGTGATTGCTGCACTTTCATTGGGGACACCGCCAAATAAAAGCACACAACCAAGCTCGACGCCATTTCCGGTTCCTCCTGTTGAGGGATTACCCACCGAAAGCTCTCCGCTCAACGCTGTAGATACTCTGCTGGGATTTTCAACGGATTTATGGCCCATCATCCATCGTCTATCACATTTACTATCACACAAACAGTCTCTCGAGGCAGCAATAGCAAGTGGCGAAACGAGCAAAGCAACAGTTCTCCGAACAGAGCTCGAGAGCACATCCCAGGCCATCGAACTAGCTTTGACCAACTGGAAGCCAATATGCATTCCTGTATCGACCAAGGAGAGCGAATCCGCGTTACCACAAAGTACACGCATCCAAAGTATTCTCAACAATGCAGAGGCGTACCGGCATTCAGCATTCGTCTATCTATATCGCACGATCCGGTCGCATCCTAGAACACACAGCCAGGTGCAAAAACACGCCCATTTATCACTTGAAGCATGCTCGAACGTTGTCAACCTCGCCGAGCAGTGTCAAGATGGACCGATGTCTGCCTTACTCTGGCCTCTGTTCGTCGCTGCTTGCGAAGCTATCAGCGATCAAGACAGAGAATTGGCTTTGAACGCTTTCTGTGGGACGGAGAGGAGACAAGGGATGAATAACATTATGCGCGCCTGGGAAGTGGTTCAGGAGGTTTGGAGAAAGGCAGATCTAGGCGAAGAGGTTGGTTGGAGGGATATTTGTGGTGAGAGAGGATTTAATATTGTGTTTGGGTAGGTTAAAACGGGGTAATGTTGGTAATAGGTTCAGAGGCAGTGAGGATTTAGGTAATGTCACTGGGGAAGGTGACATTGATGTATATACTGTGCAATCATAGTGCGCGAGTTATATTCCATTACTATCTTTGGCTCCGAACCTGAAGTAAGTTCCTCGATTGCAGTATTTCTCCACACCGTTCAGCGAAATATGCTTCCCATTTTTCGATAATCTAGTCAGATCCTATTACAGGTGCTCCTTTCTCTTTTCCTCGAGCTGTGAATCCCACGATGATCTCGGAGGGAAGCTAGTCACGTGGTACAAGATGGAAACAATGACGTAGGTAGTTGGAAGTACCAAAGCACCTTCTGTTCTAGACCTTCCACGACCATTTTTCTGAGCTATCGATTCAGACATGAAGGCAACCTTTTCAAAATCTTGCACCTCTTCATCATTCAATGATGCATCAACAATATCACAACCACAGCTGTTTCGACGCTCCAAGACTTTGAGAAGCCACAAACCTTCCTGACGGAAAATCCTAGTTTCATTCCCTGGACCTCAAACAAGGCCTATCCCGACCCATCCGCAAAACATGGGCACCGAATCACGTCTCGAGCGCATTCTTCGCTCTCCGCTCCTGTTTACACTCCTCACTGCCCTCCTCGCATTTCTCTACACCTGGCCAAAAAGATGGCTGATATCAGGAGCGCCACTTCTCACCATCCTCTTATTAGCTGGAGAAGCGAAAGGCCATAGAATACTGCCTTCTATCCATCTTTGGCCCATCTTCACTACCCTGCATTTGGGATATGCGATATGTTCGACCTCATGGCTTCTCTTTTGGGTCTTCACGGCTTTTGCATACCCAACCGCTTTTCTGGTATCGCTTTTTCAATTTGAGCCCGTGGGAGATGTTGCGAGAAGGTCTTTGAGGAGGATTTTGAAGGATCTTCAGTTCATCGATGATAAGATCGCTTTCTTCGATATTCCGGCCCTGGAAATCGATACGGAGGTCGATGGATTGATGGTCTTGAGAGGCATTACTTTTAGTCTGAGTAGTCTCAGTTTTGTTGTTCATGGAGTGGAGGTGGGGATCAAGTTGAGTGATGATATGGAGTTGTCCATTCAGACTGAGGAGGTCAAGGTCAAGTTATTTAGGGGCATTGAGGTGGGCGATTGTTTTGCGAACTTGAAGGGTGGGGAGTATGAGATGACTTTTGGGAGTCTGGAGGGGCATACGAGGGATGTGGATGGTGATGCGGTGTTTGTGGAAGCCACGCCACTGCTGAAAGCCGCGAGTATTTATGGAGATAGGAGGAGCTTGGACGAGTCGAGGAGTGCAACTCCTAATGGATATGGTGATGCCTTTGAGGCAAAAGAGGTCAAGATGACGGAAGCCATGACTGATGGAAAGACTCTCGAGGATGCCGGGGCGAAGGAAGGACTTGAGAGTATGAAGAAGATGTCGCCTGACAACGAGGTGGCAAGTGGAAGATATCAGAGGACTGTTACCTTCATCAAAGAAACCAACGCCATTTACGAGGCCCGGAAAACTGTCAAGTCTCTCAGCAAGAAGAAGTCGGTGGATGAGAGGACATTTGATCATGAAGATGACAATGCCTTGAGAGCAGCAATTTGCTCACAACTCCACCCCGAGCCATCTGTCCCGCATCCGCCTCAAAAGTCGATCAAAGTCACCACATTACAGAATTTGATGCCCGCATACATCAGACGCTTCACTCACCGCCTGCCAATGCTTCTTCGCCTTCTACTCAACCCTCTATCTTACTTTCATCCAGTCAAGATCTCCTCTATCACTGCAGCTGCTTCTGGTCGATGGATCGACAGCATACTCATCGAAAAGATCTTCAAGTCTTACTGGGAAACAGACTCCGAGATCCGGTCGCTGAAGAACCGAATCTCTGCATGGCTCTCCGATTCTAACTTCGTCATCGAGCTTGGTCCCATCATCGGTCTTGCTCAAGTACCGTTCATCCCAACCTACGACATCAACTGCCATCTCAGCTTCTCAGACGTAATGGCATACCGCGCCCTACCTAAAGACATAGACCTCAAACAAGTTGTTCGCCTAGGCGGCGCAGACGCCACATTCATCCTTCCCAGCTTCCTCCTCCCTCACCACGAACATCTCTTACCTCCCGTCCCAACCAAGGAAGCTAAACAAGATCTGGAAAAAGACATCGAAGACGCAGACGGCGTCCCAAAAGAAGTACAAGCCCAGCACGACCTCGAACAAGCACAGAAAGACGAAACGAACGTCAAGATCGCCGTGCACGCCCGTCTTCCCGCTTGTTTCGACCAAGAACTGCTCGATTTCATCGCCGCGCTGGTGAAAGCTACCAAAGTCGTCGAGATGGAGAAGGAACCGTCTGTAATGGACGAGGAGGTCCACGGTATCAGAGAATTCTCTAGGGCGCTAAAGGGAGGGCTGAAAGAGGGTGTGAAGAAAGTGGTGGTGGATGGAGTGGTGAATGAGAGGTGGATTGCGAAGATGGTGGGGAAAGTGACGAAGAAGCTGGAGCAGGCGAGAGGGGATGCAGGATATAGTGGGGATATCCCGGTGCCGTTGGAGGTGTATAGATCGACGGGGTGGTTGGAGCAGGAGGGCGAGAAGTTGTTGCCTTGATCAGGTGTGGTGGGGTTAGGTGTAATGTCTAATTGATGGATGCAATCCTTTCTTCCAAAATCTGTAGGTGTGTTTATGATTTTTGCTTGAAGTCTTAAAGTAAGTACAAAAACGAAACCACTAATTTCTCATTTCTTTCTTTTATCTCTCTACGCAAAACCGACGATGCAGCGTTCTCCGTACACGTGGTAGGCAAGCGTCCTCTTTTTCACCCTCGACAGCAGTTGTACATTTTAACTACGGAAAACTTTTGCCTCCGAGGATTGTCGGCCCCCTTAGTATACATACGACAAAACTCCAATTCCTAATCTTTGATTGCTGTTGAGAATGCTGTTGATTCTCGGGTCGAGGAGTTGCGGTGTAGGTGTCGAATGAAGTGGAGGTCGTGGGTAAAGCTCAGGGCCTGGTTTACTGTGACACCCTGTGATGTCACGGTACCGCTAAAAGCGCTGTGAGTTCAGGCAAAATTGCTATTGGGCCTGACGAGGTGTTCGCTGAAAGAGCCCTGTAGGCGAGAGTCTGATCACTGTGGTTGCCGTGACAGCGTGTTTAGGGCTTCAGCATGAGGTTCCTAGACTTCTGAACGGGACCTCTTCTGATTTCTCGGAATCAAAAAATGAGGCCTTTCTTGAAAATTGAGATCTTGCGCCTGAGAACTCAGCCACTTCTGTGAGCCTGATGACATTTGGTAGTGTGGCTTTTCAGCCCCACAGCTACCCGTCCCAGTTTCCAACTCGAACCGCGTGAAGACCTTCCCTCCACATCTTCAATTTTATTGTCAATCAAATGAGCACGCATTCTCGCTCTGTTCGTACTTTCAAACTCGCACGATATGTCTTTATGATGGTTGTTGACATGAGCTTTTTTCATGATATCAAACTGCGAGTTGATTATGCTGTTGGTACTCGACAACGAGCCTAGTGGTATGCCTGTGCGAATGCTTTTGTACATCAAAAGGAGGATTCTAACGGCCGAACAACAAGAGACTATGTCGCTATCCTGCTCAAAGCTGTCTTTCCAGGTCTTCCAGGTTGCAACAGTAAGGACTTTTCCTCCCGACGAAATGCCAAACTTGGCTCCGGACCCCCAATATCTCGATCCATATTTAAGCGCCCTGGTCCAAAAGGGGCACATTGGGGCGCAGACCATTTCATAGGTTGCTTTTTCCATCCCAAGAGGGTGTGCAAGTCATGCCAGAGCCTCCGCCAGTCGCCCAATGGCAGGTGGTTGGTGGTGGCACGAACAGGGCTGGCGTGCGCCACTACCTACCACACCTCACATCAGCTGAAGAGTTCCAGAAATCAAATGAGGCTCAAGGGGGGCTCCCGCAGCCTTGTGTCTTGATGATCGATAAAGGAGGAAAAAATCCAATTGCGCATTTCGCTGTGTTATTCTTGCCTACCTTTCATCACTCTTTTGTCTCTAGCACATTGATCTATTCTGTTGCCGCTCTCTTCTCATGTTTTCTTTACTGAATTGCTTTCCCTGGACCTGGGAACAATGCAAGAACTTCTGCAGGTGGGGTAAGTCGCACGCGACGCCTCACGAGAACGGCACTGCAGAACAAAATATAACACACGAGGACCGGGGTGAATTGGAACCACTTGTAGGTCTTTGTAATACTGCCTATTCAACAGCACTGATTTGCTAATTCCACGGCCCGATAGCTTGAGGCGGAACGAGTACAGAATACTGGGAACAGCGACAATAGTAAAGAGGATTCGCCTGTTGTTTCCCCTACAGAACAGGATGAAGATGGCCCTACTGTAAGTCATATATACTTGGAAGTTCCTGAAGATCCAGACCTTATTCTGAACTGGATCAGGAGCCTCTGCAACGAGAGCCAAGTATATCAGTTATCGGGCCCTCGAGAAACAACACCTTGGACGCTGCCGCATTGCGAGAACTGGAGACACCAGCACCGACCCAGGCGGATAACACTGAGCTCTTGATATCCACAGGGTATTCCACGAAACTCGACATTCCCAGTGCTTTGTCCAAAATCACAGCTCCCACTGAAGAGACCAATGTCTCGCCATCTTCAATCCACAGCTCCGGCTCCAAGCGACTGGCTAACAGGTTAGCTTCTCTCGTAGAAGATGGTGCACTTCTTGGGGTCGGACAAACCTTCACCCATGATGGAGCCCACAGCGATGACTCTGGCGAGCACACGGATGATGAAATATTGCCACAAAGCCAAAAACTGGAGGAGCAGCTTGTGGATCAGCTCATCGAATGGCCTAGGGGAGGAAACAGTTACTTCATACCTATTGACCAACAAAAGAGACTTGTGACTCCTATGTCAATCATGGAAGAGCTTCGAAGGGTCGAAGACAGAGAGAATCAACACTCAAAAGAAGAGCTCGATGATACTACGGCGAAGATCTCGAATACTGCCCGCAAAATGTTCTCGATCCTAGTCTGCCTTGGCAAAGGGAAATGTATCTACAACTTCCTTAAGGAAGGACTAACTGATGATCATCTGCCATTCTCCAGGTTCGTTGCGCAAGCAACGAGCAACGGCACTGGTGTGAGGACTAAGTTGTGCAGCCATCGTTCCCCTGGGAAACCTATTAAAAGTATGGCGAATTGGTCTTGGAACGAGACCACCGGATTCGCGCGAGACCAATGGTGGATGCTGGCGCCAGTCTTCAAAGAGAGTCTCAATGACCCTAGGAAAGTTCGCCATTACAACCTGGATGACAACTGCGTCATGCCTTTCATCGAAGACCATGAGCGCACGGATACTATTGCTAGTGGTTTCAGTACGGTCTGGGCAGTTCGAGTACATCCAGCCCATCAATCACTTCATTCGCCAGACAAAAAGGTATGTCAATGAACTTTGGCACATGCTGATACTGCCGTTGCTTACCTCTACTCAGAACCCTAATCCTTTGATTGCCCTAAAAAAGCTGAACTCCATTGATGAAAACGACTTCAGACTCGAGGTTGAAATGCTAAAGGCTTTCAGCAATCACAAAGATCGGCATCTCATCAAGCTTCTTGCAACATATCGAATCAAGAACCGCTATCATCTGATGTTCCCACATTGCAAATACAATCTGCGCACCTACTGGGAAGCGAATCCAAAACCCAAGTTTACGTATACGAATGTTCGTTGGTTTCTCGCTCAATGCAAGGGAATTGCTCACGGCCTCATGACCATCCACGAATATAAGAGTTCAGAGGCTGGAAAGGCGGCAAGACTAGCAGAGATTGGACGTAGTCGGCTAGGCAACAACCTAGGTGTTAACCCTATTCCTGTGAAGGAGGAGGAACGTATCTATGGTCGACATGGAGACATTAAACCAGAGAACATTCTTTGGTCAGACGAAAGCGAGTCTGGTGATGACTGTGCTAGTTCTCAAGAGCTGGAGCAAATCGGGATCCTTGTTATTGCCGACTTTGGGTTGATGGACTTCCACGGGAAGCAGTCACGCTCTATGGTCCAAGCCGATGTCCCTGCGTCTCCTACTTACGCACCACCAGAACTTCGTCTACGAAAAAGCATCTCTCGCGCTTACGATATCTGGTCTTTAGGCTGCTTGTACCTCGAATTCGTTACTTGGCTGGTTTGCTGGCTTGATGAATTGGACAAGTTTCCCCACGCGCGAGCTCTGACGTCTTCAAGCGAAATCAATGACGATCTATATTATACCATCATCGAAGAGAAGGATTGCGCACCCCGAGCAATAGTCAAGGAGTCCGTAACAGAGTGGATCCAAGACCTCCATGAGAAGCCCCGTTGCTCTCAATTCATCCACGATTTTGTAGACCTGATCGGAGAGATGCTTGTTGTGGACCAGAACCAGCGCATTCATTGTGGGCCACTGAACAGTCGCTTGCACGAGATGTGCATGAAAGCAAAGAATGACCATGGATATCTTACAGATCTTATACCTCGTCGTCCACGGGCGGGCGACTCGACGGCTACTGAAGGTTCTCCCACAAGCCCGACTGCGTCCCAGGGGGACTTGTTGCGAACCAAGAGTCAGATCCCTGCGGACCTGGATACTACAACCAAGAGCCCAAAAACGAGGGCAGCGATTCCATCATCATCACGCCCAGTTTCTTATGTCCGGCTCAGGTCACCGTCGCCTGCTGGTCTAAGATCTAGTAGTCCGGCACCAAGTATCTTCCTTACTGAGGTTGATCAAAAGGAAAACACGCCTTCGCAGAGACTTGGAGATGATACTTGAGAGAGAATTGTCAACGAGTGCGAATATAAAAAGTCACACATACCATGGCTCATGCTGAAACACATGAAGATTGATGGCTGTCAAAAGCACCACCGAGCTAACATACTGGGGCTCTGGGTCCGAATTGCCAAAAGCCTAAGACTGTGAGCCGAGGGAACACAGTTTAAAGCCATGGCAATTCCGTTAGGACACGTTCTGGACGCTGAGCGAACCTTGTTGAGGTTGTGGGAGGAAGACAAGTGGACGACTCAAGGTAATAATATAGGACTGTCAACCTTGAGGAAGGTCCTTGGAGCTAGGGACAAGGAGGAGTTAGAGGACTTGCAAAGGGAAAGCAAAGAGCTGATAATTCAGCGCAAGGGAGCTTTTGGTCCAAGTTTAGAACTATATGCTGTCTAATAACAAATTCATGCATTTGATAACTTTACTTCTCGACTCTCCTCCTCCTTGACTAAACGATTACTCCATGACGGGAACCTATCAATATATGCCAAAGTATGCTGCGCCGACTAAACCTGCCCGAAACGAGTATATTGAAACTTGATGTCTATTATCGCATGCTGAAGGTTTCGTAAGAAGTTCTTGCGCCTGGCGAGAATCTTGGAGGATCTTGTGCCCGAAAGGACTAGAAGGTTGGTGAAAGTGGATAGATATCGTGGCAGAGTAATTTCTCATTCGAGTGAGCAACACGTGTCGATTTGCTCCTGTGATGGTCAGTATCTGGAAAGAGTCCTTTTGTATCTGTGTACGCAGAAATGTACTTACCTCCGTTAGCTTCATTGGTACGGCAAGGATCCACCTATTTAGCTGGAGCTGTGAAAAAAATTAGTCCACTGCCATCCAACATCACCCAGATTCCATACCCGGACAACGAAGTTTCCCTTCCCAAAAGTATGTTCCAGCAATTTCATCAACTTGTCTCGCTCGATGTATCGTCCCTCGATGATCTGCTGCTCAAGCGATGCCTTCTGCTGGGCAGGCTGGTGTGCCGGCATAATCGCTATCAGACCGTGGATGGTACAATATTCTAAGTTACTCCTGAGGTGGGCAGCGATGGAGGCGCGATGGCGTTAAAGTTGTCAACGTATGATGCACGCAGAGAATTTCTAAAGGCCTCTAGAGAGAGAGAAATAGAGATGGTCGCAAATTCTGCCACACCCACTGTGAGACGTTGTCACACCTGCAGTGATCGCCGAGTCGGTGGATAGCTCGGTTTCTTTTGGCAGCGGTGTGGGTAGTACGCCCGGCTGAAGAGTCCAACTGGCAGATGGTGTTGCCCAATACTGTTACATGTGCATCTGCATAGCCGTGGCAAACTTCATCTTTTTGAAAACGTTTTCTGCGTCGAGGACGCCTGTTGGGAAGCCTTGTCTGTGGAGGCTGAGTCGGCCTGTGAGTCGGCCTCAATCACTATCCCTGCAAGCCACAATCTTTCAGGCTGGCTCATCCCCCTGAGTACATCTGGCGATGCTTCACATCTTTTCGCGGCAGCTGGATTTTACGTCGCAATGCATCGTAGGACGAGAATCAAATCCTTGGTTTGCTAGGAGTCTTCAATAATCCATATCGTGGAGTTGCTGTCGAAACACGTGCTTGCCAATTGTTCCAACTCCACCATCGAAGTTGCCACTGACTATTTCTCGAGATGCATGGAATAGAATGGGTCGATTCGACCGTCATTGAAGACATTGATATAACGTTCAAGCAGACGTTTGTGCTCGATAAGAAGGACTCGAATCTTGTGCTCAAAAGATTAAGGCCAATTTCTGAAACAAATGGAGACTCAGAGGCTCTCAAATTTCTCTGGACAACAGACGTATCTGACTTTGAAGCGATACAGAACTTCTCAGTACGTTGCATCCTAGATGTATTATTGCTGTCGCTGACTAGTACAGCATCGTGCCGATCCGTGCCAAATATATTGCATTCGACAGAAACACTCCTATGCGAGGCTATATATCACGAAAGAGCTCTTCGATCAACTACTGATTGCCTATTCTGTGTTCAGTAGGATATGGGATTTTGTTCTTCCTTTTAGCTTCAAAACGCGCGAGTCCGATCTTGTGAATGCGCCATTCAGATTTCGACAGCTTGAACATCTCAAATCACCTGAGCTTGGCTCATTTGGTACGTCTTCTCTAATGTCTTGGCTATATTTTGCCTCTAATGTTCTCAGAGTGCGCATATGGATTCCGATACGTTGAGCTGAACCATAGGACACTGGCAAGACGTGAGAATCCCGATTATGATCCTTGGTCTGTACGACAAAGTGCTGTGTATCAGCGGTATGATAGCAAGTACAACAGGATCATGTTTATCCTCATAACACCTTCCGAAACTGCGAGAAAAAATTTGGAGGAAGCAGTCAAAAACGCAATCGCCAGACCTGGGCGTCTGAATGCTTTCGATCTCCATCGAATCTTGCTTTCAACGCTTCATGAGAACTGGCGCCTTTATGTCCGAAGTCTGGAGAACTTGATGACGCAGCAGGTAACATACTCTTTGAAACGAACACCTCTACGTTGGCTAATTAGAACTAGTCAGAACGCGTCGTTCTCGCAGAGGTCAAAGACGAGAACACAAAATTGTCCCCCTTGACAGATCTTAAGGTCAATTTTGTGGACCGTCAAAGGCTGAAGATGATCGAGGACAAAGTGTTGGACTTGGTTATCATCTTCGAATCCTTGTACAACACTCTCGCCAAGTTGCGTAAACAATGTGAAACACATTGTCTAGGGGCTGCCTGTTATGAATGTAACTGTGCCAGTATTATTGATGAATTAGAGGAGCAAATGCACGAGGCCGAAGTCAACCTCAAGAAAGCAGATATCTTGCACAAAAGGGCGCAGGGTACTGCACAATTGGTGAGTCTCACTCGGATTGAAGAGTACCATTGACTCATGTTCTTAGCTGTCTGACCTGCTTGACTACGAGAACGCACAAATTGCGCAAGTCAACGAAAAGGCTCTCAACGGACTTGTGAAGGAAACAAAAGACGAAAACAGCAAGATGCGTGTGCTGACGGTATGTCCAGATCACTTCAAGATTCAATCACGAAGAGTCTATCTAACGCAATGTAGGAACGATCAACTGCGGATGCAGCCGCGGTGAGTTTGCCATGAACGATTTATTTGATCGCCAGAAGTGATATAGGCTCACGGACGTACAGGTCAAAATCTTGACAGTAATTACATTAATTTATCTCCCAGTAACAGTAGTTGCAGTAAGTCTTGTCAGCCATGTACAGAACCCTCTCGCTAAGCTTTCTAGAATTTCTTCTCGAGTCAATTGATCAGAGTTGACGAAGGTGGAGCAATATCAGTAGTCTCTGGATCTTGGTGGTTTGCAGTTATTTCAGTGCCATTGACCATAATAACTTTCATTGTGTGGAGATGGTGGGTGTCGCACGCAATCAAAGCGCAAGAGCGTCGACAAGAAGAGTCCATCTTAGACGTCGACGAGGTGAGATCATTGCGTAGCAAATGCAGCTGGGCGAGTGTTCTTCGAAGCCGACCTCGAAGACGACCGCATGATGACATTACGGGAGCCTAATTGAGTTTCTGAGCATGGGATCCTATCAAGAAAGCAATGTAGTTTCACAATGACCAAGTCACTCTCACTGGTTCTGAAGCGGTCACAAGCCAGCCCCAGCTGAGCGCGGGAAGTCTGCTGCATGGAGGTGAGGTGGGCTGCGCCCCACTCTGGCTTGAAATGGCCTACCCGCAACCAGCAGCGACAGATGAGGCTCTGGGGTTCTAGAGGCTCCCAATAAAGGCTGGATTATATGCAGACTTTTCACAGCCTTATGACTCAATGCGCCCCCTTTGGGCAGCCTGGGAGATCGAGTGTTGCCTGGGACAGATGAGGCTCTGATATCCCAGAAAGCTTATATCAAGGCCTGAGAGTTAAAGAATCGCCAAAGCCTGATCCATCAGTCTGCCCTTGAGAATTAGCATATTGTGCTAGGCCTTTCGTACCTTAGCTCCCCTGCTCGGGCAATCGTATATTTTCATTGTGAAAGCTATCAAGAACAGTCAGGTATGAGGTCCTTGGATGAACGTTGGGCTTCGCGCTACTACACAACCAATCCCGCGCTTAGACAAGCCGTTGCTAACCATTGCGGCTAGATTTCTTGACAACCTGTGACAAATTTGAGACCAAGATGGTATCAACCCTCAAGAACGAATTAGTGGCTGCCTTGGACCGCTATGAATGGCCCCGCGGGCAACATGGCTTTTATATACCTATCGATTATCTGGAAAAATATGTCACAGTCGAAGCTGTCTCTGCCCAGCTGTTGACGGATTGTCCCCTTTTGGAGCCGCAGAAGGTTGCTGATTATGCTGAGACTATTCGTGCTAAAGCGCAAAAGCTCTACACTATTCTCCTTTGCATGGATAAGGGCCATTGCATCGCCGACTTTCTTGACGGAGGCATTAGCGACATAAATCTCCCCTTCCTGAGATCGGATCATGGAACTGCAGCTTCTATCCAAACCCCCGGTACGAAGCATGAGCTGTGCGCATCCAATCATTTCACTACTTGTGAGAAGCATGAGCATACTGGCTGCGGGATCAAGGCTCTAGAATCGTGGCAGTCTCATGCGATCCGCGCCCTGAGTCGCGACCAATGGCAAGTCTTGGTCCCCATCTTCGAGCCTTTGCAAGATGGCAAGATTCCACATTACGAATTCGACATGAATACCATCTTTCCATACGTCGAAGATCATCAAGCTGTCAACGACTCTTATGTCAAGAGCGGAGGCTACAGTCGTGTTTGGGGCGTTCGGATGCATTGGGCGCACCAGAAAATCTACAAGTCGACAGATCCAAACGTAACAGCACCGACTGTCTATACTGCATATCATAGGTGCTAACTTTTATTAGGTCAGTGAACCTCTGCTCGCCATCAAACGTCCTTTCTCGCGTGATATACGAGACTTCAAGAAAGAAGCGAATATGCTCAGTACCTTGGCTCTCCGGCAGCATCCATACCTCGTAAAACTCCTTGCTACCTACAAGTATAAGGGCGATTACCATTTTGTATTTCCTTATGCCAACACTAACCTGCGCGGATACTGGGACGATACTAGACTGCCCTACCGAAATAGGGACACATATATGTGGGGTTTGAATCAGCTATGTGGTATTACCTCGGGTATCAATGCGATCCATAACTTCAAAGCAACAGAATATCCACTCGAGAGCGCAGAAGCTGCACCGAATCTTCCAGGTCTTAATGTCTCGGTAGGGAAGTACCTAACTGTGGCACACGAGGAACAAAAGTACGGCCGCCATGGCGATATCAAGCCAGAGAATATCCTTTGGTCGAACGAGTTATCTGGGTCAGGGAACGAGGGCATATTGCAACTGACAGACATGGGCTTGGGAAGATTCCATCGACTAGAGTCCAGATCTGGCATTGACGCAACAGGTCTCAGCGGTTCACCCACATATGCACCCCCCGAGGTGTGCTTGGAGAAGAAAATTTCCAGGTCTTACGATATGTGGAGCCTTGGATGTGTCTTCATGGAATTCGTTACTTGGCTAGTTGAAGGCAAGGAACAAATCTACCAGTTTGCAAGCGCGCGCAATCTATTAGTCGGGGAGGATACCTACGATGATCTTTACTACACAATCATCACTCAAGACAATGGCTCAAAGCATGCAGTTGTTCGACAAAGTGTTATCGACTGGTTCAAGCATCTCAAAGAACAGGCAAGGTGCTCTGACATGCTGAAAGATGTGCTGGACGTGGTGGAGACTGGCATGCTTGTCATCAACTCGGAGGATCGAAAGAAATGCTATGACGTGGTGAAGGAACTCGAAAAGATCATTTCGAAGGCACAGACAAGTGATTCATATCTGCTTGGAGATATGCCGATCACTGATCCAGAATCCGGAGTCAAGCTCCCAATGGGAGCCAACACTCGATACGCGCCTAATTCAACGCCCAAGCCGAAGGCTGTTGGCGAAGCGACTTCTCAAATTCTTCTAGAGGATCTCCCGGGAATCGTTGTATCAGCTCATGAACTGGAAGGTAACAACGTGACTCACGGTGAACCTTCCGGAGGTTCAAATACTCACGCGTCCAGTCATGTTCGTCAGGATTTGAGCCGGACCACGTCATACCCAGGCACTACACTTCCAATCATGTCCAGCCCATTGCACCAGAAGCTGCAATAATGCATCGTGTACTTGCAATTGTTATCTTTTCAATATATGCACTGTTAGCTTCGTTTTTATTTTTGTGTGGTGTTACTTTGATGATTTGGTGTGGTCTCGCCACATGAAGCTCTATCCTTGTCTAGCCATTTTTAGGTCCCATTTTGACGGGTTATACTTTTTGGGTCCTCAAGTTGATTGTTGTCAAAAGAGACAAAATGATAGCAGAAAGTTATATGTGATAAAAAATCAAGTTGTGTCGTAATTCTTATGCATGTTCGACGAACCACAATCCTACCAAGCGCACTTTGCGCAACAGACCCAACTTCTCACCATCAATAAAAAAAGTATTCAAACGATGATGTCTGAGCTGAGTCAACCATTGCCCCTATCCTTGCATACAGCATATATTTAAACTTCGTCGGCTTGGACCGGTCGGTGTTCAAATTGGACAACACCTCTGCGCGGTTCGGACAGATGATAGGCTTGTCCACACAGTTAGCTACTGTGCGGCCAATGTGTAAAGGCCCATCCAGTCCTAAAGTAAATCCCTCGTAGAAGTCGCCTTGGAATGCAGTCTGGACCCGGCCGTTGCCACGGAGGTCGCCACGTCGTACGACCAACTCCTCCAGGACACCTTTCTCGCCTTTCAGAGAAACAAACATTTATCTATCACTCTATCAATTCTTAATGACAATTAAGAATGGATATATATTCAGCCTCATCAGAAAGCCGCTTACAGGTTTACCACCAGGCTGCCTACGTGAACGCTGATAGCCTCGCCGAATAAAACGCTTCGCTTGATCAGAAACACGACTGGTTGCAGGCCCGCAATCCGCCACACCGAGACACTGGTTGGCTCAGCTACAGCGCCACACCGCCTGTTAAATATCTGCTGAGTCCCCCTTCGCCCTGAAGCACATCTGCGTCCGTTGATCAACAGTCAACAATGGACCAAAAAGAGATGAATCTGGAGCTCAAATCTCAGGTCATCGACCGGTCATATGTAGACCAGAAGAAGCTGGTACAGAAGCTAAAGAATCGATACGGGCAAGGCCCAGACGGCAAAAACAACTTTAAGATACAGGTATGTTCCTCTTCCCTTCCACATTGAAGTCCTACGAGAACTCACGATTTCCAGTTGCGACTGAATCGCTACACGATAATGTTCCCGGCAAATGCCGAGACCTTAACAGAGGTAAGCATATTGATACGAGTGTTGAACAAAAGTAAGCAGCTGATTGTGGCGCAGGGCGAAATCAACGAAGTCTGCCTTGTCTGAGAACAACCATCGCTGAGCAGCGCGAACATGACTACCTCACGCACTCCTCTTCGTTTCGTGGCAAACCGATTCAGTGATGGACAAGTTGAGATGATCTCTGAGTGCTGGATAGGAGGCGAGAATTTAGGACAGTGCTGTAATATCCGATTAATGTCGAGGTCGCAATCTTCCAGGCTCATTCCAGCTGAGTCTGCTCGTGGCTGGCATTTCCTCCAAGACAGTTCCTTCCTCCAGCTGCTTCATTCTGTCCTTTTTCTCTTTTTGTTCTTTCTTCCAAACTGAAAATGTTCCGTTATAAATTGGAGAATGTCCCATGCAAACAAGAACAAGTCGAGGGCGAGGTGTACCCAGTTCTGCCAGATCATTGTTGTTCCAATATTCAGCCATGGTGACACGAAAGCACAAGTCATAAAAGCCAATTCCAGCCCAAAACGAACAGAGATCGGAATGACAATTTTGAACTTGATCGCGCTTTTCGGATAATTCAATGTCGGGTAGTCGTTTTGTACAATATAATAAATTAAGGAGGCAAGACTCTATAGAATGTTGGTGTCAATGCACTTCCAACAAATTTACAGTACCCAAGAAATAGTTATAATAATAGCAACTGGGATGGCGATTAAAGTCTGTCATGGGAAGAACAAAATGTGGCTTGAATGAGTTTTCAAACAATCATTAATAGGGACAATGTGTCAAAGGATTAACCGCAATACTTACAGTGATTGAAGAGAAGAGGAAAGTAGGAGAGAAGGAAAGGCGGTCTTGCATGCCGGCGATTCCAAACACGAGAGAGGTCGAAAGGGCGCCCAAGGAGAAACGGAGAAAGAACAACCAAACGAGGAACACTGGAGACATTGTGGTGGTGGAGGTGGTGGTGCTGATTGTTGGATTTGAGTTCAAAGATTGGTGGACGGTCGGAAATTGGCAGTGGTTCTGTGCTTGAATGTGTGTGGGACAATTGGAGAAAGGAATAGTGTGAAAATGAATAGCAATGAAGTTCTAAGTTTCTAGTCGTAATTTCCGATTTGGGGAGGAACTCTTTGCATTGTAGAATGACGTTGCCTACTTTGAAACTCGATGCAGAGAAAATAAAAGGCACCCGGCCTCACAAGGATCAGATTATGACCTACATTAAAGAACTTATTTTTCGAAAACAGTTTCATGGTGTATATGATGAGGTCCAAAAGTACTTTTTGTGTACTTCAAATTCTCACTCGTCTGCTTCACAACCGGAATCCCAATTCCAGCCCCAATCATCCGACCTTCCATCCGCATCCTCGATTTGAAGGGATCTCCTTATACCAAATCCTTTACACATCTGCTTCAACGTCGGGACCAATTCGTCACCGGGTAAGTTCGCCAAATCCGACACCATTTCCCTTTGGCCATACAGACGGCCTGCGAGAAATCGTGTTTGCCATGCGCAGATGAAGCCCACAACCATGCAGAAACCGAGCCAAAAGAGCATGAGTCCGTGTATGTTTGCCGGGTGGCACACATATGTTCCCTCATTTGCTGGCGGAGGAGAAGTCACTCGATGGTAGAGTAGGGACTCGGTGAGTTGTGCTAGCTTGCTCAACGTCAAGGGCACGGCGTGGAGGATAGGCATCGTTGGCAGTTGTAAGGTCTTGATTGGTGATTCAAATGGATATACTTTGTTTTCTCTGTGTTTTTTAGAGTGCGTATGGAAGGAAGTTCGAATTGTGTGAATCTTAAATACGCCTGTCGTTAAGTGCGGGAGCTAACCGCAGAGCGTAGTCTAGTGGACCCAAGTTAGTCTTAACTTGGAGCCGTCGAGACTAAAATAAAACAGAGGGTCCGGATGCACTTCGAATATTGATGGAGGGGAGATAAAACTCGACGTTTGCAGTTTCTCCTCGAGATAGAGCCAGAGCAACACGATAACTCCTCGCGGAATCGCGAAAAACTATGGTTCTATTCACAGCTTCTCACAGCACTGTCATAAGCCGAAGTCGTGATTCACGTGATGGAGTGCAAGTGCTATATCAACTGTTCATCTGCAGCTCTTCTTGTTTTATTTCTCTGCTCTCCAACACGCTCCACGACTTACAACAAAACATTCTTACGCCTCACTATGAACCTCAAGCATCTACCACCGTCTCACAAGTTAGTTTGTCCCAAAAATATGTTTCCCAGGTCGAACAGGATACCCGAGAAGAGAGATAAGGAGGATGTGATGAAGGGATCTTTGCGTCCTTCCACTTCTGCAAGTAGAACCACTTCAAAGCAAGGAACTTCATCTCGAACATCATCAACACCCAAACCGATCTATCTTCCATCAAATCTTAGACGAACCAAGAGAGAATCGAGCAGAAATACACCTTCATCACTGTCGAAGTCTTCAAGCCGTGATAGAACCCAAGCAGGGACGGCTGTTCGAAATCAAGATTCAACGAGTGCAAGAATCAACCAGTCCAGAGATCGACTCCCACCAAGTAACATGGTTAGTGCATATCCTAGTATTTCTGGAATGAGCGCATTGAAGTCTACACCTCCATCTTTTGCCAAATCAACATTGCGTAGCGACAAGGACCAAGAGATGGCAAGCCGACAAACCAAGATAGACAGACTCGGTGGAAGGGAGCTTGCAGAGCAAGAAAACTGGGTGCAATCCTACATCAAGGACCGCCGTTCATGTCCCGGCGGTGTCGATTGGATAAAGATGAAAGGAGGATATAAATGTGTCGCAGATCAGCATATGATGACCAATGAGATAATTCGAGAGGGCAAAGGAGGAATGTTCTTCTTGGACTCAGATTGCCTTGGGGGTAGTGTCAAGCCTTCCGAATATATTGGACCCTACTACCTCGACACCCGCAACGGAAAACCGGGAATTTGGCGACTGGGCGAAATGAAAAATAAGCCAAAATATTACCCCGACAAGTTGGATTATGATGGGGGTGCAATAGAAAACGAAGCCAGCGGTGCAGTCGATTCTCGAATAGGGTCTGGACGACAGAACTTTCGGGGTCTGCTAGGTGACAGCGTTGGATACTTCGTTAATACTAGTGGCCCTCGATTTTCGCGAAAGTGAGGGTCAAGCTATCCTATTGTTTTCAGGTTCACTTGAAAATAATGTTGATAGTTCTGCCAATTATATGGAGATATCAGGGTTCAGAACTTAAAAAGTACGAACGCTCCTTCAAAGTTCGGGATCTCAAGCATATCTTGTACTCTTTATTGGGAGAGGGCTTGACATTCTTGTACATGTTCACAGATCAATAATATTATTAGAATCGATAGCTCGCGAGAACTCGAAGCGCGTGAATTGGTGCGTTGGTTTGTTGTTGTTATTCTTATTCACTGCCTGAAAACACTACTCGAGATTTATTATATTCCGTGATTATGGCCTTTCGCTGCCACTCACTTATGCTGGTGAACTGAAGAGAGCAAACCTCAAGTACGTGAATTCCTTCCTATCAAATTGTTACGTTTGATACTAGAGTGTGTTTAGTCAAAGACTGACTCAATTCGACTCGTCTTCTATAGCCTCAATGCCCGCACCACAGATTGTGAAGAATCAGAGAGGCATCTGTCATATTATTCATTTCCGCAGCACCACCGGGATTCAATGACTAAAGCATTGTGATTATACATCCATCTATGATTGTCGCCAGTGCTTTAAGTCTCAAAAGCTTCGAGAGGAAGGCCCTTCGAATCATGAAAACACGTTGATTTTATCTCTATAATACAGCTGCTGAGGTCAAGAAAAATTGGCTTGTGACCAAAGGAAGTCGCCAACAGATATCCTCAAGGCATTTCCGACATTACAGGCTTACGCCTCACAGAATAGTTATGCTGTGCCATCTCATGAACGCCACTACTTCCAGACAGAGGACTGAGTCGATCCCGAGCTCCGAAATCTTGCAACCTTCTATTGTTCCGCGCCGTCGAACCAGAGAGAAGTGTCGAGGAACGATATCCATCATCCGTCTCCTCGATCTCGTCAAGACGCAGGTCCACATCTCGCTTCCATTGGATTGTGACGATCTCAAGGATTTGTGTCAGGCCATGAGAATCTTGTTTGAACTTCGGCTCCCTTCTGATATGTAGAGTCTTGCCTTCCCGAGACGACCGCACCTTGACATAGATCCTAAAAATGACCCAGTAAATGAATGCAATGGTTATGAGAGCGAGGCCGGCTGTCTGACTGGCAAACCATGACACAAGTTTTCCAGATCGAGCAAGATATCGGTCGTTCGGATCCGGTATCCATATACATATGAACGGAAAGAGGCTGCAACAGAACAGTATGAGGGCAGCAGTAATGCTTGTAGCGGAACTCCTCAACTCTGACTTCTCTGACCAACGAACACTTGGTGTAAAGCGCAAGCATAGCAGTCCAAAGGAAATGCAGACGAAGCAGCACACATCAATGACGTACGCAAATATGCCTGCTAAGAAAGTTTGGGCTGCCGTGGCAGAGTACCCCTTATCTGTCTTGATGATCATGACTGGGACGATGACCATGATTGTTGTGAAGAGCCAATGTAGAGCAAGGGCGCCAGCCGGAGTTTTCTCTGACAGCATGGAGTTAACCTCCGCTTTGGGTCTGCTCTTTGATCCTCGGAAAATGCGGTCCAGTGAGAAGTCGTAACTTTCTGCGAACCAAAGAGAATATGGAAGAATTCCTTCCTTCGCAATTTCTTGTTTCACTGTGATCCTGTCAGCTCCGTTTTCAGGTTGCCTCCAAGTACATACCTCGAGCACATGTAAAGGTCACAACAATAATGTTTCCAAAGGCCGAAATTGCTTTCAAGATCGAGAAAAAAGTCTTCACATGAGAAGCTTTCATTTTTGTTCCGAGAGTAAGCAAAAAGAACTTGCTACCAACATCAATACCGCCTGGTACGAATAGATCAGCCTTGGGAATGATAGCTGCAAAGATCATCTGGACTGAGGTATACAACACGGCTACTGTCAATACCCCCCACCATGATGCTCGAGGGAAAGTCTTTCGTGGTTCGTGTAGCTCAGATATAACCTCCGTTGTCAGCAAGGGATCTGTTGGTGTACCAAGTGACTCGACAAACTTACATAGTTGATTTGGTGGAAGGCTCCGTATGGATATATGATGAAGAGGAAAGCTTCGGCCCATGGATATGGTGCTTTGGGGCTATTTGTGGTTGAGAAGGAGGTCTTGATATCGTAATTATCGCGTGCCACACCTTTGTTGATCCAAACTAGGCCAACAATCACGATGAACAGCAATATGAAGAATTTTATTGTGCCAAATGCATTGTTCAGTATGATACCCCACTTCCGAGAGATTGCATGGAGAAGACATGCACAAGTGTTGGCTGCCAATGCTATTCCTATTATTGCTCCAGGTGTTTCGGTGACTTCGCAGGCGTCTAGAATGTTTTGCGCGAAGGATACAGAATTGGCAGCGGTGTTTTCGAGAACAATAAAAGGGATGCCGAATAGGCAGGTGGCGAGGAACAGAGGTCGTTTCAGGTAGTAGTTAAACTATCGCCGACTAAAGTTAGCCCATGTTTGCAAATCAAATTGATGGTACTTACATAATTCAGCGCTTCGCCAGAGCGAGGGGTAGAAATCTTCTCGCCGTTCGCTCCAGACGGCCATCGTGGGATTGTCAAACCGAGTTCCACGTAGACAATAACGCCAGCAAGTGCTAGGACTGCTCCAAGTACCCACAAGATGAGAGAGATGCCTATGCTTTGCGTGTTTGCGAATACAATTTGACCCGAGTTGAAGATTCCGGTTCCTGCGCAAAGATTGAAGAATCAGTGGTGGTCATTTTGCTGTTGCTGGATAGTGGATTTACCTATCATGCGATTGAAGATCAGACAAACAGTGGAGTAGTATCCCATACGATTTGATTCTCGGGGTAGCGATGATACTATCTTGGAGGAGTCCTGCTGTGCTGCATGAAGATCAAGTAGATCGTCAGCGTCCAAGTCTGGAGCCCATTCCGGCTCTGGCGCGCCTCCACCAACAATAAGAGAGTTGCTATTGGAGCTTGTGTCAACCGTCATGACTGGCTCTTAATCGTACTCCGTTCGGATCTCGAAATCGTCCTTTGTTGGTATGCACTTTAAAGAGAAGGCCATGCCAGATCAAAGTTAGTTAAGAGTTGTGAAAGCGATTCTCATTCAGATTGTTACGAAAGATCGGACGAAGAGGGGAGCCACTGCTCTCAGAAACCAAACAACAATTGGTGGCTGATGAATTAATTGCTTCTGCCGCAACTTGCACAATTTTGAGGGCTGTGCATTGAGTGGCGCTCGTGATGTGAGCCAAGGCCTGATTCTTTCGCACCAAATTAATTTGAGAAATGACTGTTTCAGTTCCTGACTCCTAAATCTCATATGAAAAAGGTAGGGGGAAGTAGCCTGAGAAGGCGCTATTCCGATGCTAATCTCCCTCGAACCTTTGAATTGAAGTCTTCAAGGCAAGCGTTATCGTCACACTCAGCTCCAAGCCATCACGATGTTTTATTGTTACCTGTGTGACACAATTCAAGCCACGACGAACGCTAAAATGGCTCGTGGCCAGTAATCAGATCAAAAGTTGAAGCCACCATGTCCAGAGGAGTATGGTTGGTCGGATTAGAGATCCTGCATGTCTCGAACGTGGACCTATCTTTGGCTTGCGATCGTAAAAAGGGCTAAGGACGAGACGGCGCTCCATTCATAATTCTGGAGGAGCCATCGATAAAGTAATGTTTGCCGTTGTTGCGGCTCCGCTGGTCACCAACGGTCATAACTCCGCATCTATGGGTCTTCGGTACTCTCAGGACTGCACTACATCTGCCTTCTTTTATCCCACCGCCTATAATGATCCCTGTCGATATCGACGATATCTTGGCAGGCATAGCATCAGCTCGAGACCTCTATGAGGTAGGATTCCAGAAAGCAAGCAATCCAAGTACGTGTTTACAACATCACAAAGACGAACTGTAGTCCCTGCGGTATACTTACTCGGATACCTAGGTCCACAATACCACGCATTTGGCCAGGAAATTAGAAGTCTCGCTATCAACTTAGATATCCTGTCAGATGTCATCAAACGTGCCCATTACGATGCCGGAGCCAGCTTTGAGCGCACGCAGTATGGCGCCAGAAGTAAGCGTCCGATGCCTGGAAGTTCTATTTTGACCGGATTTGGAGATACTTTGGGTGATTGCTGTCGTCTTCTCAATGATCAGAGGTACTTCCACAAGATCGGACGCTTCGTGACCAGCATCACCTGGTATCTTCAAATTGACCCAGAGGTACGGGCAATGAAAGAACGACTCTCCTGCCAGAACATGAAGGTAGGTGTTAGTGAATAAACGTGTTCATTTAGACTCTTAATATTGACTCTTCGACTAGCTCTCAACCATTTTCAAGATCATAGACGCGTGAGTACCCAGCTGTTTGGCGATCGCAATGTTCACTGACTTCAACAGTCAAGTATTAAGAGACCGTTCATTCTATATAACCGACTCAACCGCAGCACTACTTCGAGAAGCCGAAAGGCTTGGTCAACAATTTCGGGGTAGCGAGGATGGAAAAGAACCTGCTAAACAGTTGTCTGGTTTTGTTGTGATCCCACCAGAGCTTGAGAACGCTTTCATGAGGTTTACTCAGAGAACCTATCCTGACCTGTCAGTCCTAACGCTGGATCGGGGTATTGACGCTGCGATTACTTATTTCAATGGAATAACCAAGAGAGAAGATAAGCCTACTCCAAATCAGGCGATCTACCTTGGCTCCATTGTAGACATAATGATGGCTTCGTGGATACTTCAAGCCGTCCGGAGTACCCTAGAGTACGAAACGGCCGCAAAAGCTCCTTCAATTACCGCTTTCGAAAGACAGATGGACGCCTGCGGTCTCACCATCGACCGCTTCTTCGATGTCTTTGATGAAGTAGGTCACCTCCTCTCGAGAGTTTAGAACATCCCCCAATAGCGGCCCTAATCACACCCCACAGAGCCTACAAGAAGCACTAAGACGCCTGCTTGGGCGTGATATACTTCTTCCACCGACGCCAGACTTGCTGGAGACTTTCGAAAGGGACAGACCATCTCTGCCTCTGCCTCCTGATGTCGAAGGCATCTCGGCAGCAGCATCACCAAGACAAGAGACTCGAATCCTAGCAGCAGAATATGGAACAAAGATTATGAACGTGTAGGCTTTCTCCGCAACCACTCCACTGCCGTACTGATAGCCACAGTCAGATGAACAGTTCTGATCCTAATTACGTTCAATCTCTACAACTTTTCAAACAAACAGGGAAACGCGCAAGTCTGGTACTAGTCAATACGCCTATCTCTGAAGGACGAGAGCGAGAAACAATGCGAGTATTGTGCCCCGTCAAAATCAAATGCTCATCGCAATTAGGGACAACTACGATTTTGATCACGTCGAAATTGTTCCCTCGTACGCTCTTCGAACTTGGGCAACTGCGTCTGTGCATCCTTTGACTATGTTGTTCAAGACCGACGGTGCCGCACCTTTTTCACGGAATCTGGTTTTCCAGCAGAATAAAGGTACTGATCAATGGAAATGCGATCGCATAATTATGGTGGTCCAAATCTGACGGTGCGGCAGATTTGTTTGAGTTTCAACAAGCAATTACCGGATTCAAAGTCAAACATGACGAGTGCGTGCTGCTGGATAGCGATCAAATTTTAGAGGCCACAAAGTTAATATTGACATAGTACTCGAGTACTTGCTACCTCGCAAGAATCGAAAATACTCGGAGGTTCAAGGAGGCAAGATCTATGCCGGCTTCAATTATGGTCAGCCCCACCACCTGTGATCGACTTTGCAGATGTATCAGGATCGTCATCCTCGAGATCAACAAGCGAGGCCAGAAGAGCTTCGCAGACTTCCTTCTCAAGCAGTTCAACAATGACTGGCCAATCAAGGAAGAAGCCCTCAGCTCCATCTATGTTTTCTAGTACCTCGCGGAAGTCCACCTCTTCGAGAAAATCTATCGCTATAGATACACCGTCTCTTCCGGGATTTCAGGAAGCTGGTAAGTCGACGAGCGGAATCCATGCACCCCCAACTCCGCCTTGTGTAGTATTATTTGCCCACAAGGCTCCCACGCTGTCAGCACGGGTTGAAGGTAGTGATATCTCAAGATCATTCCTGATTATCGACAGTGAGCATCATCTGTATTGCGATGGTTGCACTTCTAACAGTGTTCTAGTCACACCAGAAGTTACCATCGAAGAGGAACTCAATGAAAATGACCAAGAGCTAAATCCATCTTTCCGATGCGTCCTCGAGCGCAAGTCGTCATATCTACAAGGAAGAAGGTCACGGGAAACAACAGTCCCGAGCCACTGGGATCTTGCTGCTGCTGGTCTCCACAAAAGAGACAAAGAGACAGAAATAGTGAAAAGGTTGAAACATGTGATACTCGAGTTTGATACACGTCAAAGTAAGCCTCAAGTGCATCAACGATGTCATCTATGCCCGAGACACTGATCAGAGTACAGATATGTCAGAGTTCATGACAAAATTCCAGCAGATCAAAGAGATTGCAAGCTGGCGTTTGGCAAAGTTTGTTCAAGCAACGGGATGATGTCTTCAAACTAGAGTATGCCTAGACCATACTGCGGAAGCAATTGAATTTACCGTCAGAGAATCTACTTCACCACACATCTAGGTAGGTACTTGAAGTTATGAGGTAGCATGTGAATCCTCCTCAAGCATCTTCACCCTGAGCTGCCTGCTGTACATCGTAGCCAGAATTTCTAAAGAAGTCGTTACATTGGATTGAATCATCTCACATCACATAGGCTCTGGAACACGGTAGTCAAGCGTTCTGTGATGCTTCATACCATGCAAGTACTCCGAGGAAAGCTCTACCCGTGCTCTTCAATCATATCACTCGACTCAGCTCAACTCATTGATCTTCGCCATAAAGCTCGCCTCCGTAGCATGCACAAAAGTGGTAGCATTACTCAGTCTCAACCTTTGAATCAACGCTTGCCTGTGCGCATCCGAACAATCCTCCCCCCAATCATAAAAGAGAAACAAACTCGACCTCCTCAAACGCGTCAACGCCTCTTTAAAACTCATATAATCCCATTCTCTCGTATCAGCTCTGCCATCAGTGATGGTGACTGCATAGATATTGATCTCACTCTCCTCTCTCTCATTCTTCAGAAAACTGACGAGACCGCCGTTCTGGTCATATGCTTGTAACCTTGCAGTGAGGGAGTAGTAAGTATTGCCCGATTTGGACTTATTCTTGATAGCCCGAATAGTGACGACGAATCCATTCAGATTCATATCAGTGGATAATCGAACATCGTCCGCAAGAACGCTATTTGGGCTGAGTGAGGCGCTGTGGATTATTACACCTTGGCTTGGCAATTGCCAGACATTGAAGATGTTTCGACCTCGGTATGCGGCGGAGGCATGGAGATCGCTTTGGAGGTAGTTCGTGAGGAGACATGTCAGACGGGCGTACATGGATGGGTTTGCAAGGGGTCTTCGTTGGCGGGTGAATTCAGGCGGAGTAGGTGGTCGAGGTGGGAGAGCAGGGCAAGGCGGAAAAGGACCTTGGCCGTGGCCGAAACTCATGAAGCCTGCCATGTTGTGCGGTGTTTGATTATTATCACGTCTTCCGCTGATAGTGGCTATATGATATATATATAAAGCCAGTGCTACTAGTGTCAATGGAATGGAAAACTCGTTTGTTCTCCGTGCTTCTTGTGGAATCGTTGCAATAAGTGGTAAAAGCCCACGAGTAAAGCACTTCGACTTTGTTCAAGAAGAGGTGCTTTCCCTTTAGCATACGGCGGACCATTGCCACGGAATTTCTTCAGTCAGTGGAGCGCGCTTTGTTCAGAGACAGTCTATCAAACAAAACACAAGTTCCAGAGAGTCTTTTAAGTACTTCGTGTTTATTGTCATATGTAGCAAGATCGATACAAAGGAGTTTGGAATGTGGAAGGCCTCTGGGGCTGAGACATGCTGAAGCAAAGAGGGAACAATGCAATTCGGGCATGGAATGAGATGACAAACAATCATAGATAGTTCACGATATGTCACATAGAACAGGAGAGAAGCCTGGGATACTAACCATTTGCGCGCAAGACAGATGATTTGAAGGTAGACTATTCTATACTGCCGAGCAAAATAAAAGTCCTCGAGGAGTTGCCGCGACCACCACAACCACTTCCCACCACCTACTACCCTGGACGTTTGCCAAACGCAATCATGAATTAGCCTTCATACGCAAAACCGAACGGCAGAAGGACTTTGAAAAGCGCATCTGCGTCGTCAAGAATAGCCAACTCAGGCATTCTTTTCTCAAGCTCTCGAATTCCCTCCTCACTTCGGGCCTCGCCGTATGCATTGAAGGTTCGCTTCGAGATCATGCGGAGCCACTTCAGAGCAGTAACCCATTTTAATTCATTCCACTTCTGAACGGCAGTCTTTTCGGCGGTGATATTCTTCCGTGGCTTGACATCAATCAGAAAAACATCATCGCTGAAGTCATTCTTGTTCTGGACCGCAGTTTGGTTGACGGTGATCTTTTTTCGTGGCTTACCATCAACCACAATAACTTCCCCAGTCAGCTGATGAGTTTCCAACTTGATAGTTCCGCTCCGATTGAGCTTTTTCTGACTGGTGTTCGAAGGCGTGCTACTGCTCTCTCGGCGGACAGGGCTACCAACCATGTTGAAGTCGTGTTGACTGCTGCTCAAAGCAATACCGCTTGTGTACGGTTGGATAGGGCCGCCGACCATGTAAGAGTCCTGCTGCTTGCTGTTCAGAGGTGTGCTACTCTTCGGCTGGACAGGACTACCATCTCCGTTGTTTTGCACCGTCTGGTATTCCACTTCCATTCCGAACTCTCTCTGCTCCAATCCATCCAGCTCAGAACCCTCCTGTTTGATCGTACCTCCCATTGCAACGTCCTCGAACATGTCCTTGTTATTCTCCTTGGCTTGAAATTCGTGGGCTTCGAGCTTGACCTTGATCTCTCCTCCAACAGACACACCAACAAGCTTGTCCTCCCCATTTCTTTGCTCCATGACAACACCGACTTTTGGATCTCCATTGCCCTGTCCGATGACAGTTGGTGCACCATTTTCATCGCAAGCGCTAATCCTAGCCTCGATGCTGAAAACCATATAGCCATCTTCAAGACGCTTATTGGACAGGATCTCGATCTCGAGATGATCTAATTCTTTGACCTGTTGATATGGAAATCCAACGGTGCTGATCTCACCTGCGAAAGGATGGAGAGCAACATGATATAACTGGTAGTCCTGCTTCTCTTGGCTAAAGAGACCTTCGAGGGAGACGGAGGGAGTGGTACTAATTGATCGTAGGAGATGGTTGAGGAGAATTATGGCCAGGTAGTTGTAGACAGGAGCGGTAAGACGCGCATGTCTCGTGTGGACGAAGGAATCGGGAGAGTCAGTACGTGGTCGAAAGATGTCCGAAGAGAGCGACTTTGGAGTATTACAGGTAGAGTAGGATGAATCAGAGGTTCCGGAGGACGACGATAATGACTCTGTACGGGATCTTCGAGGAGGGGGAGGAGGAGTGACTGGAGCGTACGGAGATCGATATTCCGATTCCTGGGATGCTCGAGGAGGAGGAGTAGGGGTAGTAGTCAAAGTAGCATACTGAGATCGATATTCCGATCCCTTCTTCGAGAAAGCAGCGCCTTGCGATCGATCCATCTTGCCAAATGGTTGTGTGGTCGATGGGAAATAAGATTTTGACTTTGTACGAAGCCAGAAAGACAAAGTTGTCGGATGGTGCAAGTTTGTAGGTAGGTCGTAGCTTGCGGAAAGTCACGCAAGGAACCTGTTGTCAAGGTGCTTTTGTGACGTCGGAAGTCAATATCATGGCATAAAACAGAACCCGGAAGAGTCCCAAGGTAACGTGACCATATGGTAAATAAAAGTGATCCAGCTAAGCTTTGCATGAGAGTGATCTCTTTCCTTTGCATAAAATTCGTCATAGGCAAATCCAAGGTAAAGTGCTCGAATCTGGCTGTGGCATCTCGTCCTTGCCTTTGAGCTCAATGTCGGACATTGTTAGGAGAGATTTTTTCTGGCCCCCATGGCTTTCTAGCTCGGCATAGAAGTGATGACGACAAGCCGCTATCTCAATACCAGATGCAAGACAGAAATCTAGTGATGGACGCCGCACTGAATATTGGATGGTGGGCCTCTCATTTCGCTATTGTGTTTTGACTTTGGAGGTGGGACTTTGCTTTCACCGTTCCGTCCTAGGGAAATTTATCGAGGTAGATAAATCCCTCTACCGAAAAGTCTTCGACTGGATATGCTTTTCATCTGGGAGGTAGAGATTCTACACAAAGTTCTTGGAGAGTGTTTTCGTGTCGAACGGAGCCCGGAACCGGGTACTGTGCCAAAAGTGACCGCTTCTCGGCTCCATTATTCGGGAGCGCGACATGACACTGTAGTGAAGTGATTGTCCAAGTAACAATAAAGACAAGCGGAAAGCTCATAGTGACACTTGTCCAACTGGATGAAAGCACTTCCTGTCCAAAGCATATCGTCTATCTTTCATAGCAACACTAGGTCTCAGTACTCGTATTTCCAGAGCAGCGCTGTATCAAAAATAGAAACTTCGATGCTATTAATATCAATCACGTTGATGTTTGTAGATGAGATGACACTGAAGATATAAGCGAAGTCCTCGTTCATGTATGGCTAGTACCAATATGGAACTGTGATTATTCAGCAACACTTCATCTGACCCGCTTTGTTCACTTCTTGCTTCTCTCCAATCATTCTTCTTTTCTGGAGGCACCATCACTTCGTACAGCTTACGCACCCCCGTTTTACAATCTTGTTGAAATGCAGTGAAACGATGTAAGATCACGATCTATCTCATTGTCCATGCAAGTCCGCTCCTGTCAATAATTGATTCTATTAAAACCGCCGATAACCTGCATCTCTTGGCCTTCAATCATCAATCAGGACATCATGGCACCACAGGAAAGGGGATGGGTCAACTTATTCGTCGACCGCTTCGTTGGATGGTGGTCCGGTCTACCCGGAGAGTCGTGCAGCTATACTGTAGAGAAACTGCGCATTCCAGTGGGACATGTCCATCTAGCCGCCAATCTGTACCACCCCACAATACCCAAGCCATATGGTACTATTCTTGTCCGTACATCTTGTGGTATTGGGCCCTTGATGGCTCTAGGCCATGCGCGGATGTTTGCATCTCGAGGATATCAAGTCCTACTCGCCGCCTGTCGAGGGACAGATCCGTCTGACGGCCAAGAAGTCAGTATGGGGGTCCATGAAGCGTCTGACGGACTCGCCACTGTCTCATGGATGCGGGAGCAATCTTGGTACACGGGCTCGTTCGGTACGTATGGAGGATCTTACCTTGGATATACCCAATGGGCTATTCTTTCAAATCCGCCAAAATGACATGAAGGTCGCCGTGATCAGCAGTGGGCCCCATGACTTTGGCAGGTTCATCTGGGGAACTGGAGCGATGGAAAGTCATGCTGTGGCTTGGACCGACTTGATGACAAGTTCAAAACGAGGCATTATCCCTGGGCCAGCATATATCAAGAAGCAGCCCGAGATTCTCCGTCCTGTCTATGATAGTGTTCCCTTGTCGGAAGGTCTTGATAAACATTTTCAACATGATACTCCAAACTTCCTTCGATTGTTCAATACACACCCCGATCCATCGGACCCGGTTTATAAGGACTTGAGTCAACATACTGCACTCCAGCGTGCGAAGATCCCCATCCTACAATTTACTGGATGGAAGGATATCGGCCTACCCAGTGTCACGGAGCAGTACAAAGCATTATCCGAGCGTGGTGTTTCGACATTCATGACTATGGGGAACTGGTCTCATCTTGGCGCACAAAGAGGAACCACAATTGCAGAAGGTTTCAAATTCATCGAAAAGTACCTTGCCAATCGTGGAGAAGGGTTCAGAACCTCACCAGTACGGGCGTTTTTCACAGGATCAGAAGAGTGGAGGGATCTTCCAGCCTGGCCACCTAGTCCAACTTCGACTGATGAGCTTTACTTTGGCCCTGGAGGAATTCTATCTCGGGACTTACCTTCCGAATCTACTCAAGATTCGACGTTCAGATTTGACCCGAAAGAGCCAATCGCAAACATTGGTTTGCCACGTCCATTCGACGACATGATCCCGGCCAACTACGAAGACACTTCCCTAGCTGAACGTTCCGATGTCGTCGTTTTTACCTCCACGCCACTGGACTCTGACCTCGAGGTCTGCGGCGAGCCGACTGTCGAACTACACCATTCCAGTGACTATCCGCATGTGGATCTCCTGATCCGACTAAGCGAGGTTGACAACAATGGTAGATCCAATCGGATCAGCGACGTATACAAGCGTCTAGACCCAGCACGAGAGAGTGGTCCGTTGACGTTCAAGCTTAGCGCCTGCGCGCATAAGTTTCGTCGGGGCAAGAGGATCCGTGTAATAATAGCAGGAGGAGCGCATCCTGCTTATATCCGTAACTTGGGTACGGGAGAAAATCCTGGGCTGGGAACATCGATGCAGGCAGTGTTGCACACGATCCATCATTCCGCTAATGCTGCATCGAGCTTGAAACTACCTATACTCTCTGCGTAGTAGCTGTGTGTTACTATTGCTACATATTTGGAATCTAACGAAGCACGGCTATCATAGCCCTTTTCAAAGCGGCTCGAACCTTGGATGTCGCTGGTTTTGGTACATGGTGAAAAAGAGGAAAGATCTCCAAATTCGGGACAACAAGGAAAGTTAGCCGCAATCGGAAGAGTTGTAGTTGCCAAGAAATCACTTTTACTTTTGGTCTGAGATTGGTCATAATGCCTGTGAAGGCTGTAAGGATCTGTTGTATTTTCCCCAGCAATGTATCTAGGTATACTGGCCTTGGATGTTTGGCCCCCAACGTGAACACGTGCTAGGCAGCCACACACATTGAAGATCTCGACCGCCGATCGCATTCGCCGCGCACCTCAACACATCACGATAAGGGCATCAAGAAGCTTGCAATGAACACTCAACTACTTCTACAATTCCTATCTCTCTGTTTCGTCACCTCTGTCGTTGGCGCTCAAAGCGCTAGCAACGATACGTCAACAACGACTTCCGATGAAGCACAGCCTAACGTAGGCTGGGTCGCTGGTCCAAAGCAACGCGGCACCCTGATTCTCGTCTACGGATGTCTCAGCACGATATTCGCAAGTACCTGGACAGTCTTGCATCTCAATGTTCCCGGCCCGGAGGACACTCCGTGGTTGAAAGCCCTACGGAAAGCCAAATGGATGGCCATTACTGTCTTGTTTCCCGAATTCATCTTTTCGAAAGCTGTTTGTGAGCTTCGACTTGCGGTTGCCGACTTGTATGCCATGCACGTTGCAATGAGCAAAGCCCAACTCAAGTGGACAGACACCGTGCCATATCTCCACGATCCTCGTGTTGGTTTGAAGATGGACTGGACCTGGGAGGCCAAGTTTGGCCGTAGTATGAGAGTTCTGCATAGTCTATTAGGATTAGGACAACTACCCAGAACAAGTGAGGATTTTGTTGAGGAGCCACAACCCGCCCATACCAATGAGAGCAGCTCTGGTCAATCTGTAGGACAGGCGAGGGATGCAGCACAGGATGTTGAGGTCACAGATACCGCCGAGGCCGAAGTTGCGATTCCAAGAGGAAAGGATAACGATCCAGCAGACCCTACAACTTTACCTCAGCACGAAGAAAAGTCAACGGCATTCTCAGCTTGTGTGAACGGCAAGCATCTATCAAGTCGGCGGACGTCTATGTCGCACTCGATTCAAAACGCTAGATCAGGGGCGATAGAATGGTCGCAGAAACGGGAGTGGACTTTGCTTCACTCGTATTATGCCAACATGGGAGGCCTGCTATACACGACAAGAGCTCTGTGTAACAGGCAGGATATTCCCCCGTGCACGGCATCTTCGCTCGCTTCTGCTCTCGAACACAGGAGCGGTGTGGAGTTGCTCAAGGAGTTTAATTTACGCAAAGAAGACATTGAAGACAAAAGCAAAGCGGATTGGCTTCTGAAAGCTATTGCCATGTCGCAGATTTCATGGCTGATCTTGAACGTGTGGGCCCGCCACGTCGCCCAATTTCCCATAACTCAGCTCGAGATTGCCAGCGTCGCCTTCTCTTTAATTGCAATTGCAACATATGCTGCCAATTGGTGGAAACCGAAGGATATCACCAGCTCTACTGCTCTTACTACAACAGTAGAGCCAGGTCTTTGGTATCAAAAACCACCACGTATCTTTATATCCTTTATCGATCGCCTCCTGGCCCCCGCAGCGTCTGAATATGTACCAGATTATTCGAGAATTAGACGAATCTCGAATGATCGAGTCTGGATGGAGGGACAGCCTCCGCTGATTCTCTTTCTAACGGCAGTATCCTCGCTGATGTTTGGCGGGTTCCACTGCTTGGCATGGAACTTCGAGTTCCCCTCAAAATCCGAGCTGGTGCTATGGAGGGTTGCCAGTATAGCGTCCACCACTCTTCCCAGTGTGTCTCTGGGGATCAGCCTGGTCTCACACTACTTGTCAACGGCTTTTGCCGACAGAAGGCACGTGGTGTCTGTCATTAACAGCCTAGCACCTCTCAATCATTTTCCGCCTGCTTGGTGGGGTTTGCTGGAGCGACGGCCCTCGTGTCTAGACTGGCAGTGGGAACCATGGTTTGCCTTCCGCTCCATGCTTTCTCAGTATCCCTCTGATACGCCCAACTGGGATGTAACTCTTCCTGTAGTCGAGACAGAGCCTGAAAATGAGTGGATCGCCCAGGAGGATCTAGACGCATTTGCGGTTTATTCAGGCGTCTTCCGAAGGCTCGCAGAAGACTGGATTCAAATTAAAGAAGACACTGGCAACAACAATATTGATTCTGCTCGAAGACTTCTGAGCCATTGTGATACAGTTCAAAACGATTTGTTCTACGATACTCGCGAGCAAGGTAAGGAATACTAGAGACGATATTAGAGGTATCTCAGGACACGGATCGAAGGCAGCGGATATGCGCTTCCGCCGTTCTGCATTTGCGACTTCATTGTTAGCCTGAAGGAAGACTTCAGAGACCTGGAAAAGAGGAGGTACAACTTCGTGGAGAACTGCGATTGGTGTTCCGAATTTTCTACAATCACCCTCGGCATACTCTACGCAATCTCTCGAGTAGCTATCCTGGTTCTTTTGTTCACCTCCTTACGATCGACCCCAAAAGGCGTCTATGATGACACACCGTGGACTCGGTTCCTGCCGAATATCTCTTGATTGGCTGATGTGGGACTTTCTTTCATCGTTTCTGCTGTTCAGATCACTTGTGTTAAGCAGGGCAAAGAAACAGCAGAGTAAAGAGCGACCACACTGCACCTTGTGTTGAATGGAGGTTTTTTCTCTTCAAGTTTTCAGGCTGAGAGTTTGGTGAAGGCAGCTTCGAGTGAAGCTCTTCAACCCTAGAAATCGGATTACAAACCCCTGCTAATGTAGAAGACATCTCGTTTATAATGCCATTCCCTCGGCTAGGAGTGTATTCCTACTTGATTCATGAGAGGAGATAGAGAGAGAGAGAGGAAATGCATTGTTGCGAGATAATTAGTACGCAATAAAGGTGTAAGGTGACTTGTTACACATCTTCAAACTATTTGAACCCGATTTAACATAAGATTATTTACAATTGTAGTCAACAGCGATTCGAAACGTATAAGAACACCTAGATGATCTCCTCATTCAATAAATACCGTGATAATAGAATGTCTAAGTGTTTGGCCCCCAAGGTGCTCACGTGCTGGCCCCAGCCACCTCCCAGATCTGTCTTAGCGCTGATATTGAAAATTGCCCATCCCCGACGCCTCAGCTCCATTAATCTATCTCTCCAGAGTCGCGTCACCCTCATCCTTCCAACCTTATTCTCTTACATTTACGTAGCAAAGAGCAAAGCGATCAGGACGTCCGAGGCGTATCGCCTCCTTGCCGAGGACTGAGCATGCTTGCTTTTGCTCGCTGAAACAGCGATCAAAGAGAAGGAATTGTTGGATCACGTGGATGCGGCTCAGCAACCCTTTCCCCGGATTCCAGAATTCGCAATCTGAGACCTGGATAAGCAACCTCGAATAAGATCTACACCAACATTGAGGGCCGTTCCGTGGCGATGGCCGCAATCAACGGGATGAGTGGGTCTGGGCCCTCGAAAGCTGGAGGAAATCAAACCCTGGCTAGTCATTCGAGGGAAGACAGTCAAAGTAACACCATCACAGCGGATCTTCCTGGGATATTGAGAGATCCTATTACAACTAGTGCGAGGAAAATGAACACGGATATTCCGAATATCTTACCCCATGAGAGAGTCTTTCCCATTCAGATTGGAAGTGAACTGTTTCGATTAAGTGGAGCTAGTATAAGTTCTGATGGTATGTATCTCCCTCCTTTCATTTCGCATTTCAGAAAGCCTAAGAGCTTTGGCGCTGGATGTGCGGGCGCTGGATGTGCGGGCGCTGGATGTGCGGCGGCTGGAAATGAGAAAAAGGAACAAAAAGCTGAGAATCCTAGAGCACCTTCATATTTTTCACAATTTTTTCAATGCCAATTGAAACAAGCGGAGGAAAATGGAGACGACTCGAACTCAATACGCACGTTATATATCGATCGAGATCCGGTGACATTCAAGGATATTTCGCTACATTTACAGGGATATCATGTTGCACCGAGAGATGGAAGCCATTTCGTCAAGCTATTTGCTGATGCACAATTCTATAGCTGTAAGTATCCTGTCTTACCCTTCATTGATCAATTATTAATGAAGTCAATGAAATAGTACCAAGATTAATATTCCAACTCTACGAAGAAAGTATCTTCATCTCAATCGGCCATCGAGATTTCCAAATCCCCAGAGAACTATTTTCAGACCCAGGAAACTCGCCCAACTATTTCTCCTTGGGCTTCGCTGTCTTCTTCAGCACACCCACCGAAGTCTTCCCGGGCCTGAGCAGAGAAGGACTCCTCCGCCCACCCTCAATCATGCCTCCATCAGTACCTAATCGCTCAGCCGACACATTTGCTGAGCTCCTCCACCTCCTACGTGGCTATCCCCTACACATCAAATCCGAAGACCACCGCGCAGAACTTCTTCGCGATTGTCGCTATTTCCATCTCAAGGGCCTAGAACAGAAACTTATCCGCCATTCTATAACTTTCAATCTTGCTCGAAAACGGTCAGAAATTGCTCTCAGGCTTGAAGATGTCCGCCAATCCGGCATCTCAGTAGTCACTTTCCCATCAGATTCCGACTCCACTTCCCCACCTCCGGATCCGGGACCAGCTACTCCTGTATACAACGCTTCACATTTCTCCCTCGCGTACGTAAACTACGCGCGACCATTCGTCGACGAACAATCCTACGAACTGGTCCTTGAAATTGGAGACGAGTGCACACGTCTCCATTTGTCATCCATGCGCTGCGAGTTCTTCGGAGACGGCAAAGCGAGGATATCCAAATTATTCGATGTCATTGCTACGAAGCTCAATCTACCTAACATTCTGCCATTAGGATTACTGATGAAGAAGGGAGGAGCGAGTTCTCAGCCTCCTAGTCCGGGGAATACACCTATTAGCGAGGACTGGGTGAGATGTGTGGTGGGTGAAGAGGCTTATGTGAGGTTAGATGGCAAAGAGTGGAGAGGTCATGGAAATCTTCCTGAAAGAGGGGATGGAGACAGTGGAGGTAGTAATGCCAGCTCGGTGATAGGAGTCGATGAATCATTTGGTGAGCCGTCCAGGAAGAGGAGGAGAGGACTTGATGGTGGTGTAGCTGTTGGAGGCGGAGATGAAAGGCAATCTTGGGTGATCAAGACGGGGCAATGGAGGTTGAGGATACAAAACTCGAGAAATGGGCATCGGGGAGTGGAATGTTTGCTTGTTGCAGTCAAGTTGGATGCTGTTAGTGGGGAGTTTGGGAGGAATGCGCAGAGAGGGTTCCTTGGTGGTTGAGGTTTTGGAGTTACATGAAGCGATGTATTTTTTCATGTATGTGTGAGGCATTCTGTGTCATTGTATCAGATAGTGTCTTGTTCTCATGTAACTTTCGTTGATAGAATCGACTGAAATGACTGGAAAGGTATCGCGAGACCCGTTCTTATCAGATTCACCGACTTCTCCTTCCATGACATCAAAGTAATCCATTCGCAAATATCTTAGAGAAGTAGTTTGGCCCACTTGCAGCCCAACAATGACAAAATTGGCACCATGCTGGCCACAATTCCTTTCGAAGCAGCAGAAGCTCCGGCTTACTAAGCCCCCACTATGGCCCATGGACCCCGCACTTCACTCATCTGACTTCACCAACACTCTCAAAACTCATAATGTTGGTTTTGAGTTGATTTTCGGAAGTCAGATCAATAACTGCAAAATTTGTTGGTCAGCACAGCGGACAATCTCATCAAGACCACCAGATAAATTGATTTGCGCTTTGATTCGCTGGATTGCTAACATCAATATACACACGAGGAATATTAGAGTGTGTCTTGGATACCATCTGATACAGCCCAATCAATCTATATAGCGGTCACAGAGAATCAGGTGTTATGACCTAAGGGGTGGCGGGCTAATGTATGCCAATCAAACCTTATCTCTGCCTCTTTAATTCCTAAGTAGATAACCTGGTGACATTTTCACCTAGATATATAAGCCTCAAACCCTTCAAAACTCACCATGACGTCCACCACGACCAGTCTCCCAATAATCGACCTCTCGCCCTTCCTCTCCTCATCCTCAACTCCAGAATCCCGCCTCAAAACAGCAAAAGAGCTCGTTCAAGCATGTCATTCTACGGGATTCGTCTACATCACCAACTACGGTATCTCTCAGGCTCTCCTCGATGAAGCATTCTCTTGGAGTAAGAAGTTTTATTCGCTGTCCGATGAAGAGAAGAGCTATGCAGCCCATCCTCCAGACTCAAAGCTGTTCAGAGGTTGGTCGAAAGTTGGTCATGAGATGATACCTCCACTGGAAGGGGAGAAAAAGGAAGGTGTTATGGATTTTACTGTACGTCAAAATTTGTCAAGGGAAGCCGAAACGTGGCTAACAAATAGATTAGGAAAGCTATGGCATGGGCACGACTCCAATGCCGCGCAACCCAATATTTGGTTCCCAGAATCCATTCTCCCAGGCTATCGAGATTTCGTCGCTACCTTTTATGACCAGTGCTGGAGCACGTCCGTCCCCATTCTCCGCGCCTTGTCTCTAGGTCTGCTCAACGACGAAGAGTACCTTCTGGATTTCCATTCGAACCTAGAAAATGAGTTGAGCTTTCGTCATTATCCATCGATAAGTGAGAGTAAAGTAAGAAGTGGAGAATTAGACAGGCTTGGGGCACATACCGATTTTGATTCTTTCACACTGTTGTGGCAGGACGAGAATGCGGGGCTAGAAGTTAAGGTTAGTGGGGAAGGGTGGAAGAGCGTGCAGGCAGTGAAAGGAGCGCTGCTCATGAATATCGGGGATATTTTGAGTAGGTGGAGTAATGGTATGTCTTCTTGCATCTTCCAGTGTCCAATCCATGACTACGTGCTGATGCCATGAAGATTATCTGATTTCAACACTCCACCGCGTTCATCTTCCTCCAGTCGATGACAACTACATGGGCGATGAGAATGTGCGGATGACGAAGCCTAGATACTCCATTCCATATTTCGTGGTTCCCAAGTCTGATAAGGTTTTGGAACCTCTAGAGGGCTATTTTGGTGAGGGAAAGGATAAGAAGTACGAGCCAACGACTTACTCGGAGCTGTATCACAATAGGGTAGATGGTATATTTCGGCAAGATGCCAAGGCAAGATGATGTTTCGATATCTCAGGAGATGCAAGAATTATAATTGAAGTTAGTATCGCTCATACCTTCTCCAGCATTTCAACCCCGACATGAATTGCATAGCACACCAATTCAAGCCCAAACCTCATTCAAATGTTTCACAGCCCCCGCATACGCTTCATCTCTCTTCACATCCCCCCTTCCAAACGTCGCCTTCTTATCCCACGCATGTCCCACCCCCTCAACCACACCTCCATCAACCCTCTTCCCCAACCCCACCAACCTCTCCCTGAACTTCTCACTCTCCGCTAACAACTGATCACCGCCACAATTAACCATCATCAACCTCTCCGGAAACGCATTCCTCAACACCTCATCACTCGCCAATCCAGGACTCAGCAATGGATCCCTCATATCAGCTGGCATCGGGTACAGATACGCTTCGTCGAAGACTTTGAATAGAGAAGGGGGAATGGTAGGGATTAAGTTCGGGTTCGAGGCATCTCTTTCTTGCCGGGTTTGCGTCCAATCTACACTCCCATAGAATATTACTAGACTCACAATCTTGCCCTCACCCACTAGTTTTCCTTCTTTTCTCAATTGTTCCAGTTCTTGTTGCAGCCGTATAGCAACGGCATAAGCTAGATTCCCACCCCCGCTGAACCCAGAAAGAGCTGTGCGCGAGATGTCGAGATTGTATTCGTCAGCGTGTCTCCAGAGCCAGAGGATGGCGGAGACGCCGTCTTCGATGGCGGTAGGGAAGGGATAGGAGGGTGCGAAGCGGTAGTTGACGCTCACTACCACGGCGGAAGTTTGGGTTGTGATGGAGGTTGCGAAGCGGGGGTCGTCGCGGGCGTGTCCGATTGTGAAGCCGCCGCCGTGGAAGTTGATTAGGAGAGGGTGTTTCTTGGTTGAAGACGTGGAAAAGATGGGTGGACTTGCTTTGGTGGTTGAGGGGAGAGTGTAAGATGGAGGGGTGAAGAAGAGGAGGTCAAAGGAGCCTGGGTTGGAGCTGATGGTTGAATTGATTCTACGAGTGAAAGATGCTCGTTGAGGAATGGGCTGTGAAAGGTAAAGATCGTAGAAAGTAAATATTGACTGTAGTGCACGAAAGAAAATTGCTTTGATATGAAGTGCAAGTCGAGACATTGTGCCAAGAACTGAGATGTAGCGGAAACCAATTAAAGTCGCAAAGAGACGCAATGGGGCTCCGAATATAAGATGGCATTGGGTATACACAGTAGATTAATGGAAAAACTGTTTTTCATTTTTTATAGAGGAAGTCCTGTAGTGCCGGAGACATTTCGCCTACGCGGAGTGATTTCTGACCGTCGATTATCAATGTTAAACGATACCGAAACTCTGAACAATGCCTGGAAATTGTTTCATGGAACGTGAAAATAGGGACCAAGAGACATCCTAGGCCTGGGATGGTCTTGAGCATCCTACTCGCGCCTGTAAAGACGATTTCCTTCACTGACGCTCCTCTTTCGAAACCCGAGATATATGGACTCACGTGACTTAGTCGCCTCCCCTTTTCTCGCTGGCTTTCATACCAGCTTCAGCGTCGAGGGCTTTCAGTGCATTCTCGTAGGATAGTTTCGATCAGTTCGGCTTCGATCGAACAGCTCCGTCCGAGCCGTATCGCTCTGAGTCGCAAGCAACATCAAACTCCTGCTATACTCCCAAATCTCTTCTTCCGAACTCTCTCACTCAGCAACTAAACCCCACCGTATCCACCACATTCTCACACTCATACATGCCCACCACCTCATCATCCTCATCTCTCAAATCCACCCCTTTGATCTCAATTCCCTCACCAGGGCTTGCAGCACTACACTGCAAATCAGCCACATAATCCGTCCCCACCAACCCCGTAGCATTCTCGAACCGTACATCCCTAACATTAAACAACGAGCTATTACAATCCCCCGCTACACCAGAGAACGTCGTGCATTGCGTGATATAGAACACTCCTTTCTTCGTCGAATTCCGCATGTGGAAATTCGTAAAAGTTACATTCCGCGCATCTATTTCAGTTAGTATATACTTCTGAAAACGAGAAGGAGAAGGAAAGCAGGACTTACACCCCAACCCCCCACCCCCTCCATTAGGCGGATACCCAGCCTGCTCCCCAGTCCACGTCTTCACGTACGCCGCGTATGCGGTATCGACACACGTCACATTACCCACGTACACATTCTCTATTAATTCGAAAACATCTTTATACTGCCCTATACTCCCAATCGCCACGCCGAGTCCTTTATAAAACACAGAGTCTTTGATGGAAATATCAGTGCTGTTAGCTTTGAGGGAAATACTATCATCGCCGTTGGCGACCGTCCAGCGCGAAAAGGTGATGTGGGAGCTGAACATCGTGTCTGCGCCGTCGGTGTTGCGGGCTGGGGAGTGGGTGTGGGAGGTGCTGTTTACGTAGATATCTTCTAGGAGCACGTGCTGAGAATGGATGATAGTCATTGTCCTATTTCCCCTTAGCATCCCCATACATCTGAGGAAGAAGAGAGCTCTCACCACATCTGGCTCTGTACGAATCTCAACCCTGACAACACGGAGTCGGTGGTGTTCCATATCGTGAGCGCGTGCGGTCGGCCTGGGTAGTTGGATACGCCGTTTACGAAATCGTACCAGGTTTGCCCGTTGCCGTCGAGGGTGCCGTGGCCGTGGCCGCGGAAGGTGAGGTTGGTGCCGCCGAGAAACCAGGCGGAGGATTGGTTCTGATAGCCTAAGGGGAGGGAGTTGGCGAGCCAGTAGGTGATGTTTGTACCCCACTAGATAGGTGGGTTAGTTACAGCAGGATGGAGGTTTTGAGTAAGTCTTACTAGCATGGTCCCGTATAAATCGATCTGGCAATCTTTCAGGCCGATTGTGTTCATGACGGTGTTGATGTGGTAAGTTTTGTTTGGGAAGATGATGTTTCCTCCTTGTCCACATTGTTTGAATGCATCGAGAATGACTGGGGTGTCGTCCGTGCTGTTAGGCTGGGGTCTGGCGATGCATGTTGCTCGAGGGTTGTCTCTTGAAGACTTGGTGGGTTGCTCGACGTGGGGACGAGGTCGTGAGTCTGCCAAAACAAGGGGAGTGAAAACCAAAAACAGAACAAGCAGGATCGAAAATGAATTAGACAACTTTGAAATGATAAACATCATGGTACCTCCCGAACTATACTTTAGTAGTGCTGAAGAATAGATGGGAACTACTCATCATATATGTCCAACACCAATGCATTTTTCGCACCATCATCCTCGCTCTCAAACACGAGCAAGGACGAACATCCACCAACCGGCTCCACAGATGGCACCCAGTTCTCTCCAAAGTATCACTATGGACTGGAAAAGACAAGTTTTAATCAATGAGGCTCGGTATTCAATACCCCGAAGCTTTCCAGGACAAGAGATCCTCCCCGTGGAGATCCCCGCACTTCCCCGGAAAAACTTTATCCAGATTGAATGTAGCCTAGGATCTAGCATGACATGCTGCAATTCATCCAAACCATTTCTAGAATGGCGCTGAACTTGGAGAGTGGTATTGAAGGGGTACTTTCTCCATTCGCAATGCAAAACAGCAAAATTTGTGTACTAATGACCGTCGAATGTCGCTTCTAATATCGTGTATGTGCCCCTCTTGTATAAGTTTCTATTCTCTATCATCATTCTCATTTATCGTTCTCCAGACATCCATCGAAACGAATCATAACGCATTTCATTCCCAGCTCGACATTGCATCCACGGAATGAAGCGACTTGCTCCAATCAAGGCCTAACTAAGCCTTCTTGACAAGAACACCCTGAATTCTAGGCAAACAACTAAACGCATCCTCAGGCTCCTCAATCTCATCGGGATTCTCCCACTCGCCACCATTTAGAATATCCCCCAATACATTCCTAGTCATGTGACACCCGATGAACGTGGACCAGGCCGGATCCAATACCGCTTTCGTCACGTTAGCCCATCTGCACCCCTTCACTAGGGACATTCGCTGATGAAAGAAAGACATACCTTGCTCCACAATCGTCAAATGGTTTCGACTCCATCCGTGCTCCCAGAATATGAATTTACCACCTGGTTTCAGCAATTTCCACACCTCCTTCATCACGGTCTTGGGATCCTTCACCGCGCACAGGACTTGGATGCACAAGATGGTGTCCAAACTGCCTTCCGTGATCCCCTCCCTTCGCAGAACATCGCTATCTTCAATGCCAGCAACAACAAGCTTATACTTATCCTGCCGGCCATGCTTCTCCAACTTGGCATCAATGTCGGCTTTGAAGTTAGCATTGGGTTCAATCCCATAGACCTGCTTGACGACAGAATAATTGAAACGATGGATCTGGTTGCCTGGCCCGGGACCCAGCTCGAGGACGACGCCAGTAGCGGCTTCCACAAGCGAGGGAACGATGGTCGTGTCCTCAAATGCGATGAAACCGCTAGCTACGCACAATGGTCAGCTTGTAGAACGTTGGGGAAGATATGGCGGAGCGCTTACAGGTCACGCTGAGCAACTTTGCGGAAGCGACATCTCGAACCTGTCGGAGGTGCAGGAATGCTGCGAGACCGTCTCGGTGAAATGCTGCTACGAAAGCTTGCCAGTGCACTGGAGGGGAGGGAGCATTATTAGAGTTGTGGCAGCGATGAGTGACAGGAACGTACGGGTAATGGAGAACCAGATCAGGCCGCATGGGCGAGTGAAGGCAGCAAGGCGACCTGTTTGGGGAGCCATGATAATCTATATAAGATGATTGTGGATGATCTCGAACGTTGAAATCAGGACAAAAAAGTGGGAGTGGGTGCGCGATATCGCCGTCGGAGAGGGATATCAGATTTGTGTTGGGGAGAAAACGAAAAACAGAAAATTCGGCTCGGCAAGATGGCTCCAGAGGACACCCTGATTTATATAGATTTCTCAGCACTGTGCCTCTAGCGTGGTTCGAAATACACTAAACCTAACTGGAGATCTCACACACACAAGTCGAAACTAGTCGGCCCCTCCCTCGGTCACATCTTTGGGGGATTTTGATACGAGTCCCTGCCCTTCCCTAATCAGGAAGTTGTTGTGCTGACCTGGTTGGATTGATCGGGTCTGCGTCTTAATATACAGATAGAAGATGCGGGTAGTGGATACAGGTCTGCGGGAAGATATCAAAATGAAAGAATCGAACGCAATGGCAACTTGAGAGGACGATGAAGATATTCCAACCCGCTTGGCATTTCGTATATACTTTGTAGCGACATGCGCGCATGCTGGGAGCACTGTGTACCCTGTGCTGGGACACTGAAGGATGATGGGGTGGATATATGACACTCGCCCCACCTTTCCAAATATGAGCGTGGGGTTTGATCCACAAAGCAGCGCACCTCCAAGAAGAAATCAAAGTACATGCATAACAGTGATAAAGAATACAGAATTGATATTGCTCGCCAGTCTTGCGCAGATCAGCTCTGTCGAAGTCTGTCGTGCTGTTGTCCTCGAAGCATCATCTCAAGTACCTGAAATGAATGAGCTGCATATCGGTCTTGTTCGAGATATCCTCTTCCAATTCCTCAGTCTCAGAAATCTGGGTCGCTGGACCATACTTTTTGTCTCGGCGGCGATTCTCGTAGATGTAATAGAACCAGAGGCAGAACAAGAAAAACACCCCTAGCGCGAACCCGCACAGGAGAGCTTTGATACCGGTCTGGCAAAGGTTAGCAGATCCAGACAATGGGAAGCAGGATACTCACTGGGTATCTGGGCGCCTCTCGAGTAAAGAAGAACTGTGGTCCAATGATATTGCCTACACAGTAGGCCACGAAGAACATCGCATTGGCGGTAGCCTTCTTCGTGAATCCTCCACAATTCGATGCAACCAGACTCAAAGATATGGGAATATCAGCCGCGAAGATAGCTGTCAGCCAAATACCTCCCAGTCGAGCCCAGGGATGCTCGTCACTGATCGTGTATACCATGATCGCGCCTATGAGCGAGAGACTGACGAGGATTATCATGCATGGCAGGCGACTATTCTTGACGTAGGTTGTGGTGATAGCAATGAATGCGAGGCCACTGAGTTGGAAACCACCTCCTGGCATCTGAACAAGGAGAGTGGTGAGAGGAGCGAAGCCGAAACCGTTTACGATGATGCTGTTGAACTGCAATTGTGAGCCACGGTTTTTGACATCGCAAATAAACATACCGAAGTTAAGCCGCCATTCGGAATGTTGACGCAAAATTGATACAGAGCAAGAAACCATGCTTGGGGGTCTCTCAATGCCTCCCACATCTGCTCAATCTTGAACGTATCTTCGTCCATGACTCCAGTCTTGTTTTCAAGAGTCCGATGAAGCGCAATGATCCTCTCTTCGGGCTTCAAGAATCTCGCTTTGGAGGGCGAGTCTGGGAGTAAGAACAATAGCAAGAGGCCCCAGCAGAACGTGACGGTGCCAAGAACTAGGAAAAGTAGGCGCCATGGTTGAAGACTGGTATGAGCCTTCCCGATACCGTAGGCAATAACTCCTGAGACTGTATTTGCGACACCATTTCCAATGAACCAGATTGCCATCCTATTGAGCTTGTGAGCATATGCAAATGATGACAGATGGTTTGCATGACAAACCTAGAAGGCTGTTCCTTTCTTTTGTAGAACATGCCAGTCAGAAGAGCGAACCCAGGAGCAACGGCAGATTCCGTCACCCCAAGAAAGAATCTCGCGATCATCAGTCCCGTGAAACTTTTCGTAGCACCATGACACATGAGAACCAATCCCCACAGCATCACAGACACAGCTAAGTATCTGCCAAGAGGGAATCGAACAGCGAGGTAAGAACTTGGCCAGCTCCATCCTAGGTAGCCGAAGTAGAAAATTGAAGATGTCCAACTATATTCTGTGCCGACCAGTTTCTATTGGAATCAGCCTAGCGCATTGAAGTGGAATATTTGAACCGACCAGATCTTTCATCAGTCCAAGTTGAGTGGAGTATCCTAGAGAGACTTTGTCGGTATATTGAAGCATGTAGCAAAATCCCATCAACGGAAGTATGCTTCCACCTTATCAGTGCCAAAACAACAGCTCATTGATATCGATGAACATACAACAAATCTATCTTTCTGAGCACTCGTGCTTCTTCCTCCGGGGTAGCATGGACATGGATAATATCTCCCACTTGGATCACTGAGTGCACCCCATTGTCGCTTTCACCCGCAGGCGGCGTATGAATTGAGCTCTTTTCGTGCTTTTCGTCCGCCATATTGCATCAAAGCTAAATCTCAAAAACAGTGAAGTGATGGACAAGCAAACAAATACCGCAGCGAATATAAAGCTCGATGAAAAACGATGTCGAAGAACTCGAGGAATATAAAGGCTTGAAGATGGAACTGATATCATGATAAGAATCCCGGTCAACGATCGGGTATCGGCCAACTTCTCCTTGAACAGAACATCAATTACATATGTGCCTGCATCCTCTTATCTCCAAATACAACCCCAGAGAACTTCTAGAGTCCCCAGAAACGGTGACTACACCTCTGTAATTGGTGCGCCCAACTTTGAGTCTGCACGTACCCCATTTTTGGACCCAGGGGCGCATATCTCTTTCCTTTTCCAGTTTATGGTGATGGAATGCTTGATCTCCCACGCGAGAGAACAGAAGACAACGGAGAAACGGCGCACACAGTTGACATCGTTGTGTTGTGAAGAGACTACTAAGGGATGTCGATGCGTACCTAATCCCGGGCACTTCCGAGCCGCTTTGTGTTCACGTGATGTTTTCACCACGTGGGAAAAATACAAATGTCTAAGAGTTAAGAGGTCACTGCTCCAGTATACATATATTTATAACAATTCTTCTGTGAGAGGATTTGGACGGAATCGCGATCATCTAATCGATAAAGTGGCACGTGATGAAGACCAAGGGTCAAGATGGGAAGTTGAGGAAGAACCCCAGTCCTCTTGGATTCAGCGTTTTTGTAAGTCTTCGAACCGAGACACCCAAAGTTTGGGGCCTTTTCAGGAGATTTACCTTCATCAAGTACCTGGATGTGTCAAGAAGCCCTCCTACGGCGTATCCAAGATTTCCAAGGCTTGTACGCTTGAAAAGAAACTTTGAAAATGCTTCCACAAAACAAAGAGCCACAGCGGTTTCTTGGTCGATATTTAGCCTTTGAAAAATAAAAGCAGGTTGCCTTCCATCTTTCAACCTTTTCAAGACTTGACGTTCTCATAAAGTGGCCTTGCTAGCCCCGAATCGTATTCATAGCCGAGTTCACTCCCGCACTAACCCCGATTCGTATATAAAACCATACAATGGCTTGGAAACGATATTGCTCTCTTTAGGAATACGACAATAATGAAACGGCGTGGAGATAAACTGGACTTCGAAGTGTATAACCGAGCTTGTTGCTTCATGGCTCGGAGATAAGTGGACCGTAAAACCGGGCTTAGTATGTTATAAAAAAGGATTCGAGTCAAGAAGTCTTCATTCCTACCATAGACGAACGAACAACAGCCGCACAGCCCAAAAGATTATCTGAAAAGTTCAGCTTTCAAACCCCCACAACCAAAAATGCCCCCTCAAAACCGCGCCGCCTGGCTCATGAACAAACAAGACCCCGTCTTCATCGTGAAAGAGGCCCCCTACACCGCACCTGAACCCAACGAAATCGTAATCAAAACCGCAGCGGTAGCAATCAACCCCGCCGACATCATCTGCCAAAAACTCGGCATCATCATCCCCCACTACCCCGCTAGTACCCAGCCCCTTTCTTTCTTTCTTTCCTTCCTCTCCTCGCTTCCCTCCCTTCCCACCTGCCTCCCTCCCTAACACTTTTCAAACCTCACCCCGCTCCCAAAAATTCAACTCTACTTCCCTTACCAAAGCAAACAATCAATCTCTAATCCCCCCCCCCCCTCCCAGTCCTCGGCTGCGACGCCGCAGGCACAATCATCGCCCTCGGCTCCTCCATCCCCCCTTCTTTCAAAATCGGCGACCGCGTCCTCGGCAACGCCCGTCCCGATAAACCTCTCCTCCCGTCCGGCATATATAAATACTCCGCCTTCCAGCAATACGTCGTCTTGAAACTCCCTCTCATAGCCAAGATCCCGGAGTCCGCGACCTTCGAAGACGCCGTCGTGCTGCCATTAGGCTTGCTCGCTTCCTCGGCATGTCTGTTTCACTCCAGCACCCTGGGGCTCGCGATGCCGCCTCGTGAGCAAGAGAGCGGGAGCGGGAGCGGGAGGGGAGAGGTGCTGCTCGTTTGGGGCGCGAGTAGTAGTGTAGGCTGTTGTGGGGTTCAACTCGCTATCGCGGCCGGGTACGAAGTATTCGGCGTAGCGAGCGCCCGGAATCATCAGATGGTTCGGTCCGTTGGCGCGAGTAAAGTTTTCGACCAAGCAGACAAAGATCTGGTGGAGCAGGTAGTGGATGCGTTAAAGGGAAAACAGTGTGTAGGGGCTTTCGATGCGATTTCGAAGCCGGAGACGCTGGGTCCGTTATGTGATATCTTGGATGGAGCGGGGGGGAGGAAATTGGTTGCTGCGATTGCGCCGGGGGCGGAGGGGCATGCGAAGAAGGGGGTTACTATTAGGACGAATTTTGGGGCGAGGGATTTTGAGGAGACGGTTGGGCCGAAGATCTTTGGGGGGTTTTTGGAAAGGGCTTTGGAGGAGGGGTCGTTTCGGTATTTGCCGGTTGCGGAGGTGGTGGGGCGTGGGTTGGAGGATATTCAGAAAGCTTGTGATATATTGGCTCAGGGTGTGAGTGCTAAGAAGGTGGTTGTGTCTTTGTAGATATAGTAGAAGTAGCTCGAGGACTTGAAAGTGTTGTATCAAGTTCCAAGACTTAAGCGAGACGGGAAGGAATTCAAGGACGGAAGTGAGTCTATATCGGGGAACATTGCATTTCCTGTTCCTATACGCTTTTATTTAGCTGTTGGTATCATTCTGGTAGTCATGTAACTCACTGATGAACATTTGGTCGAAAGAGCAGCAGATTTTCACTTCGAATACTTTACACGTGATTAGCTAAAGAGCCAAGGGGAACGGTGTTCTCCATTTTCTCACAGCCCTCCCCAAGTATCTACCACCACGGGTATATGCCCACTCCGCCCTACGACTTCCCACCCTCAACCTCCCCCTTAACAACAAAATCCTCCCTCCTCGGCCTCTCCCCAAAAATCGTACTCCCCACCCTAACCTCCCCACTCCCACCCCTAACCGCCTCCTCAAAATCCCCACTCATCCCCATACTACACTCCAACCTCCCCTTCCACCCCTCCCCCAATTCCTCCTCCAACCTATCCCTCTCCCTAAGCAACGTCGCAAAATCCTCATTCTCGCCGCCCTCTTGACTCCTCGCAATAGCGCCGATCGTCATCACGCCTAGCAGATTGAGATTTGGGCAAGTATCGATGATGTGTTTAGCGAGTGCAGTGGCTTCGAAGCCGGGTGAGACGCCTGATTTCGATGATTCGTTGGAGGTGTTGATTTGGATGTGGATGTTGAGGGGTGAGTCGGGGGAGGGGGAGAGTTCGGAACGGCCTTTGTCGAGTTGGGTGGCTTTCTTTGGGGAGTCGACTGAGGAGACGAGGAAGAGGTTTGGGAGGGTGGAGGTTAGGGGTTTGCATTTGTCTAAGGAAAGGGGGTGTTAGTACTTTGATGGGAGGCATTGTTGGAAGTGAGAGTGGAAGGAAGATAGGAGAAGGAGAGGTGGTGGGTCTGTCGCTTGACTTTCGGGGGTTTAGGTCACCTTGTGAAACTTAAAGATGTTTGAAATCTAATTCGAGACTTCTGGGATCAGAATGTCCAGCCATGAGTTGGATGTACAGCTCATCTCAGGGAAAGCAAAAGTGAGGTTCGCAACACAAAGATTAACAAGGGATAGATGTACGTGGTGGAATAGATGGACTACATCTAAAAGATACATCCAATGTCGGGAATGAGTTGACTGACATGAAGGTATTCTCATGAATCATTCGTAGGACAGACCCCAACATCGATCGAGATGTGTGAAAAGTAATGGTGGCAAAAACATACTGTTTCCCCTATGAGAATGTCCATGCCAAGATGGAGACTCTGCATCACTTGATGACCTAAGAGTTCGAGAACTGAGAAACAGATATGGATGTCCAATCACTAATCAGAATCACCCCAAGCATTCTCATGTTCCAAACACATCCAACAATATCGGATATGTCGGCCAAGAGAAACGAGATATCCACACCTAAACTCCATGGCAATAGCCCACACCCACCGTAACACCCGCTCCAAACAAAACCCAAACACCAACAACAACCAATCACCAACCCCCCACCAATCCCCGCAACCAATCCACCGGGAAAGCACAAATAAGCACGACGACCCCTATCTCCGATCCCCCAGATCGATCCATCCCAATCCCGAACCATCCGCCCTCTCATGCCGGGACACTTATCACCGTCCCAGCTAGCCGCCACCTCTCTCCTAGGCACGACCTAACTCCGAGATTGTAGATGTGCAACAAATGCATGTGCCAAGAAGGAGATATGATGTGACGTGAGAGTCTGGATCTTCCCATCTGATGGAGTGGAGTAATCGGAAATAGTTGCTAAGCCCACTGGAGCCGCATTTCCCGGGATGACACGTGATGCGCAACCAACAACCCAACCAACAACCCAGCCAACAATGGCAAACAAGCAAATAAAAAACAACAAAGACAGTAGCCAAAGCAGAAACGAAAGAAAGAAACAAGAAGCAAATCACATACTGGACTGCAACCCCCCAATAAAATGCCACCTAATATCCCTTGGCAGCACCGCCGCCTTCTCCAACAGTTCCTGCGCGTAATTCTCCCCGAAATGCCGCTGCCCCTCGTTATACAGCGCCAGGATATCGCTCGCGGGCTTGAGTTTCGAGACCGCTACTAAGCGGACCTGCAGATTTCCTATTAGTAGGTACACAGAAGAGGGTAAAGGTGAGGGTTAGTCAGTCAGGTGACGACGTACGCTCCGTCCTTTTGCGGCGGTTGAGATGCGCTGTTGGATGGATTTGAGGGCTGAGGAGAGGGCGGAGGCGCGGGAGGGGTCGATTTTCATGGTTGGGTCTGAGGGGGTGTTCATGCTTGGCGTGGAGTTTGGTGGTGCGTGAGGGCGGTGATCTTGGATTTGGTAGACGGTGGATGGATGGATGGATGGATGGATGACGAGGTCGAGATCAGGCGTGGCGCGAAGAATTTGATGGGAGCGGAGAGGGGTGAAGGGTGGGGCGGAAATGGATGGGCGGAGTGGAAGAAAGAGCGAGTGAGCTAGCTAATGCCAAGCGAAAAGTCAGATTTTCGTCTTTGACGGTTTTGCAGGACGGGAATAGATTTTCCTTCTGGGCTTTTTCCTGGGATGGGATGGACGAGTTTGCAGTTCGAGACTGGTGTTCTTGGTGAGTTGGCTTGGCGGGATTACGTTTGTTGGAGTTGGGGAAAGATTTTTGTTCAGGGGTGAATTTTGCTTGGGGCGAGGCAGTGTACCGTGTAGTAAGTAAGGGCGGGAGTGGCGACTCAACAACAGCAAAGGGATTTTCATTACATGATGCACAAGAGACAGGTTGAGATCTGGATCATGTTTACATCTCAGACTCATGATCGAGATGACATTGATGTTGATATTCCTCCCGCAATTCTACTGTAATTTCTCCAATAAGTCGGCTCACAGGTATAATATGTCTCAAGCCCCCAACCTGGGCTGAAACGCTGAAACAAGAGGATTGAAATGTGATTGCCTAAGGTGTTCACGCGTCTCCACCTTTTTACTCACCCAATACTCATGATTGGCCCACCTTCCGCCGTCGTCAGTTTCATGCTCGTACCTTGCAGTCCTGATCCTCGCTAGCCTTGCCCCACTTGGCCTTAGTTTTGGTCCCTCCAAAAATACTCAGGGGAGACCAAGACGAGAATCCCGAACTGTGGGAATACGAACCTGCAAACTCTCTTTCTTTTCTTCTTCCTCTTTATCGTCAAGTCCTTCAATTATCATTGCGAGCGATGGGAGAAGGACCATTGTGGTGATTGCAACTCGTTCTTTTACCTTTCTTTGTCAATGGAGACTTAACGAAGATACGACGACCGAATAGACAACTTCATTCCCTTGACGGACGAACCCACAAGACGCTTGATGCGTACCCCTTATTACGACACCAACAACATCAATATTGAGCTTCTTGCATTTGCAGCACTCGTTCGACCAGCAAATTTCAATTGAGGATCTGCCACCGATTCGCAGATTCCTCTCAGCCAACATTCCACGCCTCAACCCCGCCATAAAGCCACCTCCCTACGCCCTCACCCTCACCCTCCATCAGCCACCACTCCCTTTACAAAACCCAAATGTCCCTCCGCAGTCCACGATCACCCACTGATTTCTCTCGCCGCGGATTCCAACCTCTGCCACGAGAAACAGAACCCTCAAATCCAGCCATGTCCTACTCACCCCCCGAACAAGTAGGCATCCCCCTCACCTCAGTGCAAACCCGCTCTTCGTCCACCGGGGCCCGAAAACCCGGCGAGGGAGCCATCTCCTCCTCCGACTTTGCAAACCAACCTACATTCCGCGATGACGAGAAGAAAGGGCTTTTCAAACGAAGTGGAGCCGCCGGGCGAAGGAAGGTCAAGAAGATAAACAGCAAGCCGGTACGCGTTGGCACGGATGGGGAAGAGATTTCCGTCAATGGGCTCGGTCGATTCTACAATAAAGTCGTCAACTTTAGTGTTGTGACGAGATACCTGGTTTATGTTGCCCCCATAGCAATGCTGATCGCGGTCCCTATCGTCCTTTTCGCGGTCCTGAACAACGAGGCCCTGTTTGCTGGAACCAATATCCGCGTCTACATATTCTGGACCTGGATCGAAATCGTCTGGCTGTCAATCTGGGTCTCGAAACTGGTGTCCAAGGCCATACCCTACGTGTTCATGTTCCTGTGCGGCGTCGTGAGCTCGGGGACCAGGAAATACGCCATGATTTTGAAGGCGGTGGAGATCCCGCTTAGTTTGGTCGGATGGAGTGTGACGAGCTTGGTTACATTTACGGCGCTGACGAGTGCGAAGTTGAATCATGCGCCGACACTGCATTGGGTTACGGTTGTGAAGCAGATCTTGGGGCCGTGTCTGATTGCGAGTATTCTTTACTTGATTGAGAAGATGTTGATTCAGCTTATTTCGATTAATTACCATCGACGGTCATTCGAAGGGCGGATCAAGGATTCGAAGAGGAGTGTACATCTTTTGGGATTGCTGTTTGAGGCTAGTAGGACGTTGTTCCCGATGTATTGTCCTGAGTTCAGGGAGGAGGATTATGTTATCAGCGACAGTATCGAAGTCATGCTCGCCAACTCACTTGGAACTCCAGGACATAAGAGATCTGGATCTGCGACACCAATGAAGCTTATTGGAAATATCGGTGGTGGAATTGGTCGTGTTGGAGACAAGGTTACATCGGTTTTTGGCAACATTGCTTCTGAAATTACCGGGAAGCAAGTCTTCAACCCTAATTCGGCACATTCAGTCGTTGTCGAGGCTTTGGAAAAGACGAGAGCTTCGGAAGCGTTGGCAAAGAGATTGTGGATGTCTTTTGTTGTTGAAGGAAAGGAAGCTCTTTACCCGGAAGACGTAGAGGAAGTTCTGGGTCCAGCCAGAAAAGATGAAGCTACAGAAGCTTTTGCTGCTTTGGATAATGATGCAAATGGTGATATCAGTTTGGATGAGATGATTATGAAGGTTGTAGAGATTAGCAGAGATAGGAAGGCTATTTCTGCTAGTATGCGAGATGTTGGACAGGCTATTGGTGTTTTGGATCAAGTTTTGGTGGCCATCTTGTTTGTCATTGTAATTTTTATCTTCGGTATGTTACCTCGACACTTATTCTTCTGATGCTAATCATGTACAGTTGCTTTCCAAGACACAAACTTCGTCACCACCCTCGCAACAGCTGGAACCACTCTTTTGTCACTCTCCTTCGTGTTCGCAGCCACAACTCAAGAATTCCTCGGTTCCTGCATCTTCCTTTTTGTAAAACACCCCTACGACGTCGGCGACCGCGTCGACATCGTCGGCCCAACCCAAGAATTCCTCGTCGTCGAACAAATCTCCCTCCTCTTCACAGTCTTCAAACGCATCGACTCAATGAAAATGGTCCAAGTCCCCAACATCGTCCTCAACAACCTCTGGATCGAAAACATCACCCGCTCCAAAGCCATGAAAGAGCAACTCGACATGTTCATCTCCTTCGACACCTCCCTCGAAGACATCGAACTGCTGCGCTCGGAAATGGAATCCTTCGTCCGCCACCCCGACAATTCCCGCGATTTCCAATCCGACATCATCCTCGAAGCCACCGGCATCGGCAGCATGGATAAGATGCAACTCAAGATCGAAATCCGCCACAAGTCCAACTGGCACAACGAAACCGTCCGCGCGGCCCGCCGCTCCAAATTCATGTGCGCCCTCGTCCTCGCCCTGCGCAAGGTCCCCATCTACGGGCCTGGCGGTGGCGGCGAGCCCTTAGGCGGCGCCACGAATCCCGGGTACTCGGTCGCGGTCCCGGATTCCTGGGCCGTCGACGCGAGAGACAAAGCCGCGAAAGCAAAAGAAGGCAAGAGACTCGTGCCCTCGAAAACAAAAGAGAAAGACACGGGAAGCTCCGGCCCCGCAAGCGAGGAGAAAGCAGCAGGGCAGCTCAACTCCCGCCGTCCGACAGAGGACCCCTCCGCGGCGTGGGGGGCGCGGGACGACGTCACGTTGGGTAGTAGGGAGGGGAGTCTAGATCGGCAGCGCAGCCAGGAGATCGATGAGTTGAAGCAGACGTTGCTTAAGAGGGAATCTACCAGGGGAAGACGGAGGCCGGGGGAGAGTATGCCGCCGGTTCCTGGTTCGGGGGCGGGGGCGGGGTTTCCGGGAATGAGTCTTACGCCAGCGGATGAGAGGGCGGGGATGAGTTTCATGGGGAGTGCGAGGGGGGCGTTGGATGAGGAGCAGGGGTTGGGGTTGGGGATGCAGACTATGGGTGGGGGAGGTAATGGGGGAGGGTTGAGTAATAATCCGTACACACAGCAGCCGAGTCAGCCGAACGCGGGATACTCGATGTTTCCTCCGCCGGGGAGGACGGCGAGTCAGAGTCAGAGTCAGGGACGGACGAGGAGGTTGAGTTTGGGGTTTAAGAATTCTAGTAACCCGGGGAGTAGTTCGTGATCTGGTCGAAGGTTTTGTTACGGATCACCTGGATCGCTTGCCTAATCGCCTGCCCAATCGCCCGCGATAGAGGTCAGGCCGGGAATGGTGGCGTTCCATAGCTCTAAGCCTAGTAGGGCTTAGCTCCTCACATGACATCCCTTTCCCCTGGCATATATATATCTAGATCTTCTCCTCTTTCATTCCTCTTCTCTTCTTTACCTTTAGATTCTAAGAGATAGCCGAATCGATTTTTCGTTTACGTACTGAGCTTCCCACCGTGCTGTCACATTGCGATTAATAATTTAAAATATAAAAGATTTTACTTAGAAAGTTATAAACTACCGTTTTATAAGAGTTTTAAAAAGTTAAGAGTTTAAGTATACATAATTCCAAGCATCGCGGAAGTTAAGGAATTCTGGCAAAATGCAATTTGTGTTGTTGAAGATATTCCTAGGTGTACAAATCCCACCCGACTCCTCCCAGCCGCAAGCAGTACAACAATTATCAACGGCACTCCATTCGTGATCGTTCCCTCCGCAACGCCTGTGCCTCTCTCCCTCGTGCCGCCAGGAGTCACTGGCCCTACAACGATTATAAATGGAACTCCCTACCTCGTGATTCCAGGGGTAACGGTAGCACCGATCATCACGGCTCACCCGGGAGCTCAAGTTACTGTGATATCCGGCACAACGGAACTGGTCATCACAGGCACGGGCGAGGTGACCATTCCTGTCAATCCTAGCCTTAGTCTGAGTGGACGTACGACGGTGATCGGGGGTACGACTCAGATGGTGGTGAGCGGGGCAACAGTGCCATTCCGGACGAGTGGAGCGATGAGCCCAGCGAGTACCGTAAGCAGTACAAGTACGAAAAAGAAGAACGCGGCAGCGGCGACGGGGGTGCCTGGACTTTTGGGCGTGGTTGTGGGTGGGATGCTGGGGGTGGTGGTTATGCTGTGAGAAAAATTGGTCGTAGAAGACCTTGAAAATTTTGATTCTTAGCGAGCATTTATGGGGCGTTCTTGGACTGGAAAGGAATGGTAATGCGAAAAGGGTCAAGACCAGGTCGGTCTTGCTCTATATACGAACAGGAAAGGTTTTGAGATGGGCTGTAATGATACCTAGTTAACATAACGTAAAGTAGTCAGGCGTCTGAGAATGCTGGAGAATGAATGAAATATTGAACACATTTGGAGTTGGACTTACCTTCCTTGCCTGGTAATTTTCAATATCCTCTTTCGTTGTGCTCTCGATCCGGAAACAGTAGTGGTCACATGTCCTCGCGCTCCTGCTGTCTGTCATGCAAAGGTTTTCTCATCGTTCGATCTCCACGTTCACTTCACTTGAACACTTTTTCAAAGTCGTAGACCCCCCTTCGGCCTTCGGCTACATGAAGGGGTCTACATCCCAGCAGTTCTCAGTGCAATGCTTACCTGACAGCACTTTCACCAACTGCTGGAAATGGGCAAATTTCAACATCGTCTAAAAGAAATGGGCTTCACTGACAGCATTACATGCAAATGAATGTTTTCTGAACTCAGTTACATTATCGGGTATGTTCGAGTGTAAAGACTGTAGCTTATGAATGAGCCCCTGATGAACCATAGCATAGAACTATCCTCCTCATCGATGTCCTCCACGTCGATGTCCCCTTCGTCGATGTAATCCTTGACGTCAGCGACAGCGTTCTTCCAACTAGTTAGTATCCAATGCCGGCTCTTCTGGTGCCGCGATATGATCCATCATAAGCATAGCCTTATATATGGCCACCGCATCGACCTGCTCCGGCTCAGGCTCATCCACCAGCACACTCGCCACTCCCTCATCATCCGGGCCGGTCATCAATGGCTTTGATGGTACCGGTGCGTTGTTCGGGATATCATTGATCGCATTGATATAGTTATAAGTCGCCGCGTAAAACCTTTGGGAACAGGCTAGTGCATGCGAATCGCTTTGTGGATTTTCAACAACCCAGCCACTCTTGGCATCGATGCCCTTGGAAAGCAGTGCAACAGTGCGTGCGCAGAAATCTTTCCAGTGGTTGATCCCAAATCCTGGGGCGAGGGTATTTCCCTTGAGGTCTGTATTCAAGTCCTGCCAAGTGTTAGTCACGGTGAAGATGTCCGGCCAGAAGAGCGCCGAATTACGATCAATGGAATCTTTTTTCCCCATTTGGAGGGATCCAGAGCAATGACATTGGTGTGAATGTGCGGTTGGTTACAGCCATGAGGAGACATGATGCAGTTGAAGTTCTTGAAGTTCTTGAAGTTGAAGCTTTCGAAATCCTGGGATGAGAAGTGAGGAGTTGAAGAGAATGTGCGGTGTCTTTGGTGGTTACCCCAAGCTCTTTATACACAATGGTGCTCTTGCTTACTCGCACGCAGGACTTCCAGCTGAGATATTGCCTCGAGCTGAGAGCGGTTCGAGCTGCAGGAAGTCCTCTGAAAAGTCAGGATCTTGCACCCATTGTAGAACGAGTCAACAAATCATGCTTTGAGTTTGCGGTATTTCAGTTCATATCCCGCTCTAGAGCTGAGAAGTTCAAGCCTTCAAGGTCTCGACGTCGTACTTGATGCATGAAACAGGTCATGATAATCTGCCTGATGTAGAGCTCGAAGCCATTGTTTGGCACTGAGCTGAGGGCTGCTATCCGGAGGTTATTCTCCGCAAGTCCCGAATTTTGGCCAATGATGCATGAAACTGAATACGGCAATCTGCCGATATGGCACTCGGGTCCATTGCGAAGCTGAGGACTGCTATTCGGCGGCTTTTCTCCGTAAGACTTGAGTTGCGCTTGATGCATAAGTCATTTTGTGGGAGTGAAGATATATGCATACGCATCCAACTGAACACAAATCACACGGTGCCTATTGTTGATTCGATGCTCAATGTTGTACAAATCCAATGGGGCGGATTTTGGTTTACATGACCTCTACCAATACTAAAAGACATTGGACCATCATGGTCTATTCCAGTGGCCTTGGTCATCACGGTCCACGAGCGATCGCGGGCACTGAGCACATTAACACAACGCCAAGGTGATCAAGAGACGTCGCTGTGGGGACACGGTCCGGAAGCCTAGAACAACTGTGGCGGAAGTTCAGGTGAGCGAGCGCCTCTGTCCCGCATGAGCTGAGAGCTGACAGTGCTCGAATTCTGGAGGTATTTCTTGGCTGTGGATATCTCAAGAATCTCATTAAGCCGTTTCGGCTGCCCCAAACATGCCATGTCGGTAAGTTCACGCGCAGAGCAGCTTTCCCTGTGCCGTGTGCTTGCTATTGGGTTGGGTAGTTCCGCTGCAGCGGGAGCGGGATCACAGGCGCCAGTCAAAACGCTTGCATTACCAGGTTGTGAAGCTTATTTGCTGCCAACATTTTCAGCCTTGAATGGTACCCTAACCCGCACTCTTATCAATGATTATTCTGAGCACGTTTTGGCTTCAACATGCAAGCCAGGTTGATGTGGATTCTGGTCACTCGTTCACACTCTGCAGTGTCACTGATCACATCATATGTTCTTGCAGTCGAAACACGCTACAGACTGCAATGTAACAGCGGGGCTGAGGGGAGAAGAGCTCCGGGACAGACCTGATTGAACTTTTCCATGTGGTTGGTTTTGTCGTAAGCTACTTACGGACATGAAGCAAAGCAGAAGAGGGGCAAGAGCCAAGGGGGAAGAGCCATCGGGCTTAGAAGCTCACATATTAGTGGAAGAAGTGCTACAGGCAGAGCTAGGGTGGCTCAACATTCCAAGCATGAAACAGCTGAGAATGTGAGAGCGGCAGATGGGCGAAAGTGAAGCTGGAAGACAAGCAAAGCTGACTGAGTCCAGCCTCCTCGAGAACCGTCCAGATGCAACTTCCTGGCAAGACCGATTGACGAAGAATCAGCCCAGTCTGCGAAGACACTATGAGATATTTTGCCGTGTGTTTTGACCCGCTGAAAGCCACCAGATTGATAGCTTGCTGATCAGTTGAGTAAGACCCGTCATAGGAATTTCTTCATATCACTTCTTGACGATCGCAGGCTATCCAACGAAGATCTATCGTGTCCAGAAAGTGGCCACCAATTGGCAATTAATGACTCCTGCAAAATGGTCGGCCTTTTGAGAGATTCTTTCGATCCTCGCGATCACTATTACGTGCCCAGCCCTGATGTCCAACCTCCCGCAAAAGTAAACTTGCGTCAAGACCACGAACAATTGATATCCGAAATCTACGATCAACTGAAGACGAGCTCCTGTACAGCCAACGCAACTGCGGCAGCGTTCTGGTACGAAGAGAAAGCCGGACGACGCGAGGTAACCTGGTCTGATGCCGGTCCGTCACGTCTCTTCATATATTGGCTTGCTCGAGGCGCATATGAAGACCCATATCTTAACATATATTGGCCCAGCGACTCGGGATCATGTCCACGGGATGCGATGATGGGGATTGCGAAATGTGGTGTGTGCGATGAGAAGGACTGGCCATTCGATGCCAATAATATCAACACCAGACCATCGGACGAGATCTTCGCGAAGGCGAAACCACACAAGATCAACGCATATTATCGCCTTGATCCCCAGAGACCCGATCATGACGACAAGAAGCTCAGCACGGAGGACAAAGACAAAATTGGAGCTGCTGTACTTGACAATCTCAAGCATTGCCTGACCGAGGGGTACCCAGTCGTCTTCGGTTTCTTCTACTACCTGCCAGCCCACGACTCCTACGACGAAACTCAAACACCATTTGTGCTGAAAGACGTATGGTCCTTAAAAGACAAACCGTTCCCGCGGCATACTCATACCCAAGATTTGCCAACAGAACTTCGAATCAAGAACAAGGCTGGGAATCCAGTTTCACCTGGTCATACTGTGCTGGCTATTGGCTACGATGATGAGAAACAAGCGGTGCTGATACAGAACTCTCTTGGATCTACGTGGGGTGGTAATGGTACTTTCTGGATGCCGTACTCTTGGATCACAGATTGTGGCGCTACGAATGACTTCTGGACCATTCGCGTGACAACGGCACCAGAGGATGCTCCGCCTCCGAAGTGGCAGGACGTTCATCAAGAGATCTTGGGGAAATAGTTGCATTTGTATGTTGCTATTCCTTCCCTGAAGCAGTCAAGATGCGAGGGCGGTGGTGGAGGATTGTGGTTTTTGTTTCCTTTGTTTACTTTCTCCTTTTTTCTCTTCGCTTAGTCCAAGCTCCACTAGCGCAGAAATAATCTCTATGTAGCGGAGCACCCAGAGTCTCGAATTCATTGCGGACATTGTGTCTCTTCAACCCGCGTCTCCGAACTTAAATTTCGATGCAAGAATGAGGTGGATACCGTATTGAGTGCATTAAAATCACGTGAGGTGCTTGGTGTCAAGTTGGTCGAAGCAGCCCATTTGCTTGTAAGTGCGATAGGCACAAGCAGAATTGGTTTTTGCAATCTGAAGATGATAGTTCTAACGTCTCCAAGTGGATATGTGGAACCAAGATATCGAGCATCGGACGATGTTTCACGTTTCAAAGTCTTAGTCACAGTGTTGTGGAAATGGAAACAATCCCAAGGACAATTGTGCACTACTGTTTGGAGTACGCGTACGACTGAATAGATCAAGACACTGTACTTGATACTGAGTCCAAGGCAAGAACCGAACCCGATCCGACCTAAAGTCCATCTCTAAGGTCTTGCAGCGATATCCAAGAACGCGTGCGTGGCTTCGCTGTTTCACGCCCAGACGTCTTTTTTCGTGTCTTATTCCTTTTTCGATGCTCATTCGTTCTTTGTCAACACCTCATATAGCCATTATGTTCCGTTTCCTCCTTCCACAAAACAGCTGCTTCTAGGCTGCTACTTCCATTGGTGCACATCACCTGCGCCCGCAACCACCAGATCTTGATCTCCGAGATCCGAAACGCAAATCATCCATAATTCTTCCGTATGAACTAATTTCGCCGTCAGAAGCGCGCTGCGACAGACTGACCCTGTTTCGTCTCACGTCGTTCCAGAAATGGACTGATCTTTTTAAGCGAGCTTCACGACAGCTCCGTCGTTTTCGATGTTGCGCTTTCCTTTTTCTTCTTCATTCTCTTTCTCAAGCTGTATTGCAATACATGACTTCGATTTTGCGGGGGGTAATTGATCGAAGGATACGAGTGGTGAGAGGATAGCAAATCAAGTGGAGGACAAAGTCACTAGCGGCCTGAAGAGAGAAGACAATATGCCGGCGCTTCCACCACAGATTCTCCAGCGCATGGGAGAGGTGGCTGTCATCATTCCCCGAGATCTATCGCAGTCGGATATTGTTGAAGCTTTCATCGTAGGTGAGTGAATTTTCTGGGATCCAGTTGAGAGGGGTTGGCTGATAGGGGATTTGTGTAGTCTTCGTGAGCGTTTTTGGTGTTGGAGGAGCGATTTGGTATGCAAATAAGCATTGCTAGTACTGGTTGAGATATAGGGAGGATGTTGGAGGCTTGGAGGGCCAAGTGATAGAGTTAGGTTTGGAGGATAGATGAGCTTGGTTGGCGTGAAGCGTCCGGCTGGTTTAGATTTGCCTGCGTGGTGGTCTGGAAACGACCGATTCTGGCCCCGGATATGATGAGAAGATATCTTCTAATACACATTCTCGTAGTGAAAGTTACGCTCTATGGCAAATGAAATAGCCTTGGAGAGGATTCGCTTCACTTGAAATGCCGGACTTGCTATCTTAGGAGGAGAAGCAATGTCATTTCATCAAGAAGCAGGTTAAATTCTTCGTCTTCTTCTAAGAAAGCATTAGCTGCCATTATGATTCAGGGCATTCAACGAACTCACCAGAGTCTGACGGTGAATCGTTCCGAGGCACAGAGAGGGGGACTATGGCTCTGCCAACCAGTTCCACGTCGTGAACACCTGTTGGACGTAAAATGACATAGAGGTTGTAGTCGTAGCGGCAAAGGAGGTCTCCCTGCCGTATCTCGGGGCACGCTATCCCACAAACCACACCGTTTACCATAAAGGGGGCGCATTTTCCGGTAGAAGGCCCGATGCAGTTTAGGATACCGCTCGTCGTATAGAATGATGTATCTATATTGTTCCGTGCGAACTTCAAACCCATTCGCTGTGTCTCATGGCAATTGCGTTCCGATAGATGTCCCCTAGACATGCGGCCGGAAATTAGATAGCTTAACAATAATCAACAAAATATTGACAACAACCCAAGTAAGCTTAGAAGTTCTAGTTCTCCCTCAAACTCCTTCTCACTCCAGAGCCAACTGTGGACATCCGCCCGGTATAATGAAGCCGCATAGGCTTGCCTCCGGCCAAGACTGAGATAACTCAACTATGCCCCCTTTCTGCTGATTTTCTAATGCGCGTTCTCAAGAGTATATATAGCCATTAATCCGCGCGATGCCCATTACGGTAAGGCGGATCTAGTTGTATGACTCCGTTTATTTGTTTGAGTGACTGATATCGTCTGGTTGTAGCTCTATGTAGACTTTGGTATTTCTTGGCCCTTTGCTGAGGTGTATAGAAATTCAGAGTCTGTCAGCAACTAGCTACATTAAAATGGCTCAAATTTTCTCTTGTTTGAAATAAAGTAGAATAATCAAAAGGCAATACTCACATAGACAAGGATTGAAGATGTTTTGATTCAATGGATCATGATTACTTGATCTCAGCGTATCGCTATTTTTACAAGTACACAGCATGGATTTTAAGCGCAGTTGGGCATTGAAGCCGATACATAATGCCTTTGCCTGATTTACCTCTGCTCTTTCCAAGATTCAGTCCTTCCCAAGCCCTTCTCGCTCAACGAGTCTTGACTCTCCTCATACTTGATCTGATATTCGGTCGTCATAATGATCTCATCCTTGCCAGGCACAATGTTCTCCTCACTCTCAAACACATTCTTGGTGGTAGCATGAGCACCGCCTTGTCCCCTGGGGTATACTCTGCTGTAAGCTCGACCCTTTCTAGACTTGGCTGAGTCGTCCTTTGAATCCTTCACTGTACCCTCATGAATATAGCCAGTCGCCATGGTGGTATTCCCTTCCTTCCCAGTGACTTTGTGTATAATTCGGACGAGGATAGGTCGAATGGTGGGAATGCAGCTGGCGATGAATACAACCCAGAGATTGGTACTACTTGATTTAGCTAGGCACACAAGAATTGATTAGGTATTCACCTTGCCCAGATGTCCAAATAACCTTGATGGAACGTGGTGTCCTCCATTGCCTTGACCGTGCCGATCTGCACGGTCTTAACGATGGCCGTTATGGCAGCACTTAGCGAATCAGCAAATTGCCCCGAGCTCTTGGGACGAACTTACACAATGCCGAAACCAAACAGAGTGATCAGCCCGAGCTTGATATGGAGCTTGACTTGAAGATGCCAAAGCATAATCGCAGGGTACAACGCAAGTGCAGTATCCAAGGTCGCGCCAAAACTTCCCTGGAAGTATGCAAATGTTGTGTATGTCTGCGTGCCATGACAAGATCCCGCAACAATAGGGTCCCAAATCTTGTTCACGGGGTCACATTGCGCCCAGAGTAAAGGTATAAAGATGAAGCTGACGATACAATTGCTGGCCGCGCAGAAGTAAAGAATGCGTTTTCCGTTGGTTTTCGTCCCTTCTAGTTGAAGAATGAATTGAATGACTGCCATTTTACCGAAGGCGATGGCTAGTATAGAAAACGTCGTAAATATCAATTGGTAAAGTTGAGATTGAGGATCGGGGTTCGATGTGGGACTCGCAGCGGGAGAGAAATGAGCTCCAGTTCCATAATCGACAGCGATTGTGAGGAAGACCGATGAGCAAATTGCGCATATCTGTAACGTTAGGTATTTGCCACAGGCAGAATGATGTACTCACAAATGATGCAAAAGCCCACCAAAAGTCAGGATTCCAACGCCGAATAATGAAGCCATTGGTATAGATGCGCAGCGCCATCAAGACGGCTCCAGCCGCGAACTCCGACCATGTTACTACAAGAACAACGGGACCCAGTCCCAAGGCCACCATGATGAAAAGAATGTACAGGTTGAGAAAATAACAAGATACCCAGCTTGGCAGAGATCTGGAGCAAGCGACGGCAGTGCCTACCTTTGAAGTAAATGATCAGCCCCTTCATCACGATAACATGGGGATGGACGCTGTCATTGAAACTTTCCGGAACATCGCAAGCTTGAAACTCCAGGATTGATCGTGGTGTAAGTTTTCGTCTCTTCCCAAAGAAGGGGAGGTTTCGTCCGACCTTGCGGACGATCATGCTTAGAAGGTATATTTTCAGATGGAAGGTAGTCGTTATCCCGTACGATCAATGCACGGATGGGAATCAGTAGCAATCATCTGAAAAAGATAACATTTGATTAACTCAAAATGGAAATGTCAAACGCACCTGAGACTGTTCCGGGGATTTTATGCTTCCCCGACAACGATCCCATGTTTCCATGCTCGAAGCTTCGAGAGAGTTACCAGAAATTGGGTTCATAGCATGAAATATATACGAAAGATATGCATTGAACGAATTCCTAGAAAGTCCATCTTCGTCCCTAGATGACGAATGGCCTCGGCTTCTATTTTTTTGCAGCCTACGAATCCCTTGTCGCGATGAGACGTCAGACGTCTATATCTCTCGGTTAGCTTACGTGTTATCAGGGGTACCCGGAGGAAGCAATATTTAAGGGGGCACAACCCCAGCCCCCGCCCAAAAACGAATACCTTAATTCTGGCACATGAAGTCTTTAATGTGGGGGTCCTCGCAATGTTCTCCCTGCTTTTCTCCGACTCCTGCAGCGACCCGACTTGTTCATGCGACAAAGAGCTAATGTAAGAGCCTCAATTGTCAAGTGGATCTATTCTCAGCCCCAAAGCAAAGCTTGAATAGGCAGACCAGGATTCGATATCGCGGACATTGTCTCCGGCTCACCTAATTGGGATTTTCTGCCGTCTGCGGCGTAGCCGGCTTCCCTGTTTGTAACGGACAAGCAAGCGACAGTTGAAATGTCAGACCACAATCGGCTCTGGCATTGCCGCTGCAGGCAATGGGATTGTGACTACAATCATTATCACTCATGCTGTCGACTGCTACTCTGAGCAGGCTGCAAGTACAGGAGTGTTCCCGACCTTCGAACGTGAGGTCTGGGCTTCATTGGCCCATTTCAGTGCGATTGAGACATAGTTTCTTTTGACAGCGTTCACAGACTTGGAATAGTTTTTTCAGATGATCGCTTATTTGGAACTTTGTGGAAGTGGCAGTGCTGGGCCGGCTGTGCACAGCATTGATTGCGGTGTTTAGCATTGTGACTATTGTAGGTATCGATGGGCATGGCGATAAAGATCCAGTAGAGCACAGCATCAACTGATCGGATTATGCAGGAAGGCTAAACACTTTTATTTCCACAGATACATGTAAATGTGAGTCTATTCGCAAATTCTTGACTCTTGGGGTGAAAAAGGGGGCGGGGTCGCTAAGCGAGCCTCCCCACCCCGCACTACCATGAGCGCGGACATAAAATATATGCCCGGTCAACTTTCTCCACTCAACCCATATTAACAGCTGCGCCAGACTTGTACCAGGTTTTCGCCGCCTCAGATTCCGTTCTTCTTTATTTTGAAGTTGGATGTAAGCTGAAGCTCAACATCAAAGCGCAGTCAGCCTCTATTTACCCGCGCGGTTGGCTGTTGCTGAATACCCATCTCGCATCTGAAAATATTTTGAATTTTATTCTCGCATTCAAATGAGTAAGCTTAAATTGCTCGTCTAAGCAGAGTAATTAGTAGATTAAGGATGGCTAAAATTCTTCACGAACGGCGAGCTTCGATTGGTTTTCGATCGTCTTTGCTTACCGAAATAATATTATTTACGTTGTCGAATGCAATTCCTCCTCGTGTTTGCAACACGTGGTTTAAGCGCAATATATCCTTGGCAACAAAATTCATTGAAGTTGCTGACCCGGAAATTGGGATTGCGCCGAAAAGTGCTTCGCCGCAGTAAGCATCATGATAGGCGGTGTCCATTTACAAGTGGTTTGATAGCTCTGCTACAGCGCCATGATTGCCGCAGTTAATCGGTAGAGCTTTCTTCCAAGCCATCTTTCAAATTCTGCTCCGGGTGTCATACTCATGATTTGCTTCAAATTGTTGAAGTGAAAAGTCTGATGTGGTGCAAATATAGAAGTGAAATATATTGCAATGGTGGCTTAAGCATAACACCCAAGCGATCGTGTTGAGTTCACGATCATTATGTAGATATAAAGACGGAGCTCCTTCTTGCATTTTAAAAGACATCAAGTACAGCATCATCAGCCTACAGTAATATCTAAATCTCCCATTCTATTTCTCAAAACAACGCCCATATTCTCTAGTTACTTACCTCAAGCTTTCAACATGCATCTCAATATGCCGCTTCTTCTCGCCGGCCTCATGAGCCTCGCCATCGCCTCACCATCTCTTCGCAACGCTAGATCAGAAGATATCTCATCTACCGAGATGATCCTTACCGTCAATGGAAGTAAGTATCCATCTTGCAACAAGCCAAAGTTCTATCTTGCCAGCAATCCAATTCATTTCCAGATTTCCACTGACACAGTTATAGCCTCCTCAGAAGTTCTCGATCCCGATTCAATCATCAAATGCGTCAAAGACTGCGCCACTATCATCGCAGATGGCGTTTGCATCGGCAAAGCTATCCTTCCTCCTGTATCACCTACCGCTGTCACGGACGTCTATGCTTGTGTCAAGAATGACACTGTGGGTGTAAGTTATCTATCCATTTCTTGCTGATGAACTCATCAAGCTCGTCGAAATAGAAATTCTTTGCTAAGAGAGTTCCAATAGCTCTGCAATTGCGCATCTTGTGTTACCGGTGCCAAGGCGCTGGGAGCGTTCCTCACGAAGTACGATATCTGCGATCAATTGAGCACTATTACCACTCCCCCGTCATAGTTTTGGTAAGATTCTGTTGGTATGAAGAGATACGCAGTGTGTTTGGTAACCTTGATTTTGGATTTTGCGGCAGAATAAAAGTATTTTCTTGAGTTCGAAGCTACGCGCAAAATATCAAATGTCTGCATGTACAAGTTTCTCCTTTTTGTCTTCTATATTTACTCAAACATGAAATATGCTTTGAATCAAGATTATAGGAGCACGTGATGTAATGAATGGTACATAGACCGTAGAACACTTTCTGGAAGCCTTGCGCGTATTATTTACTGGAAGGGGCGGTGCGCCCTCGCTTACCCAAAGCCCCTTTCTTAAGCCTTAATAGCTTGAGATAGTTTACTATTACTCACTAACTCAAGGTACAGCAGGTAAAAGCTCGCTCGGGGGCGAAGCATTTACTATTACATTAAGTGGGTATTTTGAAGCTTTGAGAGTACTGACTTTAAGAGGACTAACTTTAAAAGTGTTAACTTTGAAAGCTTGATATTAACTAATTAGAAGCCCGGATCAAAAACAAACTACTTGTTTAGTTAGTTAATAAAGCTTTTAGTCCCACTCGCTTTAGTTTTATCACTGACATTGGACCTTTGGTGAGTGAACTGGCTAGCTAGCCAAATTGTCAATTCAGAGTGTAAACGGCCTGCGCCTTCTTATCTCGTGTCCATCCAACTTCGCCTTCAACGTAACATTCCCCAACAAGAACACAATTTACAACAGAATTCCACAGCGCCGTTTCAAAATTTTGCGCCTTACTGCCATCCTCATCAGTCGACTTCTGATTCGCAACAAGAGTTTGGAGCGCATTTTGCAATTCCAAGTTCTCATCCTCTGATACGATCACTGGCCGAACGATATAGGCCACAGGAGATCCTGCCAAGAACACAATCCTATCACCTTCTTCTGCGAATTTCGACACAACAGCCGAGAACCCTGATTGCGTTATGGCTAATCGTCTTCCTGTTAGAACACTGTCTTTACTCTGTTGTTTCATCAAGTAAAGCCACATTAACGACTCAAAACCATCACTGTCTCCTCCTGCCACAATGATTTGCCGTTTCCCTCGCTCAGTTACCCATGTTTTGAAGTTTTCCACAAACTTCTCATGAAGTCGAGCTTCTTCGGGAGTAGAGCTCGAAGACAATTTGGGAAGTTCTGTGCCTAAGACTTTTATCCATTCCTCGTGAATGATCCTGCAAAGGTCTTGATGTTGAGTTTCCCTGCCACGGAGGTTGAAATTTCTATGTCGACCCTCTTCGTCTCCTGACCACCAGACCCCCGATCCGGTATGATAGAAAGTCGTTAGCTCGGTTACCGCTTGCTCGTAGACATTTCTCTCAGTCTCTGCGAAAAATTTTGGTTCCGGTAGTGTGAGACTGAGACTCGAAATATGATCAACTTCGTAGCCAAGGTATGATAGCACAGGATACCTCTTGTGCTCAAGGATGAAGTAGTTTTCTTTAGCAACAAGACGCTGCGTGTTCAGTGTGTTGTTCCTGTACATAGTTGCCAGTCCAGCGGAAGGCATACTCCAATCAGGAGCCCAAGAAGCGAGATCTTCGACACGACTCTCTTCACTATAATCAGACGTGTGATGAAAAAGGGTTTCGGGACCAACAGCTTCGAGTAAATACCTCGCTGTATCATTGTATGTCTTTCCACAACTGGTCTCATAGTCAACTTTCACATATGCCTTCAGTTCTTCGACATCAGCAGCTATACCCAAGTGTCCAAATATGAAATCTCGTGGGTTCGTGGCGCCTAAACCTCGCCTCGCCGTGAGATGAACGAACAATTTCTGTTTATGAACGCTAATAGCACTGTTCATGTCTCCGAGTACTTGCAGCTCTTTACTCCTTTGTCTATATCCTGGGGATAGCAGAACTCGGCAAAGATTGGTCCACCTTGCTCGCACTGTCCCGCATTGTACCCGAGGATCCTTTGAAAGGAGTAATTCCTGGAAAATCCAAACACGGCTAAACCACGGCATCTTTAACAACGTGGTTTCGGCCATAGTCTTCAGTCCATTGATGTCCCAGGGGCTGATAGTACCCGACGTATTCGAGGGAATAGCTTCCAAGACTTTCTGCCCTGCTGCCTGGTCACCGAGGTAGATGACAGTGTGACTCGCAGTCGAGTAAATCTGCCCCATCAACTCCACCTGGCTCCCTCTCTCTACCAGATTCGATTGATCGATACAAAGCGCATCGGCCCAAATCCTGACTTCCCTCTTTTTATCCCTCAGCGCCTTCAATGCATCCTCAAGACTCTTTCCGATCTCTACTGCTGCCACTCGTTTGGCGCCCTGAATGAAAATCAACCCTTTTTTAGCAGCAGGATCACCCCAAACGTATGATAGTGCTGTATAATGATCGATGATCTCTCTATCGCACTGGGAAATCGTGGTGCATTCGAGCGTACAGTAGAGGGGCAAGAAACGCTGTTGGGACGGCTGGAGGAGAATCAGGCGGAATGAATCGGGATATTGGAGAGGGTGGTATTTGAATGTTGCCATCGTGAGAGTCAAGGTTTAAGATATTGGAAAGATGATGATGGAGAGGAGGCTTTCGAAGAACCGCAATGTGTTGTCAGCCTGGAGCTGCAGCTAAGCGAGGACTTGTTGGATTTGATAGGCAGACATACATTCTCAACATAGCACCTAGGTACCTTAAAGATTGCTTTTATAGGTATATCTACGGCTTCTAAATTGTTAAGTATATCAAGGAAGACGATTGTGCTTGAGAACTCCAAACTACATTCAAGAATGTATCTCGATCACGTGCCACACTTTCTTTCGTTGAAACTGTAGGTACTTCCCTACTTCATATCCACCTATTACCGAACTTTAAAGCCCTCCATATCATCCAAACCGCATTTCAAACCTCCCTCTCGATCTCCAAATCTCTACAAATCTTCCCCCAAGCTTCCTCCTGACTCTTCACTTCCAGACTAGCCCCACTACTCTCCACCTCATCATCAAGAACAAAGTACTTCCCACCCAACCCTCCTCTCTCCATCTCAAACAAATCAGCAACAGCCTTAGCAGGCACCTCTGGAGGATTAAAAGCATCCTTCTTCAACCTTCCCAGCACCGGCCTTACGAACCCAAGAACAACTTTAAGCGAGTTCAGCACCCAGTGATCTAAGCCCAGGTTCGAGTCCCCAGACATACCGCCTGGGTCTAGAGACACGATTTTTATCGCGTTGTTTGGTTTCTTTGTTTTTTGTTAGGACAAGTGAACGTGTAGAAGGGAGGAAGATGGACGTACAGCATCCAAGCGTCGCTGCAGCGCATGTGATGCCATGATGACCCATAGTTTACTTGCTCCGTATCGTTTCATTGCATCTCCTAGCCCCAAGTTTTCTTCGGCATGCTCGCCACCTATCTCGGTCTTGGTTTCATTCGAGAAGTAGTTCGCAGCTGCCATTGCATGTGCTGCACTCGCAATGTTGATTACCAAACCACCGTTCAGTACTGGTAGCAGCTCTCTGATCAACAAGATTTGAGCTAGGACATTGATACCATATATCTCATTCCAGCCATCTTTCGTCTTGGTGTCCTTCAGCAGAGTATTCATCGCAGCAGAGAGAACCATTCCGCCAGCGGAAAACCGGGGGATGTCATTCCTGCTGACACGTTCTCTTATGGTTGCAGCAAAGGAACGAATGCTATCCAAAGATGAAAGGTCCAGGGTTTGGAATTCGAAAGATGCGTTGAGAGTCTTTAGTGTGGACGATACGTTGATGGTTCGAGGATCGGTAATTTTGCGAGCTGTGAGGATGAGGTGGTATTTCTTAGGACGGAATCGTGCTATTTGGAGAGCGATTGCGGATCCTAGGGAGCCGTTACCGCCTGTTATGAAGATTGAACTCTTGGTTTCGGAATTTATAGAAGCCATGATAAAATCTTCTTGTGATATTTCGGCTCTTATAGACTATTGTTGTGGAGCCACTCTGGAGGTATGAGGTGTTCATGTCAGGCTTGCTTTGAAGTATATTTTATATATATCGGGATAGAATTAAAGCGTCGGCTTCTATTGAGCCGCAAATGTCTCCGAGAGGAAGAACTCAAATACCAGGCAGTCTTTGGACTTCTTTACGGCCAATTAAACTTTGATGCGAGAAGGTGCAGCAGTAGTAGCGGCCGACAGTGATTCTCCGGCACAGCACGTCGGTTTCTAGAATTTAACAGGTCTATGCAATTCCAATTGACTCTTCGAGGGCTTATTAGTGACTGTACTTCAGTCACTCTGTTCGGTTTCTAGAATCGCGTATGAATGGACATCGCAAACATGACTTGTCGTTGACCTGTGATACCAAGGCCATTACAACTCAATATCTACTAACAGAGGCTACCGGATTGCAATGAGAGAAGTCGTATTCCGGGAAGACAATAGCAAGAGGCAGAACCCTAGGAAAGTTCGATGGAAATCATAGACGTGCTGAGACCTTTCGCAAAACGTGTCCACTAAGTGAGAAAAGCATGACGAAGTTTCAACAAGTGTTGTAGAAGTATTGAATAGGAGAAAGAAAAAAATGGAGTCGACTGTGATTCTGAATTACTAGAGAAATGTTTTTTTTCAAGACATCTCCTGAAGCTTCCGGTTGTGATCGTGCTTTCACTAGACCGTGGGACCGCCAGCTTAGCTTACAAGCTCATGAGCTTATTCAAACCTCATCCCATGCTTCCTTTCTTTCCGACAGAACCTCCAGTCTCCAACCAAATCAATTGCTTTCATCTGTAAAGCGTCAGTCAATTGATGCCTAGCAGGCACTTCCGTGTACCAAGGCCCAAGAACTACAACGGTACTGGATTTTTGAATATTGACTCCACGAGTAGTTTCTTCTGGACGCAGTCAACATCTCGAGCCCAGCTATCCAGATTCTGGTATGCAGTCAATTCTTTGAATGTCACGTTCTATCTAATTTCGCATGCACGGTTCCATGAATCCCTGTCAATCTGTCTGAACACCTCGGCAGGATTTTCCCCCGCAAAAGACCTCCTCCATCTTTCCAAGTTCTCAACGCATCATCACTCCTCTTTCTCCGCATTTTCCACACGTTCCTGGCCTGCACTCCGCTCGGTGATTATCTATTCTCATTTGGCTACTGGTCGACTCACGCCACGTAAATGTAGTAGCTCATACCTTGACAGGTCGACTAGTCTCGATCCTAGCGGCACGTCTCGCATGTCTTGCTCTATCAGGAAGAAATGAACCACCTCCGCCGCGATAATTACCCCGTGGCCGAGTCAACTCGTGGCTACTGGGATCAATGAGGCAGGTAGGTAGGTAGGTCCATTTCAATACAAGATATAGGTGTAGCCATTTCCCGTTTTCTCTCTGTACCTGCTTCTCTGCCTGCCAATTCCTCAGAGACCTCCCTCACCATGAAGCTCTCCATCCTCTTCACTCTCACAGCAGCAATACACATATCCGCCACCTCCCTCCTCCTCGAAGACCGCCAATCCGCAAACTGGACGATTGGACAACAGGTCCAAACCACCAGCGGAACAGTCAAAGGCCACCCCGCGACAAACGACTCCCAGGTCTCAGAGTACCTAGGCATACCGTACGCCCAAGCACCGATAGGGGACCTACGCTTCGCTGCCCCGGTTAAATACGCAGGCAACGCGTCCCTCAACGGCAGCGCGTTCGTAAGTCTACCTCTAGTTTTCGGGTGGAAGAACTATATATACTGTATGTACATAGGCTAATATCCATCGTCTGCCAGGGATTTTCGTGTCCGGTGAAACAGGGATCGAGTTCCCTGCCCACGATTCAGGAACTCGAGGCCGCGAATGTGACGGCGGTGGGGATACAGGTACTGGGTATACTGAGCAACGATGATGGGGTCTATGGGGAGGATTGCTTGAATTTGAATGTGTGGACGAAACCGCAGACCGGGGAGGCGAAGAAGGCGGTGCTGGTTTGGATCTATGGTGGAGGGTTCAACAGTGGAAGTTCGTCGATACCGGGATACAATGGGGCGAATATTGCAGAGTTGGAGGATGTGGTGGTGGTTTCCTTCAAGTAGGTTGTTTTTCAAGCGGATATGTCCTTTGCTAACAGGCAGAAGCTATCGACTAAGCATCCTAGGCTTCCCAGGCAATCCCTCAACGACAAATAACCTCGCTCTACTGGACCAAAGATTGGCAGTAGAATGGGTACGAGACAACATTGCCAACTTCGGCGGAGACCCAACCCGAATCACCCTCTTCGGCCAATCCGCCGGCGGAGCCTCCGTTGATTTCTACTCATACGCCTGGAACAGCGACCCCATCGCCGCAGGCTTCATCCCCGAATCCGGAACCGTATTCAGCTGGGGGCTACCCAACTCCGCCGCCTCCAGTGCCTCCGCCTGGTTCACCGTCACCGCTGCCCTGGGCTGTGGAAATTCCGCCTCAGACCCAGCAACCGTCCTCTCGTGCATGAGAAAGCAGACCTACACCGCAATCCTAAACGCCATCCCCGCCTCCACCGCGACGGGAGCACTGCTCGGCTATTTCGGCCCCACGGTGGACGACACGGTCGTCTTCTCCAATTACTCCCAACGGACACCCGCCAGCGTCCCGATGCTGATCGGAAACAACAACTACGAAGCAGGACTCTTCCGCACCGAATTCGCGCTCTCAGGTATCTTCCTCTCCGATACCTTCTGGACGGATTTCAACCTGCAGGAATTCACCTGTCCAACCGGAATCCGCGCCAATGCTTCCCTCGCGGCCAAGAACCCGACGTGGAGATATAGATACTTTGGCGTATTCCCAGATATGGCAGTCTCCTCTGAAGCAGGGACTTACCACGCCGCCGAAGTCCCCATAATCTTCGACACGGTACCATCTTCGCCCGGCCCAACGGTTGCGGAGGTCAGTATCGCGAACTACATGCGCGGAGCCTGGGCGGCGTTTGCGAAGTACCCGGTGAATGGGTTGACGGGGTATGGATGGCCGGGTTATAATACGAGTCAGGATAGCTTGGTGAGGTTGGCGTATGAGAATGTGACGGGGGTGAATGGGATTAATCCGTATAGGTATGATGCCGATTGTGTGTTTGTCAATGTGAGTAGTACGAATGGGTCGGAGTCGCCGGCGTTGCCGGATTTGGGGGCGGGGGTTACGCCTACTGGGACGGGGACGGTGCCAAGTCAGACAGGCGGTGGGGGGAGTAGTGGGACGGGGGCGAGTACGGGGGCGAGTGCTACTAGTACGAAGAGTGGTGGGGGGAGGGTAGAGGTTGGTGGTTGGGTATGGATAGGGATGGGGGCTTTGGTTGCTGCTTGTTTATTGTGAGTGTTGGATTTGGGAGGGGAGGAAAATCTTGTGTACATGAAATGAATATACCCCTATCTTGTCTCGCTTGTGTTTTCGAAGCGAAGTATCCCCCTATCATCCTTATTAGTACAAAGTGAATGCAAATTTATATCTCAAGATGCGTAATATATATTCTCTTTATATACCTTACTGTACTGTAGGCCGAATCTTTTCCCATCTCTCATACAATCCTATACAGTCATTCCCAAACCCTATCTTATATGTGCTGAAAGGTATCATATACAACCTAACCAAACCAAAACCTCCTATTCCCACATATCCCAACACCCACCCACCTTACAACCTCTCCTCAAACCGACTCCCCCTCCTCTGCACCGGCGAATTCGGACTCCAAGTCCCCTCACTAATCGTCGGACTATGTCCCAACTCCCCACTCGTCCTCACAGCACCCCTCGCCCTCCCCATAATACTCGGCATCGTATCACTATTCGGACTAACAATATCCTCCTCCCTCTCCTCCCTCTCCCTCCCCCTCTCTGGCATCGGCTCGCCCAATCCCCGTTCTTCAGCCTCCATCTCCGCCATCGGCGTCTTCGCCTTATGCTCCCTCACCGGACTCAACCCTCCCCTCCCCGCCGCCCCACCACTCATCTCAACCCCCGTCCTCGCATGCCCATCCCCATTCTCCGAACTCGTCGCCGAGGCCGGCGGCACATCAGCTTCCAGCTCCTGCGGCACCATAACAGGGATCCCCCACTTCTCGACCCGCGCATCCTTCCCATCGACCTCGTTCGTTAATCCAGACGCCTGCTCGCTATACGCGGACGTGGAGTGCGGATCGACGCGGCGGCCGGGATCGATTTCGTGGACGGGACCTTTGGCTTCTTCGTCTCGGCGGATGGCGGCTTCGCGGTTAGTTCTGCGCCGCCGGAAGATGCAGAAGAGGAGGAAGGCGGCGAGGAGGGCGGCGAGGAGGATGCCGACTGTGATGCCGGCTATGCCTCCTCCTGAGAGCTTAGAGGAGCCTGTGGAGGCGGAGCCGGATTTTGAGCCCGGTGTGGAGGAGGTGGAGGATGGGGCGGTGGAGGTGCTGGTTGGGAGGTTGGCGGGGAGGGCGATTACGGTTGGGGACGCGGAATCGTCGAAGATGGATTGCGAGACGTTGAAGGTGCGGGAGTTGTAGTGGGCTGTTACGTATGTTTCCTGGAGGAATGTGCGGCCGAGGGTGTACAAGGAATCGTCGTCCGTGGAGCGGATGGGGAAGTAGAAGCTGGTGCTGTTTGTGAGGACGGGTTCGGTGACGTTGAGGTCGAATGCTGCGTAGGGGAGCACAAAGTCTACTGTTGCGCCGCCGGATTTCTGGTTCGCGAGCGTGAAGGTTATGTTTGGGTTTAGGGACTGGAGGTTGGAGTGCGTGCTGGCGTTTATGAGGTAGAGGCCTGATGCTGAGTCGAGGGTTAGACCGAAGGCTTTTTCGAATGCTTGACAGACTGTTGTTGGGAGCCAGAGCTCAGGGACAGCTGAGTCGATGAATGCGAATTCAGGTGCAGACATTAAGGTTGTGTTTCCAGAAGATGTAGTGGATATTATAGAGCGGATCGTTACAACGATATCTCGTAGGTTGTCGCCTGTCATAGTGAAGATCACATCGTTGGGTGTGAATCTTGACTCGTCATATCCTCCGAATATCAAGCTTCCAAAAATGCTCTTGAGACGATAGTACGCTCCGGCAGTATAGCTCCAACTCATGCTCGATATCGTTCCATTCGAATATAACGTATCCGAGAAACTTGCTTGAGGATTTCCATACGTCGAGAAATTCGTGGGTTGGAAACCAAGCCCAAGTATGCCGAACCACCAATAATTCGTAACAATCTCAGCAACAATTTGATGCGTCAACGTCGAATCCGAAGTATTCGTGTATCCAAGTCCCACCGTATCAAAGCCTAGACTTCCATCAGCTCTGCCTCCATGTGTTCGCGGAGAACATACCATATTGGCCCACACCCTGATATCCCAACGTAGCATCTAAACCCAAGAAATCCTGATCACTCTGTATCCAAGTCGACGAGTCCGTAGAATTGAACAGCCCCCCTCTCGCATCACCACAATTCGACGATACGCCCACACTCGTGTTGCACACACCGGCCGCAGCACCATAAATCACCCACGTCTCCTGCCACGAAGTCGCTGGCAGGACTCGATAAACATTCGCCGGCGTCCCGACATGAATCTCGAACGTGCTCCATGTCCCGTCTACTCCTTCCCTACGTCCCAATTAGCACGTCGCACAACGGCCGAAAGTGAGACATACGCACCAGTGTTCGGACGGCGTTGCGATAATAGGAGCTTTCAGCGTGATGTTATCCGCGGTAACACCACCCGCCACAAATAGCAGACACGCGACAACGATCGGAGAAAGCGAGCGCATTATCAATTGTCCAACTCAATAGAATAGCTGTATCTTGAAGACGCGGAATAAATACATACTCCACTTGAAGAAATCTGGGGAAGATGAAAAAGAATAAAACCTATCTTAGTCTTAGCAGCAATGAGCTCATGCCCGTCCGCTTTTCCAGGCCAGGGCAGCCAAACTGCCATGAGGTGACCTACCTACCAGCCTTAGGTACCTACCTATCGCCCATGGGGAATCGGGCCCGCCGTTCAACATCTGCATGGCGGTCACAAAAGGCCATGACAGGTCCAGAAGCGGGGGGATCAGCGAACATTCTTTCTCTGTTGGTGCTCAATTGCTCGTTGTGGTTGCAGTGCAGAAAATGACGTTCGTGACGATGTTTTCCAGTGGCTGGCTGGAAAGTTGGCAGCCAGTGAAATACTGGGCTCGCTACCGAGGCGTCAGGGGTACAGGGCTGGAAGCGAGGGGTGGAGGAAGGGCAGCTCCGCGATCTTCATTGTTGACGTTGTTTGGTTATGCTGTACCTGCACCTTGTTTGGGATGATTAGTGTGCAGATAGATAACTGTGTTGGCTGGAGTTGGAGGTCTCTGGAAAGGAAAAGGGGGATGGGATTGGGCAACGTTCTATACATCTTGGCGCTATAGGCAAAAACTTGCACAGCAATACTGAACTCATAACTGAAAAAGAACAATAACAAGGTATGCTGAAATGCACAATTGAAATACAATTCAGAAGCGAAAACATCTAATTCCTCCTTGCAGCATTCTGCCAATTCCGATACAGAGACTTGTCCCAGTTAGCGATCTAGGCTGCCGCCACTTGCCTGTAGACCTCATGCTCAGACCCATTTGGAAGCCGTACGGAATTGTGTAAAGAACCTGCGGTACGATCCGGGGATTGCAAACGTGTGGGGCCTACCACGTTCGAACTGTCTTTCCACCTCCCGCAAGGCTGCTTCAATATCCTTGGCGAGACAGCTCTGTTTTCCAGTTCTCAATGTAGAAGCACGTTCCATAAAGTATTTTCTGATCATCGTAGCAGTCTTCAAGCCTGGGAAGCTCGAGACCATCGCAATAAAAGAGGCCATTGATTGCTGAGGAATCGACGCATCATCATCTGCCAGAGATCTCTCGACACGGGTAAACGTTTGACAGTAGCTAAGTCCCCCAAAGGAATAGCCCATGTGAATTTCTCGAAAGTGCGATTTTGTAGACCGCCCGACTCTCTAATGATATCGCGCACAATGTCAGAAGGTATGATGTGAGTTGGTGATTCAAGCGTTGAAAATCCACAATATCAACGCTTCTATCTTCGAAACCACGATCTAACTCTCTGCCACCGGGTTGACTGTTCCAGATCATTTGCGAGTGGATGTTCTACCTCATCCAAAGCCGTCTCGCTGATGAATTGCAGTCCTGGAATCTGCCAATTGGGACACCTCCTCTTTGGCTCCAACATAAAAGCATTTATGTAGGTAATCATTTCTGGCGTAGTGGTCATACCGCATGGAATTAAGATCGTTTCGAGGCTCTGAAGCCGGTGGATCTCATAATCGTGGTAGTGGTGGTGGTGATTGTTGGTAAATACCAGCCGCAAGAACGTGATGAAATGTGCAGGAAGGACTACGCGTCGTATAGAGATCAAGTCTTCCTTCGATATCGATAGCGTGAATGTGTTAAGTCGACTAGATAGGGATTTAGGTGATTCTAAAATGCTCATAACAGATTCGGACTTCTCAAACGTATTTAGCACAATGACATCCAGGTCCAAATTGAACCTAACCCCATTACTTCCAAGGGGTAATCGAATGCTGTATATTCCTTTGAACATCATAGGATATCGTGGTAAGAACAGAGCTCTAGATTCTCTGTTAACTTGTAGGACGTTCGGGACAACTGAATCGTTAACTGCGCGTCCAGATATTGCGTTGCCATAAGTTTCGCGAATCCTTATACGAATGTATCGAGGCACAATGGTGAGTTCCCACTAAAGCAAGTTACCACAATTCTTCTCTTGAAAACAATAATTGAAAAAGAAACCTCGGTCGGGGAGCTACTACAGCAAACCCGCTAAATAGCGAGGCTCAGCAAAAAGGAGTTTGTTGCTTACGATTTGGATTCTGAGCTCTAGAGGCAGCTCTCGGAACCGAGGGAATGATGGTTCTGCTGCCATGGCAAATCGTGAGGACAATACAACAACTCGAACAAGAAACTGTGGCAGGTCTCGACAGTTGAATATCGCCCTAAGGTGGAGCGTATTTTCTTCCGTGAATTTTCGTCCGCGATTTGATGCGCGATATGATGTCGTCTGCAAGTTGCTAGAACATCGGAATTGCAATCGATAGATCGAAAAGAAAAATACCAGCTTATTCGTACTTATATCTCTTCAAAACGAAAACGGCCTTGTTTGAGGCTAAGTTGGATGTGATAACAAAATGCGAGGCAACAGCACGATGACTTAGGACACAATGAGTTCTGTCGGAAAACAAGGGTACACGCGTTCGCACCGATGTCAGGACTTCTGACAGTTCTTTGTTATAGCAAGAGGTGCGGTATCAGCAAGAGAAGATGAGAGTCTATTTCGTTATGTTGTTGGATGTTGAAGAAGGATGATGTTCTGGAGATGTAGATTGGAGGAAGGCGCTAGTGAGGGGTATTTTGAAGCCATTCCCAATTGGGCAACTCCGCCTTCATTCTGAACATCATAAATTCGTCGAGGAAGACTTCAATCCGAGAAATCATTTCCAAGTCAAAGACATACTATAACAATTATGTCTACTGACAAGAACTCGACAGAGTCTCTAGCTTCAGATGTCAACTTCCTTTCCTGCTTACTCACCCATCCTCAAATATCGGATCTCTCGTCTCATCCACCAGTAGACTGCATCACATTATGTGTATCTTCTGTGCTATACCAAGCCACCACCCTCTTCGAGATCTTACAATCGCATCCCCGCCTTACAAAGTCTCTCGTTCTCTGCGGCGGCATCGGACATTCCACCCCGCTTATCTACCAAGCTGTTTCCCGCCATCCAAAATACCGCACCATTACTTCTGAAATTCAAGGACTTCCTGAAGCAAGAGTACTAGAAAGAATTCTCAACGAGTTCTTTGATATCGAGAAAATCACGAGCCAAGGATGCAGGATTTTGATCGAGGATCAAAGTACGAATTGCGGAGCCAATGCATCGAAGACAAGGGAATTGCTGGAGAAAAATGGGATCGAGACTCCGAAGAGCATGATCGTTGTTCAAGATCCTACCATGGCTCTGAGAACCGTTGCTTCCTTCCAGAAAGTCTATGAAGGCGTTGAGATGGATATCAGAAGTGCACCTATATTCGTCCCAGTGACGAGGGTGGGACAAGAGGGGCAGGTCGAATGGGATACCAGCGATGTGGGGATCACGATAGAAGGGCTTTGGGAGAAAGAAAGGTTCTATGATTTGATCATGGGTGAAGTACCGAGACTGAGAGACGATACGGAAGGATATGGACCCAAGGGAAAGGGCTTCATTGTCCATGTTGATATTCCAGGGGAGGTCGAAGATGCGTGGCAGAGGCTAGTCAAGAGTCTGGGAAGGAACAGATGATGCCGTTCGAATTTTGACTGCTCCAATTATAGCAAGCAACGGACAAGCTACGCTTTCGCCTGATTTGTTGAGCAAAAGGTTCGTGGACATGGTGGCTACTACTTCTCACTACCTACCTCAATCTACCACACCTCTATGCCCACAACATATTACTCATATTATCATAACCTGGAAGTATCTCTTCGAATATGTTGTCGGTAAGTCACTTGTTTCCTCTTGCCTTTTTTCTTTAGCTGTGTTACTCATGAATCTCTTTATCGTTTCAAAGTCAAGCTGCCGGTCTATGACCCATGAGTACTAATTCAATGATATTTCCTCCGCCATCCTTCATGTAAAGCTCGCCAATTAACGCCAACAGATTCGGAGCACTCCAAACGATTTTCCACATGGCAAATTCAGTCCTGGGATTGCGTTGCCGAGAATACAATCTGATTGGCTAACCGTTCCTCGAAACACAACCAATCCGATATGCATCCTCTCAACAACCCAGCCCCAGCCTCAGCCCCATCACCTCCGCGAAGAACATTCTGCACACCTCGAGGAAATCAAGGGTTTTGTTTCTGCTCCTGATGTAGAGTCAGAGCCTCTTGATCTCGCTCCTCTGGTCTTGTGACTCAACGCCTACACTCACTCAATCTCTAAATACCTCGAGATATCGCGCAGTCTACCTCTGCAAACCTCCCAGCGGCCCAGCTTCGTTAATCCCGCGTGAAGAATCTCAGCTATGGACCCCATATCTATACTCACGCTGACGGGCACATGTGTCAAGCTTGTGAGCTCTTTCGCCGGAGTTGTCATGCAAGTCGACAGCATAGTAAAAGCTTACCGCGATGTTCCTCGTGATATCGTCTTGCTACGGTCACAGGTATCAACGACCAAGACAAGCCTCGATAAGCTCCGTCGCTTGCTCGAATCTAATCATCCATGCTTCCAAGGCGAGATGGACATGGAGACCCTTGAGATCAGCCTCGATGCTTGTGGGATAGTGGTCAGCGACATTCAGGTACATGTCACGGCTGTGAGCCAGGAAGTATCAGGCTTCCGGAGGAAGGCGTGGAAGCGCATACAGCATTTATGGGATGCCGATGCGATGAAAGAGAATGAACGACGTCTAGGACTACAGTTGCAGTCATTAAGTGTATTGCTTACCGTGTGTAGCTTGTAAGTCGTCACGCTCCCGTCCCCTTCGGCCCTTGGCTAATCCATTCTACCCCAAAGGGAATCTGAAGGGCAGCGTTGAAAGACTTTGGGAGCGAAAGAGACCCAAAGAAAATTCCAAATTGCGAGAGATGATGCCTCTTCGTACCTGGTCTCCTACGATCGAGACACCATTGTCTCAAACGACGATTCTGCAACATTCAGCAAAGAGTTCGACTTTGATGAGGACATTGCAAGGTCTGGGCCTTATCAACGACAGTTGAGACGATTTTACCAGTTGAGTTTAGAGGAGAAGAGGACGAGCCAGGCGGGTTCTACCGTTTCGAATCCCGTCCAGCCTGCCCAGACCACGGGCCAAACCCAGGATATTACGCAGGGGAATGCCCTCAGACACCTCTGTTATCATTCCTGGAGAAGCAGTGGCGAGGATGCCGTATCCTTTGCTGTGTCTTTTCCTTCGCCCTCTTCCCAGCTTGACAATATTCCGACGCCTGATCCCAAGGGCAAGAGCCGGGAAATTGCCGAAACAAATGCAATCCCCGAATTCAACCTTCCAGCTCATCCTGAGAATACAAGTATTCTTCCAAAAGCCATAGGAGACCGGCAGTCACTTGCTATCAGCTCTATGCCTACGATACAAAGGACGACTTCTGGCACGCATCCTGCCTCGAGAAAGGATACATATGCACTGAGTGATGTCTGGGTGCCTGCTCGCCGCCGTCATTCCTGGAAGCTAGACGAAGCAGCATTGAAGGAACTGAACTTGCAATATGACGAGATAAGAGCAATTGAAGAGGAATGGAAATCTTACAACTCAACTTTTGACGCCGTGATACGTCGCCGAAGACGAAAGTCGTAGACTGAGAGAATGGAGAGAAGGAGGAAGACCAGAAGACCAAATGAGACTTGTCAAACAATGGATAGGTCATGAAACGAGCAGAGTCGAGTCTAACATTCTTGAGGGACTAGACAAGCCCAAGGAGACAATGGATCTGCGCCCGGCCCTAAGACAGACCCAAAGATATCATGACCCCCAGTCCTGAACAGAATTTCTTCCCTCCTGATTAACGAAGGACACAACCCGGAGATCTTTCTTGATTTGCGAGTACAAAAACTTATGAATACATATCTTCAAACATACTTTCCAATATTACCCCCTCTCAATAAACCTATTGTTACAAAGTCTTCTGCCCATTACCTTCCCTTACTCCTTCCCTATTACCTCTCTCTCTCAAACAGAATCCAGTCAATAATCCCACAAAGAACGTTCACCATCACCCTATACCCGCCTCACATCACGACCTCGGCGGCCCCACCTTCCAACTGCCATCCGCACAATGAGTAAAAATAGCATCATGCATAGAAATCTGGGTGAAGTCCACCGTAAGCGTAGTGGATAACGCAGCAACATTAACCACCGTCCCCAGAGCCCAACTGCCTGCAGCAATATAGTAGGTGTTCTTTGGCTCGAAGAAGAAATCGGTGCCAGGGATGGCTGGGATCGTTGCTACAGGTATAACTTGGCCGGTGTGGGGATCTGTGGCGCCGAAGCCGATGCAGATGTTGCCTGCTGTGTTAGTTTATTGGACACGAGGACAAGAGGAAGAGGACTTACTAGAATTAGGATAGCTGAAGGAAGAATCGCAGCTGATACCGTAGGAATTTGGGAGTGTGCCTTGTGTCATGGATGGAGCACCCCACATGGGATCTTTACCGTTCTTCTCGATAGTCGACAAGGCGAGTTGGGTTCCGCTTGAGGCTGGTGGTGTTCCATCGTTGCTTGAGAGAGTGATGGGCGCTGAGTTGCAGCTTGTGACTGTGACGCCTGCAGACAGAGTCTTTGGGGATGTGCCGTAGATCTGTAGTAATGAAGTTAGGGAAATGTCTTTCGAGGAGATTGGAGTGAACAAAATGTTATATAGATTAAAGCGATGTCTGAGGTGGGATTCTGGCTATGCTAGGATAGTGAAGGTGGAAGGGTAGGGGAAATATCATACGGCATAGAACGTTTTCTGCATGCTGAAGGTGCAGTAACTATGAATTGTTAGCTGTGATTAATAAACAAGACATTCAATACTCCCACACAAAATAGAAGTGAACACGAAGAGAGGAATATATTCGACAAATGCTATGGCTTGTGACTTACCTCGAGTTCCCACTCACGATCATAGGAGACCTCTGATAGACATTGGTAAAGCAGTCGGGTGAGTTTTGGGGAGTTGGAACACTTTGAAACAAAGAGTAACTTCTGTTGATGTTGGATGAGTTGAAGATCTGGATGGTGTATGTGGTGGCCATTTTGAATGTTGTAGTGAACTGGTCAATAGTATTGGAGATAAAGATGATGGATTAACACAACAATATATGGTGAGCAGGCGATGTATTTATATAAATCTTGAAAGGAGAAAAGAACACTTGTCCTGCCTCACTCTCCTTTCTGGATGGTGGCATGGAAAGAAAACTCAGCACACCTTTAGCAATATTTCAGTGTCTCGCTCCGTGGTACTCCATTTGGACCATTGCTATTTGTTTTTCAAAGAGCGAGGGCAAGTGGCAAGCTGAAGACGAGAAGATATGGATATCGGACTTCAAATCCGATTTAAGTACTTGAAGAGGCACAATCGTGACTGCTGAATCTTGAGATCTGAAATGAAAGACTTAGCACACCCAATCGGACGTGTCAGGAGGACTGAAGCTCATCACAGTCAGTGTATTCAGTGTGATGGCTAAAGCTTGCCTTGGAAAAGAAATCTGCCCATCTGTGGTTTCTGAATCTGGCTTTTATGCACATCTTACGCAAGCCTCAATCTCGGAGGTATTTCCACCAAGCCATCTCTTCTTGGCGGAGGCGCAGATTATTTGATTTCGAATTCTTCTGATCCAGAGCGTAAGGTGAAATTCAGGCTTTCAAATGCTCAGCTGTGGATCAATGTTCTTTCCCTTTTCCAGAATCATCTCTGACGGCACCGAGCAGCCGCGGTTGGTACTAAAGACTTTCACGGCACGGAAATGCCGACATGGAATCAGCTAACAAAGATTGAACACATTAAAAACAACAAAGATCAAATAACGAAGAAGATAACGCCGACCTTGATTTGAGACGAAAACAGCGGAACGGCTCAGCGGTTGTTCTTCCGATCCGGGAGGCGCCATTCGTCCCGATGCAAGACATTTGTGGCTGAGACTTGCAGGTACGAGCGTCCAGAACACCATTTCGAGTAGCAAGAGTCAAAGCCATTGGAACTTGTGGACCTGAGTGAAGGATGGCTGCTCGCGTGGGATGGACCCTTGAAAAGCCGTTGGCTGCAGCGAACATTCTTTTTCGCAGCATGATCTTGGCTGTGCGATTGACACGTAACCCTTTCTTTGTTAGGCATTGTCAGCAACGTTCCTGATGCCAGAAATGTAAATTTTTTCAACTGAGATCAACAGCAATCTCCAGCCTGTTTGCATTGAAAAGAAAACATCGCGAATCCATCTAGACTTGCTGTTGAAAAATTGTCGAAATCATAGCAAGCAGAGGCTTCGGGAGATAAATCTTGTGAGTCTAAAAAGATATCTGAAATTATTGAGATCGCCTATTCAAGCTCTTCTCGAGTACGACCTAAAAGTCTTTGCTGAATAATCCAATTGTGATGACTTAGAGTGATGAAATACGCTTGCAAGTCGGCACAGATATATGCATCAAACTAGCTCTGTCAACAACGAACTACTTCGCACACACATCATCTCTTCACAGCACCTGCTACTAATCGCACAAAACCAGAGATCCTCAAAGCCTCTTGGCACGTGCCTGGCACGTGTTCTAGATCAACCTCCTTACCAGGTGCTCATAGCGTATATATAGGCCTCAAGCCCATGGAGTCCCGAATCGTAGACGGAACTCTCTATGTAGCACAAACCCTATCTCTTGCAGACAACATAAGTGACCAAAGGATATATGGAGACAATGAGGGGCTGTGGAAAGTCACAGAATAAGTCAAAAAAGCCTACAAAGGACTACGAAAAAATCTTGAAGTAACAGAGAAGCATAACTGAAAGGGTATAATAAGTGTAGATTTGCAGAATACATCAAAGCTAGAGGTAAGAAGGTTGTTGTGCAAATGAAGGTATGGAACTACAAACCTCAATTGCGATCTTGGGACAGGACTGAGTGTTGGTTATACTAAGAGCAAGGAAAACAACAATCTAGTGGGATGGATAACCTTAAAATGGTAATTTGAACAACTTTGCTTGATATTTCCAAGAAAGCAATGGGAAATGGAACAAAAGCAAGAGCGTCTGGTAGTGAAATAGCGGCAGAAAAGAGACGAAGGCGGTATGAATGCCGACCGCCTATGTCGTTGAACAAGTTCTGATTGACATTTGCAAAACGGCTAATGGTTGCTTCGTATCGATATGGAGGCGGGGTTTGCGGCTTCGTCCTCCGCTCCAACTTCAAGAGTCAAGAGCTCTTCTCACTGGCAACAAAGACAAGTACTCTCAATGTTTCGACTTTGTATTGCTGCGCCGCAAGAAGTCAACATGGAGCCCAATCAAGCACCACCCGTTCCCTCTCGTAGCATTGTAAGCTTTTCATCTGCAAGAGATGCCGCACAATGACTAACGCGTTATTACAGATCCGGTCAACGAGTTACACTCACGTACCACGAGCTATGAGGAGAGAAAGAAGCGTATACCGTGAAATAGAGAAATGTGTTTGGTATTACGAAGCCAACAAAAAGGATTCTTTCTTCCTCGACAAGGCACGGATGCTCTTGTCCCACACCGGCAACAACACCGTTCCGCTTCTGGGTCCAGGTTGGAAGAATGATCTTTCGAAGGAAAACTACCTAAAATGCAAAGTCGCATTCGGCAAAGAAAACCTGACACCAGACGAGGCAGCTGATTTTTCTCGTATGATCAGGGACGATTGGTTGTTCGCTGAAGACGAGCCTCTAGGAGTATGTCCTTGTCCTCTTTAGCCCGCCTGAGCACCCTGCCTCTCTTGGGGCTTCAATAGCGAAACTGTAAACTTCAAGCTAACATATTACAAGGAAATAAGTGGCGAAACGTACCGCTACCAATATGGTGTACGCAGCATCATAGGATTCAAGGAAGAGATGATAAAGATGGACGCATACATCCACTTCGATAGAGCCGTTCGATTCATGATCTGTGCCGGACATAAATGTGGTAGTCGCAGCGACAATCGCAACGACGCAGAGATCGTCGGCGCTGTTCTGGCCATGGGATGGTGCTATATAACTCCATATGCTGGTGTCGATCCCAAGGAGTGGTTTGACAAGCCAGTCACTAGAGACAGGTTGCGAGATCGAATCGAAATCTTGCGGCAAAGGCTCGACGCACATCAGCACTCGCGACAGCTTTTAGGAGAGGAGGAATCGATGAGAGATGGCATTCATATCGCAATTCATCAATGCGAGGACGATATAGGACACCTTCTTCACTTGTTGAGCAAGATGAACCATGCAGCAGGCAATGAGGACAATGATGCAACGGAGCAAACTGCTACTGAGGGCAATGTCGATGATGATGAGAAGCTGGCTGGGGAGGTTGGCCAATTAAATATCAAGGACGCGATCAAGCAGCAGGACTCTGTGCCAGAGTAATTTGGTTCTCGGGCAACAACTTTCGAGGTATTGAAAGAATGGGGTTGTTGATACGTCTGACTGCTTGGTCTACGGACTTTAAGATTAGCAGATAGAAATGCATATCCATCAAGTAAACAATCATTCCAATAGCGTGTTCAATCTGACCAGAAGTAATCAAAAGACCCGACAGAAGTCCTTGGACATGCCTCCAGCACTTGCTGCAAAAGCCCTCCTAGTAAATCAAGTGAACCACCATATCAAAATCATCACGTTCGTAGATTCAATCATTTTGCTTTCGAGGCACTTAGCATTCATATGAGCCTATCTGACACCATGCAGCCAGTACTGCCCATCCGTAAAGGAAAGAAACCCCAGACCATGCCATGCAGAAAAACGACACCATTTACCGATTGCTTTTCGCGACACGCTCCAACTCATCCTTCTTCTTGATGGCATACGAGTTACTGCTTCCCTTCGCGGCGTTGATCAATTCTTCAGCCAAACACTCAGCAACCGACTTGACGTTACGGAAAGCGGCTTCACGGGCACCGATGGTAAGGAGAGCGATAGCTTGGTTGACACGGCGGAGAGGAGAGACATCGACGGCTTGACGACGAACGGTACCTGCTGAACCGATACGGGTGGAGTCTTCGCGGGGTCCGCAGTTGACAATGGCATCGACAGCGACTTGGATGGGGTTTTGGTCGGTCATGATGTGGATCTGCGAACTGGATTAGTACTTGTTCCTGCCCTGGATCTCTTGCACGTACGATCTCGAAGGAGTGGGCAACAATGCGAACAGCCATAAGCTTCTTTCCGTTGTTGCGGCCGTTCATCATCAAGGAGTTGGTGAGACGCTCGATGATTGGGCAATTTGCCTTTCGGAATCGCTTTTGTGCAAATCGGCCGGCGGAGTGGGAGATGTAGACTGGGGCGCGGATTTGGATGTAATCGCTGTATAATAGACCTGTTAGCCAAGCTCCCATATCTGCTGTCCTTCCTCGATCGCATTCGAATCCTCTTCGCATTCCAGGACATTAATTTGCCATATATCCTCCCAATTTCCTCCTCCAATTCCAGCTCGAGAGGGTATTCTTACGTCAAGGAGATGTCCCGAATTTCGACATCCTCGTAGGACCACTTGTTGAAGAGCTTGATGCTTCCAATCTCGTCAGTCACCTCCTTGGGAAGGACTTGGTATCCGGAGACGGCTTCGACTTCGATTTCCTCGTTGTCAGACATGATGGCGATGCTGACTTTGGGTGTTGCGGACTGGCGATTCAAATCGAAGATTGTCGTGAAGTTCAACTCGCTTGAGAATATTGTCGCAAAATTCGATGTGAAGCGCTAGACTGGGGTTTTGAAAGGCTAGGCTGCTTAGAGTCTAGCTTGATAGCGCAGGGCTTTTTGATGGTGTTGCCCTTAGTGCGCCACGTGATAGAAAAATAAGCGAGAAATGTATGCATAACAAGATCTCCAACTTCCCATCTGCGAAACGACTCAGTACATTCGAATACCAACGATAAATACTCGAATCAGTCAATATGGGTACGTCTACCATTTACAATCATTCTCATGCGATCTGCGACGACAGATTCTCGCTGGTCGTAGCAAGCAAGCGCAGCCTGTCGCCCGCTCGCCCCCCTCCTCCACCACCGGCCTCGACGACTTTATATCTTCATACACTAACTCTCTGAATAGCTCCAGCGAACACCGGTGCCAAAAAGCAAAAGAAGAAGGTGCGAAAAGCTCTCTCCTGGAGTTCTCGAGATCCCAGAAGTTCAAAATTTGGCCTCGAGATCACCTTTGACATATATCTTCAAGAAAGCATGCTAACTTCCATCACAGTGGTCAAAGGGAAAGGGTTCGTACATCCGCGGCATCGAAGGAAGCATATCTGATTCATATAATAGTTAAGGACAAGGCCCAGCACGCCGTCATTCTCGATAAGGCCATCTCCGACAAGCTCTACAAAGATGTCCAATCCTACCGCCTCATCACAGTTGCCACCCTCGTCGACAGACTAAAAATCAACGGTTCATTGGCTCGGAGATGTTTGGCCGATTTGGAGGAGAAGGGACAGATCAAGAAGGTTGTCGGACACAGCAAGTTGAGCATCTACAGTACGTCACTTGCTATTCTCATAGCGATGGATCTTGGGGTTGGATGATGGCATATAGCATAACATGCTGACATATCACAGCTCGTGCCGTTGGTGGTGATGATTAGATGTCCTCTCGCTCCGTTTCTACGATTTCATGACCAACCACTCTTCTTTCGATCGAGCCTTCTCATACGGTGTGGAAATGGCGGACTGAATTGGGATGGATTGGGCATTTGCAAATGGGTATGGGATTTGTTTTCGGTGTAGCATACAAACGGAAGTGCTTCCTAAATGCAATTGATCGTCTGAACAAGAAGCGGTCCAAATCGATGCTTGCGAAACTGTGATTTGGAGGACGTCTGGCACAATGTGATCGACTCAGCTACGATAGAAATCTCTACGAAGGCATTGTGATCCGAATCCTTCTCTGAATGGGCAATCATTTGCTGATTCTTTTCTTCAATTAACTACATGAACCGGCCACTTACTTCCCACAAGGAATGCTGTCAATCTACCTGATGCAACCTCAGCCTCCTCCCTGCTTACCCACCCAACTCTCACATCAACCCGTATGTAACACGATGACACATCTCCTTTTCTCCCTTTCCAACAATTGGAAATCCCAAGCTCCGAATTCACCACCAGCAATTGACCAATTCCTCGTTCCTGACTGGATCTTCACTTCTCCACCCCCGTACCGCAAGGCTAATGACAAGGCCTCGGCTGAAGTAACAACACCACCAAAGCTCACCACACCTCATCTGTCCTCTTCTCCCTCCCTCCACCCCAACTCAAACAATAACCAAATGTCCTCCTACCAATACGCGCAAGCAAAAGCGAAAAACGCAAATATGCCCGACGTTCGCCAACGCAAGGCAGCTGGCACCTCCTCTAACTCTTCTACGGGTACTACAACAGAGAAAGTAAAAGCAGAAGATAAACCGTCGATTTTGCTCGACGTTGCACGCACGATTGTATTCTTGCTTCTAGCTAGCTCTGCGATCAGCTATCTGGTTACGCGCGAGAGTTTCGTGTGGGGAGTCAAGAGGCCGGGATGGAGTCGTCCGGAGGCTATTAGGGCTTGGATTGTACGTCCCTCTCTCTCTCTCTCACTCTCATTCATACCCTCCTTATTTTTCAAAATCATTACCTACCCAAACTCTGCAGCTCCTTCCCCAATTCCCCACCTCTCAAAACATTATAAACTAACAGCGCTACAGCAAGGACCAACCCAATACACCGACAGCGACCTGCTCTCCTACGACGGCACCGACGCCAGCAAACCCATCCTCCTCGCCATAAACGGCACCATCTACGACGTCTCGGCCGGCCGCAAACACTACGGTCCGGGGGGCTCGTACCACTTCTTCGCCGGCCGCGACGCCTCGCGCGCCTTCGTCACGAACTGCTTCCAAGAGGACGGACACCCGGACATGCGGGGCGTGGAGGAGATGTTCATCCCGCTCGACAACGCGGAGGTAGATGCGTTGTATTCGAGGGGGGAGTTGAAGGTGCTCAGGGAGCAGGAGAGGAGGAATGCGAGGAAGGAGGTCGATAAGGCGTTGAGGCATTGGGTGGATTTTTTTGCGGGGAGTGGGAAGTATCCTAGGGTCGGGTACGTGAAGAGGGAAAAGGGGTGGGAGACGAAGGGGCTGAAGCCGACGTTGTGTAAGAGGGCGCAGGAGGGGAGGCCTACGAGTCGGAAGAGGCCTGAGGGGAAGTAGATGTTGGGTGTGTATGGAGACCGTTGGAAACGGTTACTCGGGAAGAAAAGCATGGATTCTTTGGATTGGGGGTCTGGGCAGATCTGTATATATGGTTAGGAAAATGGAGAAGGATGGCTATTATGTAATTATGGGACGGACAATGGTGTGAAGAAAGACTATGGTTTCTAGAATTACCATGAAGACTTCTATTCATCTGATATTCAAACCTGACCTCTCATGATCTATACATCAATCTATTGTAAGATACAAATCTAGATCGCCAGAACACACATTGCCTCTTTCATTCAAAGCTCCTCAAACCGCCCACTTCGATTGCCCAGTGAGCTGCTTACCCTTGTTATCTAAACCAGACATTCAAAACTCACTTCGTCACCTCACTCATCACAGTAAAGCAAGACAAGACTCAAATATTGAAAAAGTAATATGCAATATCATCTATAATCATTGATTCCAAAAAAAAAGTCCCACCCATCAATTCGCCTCATCATCAAGAATCAGCCATCCATCGATCCATCCTTTTAATCCCCTCAAATTACCCACCACACCACACATACATATATATGAACCTTCCCCTGTCCCCCCTTCTCCACCTCCTTTCCTCTCATCACACATCTACAAAAGAACAGCAAAACCGACCGCAACAACAGCACCCAACACACCGGCCTCCCCAACCCTCACTCTACCGGCGGCACTCGCGCTCGTGCTCTTGGTTCCGGCAGACGAGGACGTAGACGAGCCAGAGGAGGACGAGGAGCTGTTGGAGGCGGTGGAGCCGGCGGTGCCGTCGGCGATGGCGCCGCCGGGGAGGTTGACTGTTGCTTTGGCGGCCAGGGATTGGAAGTTGGCGAGCGAGCGGGTGCTGTTTGCTGCTGTGCTTGGGGGGTGTTAGTTTCTTTCTCTTCTTCTTCTTCTTCTAAATCTCGAGGGAGGAGGGGAATTGGGAAAGAGGAGAGGGACAGGGGAGGGACTCACTTCTCATTAACAACCATCGTCATACCATTCTGACAATGCTTTCCCTGCGAGCAGTAGAACCACATGGGCGTGGTGGCATTAACCATCACGGTGTAAGTCGGGGTGGTGGTCGCGGAGGCCGTCACGGGCATGAAGCCCGAGTAGACGCCGGTGACGTTGGAGTTCATGGCGATGGGCATGCAGGGCTGGTCGAAGGTGGATTGCGTGACGGTGTGGTTGTTGGGCGCGAATTGGAATTGGATCATGTCGCCGACGGCGGCTTTGATGTTGTTGGGGAAGTAGGCGAGGGTGCCGTTGGCGGCGCCGACTTGGACGACGTGGACCGTTACTGAGCTGGCTGCTGGAGAGGGTGTTAGTTTTGGGGTTTCTCTTTTGATGATGTATTTGGAGGGAAAAGGAGACGTACCCAGAGCAGAGCCAATGCTCAGGGCTGAGAGGGCGAATGTGGTGAATTGCATATTGACTTTAGATATTTGAAATGAAGATCCAGCTCTTTAACGAATGTGTTGGAATGGAACGAAAAAAATAACTTGGGCGTCTAGCGCTTTCTGTGTCGTACTGGCCGACAATTAAGATAGTATAGAGAATGTATAAAAAAGAGGTAGGACAAGAGGAACAAACAACTGAACAAGAAGAGTTGAAGATGGAGAGAGAAGCCAAGAGATACAAATCAGATGGGGAAGGGAGCCACCCAAGGCATAATATACGGACCGTGGGACCTGCTTGAATGATCTCCTGGCGGCGTTAGGTCAAGCCGCTTGGCCTACCTGGCTTGGCCTGGCCTGTCGACGTTCCATCCTGATCCGGGATCCAGGACGAGGGACTGACCGACGACGTGCAAGTTTTGAATGTCCGAGTCCCTTGATGCCAGCTGTGGCTATCCAGCGAAACGTGTTTGGACATGGCTCAAACGAGGAGGCGGTTAGACCATGGACATCGACATCGACATTGGATGGCATGTTGAAGAAAAGGAATGCGGATTGTTCTTGGGGTGAACGGCTCCTTGGCTCCTGTTTCACGAGGTGGCAAACATGAAGCTATACGCACCGCTCGCCACCCGCGCACTCACTTGATGCGCCCGAATTGATATTCCACATCCTCAACCCCAATTCGCAAAATACAATTGAAGCTCCCCAATCTCTCCCTCTCAACCTCTCCATCCTCACCAAAATCTAATCTTCATCCGCCCGTGCTGCCGGACATTGACCTGACCGGAAAGAACTGTATGCGGCCAAGCGAGGGCGATGAAGCCGGAAGCGTCTCAGTCGCGACGCAAGCCAAACTCGCGACGTTTCACGGCCAGGGATCCTCTAAGGTTACGCCCGTGACTTGCACGTTGCCACTTTCCGATGGGATGACAGCGGATGCGATCAGATTCGACAAGACAAGACAAGATTTTTTAGAGTCGAGATCAAGGTTCGTATCTGACGTTTCGAGAATTCTCCGTGGTGACATTATTGCTGCGATGCCATTTGTGAGGAGAGGGATGGTGGTGGAGGAGGAGAGTGAGGATTGTTTAGAGTTTGGTGATCGGATGCGCTGGGGACGAGATGCAGTGGAGGCCAGGCCAGGCCACTTACAGGGCTTGAATCTTCAGTGGGTCATTTTTAGAATTAGGCTTGCGGCCTTCACCGCACCTGCATGTCACCTACAGCACAGTGCCTCCCCTACCCTGCGAGATGAAAAAGATCGGATCCTGTGCTTTGCTTCAACGGGCATGTCACTTTGTAGCACACTGTACAGCCGACTTGACTATCAAGGAAGAAGAAACAATTGGCAACCTCAAGCAGTATCAAAAGCCCACTAGTTAGTTCCATTTTCCTCCCGAAAGATCTCCTGATTCTTGACGATCTTAAAATGAATATCTTTATGGATCCACGAATACTCCGTCCATTCCGGAGGCTATGTTGTATGAAAGAAAGAGAGAGAGAGAAGACAAAAACTTGATCTCCTCTTCCCCCGCCTCCGAATCCTATCCTACCTGATCTCCAAATGGGTCTCGAATTGGCCACCGTGGATCGTTTGAAATAACCTTAAAAGGTACTCGGGACCATCATCCCATCCCATCCCATCCATGAAAGGCCTCAAATCTTCTCCCCCAGACTTGTTTCTCTGTTCTCTGTCTATCTGTCTGTCTGTCACCCGACTCACGCTACTGCACTATATATTCCATCTCATCTCATCTCTACCCTCCCTCTTTCTCATTTCTATTCATAGCCACCCCAAATTCTAGACGTTCTCTCAGAGGCGAGAAAGCCGAAACCAGACAACCGGCTGAAAGGCAATAGCCGATATATATATTACTCTCCCTCTGCCTGATGGCCCCTTTATATTATCCTGTTTAAGCTTCATTTACGGTTCGCGAATCGAGGAGCCTGGTCTTTCGGATGGCGGGGACTATGTCTCCGAGGTCCTTGTTCGTTGTGTTGCCCAGTGTGGTTGTCACCTTCGAGTTGTGGCGATCAGGGCGATCTTGTTAGATGGTTTTGCAGCAAGTGCAGGGCTTTGGGGGTAAGGTTCATTCGTCTGGTTCCTGAGGTGATGCTATTTTCGTCTGCTGGTAATCTGGTCTTGCAGTAGGGGAATGCGGGGAGAGATGTCGGTCGTATCTTTGGTTTTCTCAGCTGAAAGAAGAGAATGTCGAGTGATTAGAAGGCGAAATGGATATATCCAGACGAGCAAGACATCTGGCCATTTACTCGCTGATTAGAATTTTGGACTATAAGAAGAAAGGGATTCCTTATCGTTCGGAGTTCTCTATCTTTGTCCAAAACAAGCATTTGACAGCATACTATCCTTTTCACCACTATTTTCAAAATTTCCTATCTTTGATATACCATACACAACGATCAAGAACTTGCCTGTGAAGATGCAACTCCTCCAAAGCCTCCTCGCCCTCGCCACCCTCCTCCTCCCCCTCGTCTCAGCAGAAGCTTGCGTAGCAGGTGGTCCCTCGGAACAAGTCTCCTTCGCAAAAGGCTGCTGTTTCAACAACGCCGGAACATGGTATCAATTCTATGATGTTCAAGCTATTGTAAGTCTACTCTTATCAGCTCTTTCCTGTTCATCTTCATTTTCTGTCTTGTACAAACACGCATAACCCTGTGCTCCGATACTATACCTTCCTCATCCCTTCTACCTCCCCTCTTTCCAAGACAACAAACTAACAACCCCCCAAGTGCATATTCCCCGACGACCGCGCAACATCCTACAAACACTGCGTAGGCTACATCCCCTACTCGCAGCTGGACACGGTGTGCATCCCCGGCGACGGCGGCGTGGGTTTGCCGTCTGGGAGTGCGACCTTGACTGCGACTGGGACGGGGCGGGTTACGTTTACGGCGGGGGCTGCTGTTAGTACTTTTACTAGCTAGGGAAAGAGGGGAAGGGTGAGAGGGAGGGGGAAGGGGGAAAGGGAAGAAGGGGGAAGAAGGGGAAAGACGGAGAGCTTCGATTCTTGTTTATATTACATTGTTAGGTAGCATATTGGAGTAAGCAAAAAAACTTGTATATGTGCGATACAGAGTTTTGCTTTCCCCAAATACTGTCTTCACCTCTACTCATCTGCCCAATTCTCTCATCTTTCCTTTCTTCATTGCTTCTTCTCATGAATATCACTCCCATCCCCTTTTGGATCCGTACATATTTACAACGACATCTTCCATCTCTTTCTCCCACACCCACTCTCCTTCATTACCTGTCGCGTTCTCCAATCCAATTCCCAAGTACAATTCTGCATTTTCTGAAGCTGAAGAATAAGAAATCCGAAGACGACTCGATAAATAGAGCTCAACCTCTTATTGATACCAGCGTCTGAGAGCTCTGAGTTTGAATTCCACGATATCACACTTCCAACCCACAGCACCGAGATTTGAAGATGAATATGATGACCATGGACTTGGAAAATGAACAAGACAATTTGCATTTGAGCTTGAGGCTGTGGGATTCGTTAAAAGTACAATGCCATTACAATTTACAACATTATGATACTTGGGCCGAGGCCCAGGAATATCTGTTTTGATGCACCTGCATGTTGCGGTTACACGAATTACGGCATGCACCGGTAGAACTCAATTGACTCAATTCGGAAGTATCACAATGAACGTCACGTAGCACGGAAGAACAATTTAGAGTTGAATGCATCCATTCGATTTTTTGTGACCACCTCCCATCTCCAGCAATCTATTGATCATGTATGCGGGAAAAAAACCAAACGACCATTCGAGAAAGAAGGACGGATCCAGCGACGACGACGATGAAAACGCAGCAAGCAAAAGGGGAAGAAACACATCAGGGAAATTGCCTTGGTAATAAAGTACAGCAGTAGCCAGGGTAAGCCCACCCATACGCCACCGCAAGTTGCTAAACACCATTGCAATGGATGTCTGTAACAACTTCCACCTGCACGCACCACCATCCTCTCAACCACCCAAATTTTGCCACTCCGGTTCATTATCACCCACCCACTTTCACCAAACGTCTATACTACAATTGTCTAGTTTACTTGAAGGCCTTTCCGAACATGAGGACCTGCAATTGATCGTAGATGGACAAGACACCAGCACCGGCGACACCACGGAGAATGTTGGCACCAGCACCCTTGAAGAGAGATCGGACACCCTCCTTGGCGATGATTTGGCTAGCGGCATCCATGGAAGACTTGTACTTGACGGCCTCACCAGAAGTCATCATCATACGACGACGGATGGTATCCAATGGGTAAGAAGCAATACCAGCACCAGTAGTAACGGACCAACCGAGAAGGAAGGAGGCAAGGAAGTTACCCTCAAGAGGACCGACGAGAAGAACAGGCTTGATGGAGTCGTACATTCCGAAATACAGACCACGGTAGACGACTATACCGAGAACGGATGGACCGAAACCACGGTAGAGACCAGCGATACCATCAGTGGCGAGGGTCTTCTTGTAGACATCGACCAGGCCGTTGAATTGACGGTCACCACCAGACTTCGCGTTCTTGTTGTCGTTGGCGAGACGGGTACGGGCGTAATCGAGGGAGTAGACGAAGAGGAGGGAAGTGGCACCAGCCATCTAGAAAGGATTAGATGATGTTCTAAGATTGTCAAAGCATTGTGAACTTACACCACCGGAGGCCAAGTTACCAGCCATCCACTTCCAGTAACCATCATCCTTCTTGAACTTGAACATGGACTTGTAGGTGTCACGGAAAGCGAAGTTCAAGGCTTGGGTAGGGAAGTAACGGATAACGTTGGCAGTGTTACCACGCCACAGCGATGCAACACCTTCTTGGGCTGTGGTTCTTCGGAAACACTCCACGATACCATCGTACTTTCGGTCGAGACGACCCGACTTAAGCATCTCATCCTGCAGAAATTGTCAGCGCCAGTTCGAACATGAACGGGCTAGGTGAAGCGGAAAGCCAAGACAGCCATGTCAGGTCCAGCTATAGGCAAAGCAAGAAAGCCATAGTTGGGAAGATCGGTAAATCCGAATGCGGATACCCGGCAGGTATAAAATATTTGAGGGATGAAGGTAAACAAGGCAAAACATACCTGATTTTGGATCAAGAGCTTGACACGCTCGATGGGAGCAGCGGCGGTCTTCGAGACAGCGGCAGAGATACCACCCACTGTTATCGCGAGTCAGTCTTTGCATCTCTTGAAACCCAAGTCCAGCCATCATCAATCCGTCTGTATCCATCGGAGACGACAGCGACGTCAATCCAATTGTAGAGCTTAAGGGAGACATACTCAAGAAATCGATAACGAAAGGAGGCCTATTGAGAAGATGATTAGCTGCATGTTCGGAGGCTTAATTGAGACGGGAAAAATTTTGATCGCGATGCCATCATCAACGAAGCTAGCAGATCGATGGCAGAGACCCTGAAAGCGGGTAATGCCATTGACCGAAGCCAATTGAGACCCATTGAGACTTGATGAAGATGATCGAGCTTCGTTGTGGGAAAAGTTGGTCGCGATCGCAGACGCAGGATGCATGTGCCAGAGAACAGGAATAAAACTTACACGCCCATGACGGCCTGCTTCTTGGGGGCTTCGTTAGACATTATGTCGAGAGGTGATCACACGATCAAGGAACTGAGAGGAGATGGGGGTAGATGAAGAACTGAAAAAGATGAAGGATGGAGGTCGAGGATGGACGACGTTCCGGGTGGAGGTTTTTGTAGTGGAAGGAGAAAGATTTTGAGGACAGAAGCTCGACCCTTTCGCCAAAGACTTTTCTAGCGTTAGCGCCGCTCCGACCTCCCCGAATCTTACCGACTGGAGCCAAATTTGGCATTTATTTCTCGCGGGATAACAACATTTATAAAACGAGAGCGGAGTTTTGTATTGGAAATATCTGTGAATGAATTGTGTATTGAGGTTTTGTCTATGTCGATGAATGTCTGCTTTTATCCCATTCAAAGTTGAATTTATTCGGTCGCTTTACTGAACCGTCTGCTTATCTATTGCTCGCGGAAAAGGGGCCAAGCCTCTGCAGTGTCTAGATTTGAGGCTGAACTATTGGAGACGAAGGCACTGTGATCATCTTTGCCGAGCTTCATTGTGCTGGATCAACTGCTATTGAGTTGAGGTCTGTATACTCTGCATTTACTGTGTTATCAGACCTTGTGTGTTCCGTGTTGTGCTTTGGGCTCTGGCCGATTGACCCTTGGGCAAACGTGGGATCTTTCCATGCCTAGGTATGAAGCGGTCAAAGTCCGTTGAAGCACTTCTATATCTGAACTTGATGATAATATTCTATGAAGCATCTTAACTCAATACAAGGATTTTACAGTCACCTCTCAGTAACTTCTGGCCGGTTCCGCAATGTCATCGGAATTATCTTTGGCAGTATTTTCACTATATTCCCTCTTACCTGCTCCTTTTACCCGTCGACCGCCCTCTTCCTTGATGCAAATCATGGAGCTCTAACCTTTCGCACAACACATTCGAAGGGCATAGTGACTTGGATCGCCACAGGAATACCCAGCCCTCGATGTCACTTTTCATCCAACTTGGCCAGGAAGGATAAATGGGAGCTTAGCTACCGGAGAAAACGCATGAAGAGCCCCGCATAACGCGTTTGATATATACTTCAAGATACATTGTTGAATCATCTGATTCTTATAAATCCAGGATACCATAGAATAAACCAAATCCCAATCATCAAAGAAAAATTTCTCCACTGCCCAAAAAGGCAATGCTCTCCATATTCGTGATCCATCCCACGTTTTGCAGCCATGGCAACCCAACCAACGCTAGACCCGAACGGGAACCGCAATGTCAACAATACCGACCAAGATATTCATCGACACCACCAAAAACCACGAACCACCAAAAGTTTGGTCAACTTGCGCTCTTCCAAGATACCCGTATTTAATTCATCTACGGCATCGCACAAGAGCTATCCATTGATGGATCCGACTTTCAAGTTCCCGGCATCGCCAGGGACACCTTTATTTCAGGTATCGCCCGAACGCGTCAATCAGCAGCGTGTCTATGATGAGAGTCCGGCCGCGAGCGTGAGTGGCAGGCATACGAGGGAGAGCAGTGTTCATGATAAGGTTGCGCAATTCAACTCCTTGGCTTTTCAAGGGAAGCAGTTGGAGAGAAAGGCAAATGACGCTGCTTTGAAGCGCGCCATGCTGGGGAGAGAGGAGGCGGAGAGCGAGATGCGCAGATACAGAGAGGAGACGAGAGAGCTCAGACGACAGCTTGAGGAAGGTAAAGATAGAGAGCGGAGAGTGGGCGAAAGACTGGAGACTGTTATGGTATGCTTGCTTCCGGCGCATTGGGAATTCGTTACTAATTATTGCACAGGAGAATTATGGCCGTGCGAAGGAGACACACGCACACACCCAAACGTTGTGGGAGAAGGAAATTCGACGAGCTCGGAAAGAAGCCTTCAAGACACAATCGATGACTGTGAAGCTCCAAGAAGAGTTGAAGTCCGCGCGTAATACCCTCAAAGCCGCACAAGCAGATCTCGAGCAGGAGAAAGAACGGAGCTTGAAGAGAGAGCAAGAAGCCTTTGCTGCAAGATACCAGCTTGTCGGTGTTCAAGAGGAGCTCTCTCAAATGCAAGAGAATGTCAAGTTGGTTGAGCAAGAGCGAGATGCCTTAAGGACGATTGCAAAGAACGAGGAGATTGCTAGGATTGCTGCGGAAGGACGACTTCCACTACCTCCATCCCAAGAGAACGACGAGTTCGCAAGCCCCAAGAAAGCTAGGAAGTCTTTGGACCCGGTTACTATCATATCTTCAGCAGCAAGCGAGGAGGAAATGGATGATCTACGCATGTTGCTAGAGTGGGAACAACAAAGAGCAGAACGAGCACACGATCGTGTCGAGTTCTTGGAGATGGAGTGCAGACTGAACTGCTGTGCTTCCAGAGCTGTACGAGAGCTGGCTGCTGCTGCAGCTGAACACCAAGCTTCTGCCCAGGAAGTTAAGCCACGCTCGAGCACGATTTTTATCCCTGCTGAAGCCGTTTTCCGTACCGTCTCTCCACCACCAGAAGAGTCGCCATGGATCTCTCCAGCAAAGAAGTCTGGAACTCATCCATTACCACAACTTCCTCCTCGGCAATCTGAAGAAGTTCGATTCTTCGCTAGAACACCATCTTGCGAACCACCCGCGGCAGCTATGATCTCGGATTCTAATGCCTCTCTTCTCTCCCTTCTCGAAACACCTGCTAGTCCACCACGGACAGAGTCTCGAACTACAACACGAACCGAGTCCCCGTCTCAAGAGAGCGATTGTGATACAGTCATTGTCACTCGGCAAGAGGAAGAAGCTCCTGCAAAGTCGATCAAGATTGAGACTTTCCATACCGTCAGCACCACAACTCGCATCCCCCTCGCCAATCCTCCAGACCTCACTCCGCCTACGATGCTTCCATCTGCTCTTGATCCGGCATTGAGCCCTACCATGTCGAGAGAAGAAGCTTTAGCAATGATTCGTGAAAGAAGAGGCCGAGCAAGAAGTTTAGCTCAAGGCACAATGACACCAAGAAAGCAGATGGTCGAGGGAGGAGTGAACAGAAGAGATATCAGTGCACCCGCCATTCGAAGTGGGAATGTGAGAGGGAGAAGTCAGGCCAGAGTGCAGGTATAGATATGTACTTGGAGGTGTAGGATATCGGTGTTGATGATTGGAGAGAGAATGGCTTGGATGATGCGATTTTGCTTTCCTTGCGGGCAGCATAGCACCTGGCGTTTCTTATTCAAAATGGAGGCGTCCTGGTGTATGGGTGTCTGATTTCATCTTTGCTAGGATACCTTGTAGTGTAATTAGGATTAGAATGTTGATTTATTATCAGAATTCCATCGTCTTCTGTTTTCCAGCTCTCTCTAACATCTCAATCTCGGATCCCATGAAGGGCATTCTACCATATCTAATTTGTAAGGCGGGACAATAACTCCACGTCGGACTTTGAAAGTTGACTTTGCCTCACGTGGTGACGCGCGCTTGGAGAGTTGCAAATCGCGTCGCGAAACCCTTCTTCCGAATCAACTTCCACGTCCAACAACTTAAATCAACGCTTCCCCAACTCATATCTACCACAAACCAAACAACTTCTCTACCTCAACAAACTCCCAACCCGCAAAAATGCCCCCCAAACCCTTCAACCCCCCACGACCCCGCCAATCAACCTCAACCACGACCTCAGCCTCCAAACCCCGCGGCCGCCCAAAAGGCACAACCACAACCACAACATCCGCCCAGAAATCCGCCTCTAAAGCAAAGAAAGACCCCAAACGAACCAGCACCTCCGCGCGCTTCTCCGCCCTCCCCAGCCTCAGCCCCGAGACCCGCCGAGAACTAGAAGGAACCCAAGACGACGAAGAAATGATCCTCTCCTCCTCCGAACCAGAACCAGAAGACGACCCCTTTGCCCTACCCGCAGAAGATGAGGAAGAAGAAGAAGAGGAGGAGGAAGAGGAAGATAGGAAACAACATATACCAGAAGACCTGCTGAATGTTATCCTGCACCAGTTCTTCAAGGAGGAGGGGACGCGGTTGCATAAGGATGCTAGTGTGGCGGTGGGGAGGTACATGGAGGTTTTTGTACGGGAGGGGATTGCGAGGGCGTGTTGGGCGGGGAATAAGGGGGGGAACGGGGGTGGGTTGGAGGTGGAGGATTTGGAGAAGTTGGCGCCGCAGTTGATTTTGGATTTTTAGGGAGGAGGTTCCTGGGAGAGGAAGGGAGGGAAGGAGATGGTATCAGTAATGAGAGGTTTGGTGAATAGCGTATGGAGCTAAGAGATGGGTATGGGGTTTGCGGGAGGGGATGTTTAAAATAAGAGCGTCTGGAGTTCAGGGATAATGATGTTCAGGCTTGAGTTTAGGAGGACATTTTATAGCACAAAGCATCTCCAGGTTAGGGTCTCTTGACGTTCTCTAGCTTTCTTCGGTTGATCTTGTATATGTCATGACTACTCCTCTTGTCTCTTGTTTCTTGTCCCTCTGCTTCTAGCTGCGCAGTTCTTGAGCTTTTCTTTGTTTGTATAGGTAGTGTGAATGAGGCAGGTACTCATACATAATCTGCAATGAAGCAAAAGTCGAGTTTAGTCAGGTGGGATTCATTCGTCGAGTCAGTCACGAGTCGTTCTAGCAACGCTTCAGGCATGATTCATGAATGTTCTGTTGTTCGAATGTCTATATAGATAATTGGTTACAGCTCTTTCCTTCGTACATCTCTACCAAGGACCCCTCCATCAACAGAACAGTTTACGATTTAGAACCTTTACGAAAGCGCAGATTACATCACAATTATCTTCGAAAAACACCAAGATGTCCCAGCACTGTGATATCGAGGACAGGTGCTACTTCGCCCGAGATTTAGATGACAGAAAACCATCCGAATATTGCAGAATGTACGTCAGGTATGAAGGTGCTGCTTGTTCGGCTTGCAAGCTAAGTCGGCTCAGAGCCCCTTCGTAAGGAGGAGGCTTATTTCATGGCACTCTAGAATAAACAGTATGATGATCGGTACAATTATGTCTACATGAAGAACCTCCAGACGAACAGGTCTGTCGATGAGGGGTGGGAGGATGGCGACATTTGGTTCCCTCACAGGCTTTCGAAGTGAGATGTCGTGGTGGTGTCTAGAGAGGAGGAGTTGGCGATGGTGGTTCGTGGTAGTGGCCGGGAGAGGTGTCGTACAGCATTATCTCGACGACGATTTGTGTCGAGCTCGCATCTGGCAATCCACTGTAATATCAGTGATTGTGTGGTACCGTACACACCATCGTCGCATTGAAAAAGACGGTGAACACAGCTGAAGTATGGAACGGCGAGGGAAGGAGATTGAGAGGAAGATACTGGGAAAGGAAATGGGATTGGGAAAATGGGGCGGGAGTGAATTGTGGTGCTAAGAAGACAGTATATGAATGGAAATATCTTGTTGCTTTACTTCTTTTTTTTGGTTTTTTCCTCCAGACAATCGTGTCGAATCCACGAGATTCGGACATCGTCCAAGTGGCAAGTGCTGTCAAGAGACGAAGCGTGTCTGAGCTTGGATCTATTTGTCATTTACAGAACTCGCAGAGATCTTAATTGTGTTTATTCTCAAATGTGGTTCAAGACTTCCACATTCACCTCATCAATCTATAGTTATATAATTCAAAGACAATACTCTCTGATTTGAAAGATATAGTATTAAAGAACATTCCTATCACTCATGTATACACTCGGACGATCGAGGAGTAGACACCGGCCACGATACTCATGCCAAAGCATCTTCGACCAACCTTTTCCATAAAACACTAGCATGCTTCGGACGCTCCACTTCCTTCATAACTCCCACCTCGCCGAGATGTTCACTCGTCTCTTTTTCCTTCCCCTTCCAGATCCTACAATTCACAATCTGGCCGTTGAGGCACCAAATGATAAGACGGACATTGCTGTAGAAGACTTAGTGGAAGGTGAGATCTTGGGGCAAAGTTGGAAGACAGCGCAAATCGCGCGAACAGCGCTGATTGCACAATGAACGCGATTTGCGCAAAACCCACTTAGCTTCAAATTTCTCAATTACGGGCCCGGATAATAGAAACAAAAAACCAGCAGACATATATCAGTCTGTCACCAGAACCACTCGCTCAAGTGAAAACAATGGTGCTACTAAAGTAATGAGCTATATCACAGGTTGTCTTCGGGTGTTTGCCTGATAGGGACACACAGCGGATGACTATTGCGGTAAGGATGGACAAGGAAGAGTAATTTGCCCAATACACGATCTGGTCCAAGACTCGATAGGGAAGCTTTGCGCAAAGGCTACTCTAAAATCATTAAAAGCTTAACACTCGGACTCAGTATAGTCAAGTTTCAAGAAATACGTAAATCAAACGATCGAATCCAGCAGCACTGTTTCGGTGGAATCAAGACTTTATGTACAGTACATAAAAGAAAATTGTTTTCTGAACGAAAACTGGCTTTATTCAAACGCCAGTCCTCTATAATGCGTGGATTAGCGAGATTTCTCATTTATGAGAACAAACAATAAAAATGATGTCCACAATTGACCAAATTCTTGAAACTGATATCTGAATGCCGCCTGCATTTAGCTGAAAAAACAATGGCGCGCGATATGAGATAGATGATTCGCAGAACAAAGCTGAACTTATCCTTCGAAGGAAAAAAATGAACCGAAAAGACAAAACGCCTAGGCACACAGATTTCTCTGTGTGCCCAGGCGTCCAAGCGCGAAGCATTGTCCGAAATGGCGTTTTTTGTTAGAGGCGATATGGCGATTTTACGGGGGAGGGGACACCAACCCGGTCATAGGGGCCCGCGGCCCAACCGGATTGGATGGCAGAGGATCTCTTATTCAACTCTATGTTGTGGATTTAGCGAGGCGAGACTGAGTTACGTAGGTTGGGGTAGATGGAGGTGAGTGCGAGTGCTAGTCTTGCAGAGCTACGTAGGTTTGGTCAGGTCAAGGTGAGTGTAAAGGTGAGATGCCTATTTAGTTGGTTTTTTTTCTACGTTGCTGTTCTCTTCATCTTCTCCCTTGAAGATCAGCAGAGTCTTGCAGTCACTCTCGGTAATCTGTTGAACAAATCGTTTGTTGAATCGCGTGTGGATTCTGGAAGTGATATGTTGAGGATGATAAATGAAATCGAAGTCAAGACCATAGCAGACTTGGACGAAAACAACACTCCAGCTTCTTAATACGAAAGACACCCTTTTGTTAGAGTATCGCAGACACTAGGACATAGAATAAGATTGTTCCAGACCTTGTGGGACAATATAAGCGGGCTAAGTCCCAACCGGGGATTAGAACTTGAGGGGTGAAGTAGTGTAAGACAAATTCCAAATTCCTTCTATTCCAAAAATCTATTGTTTCTTCAAAGAGAAAGATGCTTTTAAGAAGACCTTCAATTTGATAGTAGCGGATCTTATACACCAATTTCGGTGGTATGCGTGTTCATTACAGAATCACGTGAAAACAAGACCATTCCCTTACCTCTGGATAGCGAAATAATCAACAAAGTGTGTACTCTGTAAAATCTATAGGCTGAAGGCTGTGTGGTTAATGCCTTTCATAACTATTAGACTTGATTAACACAAGAGAAGGTATTCAGATAATGGGAGATTCTATGTGCCACGGGAAAGGACATTCGGTCGCTTAACAATGCACGTCATCATCAACCCCTTTCTTTCAAAAACATCTCTCCATCCAACCACACCTCAGAGTCAGCAGCGCAACCAAATCGAGGTATAAGAGAATGTCTCTCAAACTAGAGAACAAGAAGAGGCCACGCACAGAGATAGGCAGCATCAGCCCTCCCCCACTGCGACGCAAACGCCACGCCGATGCATCTGAGGAAGTCGTTGAACACCACCAACCCAAATCCAAAGACGATGATGCTTTTCAAATATTTAGCTGGAATGTGAATAGTATTACACATCTTCTACCGAAGACACAGAGATCCATCAAATCGTTCTTTGCGCCACCTTCGCCACAAGGAGAGGGGCAAGATGAGGATGGAGGTTCGAAGTCCGTCTCCCTGAGGGACTTTTTGAAGAGACATCGCTGGCCTCAATATGTTGGCTTGCAGGAAGTAAAGATTTCTCCGAAGGACGAAATTACGAAGCGGACCGTAGAGAAAGCAGCGAATGGTGATGAAGGCCCCGCATACAGGGCATATTTTGCACTTCCAAGGGACCGGTACAATGCAACAGGTAAATTCCACAGCTCATTTCTATTGTTTATGAATACTTTATTTTTTCTTGAGCGAAACTTTGAATATTTCTTTGCTATTTTTGTGCGCTATTTGCATGGTATTGACATATGGGATCATTAAATGTATCATACCAATGTCCTTTGAAGTGGGGCAAGCACGGGTTTCTCTTTTCTGTCTAAAGCCTATGATCAGCTACGCTAAAACCGATTCGAAACCAGGTTGGGGCGGAAAGGTATACGGCGTTTGCACTCTACTCCGTCATGATCTCGCAAGCTTGTCTGGACAAAAGACAAAAGAGGTGGATTGGGATCTTGAAGGCCGAGTCCTTGTCACCGAGTTGCCCTCTCTTGAGATGAAGCTAGTCATCATCAATGGTTACTGGGTTAATGGAACCACGAATCCATACCGCAGTCCAGAAACTGGACAAGTGTTTGGCACACGACATGATCGCAAGAGGCAATTTCACTCGTTAATGCTAGAAGAGGTCAAATCCTACCAAGCGAAAGGCTGGGAAGTTGTCCTTGTAGGGGATATGAACATCGCTCGTACACCACTCGATGGATGTCCTGGGATTCGACTTGGACTTGAACATGTCAAGAACCGGGTAGATTTCAATCACAAGTTCTTCGACGACGAAAATGGGATGCATGCTATTGACTCTTGGCGCTGGATTCATGGAAACAAGAGGGGCTACAGCTACCATGGTGAAAAGGCTGAGGACTGGGGATCCTCGTGCGATAGAGTTGACCTAGGGATGGTAACTCGAGGAATCGTCGATAGGAAAGCTTTGGTCGGAGCTGAGATTTATGAAAGTGTATTGGACCGAGGAGGAAGTGATCATGTTCCAATATCACTAGTTCTCTCGACGAAAGTCATCATGACTGCTCTGAGTACTTCCGTTGATGTGGGTTGAAGTCTAAGAAGCAAAGACAACTGTATGAGAGTAAGGTAAGATTGAAGGCTGTTGTGGTCCGAGATCTCCATTCTTACCTGGGGGCAAATAGGTAATTGCTCACAACCTCTCAAGCACCGCTCTTCAACCACAGCACCACCATCATTTCCATCCACCAAATTTACCAGGACTATTACCACGTTCATTGGTTTTAGAGTCCGGCATCAACATTCTTTCGATCCCCAGTACTTCGCCGTACATTCAACAGCTGTCACAATGTAGATAGGAAAGGCAATAAATCGCTCAACAAATACGGTTCGTTCAACATTTCTTGTGTCAGCGAGCTGGTAATTTCAGTGCTAATACACTTCTCAGAGCCCTTCCCGAGCCGTACAATTCAACGACTATTATCAGACCCAAGAAAAGAACACTCGCTTCCAAAAATCCACCGGTTTTGTGTGACCTGTGGACCAGAACATATCAGCATCATCGACAAACCGTCTGCGGAGGAACTGTGCAAGAAGATTGAATCGCTGGGGGTTGAGAAGAAAATTGTTATAGCATGGAATGCCGACAGAAGTCATCGGGTATACGCCAAGAAATACTTTCTTCCACGATTGTCCCAACTTTCAAGTGCATTCAGAGACCCCGCGCCGAACCCTCATCGCCATCACATACATCAAAAGTGCTACTACTTATGGGATATCTACCTAGCAGCGAGAATCAGACGGCTGCTGCGGTACAGGCTTGTTTGAAAAGGATCAAAAGTCATGAAATGTACTGGGACAATCGAACACTATCTATGCACTGCAGTCCCGTACGCATATTATTCGATTATCCTCATAGATGCGGGACATTGAAACCAACCTCTCGTTTTCAAACCCCCAGGATCTGTTCTTGCAGAACACCCAAGCCATGTCGGACATGCAACATTTCTCCTCAACCGCAACCCCCCAAGACGAATATACCCTCACGCTCAACATCCTAATAGCTTGCGTGCCCAGTGCTCGACAAACAGCCGACATCTTCCTTCTGATCCTCTCAGCGAGCAAGCTGCTACATCAATCAATCGCTCACGTACTATTACAATTTTCGACACAATAGTAAGTAGTAAGACCACAAAACGCGGGATTCTTTATAGCAATAAACACGCATCGAATATGTATGCTTAGACGGACGGGGCTAAATCTCATCTGGGCATCAATTTCGTTCGTTCGTGAAAGAGAGATACTAGGATAATCCTCCTTAACCGAAAGAGAGAAAGAAAAAAAACACGCTCCAAGATCCTTCGAGACGGTTCTCCTGAGCCGGAAGAACGGGATGGGATAGGACTTCTTGGAGACGGGCGATCTAGGTTGGATATTGGACTTGGAGCTGGTGAGCTGGGAGTGAGGGAGCTCTCGAGGATCGTGGTATGCGGCATGCGGTGTGCTTGTGCAGCTTTCGGTCAAGGCGACGATTTGTGCTTGTAATGCTGCGGCTTGGGCTGAGATAGCATCTATAGACCGACGATTGTGCCATTAGTATCTGTGTTGATGAATTAGCGGTAACTATACCTGCGGTAATGAATTACGATAGATTTCCAAGGGAAAATAAGCTACATTGTAAAGGAGGGCTCTTTCCGTGCTTAACAATCATTGTACAATACAAAAGCGGAAATCAAAGGCTTCACTTATCCGTCTTCTCATCTCGACTTTCACAACGATACGTCGGTCCCTGGCATCAGACATTCAACATGTATATTTACTTCGAAATCGCTAATATCCCAATTAAATCCATCCATACAAAATCACAAAAATCCAAAACCCAAACCCCAAAAATCACAAATACAACTTCCTCCGATCCAACCCCCTCACCCCACCCCTCCCATCCTTCTCTCCCAACAAACCCAACCCCACCCGCCCAACCACCACCGCGGCCCCAACCCCGATCTCATACCCCCCATCCACATTCCCAACATCCCCCAGCCGGACCCGCATCCCGCCCACCTCGCGCGCGCGCCGGAAGCCCGAGATCGATACCCCGCCCGCCGGCAGCGGGAGGTGCGGAGAGTCGCGCAGGAGGGAGGTGAGGTGGTTGATGTAGGAGGAGGGAGAGAGGGTTATTTGTGTGAGGAGGAGGGAGAGGAGGGCTGTGAGGAGGAGGAAGGTTGTGCTGAGGAGGAAGAGGGTGAGGTAGGTGGGGGATATTTTGTATGTATTGATTTGATGGGTGGTAGTTGAGGGGACGGAGAGGGTGGGTGCGAGGAGTTGGATTTGAGTGTCTAGGTCTGAGGGTGTTGAGGAGATTGTGGATGTGGAGGAGGAGAAGGAGGAAGAGGATGTGAGGTACGTGGTGTAGTTCATGGTACTTCCTTGCAGGACGGCGTTTAGGACTTGGCTGAGCCGGATGGAGAAATCGGTAAATGACAGATTTAGGAATCGGGATTCTTGGCCGGAGGGAGATGTGTATAGCGGGTATTGCGCTGATTGGATGAATGGGTTGTCGAGGGGCGAGTAGATGTAGTTCTGCATTATATCGACGTGGTTTAGCTGCGGTGTTGCGGCAGGGAGGTAAGAGGAGAGGCCGCGGAAGAGGTTGGATATTGAGAGGGGTGTGATGGCGGATGATTTGTTCGCGAGGAGCGAGAGACGCTGAGCGGTGACGGTGCAGGATGGTGAGGTGTTAGGGGCGGAGGCGCAGGTTATGGTGGATTCGACGTAGGTTTGTGAGGGGATGCAGTAGATAGATGTTACATTGCTGGTCCCAGTGAAATCTTGGTAAAGTAAGAGGCCAGGTAAGACATTGTTCATTGTAGTATCGTTGATTGGCAAGGTATCCAGGGCTTGAATCGAAGTGTTGGGAAGGAGAGAAGTTACATCGTCTCCGAGGTAACCGATTGCCCAAGCAGTCGTGGATGTGATATTTTGAGCAGCGATGAAAGGTCCAGTAGTGGAGATTAGCCCGGGATTGATGAAGAACCCAGTACCTCGAGTAACTGTTGATGTACGGTTTGAGCAAGTCAATTCTGTGTACGTAGACTCGAGATTGAATGTCGAGTTGCCATTACCAACATCTGAAACAGGAATTCCCAATAAAGACGAATGAACAAGCGAGAAGTCAGACTGCGGAATTTGGCGCCATCCGTTGTCATCCTCAGAGATGTTTGAGAGACTCGAAAATAGAGGGATCTTGACATTGCCCCATGTGTCCATCGAGCTGCTTTTCACCTCTTCAGGAGCAAGAAGCGAAGCACTGACCACTGATGCAAGACCATTTGACCAATTGTTCATTTCCACTTGACCTGCATAGCTTTGTTGTCTCGAGTTGATATACGTAATGTTCGTAGTTGAGTTAGTCGAGCGATCTGTCGTAGAGAGTATGCGCAGCACTGATTGACTTCCCAAAGGCGACAAAAGCCAAAGCAGAATCAGGATCAAACTACCTATTGTGAAGGATCGAAGTCCGATAGCTGTGATGATTGTCCCACCGACTGTTCGACTTCCAAGTAGACGTTCGAGAAAGCCAATTGAAGTTCCTCGTCCCGCTTTCCATGAGGCAATCTTGATCATGGTCCTGCCAACAACAACAGAGAAGACGAGGGGGAACAGCGTGGCGGCCTAAAAGAGTCAGTCTTAGTTCTCGATTTGAAAGACTATCCTTACCCCTTTGATGAGCTGTTCCAAGCTATTGTCTTTTCCTTTTCCCACTTCTTCGCCATCAACCCATATCAGTGCAGATGCAAGCGCAAAGAACGGCATGCTCGCCAAAATAGCTAGTACATCGATTGCAGCATCTTGCCACCTTCTCCTCGTAGTCCTCCTCAAACTCTGAGGTACTCCACTCCACGTTGGGGTCTCTCGACCATTGATCTTTGGAGCACTCCGAGGATCATACTTCGTATTTTCTGGAGGATCGAAAATATACCTCGTAGTTGACGAGTACTCGAACAGGTTCTTGGGACTATTCGGCAATAGGTTTTGAGATTCAGATAGACCTCTCGAGTGAGAATGTGAGCCTGGCAACGTGGGCGACACCACATCCGCACTCTCAATCACAATATTGTCTCTCTCCGAGCCTTCCAAGGTCCTGTTGACGGCCCCATCGCGTGAACCACCCCGCATGTCCATTCTTCATATTCGCTTCAGTTGCAATGCGGCGTGGAGAGCTTAAGCTTCCCCACGCTCTCCATATATGTAATTGCTGGCGGACGAAACGAATGGCCTCCCAAACACTGCACGGCATGGTGGCGGATAAATGCAACATCTTATACACCAGCACCAGCACCAGCACCAACAGACGCATGTGTGAGCGTGAGACTTGCTTGACAAGTCCAGTAGCGCAGGATGGCTGTCATGGTGGGTGCAACTAAGTCGAGGGCCTTGCAAGCTGAAAATAGATGCTGGGATAGGTTGGGTTGGGTTAGGTTGTGGAGCGGTTGGCGAGTGGCGGTTGGGTGTCTGTGCGGACGAACATGTCCCCCTGGTCGCATGAACCACAGCCTCGCCCGGACTTCGTACACACCAAAAGATGCCTCGCTAGGCCGCCCAACTCACAGCTTTAAACGTGCCGCAAGCATCTCACGTCTGAGAGCCCGTCGGCAATTGAGACGTCCAAGATGAAGGAGTTGTGGTATTTGTGGGGAGATTAAGGTCGGTGTCCAATAGGGTCCGATGGGTTTGCCCTGGACCTGGCCCGGAGAGGTGGCTAATGGACTGAGGGATGGCTTACGCGTGGTTGTACTGTACTTCGTCACCGGGGTATCAGTTGTAAAAACAGGGGTCAGTTCTTTTGAGTAGACTTTACCTAAGGAAGTAACGATTCACCGATTTATCAGATCTTATTGGAGAATTTTCCCCTGCCATCGAAGAAGTCTCTCGAAGGCTTGGCACAACTGATACCCCGAGTACTAAAGTATAGTGTACTATCCAAGATCTTCGCGGATCAGCCTTGCATCCGTGATGTTGGCTTTGAGATGGCCCCGGGATTTTTGGCTTTTTTCTGTCAAGTGTCATCGCAAGACTCCAAAACCTTCTCCACACTTTGCGAGGAAGCTCCCGGTAATGTGATACAAAGACAGGACTATCTGATGTGAAGTTTGGATGGCAGTTCAACCATCGCGTTATTTGATTCGCATCCGTAGTCTCAGTGTGGCGGCCGAGACTGCACACCTCTGGTTTAAGCCATCCAATGGGAGTTGTGAATATCCTCGTTTAAGCTGAGACCCTGAAAGCGTCGTTGATGTCTGAGCGGAGGCTCAAGATTGTTGGCTTATCCTGACACACGTGGATATGCAGAGCGGGAATGTTGCATATCAAACGCGAGAAACATTCCTTGAAGGAAGAGGGATTTGTCTTACCTTAGGCAGCATTGCAGCAGTTGAGTGAGATTTGACAGCTGAGGATGCTCTCTGGCCCGGGCCAATACGCGAGCAGTTCAGGGGCACCGGAGAATTGTACGAAGTAAATGCGGACCAGTCACATTTCGCGTTGGGATGTTTCAGCCCTATTCTTCCGATACTCGAGAGGATCTGGACCCTCTTTTCTCATTGGATTGATGTTTCATCCTTCATCTTGTCGTCAGCGTTCACAATCCCGCGTGTAAGTACATCCCACATCCCCCACGCTCGGAATTCACGTCAAGCTGATACTTCAAAGCATAAGTGACGTGAGCGCAGTGTGACAACACGAAGTGCATTGTCTGAATGCGGTTGGTCACTCGAAGTGACTTCTAATGTCATTTTCTTATCATAAGATTTGACTTATCTCTGATAATGCTCTCGAAACGACGACCCCTCATGTTTGACTCCGGATGGCATGTTTTTCTCTGGTACCGAGCAAGGAACAGGCTTCGCGCACGGATATGCGTGTTGATCATGAGGACTAGAAGTCTTCTCTGGAGCTAAATTCCTTGCTGAAGACCTGGTCATAAGTGTCATCGGTATTCTAGCCCATTCGAGTCTTGTCTGTTTTCTACCCTCAACTTTCTAGCTCTGGTAATGTTCAAGGATTAAATGCTAGAATACACATGTTGAGCATTTTATTGGAGCCGGGTGTAGATCGCAGCGGAAGCTAGGCTTCCTCCGCAAGGTCTGCCAAATTCAAGCAAAGGAAGGATTTCCGAATGCACGAGCTAGAAGTACTGCGAATGTCGGCACATCACTACCCCGCTTGTACCACATACTCGCATGTTTCAAGTAATTGCACAAAGTCGGATGCTCAAGAAAGCTCCGTTTACTGCGTCGGAATGAGAGCTATCCCTTCAAACCCCGCATCCTGTTTCATAGATCGCAAGGAAATTGAAGGTTTGAATAATAAAGCCGTCAACATGGCCGTGGAATGCGTTAAAATCTTAATCAAAAGGTGGAGCACCCAATGGATCTCATTTCCGCAGGTTTGCAATAGCTGACAAAAAGCATTCGCAGTAGATTTGATATTGATCTGGTGATCCAGACAACACCCCTTCAGTCCAAAACTTGGTTGCTACCAGCAAGCCACCAAAAGGACCGAATGACGATTGATTGGAAACTAGATCGATTGCTAGGAACTGATGGTGGTCACAGTACACTTGATGCTGTGCTAATTACAGCTACGGAAGATGTCCAAGAACCAGTGCGGGATATTTCAGCTCCGGAGTTGGACTGGTATTCTGTCAATCAACTCAACGCCACACTGATCTTCGTTCGCCACCAAACGCCACTATGCAGGACGAACTCGGTTTCGGAAACAAAATCAGCAACTAGGGAATGTGACGATGTTCCGCTGCATGTTCCGGGGTGGGATAGAAAACGTAAGGATTGAATGTCGAGTGGCGGTCGTCTCTTTCTACTGCCTAAGCGAGCTGCTAGGTCTAGCTGGATGTGGCGACTACGCCTACTGTAGTCGTTCTCCTCGACCACGGGACGATATGAGTAGAAGCCAATTTGGGTTGTGGCAATCATTGAGTCGGAGATCAAGCTGAATTTCCCCTAGTAACCAGATGCTTGAAACTCTTTTGCTCAATTCCCCCTCCCGTCATTTTCGAGTCTCCGAATCCGGCAGGAAGCATGATTCTTGGAAGCTGCAGAACCAATTTACGCAGTTACGAAGCTCGATTCGATGAAGGCCAAAGCCCTCAGACTCCAACTAATCTGCTGTTTCTTTACTTTGTATCGAGCTTCCTGTGGCGACTTCTGCCCTGCTACCGATCAGACTCACACCTCTTGCACTTCCATTGCTCGCCAATCCACTCTCGAGGACTTTCTGTCGCTGAGCTTTACTCAAGAGTCTCAATGCGGGGACAGACAGATAGCACCCGATTATTTCCTCACCCTTCTTGATGTTCCCTGAAGCCAAAAGCACCTCTATCATTCCCAGAGAACCAGCGTGAATGATGCATTTATGCTCGCAGCTGTGGTTGAAAAGAGCGAGGTGCGTATTCAATTCGCAACGGCGGATTTATCTTCATCTTCATTGCGCTACCGATTGGTTGTCTTATGGCTCCTGAACGTACCAATTTCATTCTTTCTGATTGGGTTTGAGTACACACCCAAGATGCCCGAGAACCGAAGCATCGTAGTCGAGCTTTGAGAAGACGTCCACACCAAACTGTTTGGGGATATTGATGGGTTCGATAACATGACTGAGCAACTGCGGGGTTGTAGCCTTCACAGGCATGAGCCAAGAGGCCTGCGAAGAAGATGTTCAGAGGATGGGTGCCACCTTGCACGCAGATGGCTAACATACGAATGAATACAACCTCCGCGAATTCAGGTGAGTGGTCTATTCAACTCTATTGCTCCAGCTAGATAGGCATCTATGTACAGCTGGACTCAGCACACGATGGTAGTTGTCACGAGCCTGTATTTGACAGTTCGTACTGCAGTACAACAGTATAGGGCAGCATTCGATGCCGAATATTTGCAGGTCTCCGCAAAGCGTTGACAGCAATTGAATCATTCGGCTTCTTCGACCGGAATACACAACTGTAGGACGGACATATTGATCGGACACTTCTTGGACAACGACTTCTCCCCTTTGAAGATGTCTGTTTCGGGAAACATACCGTAGCCACCAAGGTTCCACTTTGATTTCGAGGAAGGTGGAATGATTCTTCAGGAGCTTGTTGCATTCTGCAATGATATCGTTGCTTTTTTCAAGAATATATTTGAGAATCCATGGATCGTTATATCTTTACACCACCCATATCCGTGGTAACGGTGCGACGGACCAAGGATCATATTTACTCCTTCGCAAGCGCAGATGTAATTGAATGTGTCTGCTCGAAAGCGAAAAAGGGGCTGGTGAAATCCGAATCCCCAGGATATTTCAGCAATGCTTCTTGGCATGTTCTCTCTCCATATTTTGCGGCGTCGAGTTTCATTAGCGCATCGATCAGTGAGAATTACCTGTTGTCGTATCAGTCCACGATTCTAGGAACACATCTGAAGGTACGCACGAATCTTTCCGAAATTCCCAAAGTTAGGTCTCTGCTTGGTCCCTAAAGCCTGGTTTCGATATCGTTTTTCATCCTTCAACAATTTCTTGTACCTCTCATCTTCAACATCGACCACAGCCCCTTCCTTGTCGACCTTATGTCGCCAATTACCCATGCCGAAGTGAAAGAGGACGTCTTCCAGACGACTCCCTAAATTTATCGCTACATCACATGGCAAGATGGCCTTCCAGGCATCGGAAGCGCCGAGTTCAGTATAGCTCATAACTGTCGAGGTACAAGGCTGCGAGCCTCCCAGATCCCGGGACTGTAAGGCAAGCCTTCAAGACGCTTCGTCAGAGTGGATAATTCTCGTATGAGCGTTTCGAGAATCCAAATGAAAATCAATTTGAGAAACATGGAAGTGGTCGTCGTTCTTACCGCATGCAGGTTGAGGTATATCGACGTTGAGAAATTGGCTGCTAATTGTAGGCCTCTATTCAGACTTGTCATATGGTGTATCCATTGCTAATGCACAACGTTTTGATGTTGATGTAATGGAGAGTTAGGAAAACTTTGGCTGGCTTGCGATGGCATTTCAAGATAGGAAAGAGGTAAGGTGGCACGTGCTGGTGCTTCGGGAAGCTGCGGAGCGAGGAGCTCCTTCATTCAAGCATATTTGTTCATCTTAGTATTCATTCGCGGGATAATGTCGAAAGGACTGCAGTCCTAAAGGGCCTACTAGCATTTATCAAAGATGGCAACTGGTGGGAATCCAGCAAACGTGATTGGCTCTCCTCAGACTGTTCTTGGAAAGCAACAAGCACTCTTGCAAGCCAAACTTCCTATCAGCTTACATATGTACATTGTAATCGTTACTTCCGTTTCTGTCGTATACATAATATCTCCGAGCAAAAGAATGACCTCAACTCACTTTGAAACATTCCCCTATGTACAGCAGACCAAAGCACAAACACAGATATCCTTACACCATTACGACTTGGCAGACCTCCCCATACTATTCTACCTCGCATGCGCTGACATTGAAGCCTCGCGCGACTCATGGCTTTGTTCCACCGTCACCGTCTTAAAGATAACCGCCTCCATATTCGCACTCTTCCTTCTCTCTTTCGACTGCCACGGTTCCATACGCCCTTGCTCCTCCGCACTCGTAGTATCAGTTGTTACATCCGTCCTGCTCATCCCATGCTTCCCGCTCTCAACTAGGTCAAGGCCTCCATTCTTAACCCATTCCGCATCCACGTCGCCATCGCTTCTCTCCCGTTCCCTCAGCTCAACTAAACTCTTTGAACTAGTGTTGCTAGTATTCCTCCTGCTTCTTCCCAGCCCGCTTTTGCCTCCACCCGTGACTGTTCCACTCCCATCCTCGTAACGGTCGTCACCATGCTCTTCAGAGCCATCGAGCTTGATCTTCAGAGCAGGGAGAAAGTATTCGAGTAGAGTGCGACAGGCAGGCAGACAAGCGCAGATGATACCGAAAGAGAGCTCGAGGTGAGAGAAAACAATGATTGGCGCTTGATCATCTAGATATTTATCAGTAGACTTTCCACATGATAGAGAAAGGAGCACCCACAAGAGATATCCGAGCTGCCTTTCAACTTCCGTAAACTGGGCAAGCGCAAGAGACTGAATACTATAACCCCACTCCCCACACTGAACATGACCAAAACGTTAACCTTTCTTTTTATACTTAATTCCAGCTTCCAAAGAGTTGGGATCGGTAACAAGAGGATTATCAAGTTCAGTACGATGCTGAGTCCAGATCCTGCATATAGTGCAGCGTACTGATTGATGCATTTCGTTTGAGAGCTGAAGGGGAGAGACCAGTTTGTCCAGTATCCGCTAAAGGGGATGCATTGGAAGGCAAGAGCGATTATCAGTGAAAGACCAGTGAGGATCACGAGTAGGGAGAGAATCTGAACTTGGAGGCGGAATTGGCGATTGGGGAATATACGGAGGAAGAAGAGCAGAAGCGATAGTTTCGTCAGAGTAGTTGTGAGTGTGTACGCGAGCTCGGTGATGTAGAAGAACTGATATCCTGGTTAGTGCATTCTCTCCGCGAAAGATGTTAGAGTCGTACCTTGAGAGCAGTGATGATTTGATTTTCGGTCAGCCAGTACGTATGCTGTCCGAATCCGTTTAATACCAGGCCCAACGAAGTGCCAACACCACTGAGATAGGAAATAAATGCTGCGACCATGGTCCAGTCATCCGATCCAAGTCCAACTCCTAACAGCAATCGTCCAACAATTCGTCCGGTCAGGAAGCAAAAGGTCAGGAAGGGAACAGTATAATCGACATGAAGCACCATGTTCAAGCGACTCTTGTCATTCTCGATACCACAGCTCACGGCAGTGTATCGTTCTAACTGTAATATGTCGAGCACATTACATGATTGGAGCGCACAAGCCGAGACGGCGGCTGTAACGTTTGGATGCGTACACGCACAAGTGACATTCGATATCGATCCGCAAAATTCGGGTATATAAGTCGCTAAGCAAGTCGACTGGAAATAAAGTGTAAGCTATAATCATGCAGCGATCATTCTATACTGACAGAACATTCTGGCGGTGTCGCCGCATCTCGTTCTTGTAACTCGTATCCATTAACAATACTCGCACATCCAAACCCCCACAAACAGACTTGAAGAAGAGAAACAAAGCGCATTTTCATTTCACTTGCGGCCGAGAACGCTCAACCTGCAGACAACAACAGAAGAATAACGAATGAAAGAGGAAGAAGTCGATCTGAGGCGACCATACTTGAGATCATGTCAACGATGTAACTTTGACATTGATTGACATCTCGCGGCTGGAACTTGAGATCCACCTCTCCGGGGGCTGCCAGGGGCATTTGTTCCTTGCATTTGAGGCGATCCACGCCTGATTCAGAGGTTGAAAGGGAGTTTTTGGCGAGGGTTTAAATCCTTGGAACGCTGCGTGCAGTATATCAGGAGCTGTAGATGCCGATCTTATACTCTAATAAAGTTTTCATCCCACTTTTGTAGAGTTGAACTCAAAAGCATGTTTCTGTCATGATCGTGGTTTTGCTCTTTCAGACGACGCGACACTCGTCGCAATGTCGAAGTGTAGTGCTCCATTCAGAACCAAACCTTCTATATGTGGTATCCAAGGCGACGACGACTTGAGGTTCCTCGTTCAAGAGCCTCAATGGGAATCCCATGAACCAGAACCATGGCCACATCCTCCCTCCTATTCTTTCCTAGAGCATTTTCAATCTCTGCAAAGGGACGAAGCCCCACCCAGAGACGCAACATGGATAGGTACGGGGAAACCACCTCGGCATTTGAGAAAAACGCACTGTTCGCGATGTCTCAGCAAGGCATTCCCAGTAACCAGGGTCAGTGCGTGCAGTAGCTGCGGACCGTTGCGATGTCAGGACTCTGTGGACCTAGGAAATGGTGAAGTGTTGGGGAGTAAAGTTTACTCGTGTCGAGGACCGGCGTCATAGACAATGTAGTTTTGACATATCATTCGAGCTGAGAGGAAAGATAAAACTTTGAATGGGATGAGATCTCGTTCCATGCCCAGAGTCTTATGCAAAAGATCGTACGCACGGTACTTGTCTTGAGGTGGGGCTTTGCCTGCGTGTCGCAGCGTATCGCAACTTGTGTCATCTGACTTCTGTAGAAGTTGAGTTTGAATCTTCATCGAGCCAGTTTTGGAGAGAAAAAGTAGATTTCCGAGGTGCTGATAGAGTGCTTACTGAAATCTAGGTACCCATTCGTTGGTTCTGCCTCGGATACTGTAGGCGAAAGCGACGATTATTACATTCCCCGGAGCCAAAAGATGTCCGACGCATGCGAGGGCTTGGAAGTCGGCTCGGAACGTCCATTTTATCATATGTCCGTCGTTGTTTTCACGCACCCTTCTTTTCTTGCGCATAGATCAAGCAAGTAAGGTTGAATCTCTGACAAATATGTCGGCCGCCCAATAAAATTGGTTTCGGCCTGGCCCGTACGAGGAGGAAAATGAGATGATTTCGGCTCACTTCTTTCCTGATTGGGTGGAACGTGCGACAGGCTGTCAGCAAAATGGCCATCAGCAATGTCGATACCCGCTTGATGGTACGTACCGTCGCTTCCGGAAACGTTATAAGAAAGTCGTTGCATCTTTCCGGAGGAATTGTTGACTTCTTGTCATTTTTGTCATTGTTGTTGCTTGTATATAACACTCTTTTCAGCCGCCTTGCACAGACATTGCGAGCTGTACAACGCCTCCGCCTCCATACCAGAATGTCTCTCAAAGAAAAGTCAGCGAGCGCTGAGAAGCATGATCGCTTGCGCGTGATCATCGTTGGGGGTTCTATCGCAGGATTGACATTGGCACATTCTCTCCATCACAGTAATGTCGACTTCGTGGTGTTAGAAGCAGGCAAAGAGCTTGCTCCTCAAGTTGGAGCATCTATCGTGGTTTTTCCCAATGGCGCTAGAATTCTGGATCAGCTGGGCATGTTTGACCAGATTCTGGCTTCAACGGAGAGTTTGACCTTGGGGACGAATTGGACGGAAGATGGGAAGATGCTGTTGCAGACCGATGCACCGTTGTTGATTGAAGCCCGGTAAGATGGCTTACGACACAAGCTCCAAGTGTCTCTAGCAGAATGTTTGGGCCCTGATGCAGAGAACTTCAGTCTGTCCGGGATAGAATTCGCTGACTGTCAGTAGCACGGGGTATCCAGGTTCATTCATGTCACGTCAGCTTCTGCTCGACATTCTTTCCAAGAATATCCATGATAAATCCAAAGTCCATACATCAAAACGAGTTTGCGATGTGAAACAGAATGACGACGGCGTGGTTGTAACTTGCGAGGACGGTTCTTCGTATACTGGTGACATCGTGGTCGGGGCTGATGGCATCCACAGCACTGTTAGGACATTCATGCAAAATCATATTGACAAGAAAGCTCCTGGGAAAGCAGACAAAGACAGGAAATCAATCACAGCGGAGTATAATTGCATTTTCGGCATTGGCGGCGCGGTCGAAGGAGATCTTATTCCTGGAGAGACGCATAGATCTTACTGCAACGGTTACTCTACCTTGTCGTTTGTAGGTCATGATGATTCACTGTACTGGTTCTTGTTTTCGAAGCTCGATAAGAAGTATCATGGAAAGGACATACCAAAATACACGAAAGCAGACGTCGACGAAGCCATCAAACCATTCTTCAACATTCATTTGACAGATTCGATAAAATTCGACAAAGTGTGGGAGAAGCGAACTTTCGCAAATATGACCAGCGTTGAGGAGTCTATCAACGAGAACTGGACCTCGGATAGATTTGTCTGTATTGGTGACTCAATCCACAAGGTAAGTATCGTCATAAGGCGTCTGTAAGATGAAAAGTAACACGTGCAGGTGACACCGAATGCAGGAGCCGGTGGAAATGCAGCAATCGAAAGCGCAGCAGCGCTTGCAAATAGCTTGGCAACGCTGAAGAACACAAAAAAGCCATCGCTAGTAGAGATCCAGACAGCCCTGCGTCAGTTCTACGAGAAACGACACGAAAGGGCGAACGTAATCATCGAAACAGCGAACAAACTTACACGAATTGAAGCTTTGGAAACCCTAAAAGACAAGGCGATAGTCTACTACGCGCTCCCATATCTGGCCGATTCTCTGGTGAACCGTAATTCGAATTCCACGATTGGTGCTGAACTGCTCGATTTCTTGCCAGAGCCTAAGAGGTCACTCGAAGCAATGATGCCTTGGAATCCAAATGGAGGCTTGGGGAAAGAGGAGAGCAGATTACTACGAGCACTCTATGCAGTGCCACTTTTGCTGATCACGTACGCGTGCCATCGAACGATGGGTGCCACCATCAGCGCGCTTGTCGTTCCCTCCTCGGCGGCTGGAACAGTGACCTTGAGCCCTAGCGTGGTGGTACCTCTGTGTACAAAGTTCTTCGGTGTTGAAGGGCTCGACAAGTTCATCTCAAAATTTGTTGCCTTCTTCACCCCAGCTATTGCAAACTCTGATCCGATTGGCCAACTGCAAGCACTCGCCTTCCTTGGAGACCTAATTCCGATACAGACGATATGGATGATTGAAGGTATCCGTCGAGGCAACTCTGGAACCGTTGCAGACCTATTGTGAGTCAAGATCCATCCCGTTGTCCGTTGGCTAGTCTCGACATGAAAGAAATGTAATGTCTGGCATAAGACAGATATTCCTGCTATTCCAAGCAAGAAGAACAGGGCTGACACTCTGTAGACCAACGATCTTGGGTGTTTTGTTCCAGATTCGAGGTATTGGGTATATAGCCCCCATATACTACTTTCTGCATTATGTCCAGTCTCCGCTTGAAAATTATGCTGCGCCAGACAACCGCATGATGCAAATGGGACCTGTCAAGACAATCATCCCGACAATATTATTGTCCTATATCCTCCCTTCGGTAGCCATGTTCACCGCGCCAAGTCTTACAACTCGCCAGTGGGTTAATGGTCTCTTCTGGCAGCCGTTCCCAATATACGCATCGATTCTTCAACGAGTCCTCCCTAGATTCGTGAAGGACACGACACAGACGGACAGGATCTCGAGGCCCGAAGCTGATATGCCATATCTTCGCGCAGCATATGGATTCGCAGCTACTGCAGCAGCTTGTGGATATCTCTATGTGCGCTTCAAGTCTCCTGTATCCTTGATGAAGATCTTCTTCGACGGCATTGCGAACCCAACTGAGGCTCTGCCCTTGATCATGGGCGCGACTAAAGCATTGAAGTATGATCAAATTGCGGCCTTCAGTGCTGGAGCGATCTGGACTCTGCTGAGTTTCGCCGACTTGAAGAAGGCTAAGAAGCTCGAGGCTGGGTGGGGACGCGTCCTAGGCGTTTTTGCTGGTACGACTTTGACTGCTGGTCCAGGAGCAGCAATGGCAGTAATGTGGGCATGGCGTGAAGAGACATTGGCGAAGCGGAGAAGTCGTACGGTCGAGAAGAAGTAGCTGTTATGACCGTGTTGAGTATATTTTGCTGCATTGTCCCGCGACATTCAGGCGAATGGAAGCGGAAATGGAGGGGTATCCCATGCCAATCGAAGACAGAGACGTCCAAGATGGCCAATAATATTGATATCATGGAGTTGTAGAGCGTAGGATAATACAAAGTGCCATCTCTCTCTTCGTAAGAGGTTCGACGTTCAAAGTATGAAGTGACCTTGTAATGGAAACGAACTTCTGAAATCCCAAAGAGGTTTCGGACATCGGAGATAACAAATCGAGCCTTGTCGGATCCGTGCTGCGCTAGGATAATCCTCGGTACAGCTGATAGCTCTCGCCGCCTGAACCTCAAGGCCGCTACAATTTTATCTCTGGGGAAGAGCAAAGTGTCCTTTTTGGCTACGAACAAGGATAGCTCCCATCTCACTTCAATTCGACTCTTTGTTGCAATTTGGCCCTTGGGACTTGTGGACAGATTTATGCGGGCAATCTAGGCACCATAAAACTTCTCCTTTGTCACCTCTTGCGGCGAAAACTGCTTCATTCTTTTAGCAGTTACCACAACCACCCAACATGGCCTCTCGTTCCCCACATAGACTGTTATCCTCGCCCCTGGTTGCGATATTATGCCTTTTCTACCTTTTCAGCTCTACCGCACTGGCTGCGTCTGCCGTTCTCGGTGTAGATCTGGGCACCGAATACATCAAGGCAGCGCTTGTTAAGCCAGGAATTCCACTCGAAATCGTCCTGACCAAGGATTCACGGCGGAAAGAGGCGTCTGCGGTAGCATTCAAGCCAGCGAAGAACATCAAGAGCGGAGACTTCCCCGAACGACTCTATGGCTCAGACGCCATTGCATTGTCTGCGAGATTTCCCGGAGATGTATACCCAAATCTAAAGAGGCTCTTAGGCTTGGGAGTAGACAATTCTGTGGTGGTGGACTACGCTGCCAGACATCCTGCATTGAAGCTTGAGGAAGACAAGACCAGAGGCACAGCTGCGTTCCGAAGTGGAGCATTTACAGCTGACGAGGCACCATGGACGGTGGAGGAGATACTAGCTATGGAGCTCCAGAGCATACAGAAGAATGCCGAGGCTCTAGCAGGAAAGGGAAGCTCAATTAAGGACTTGGTCATCACTGTCCCCGTATTCTTCTCTGCGGAGGAGAAGAGGGCGGTAGAATTGGCTGCTGAACTGGCTGGGCTTCGAGTCCTTGAATTGGTCAGCGATGGATTGGCTGTCGGTCTGAATTACGCCACCTCTCGAACATTCCCCAGCATCAATGAGGGAGGAAACCCCGAATACCACATGGTTTTTGATATGGGAGCTGGTTCTACAAAGGCGACAATTTTGAGATTTCAAGGACGAACGGTGAAGGACGTTGGAAAGTACAACAAGACAATCCAGGAGGTCGCAGTGTTGGGAAGCGGTTGGGACAGGACACTTGGTGGAGACGCCCTGAATGCCATCATTGTTGATGATATGATTGCCAAGTTTGTTGCGTCCCCAGGCGCGAAGAGCGTCGGGCCAACCATTGAAGCTGTTCAAGGTCACGGAAGAGCTGCCGCGAAGCTTTGGAAGGAGGCCGAGAGACTGAGACATGTCCTTAGTGCTAACACCAACACGCAAGCCAGCTTTGAAGGATTGTACGAGGACATTGATTTCAAGTACAAGATCACGAGAGAGGAATTTGAGCAGATGACCGAGTCTTATGCTGCACGAATTGGTATTGCAATGCAAAAGGCCTTAGATATGGCCAATTTGGAGGCCAACGACATCGAATCACTCATTCTCCATGGTGGTGCTATGCGCACTCCTTTCGTCCAGAAAGAGCTTGAAAAGTTCATTGGCAATGCAGACAAGGTCCGAACCAACGTGAACGCAGATGAAGCAGCAGTGTTTGGTGCTGGCTTCCGAGGCGCTGGTCTTAGCCCTTCATTCAGAGTCAAAGAGATTAGAGCTTCTGAAGGAGTCACATATCCTGCAGGAATTAAGTGGATCAACATCCACGAGAAGCCACAGCACATTCGGTTATGGAACGCGAACTCACACTTGGGCTCTGAGAAGCAGTATACCTTCAAGAATCAGGAAGATCCATTCGCTATCAAGTTCTACCAGCACGTGGCATCTTCAGAGGATGTCTCCAAGGGATCAGCGGAGAAAGATTTGATCACACTCACAACACAGAACCTTACCGATTCTGTGGCTCATCTCAAAACCAAATTCGGCTGCACTGATGGCGACATCAACATCAAGCTAAGCACCCGTTTAGCTGCTAGCAATGGCGAGGTTGAGATTACCAAGTTCATCCTTGACTGCGAGGTTGAGGCCGTAGAGGAGAAGGAGAGCATGGTTGATAGTGTGAAAGGTCTTTTTGGCTTTGGCAAGAAAGATCAGATTCCTCTTTCTGAGGAGGAAGCTGAGAGCAGCACGAGCACATCAGAATCTGCATCCAGTGGCACATCTACGTCGACGGACGGTTCCGCGTCTGCTTCCACGACTCCTTCAACCAAGGATGCGAAAGCTAAAGATGCAAAGAGCAAGTCTCTGAAACCTACCAAGCGTTTTGAGGTCGTTCCTTTGAAGTACACTGTCGAGAAGACCGGCCGTCCTCAACTACCTGCATCGGAGCTTACTCGCATGAAAGAGCGTATCGCCGCTTTTGATGACTCTGATCGCTCCCGCAAGCTCAGAGAAGAATCGCTGAACCAATTGGAAGGTTTTGTCTACAAGGTCCGTGATCTTCTCGAGAACGAAGCTTTCATTGCTGCGTCTACTGAGAAGGAGAGAGCGGAACTTGAGACCAAGTCCAAGGCCGCCAGCGATTGGATATATTCCGGTGGAACCGACGCACCACGAGACGAGTTGAAGTCAAAGCTCAAGGAAATGAAAGACATCGTCAAGCCCATTGAAGTGCGGAAGGAGGAAGCAGCGACACGACCTGAGAAGCTTAAGGCTCTTCAAGACGCCTTGAACCAGACCCAACAAGTCATCATAGGCATCACTGAGCAGATTGCAAATGATACCAAAGCACACGCTGAATTTAGTGCTTCTAAATCGGCAGCTTCTACAGCAAAGACAACTCCAGCACCCAGTAGCACACCTGATGAGTTTGCGGGCCTGGAAGACGATGAAGCCACGACCACCACAACCGCGCCTGTCGAGGAGGCAACTCTAGACCCACCAGTTTATAGCGAAGCCGATTTAATCCTTCCTCAATCACAATATGACACCATATCAAAGTGGCTATCTGAGAAGCTTTCTGAGCAAGAAAAGCTTGGCCCTACCGACGACCCGGTCATGCTCTCCAAAGACCTGGAAGCAAAAGCCAAAACTCTTACAGATATTCACGTCGAGCTTATCATGAAGAGCATGCGTAAACCATTCAAGTCAAGCCGTCCTCCTCCCAAACCCAAGTCCAAGCCGAAGAAGACGTCTTCTAAGAAGAAGGGCAAGGGGTCGAAGACAGAATCGGTCGATCCCGCGTCGATGACAATGAACTACGGCCAGGGTGGAAAGCCAATGTTCACTCTTGGCCCAGATGGGGAATTACCCAGCGAGGAGGAGATCTTGGCCTTTGTTGAACAAAATAAGAAGGACCAAGCGGCTACGGAAGCCAAGGCAAAAAAGGAAGGTAAGGCAAGTGGTGACGATGCCACTACCGGGGAGTCTGGGGATAAAAAGAAGCATGATGAGTTGTGATTAGACAGGAGCATGGTTCTGGAGTACATTAGCGATTTGATAGTACAAAATATCCATAAGCCTTACCGGGCTTTGCATCTATGTTTCCATCTTTTACTTCAGATCTTCGTAAGAGCCGGACTTTTGCACTTTGGTAAATCATCTATGTTAAACGCTTGCTTGGCGTGGAGCTTTGCCAGCCGACGCACGATGACGATAACTAGATGTGATTCGACCTCTGGTTACATTCTTATCGTTCTCCTCATGCGAGACTATCTCCGAAGCAGAACTTTGCTGCGAGGTACCTCGGATGGTCCCACCCTCTAAGCAGTATCCAGCATAGCTTCTTCCCTAGCCTTCAAGCTTTACTTACGTCAAACCACGTGAAACAAACATCTCCTCATTTGACAACCATTCCAGAACCTCAACGTTATCACTAGACTCCTGTTTCATGCATGCAAGTTCAATGGTCCTTGCATTCAACTCTATTTAGAAGCCGAATTGTTGCATATCGCATATCGCAGGCAACTGCCAAATCGGTCGGAGGTGACGAATCACTCGGTAATATTAACCTTATGCCGGGTGCCAGAGGATCTCCCCAAGGATGTGGGACATGTAAGAGGCGGAAAGTAGCAGTATGTAAGCCCCTTCATGTCGTCCAGGGGCCCACTGCAGCTGCAACCTAGAGACTTTATAATCATAAACTAACGGACTGTACATCAGTGCGACCGTCAGAGACCACTTTGTCTTCGCTGCACCAAAGCTGGACTGGAATGTAGTGGATACGACAAAGTTCTAACTTTCGTCAATAGAGATGCTTCGAATATTCATAGTAGCGGGCGACAAGCTCTCACTTCTGCTTTTCAAACCGGTACCGGAGAAAAGAGACAGAAGTCGGCCCAAAGACGCAATGCAGCATCTCCATCAATGAGATCAAGATCCGAATCACCCGCCAGTATCGCGGTTTCACCCACTAAGTCAATCGTCAAGCAAGAACATCTGGTCTCTCAAGAAGAGCTCCATATTGCCCTCCGCAATGGCACAGCAGCAGCTTCTCTTCAAGACCGCCAAAAGCTCTTTGGAACCTCGGTCATCAGATTGCCAATGCTAGGTCTCCTGACTCGGTACTATGTCGCCGAAGGAGACGCGCTCAATCAAGCCGAGCTGTACAACCAAATCAACAAAGTTTTAGATCCGACTCGAATTTTCGACTCAGCTATTGCGGCAGCTGCTCTTACGAGATGTGGTCAAGTGGATCATGACCAGGAGCTGGTGTTTCAAGGAACAGATCAGTATGGGAGGACTATCAAAGGGTTGATGAAGGTGCTGCAAGATCCAAAGTTGAGATTGGAGGATGAGACGTTGGCTGTCTGTGTGCTGTTGTCTGCTTATGAGGTATGTGTTTCTACCTTTTGTTGGCAATTAGTACTGATCCTGATGTAGTTGTTTGCGGGTACTGACCCATACTTGTCACCTTGGATTTCGCATATGGATGGTGTGGCCCAATTGATTAAGCTTCGTGGTCCTGAGCGACATCAGTCATCTCTAGGTCATCAAATCTTCCTTCATTATCGGACGAGTGCTGTATGTCCTTCTCCGCCCACATCATCTCCTCTCAAGACTCCAACTAAACCAGTCTCTAGGCCCTACAAGCTGTCATGTCTCGAAAATCCTCGTTCCTCTCGACATTGGAATGGCTCACTATCCCATTCGTCACCACCCCTAAAGACTTCTTCCATCTTCTGCTCGACCTTGTCTTTGATCTTGCCAGTATCCTTGAACTGTCAGATACCGCTGCTATCATTTCTGTACCCGAAATTCGTACACGCCAACAAATCAACGCTCGATGTACAGCCTTGAGTCAAAGATTCGAATCCTGGTTCAAGGCTCCTCAACTAGGTCTGGGCCGCACTGCTTGGAGAAAAATAAGGAGCAAGATAATGGTTGCAGAAGATAGGAAGAATGAGGGCAGAGTATTCACATCGTATTACGAATTTGAAAATCTGGTGGTCGCACAAGTCCTGCTTAGCTATTGGTGTGTACTTGTATCTCGTCCCCGCTGATGGCTAACTTAATTTTGAACACAGGGCCGCATCAATAATCCTCTCAACTACAGCGCTCTTGAACGTTGCTGCGTTGGCTGTTCTAACGCCACCTTCGACAGCGGAGTCCTCGAGCTCGCAAGAATCGATGCTTGACTCAATGAAGAAGAACGCCATAGATATAGCCAAGTCAATACCGTATTGTCTCCAGCCTCAACACAAGACAGCAGGACCAATTATTACAGTCCATCCTCTTCACGTGGCTATGCAAGTCTTCTCCAAGTTCGACATGCAAAGAGAGTTGAGATGGTGTGAGGAAGTGTTCGATATTGTGTGCAGGGGTGGTTCGCCTTTCAAAGACGCTCCGTCTGAGGAAAGTGGCGATGCCAGAACTGGAAAAGAGAGCGGAGAAGTTGAACTGAGATACCAATTGCATTTGCCAAAATTTGGGAAAAGCGCCTTGAGCCTGGGGTGAAGGTTCGTGGACATTCCCCACGGGGTTTGAGCAAATTCGAGGAAACGAATCAAGCTTTAACGTATTCGACTTCGATTCCATCGACGAGCACTACGATTCCTCGAGCAGTGAACGCTACTTTCCGCTCCACAAACTTCTTCTCCGAGGATTGGACTTGGAGCGAGTCATAATTGCGAGACGAGCTTGAGCGCTGCAGGGCTCGAACTTGGCGTAAAAGCAAGAAGAATTTCCAAGTGAACACAGCACTTCTGGGAATTGTTAGCTGAGCTGCATGGGATGTAGGGAAAGATGTTTACAAGAACATGCCAAGGACAAGAATGACAAGCATTCCTTCTCTCGGGAACAATTTGTCGACAAGGTCTTGCATGGTTGCCATTTCCCCGAGAAATCTGGATTTCTCGTATCGCAAAGTCTAGGTCCGTTGTCAGCTGCAATGATGTCGATAGGTGAAGGATGCGAAAGCGGCATGCTCTCTTTGCTCCAAATGCTAGTGTGGTTTTAATACGCTCGAGCGAGGCCTCGTAAGCCTCGGCGAAATGTAGCTTCACGATGCCGACATCTACATGGGAGGGTTCACTTGATTCATTTACCAAGCCAAGGCCCCCCTTTCTTTAGCGAGAGACTGACGAGAAGCTTAAATTAATCTCATATAAACTTAATGTATATCCAATAGTTTCCGACTCGCTATATTTCATCTTTTCTTTCCAGTTTTTGAAAAGCTTCAGAAGCTTTCCCGAATGATCCGGCTTGGCAAGAAACCCAGCCGTATTCGCTACCACTCCAGCATCACAAATGCAGCTGCCTGAAAGGATCACAACCCCGCCTTCTACACGTGATATGCGCAACATATCCCAAAGCAGGCTGTTTTTGCTCGTCTCGCGCTCCAGTTACAGACACACTCCTCCCTCATTCGTCCGAGTTTATGCAGTTGCTACGCAAATAAGCTCGTATTATCCACTCACCTTCTGATGGGCTGCATGGGTGTATGCGTTACGTTCTATTGATGGGGATGTTGGCCATGGAACTTCTTGGCTACTGTAAAGCGTTTGCATTCCTCGTTGACGTCGTGCTTTGCTTGCTACTATCGCATGTCTTGTTGCAATGTGTACTCGGTTTTGAAGTCGCCCGAAGTTCCTTGGCGCCGTCGTACAGTTCTTTTGGTCAACGCTGATGTGAGGGGTTGCGGCGCGGGGTCAGCTCACATTCGCTTTGTGATATTGAACCACTCTTGAGAAACAGCAAAATGAGGGCATTCGCAAAACTATTATGGCTCTGCGCCATGCAGGTCATATACGCCATTGATGTGGACTGGAGTAGTTCAGGTGACTCTCCTTAATCCCAAATCATGATTTAAATTGATTCGATTTCTACCCAGATTCTATCAAAGCTGGCGCAAGGATAGCCTTAGATGGAATGATGTCCTACTACACCGGGAACCTCAGCGGCCAAATCCCAGGTCTACTTCCTGCACCCTACTACTGGTGGGAAGCTGGTGGGATGTGGGGAGCTCTCGTTGATTACTACCACTACACCGGAGACCCAACCTACAACGCAGTCACTATGCAAGCATTACAGTTCCAAGTGGGCCCCTACAATGATTTCATGCCTCCCAACGAAACAGCATCACTGGGAAATGACGATCAATCATTCTGGGCTTTAGCAGCGCTAAGTGCAGCAGAGACGAACTTCCCCAACCCAGCTCCCGATCAACCTTCATGGTTGGCTCTCGTGCAAGCAGTATTCAACGAGCAGGTCTCCCGCTGGGACACCCAATACTGCAATGGCGGAATTAGATGGCAGATTTACCCCCAGAATAACGGGTATACGCTCAAGAACTCGATTTCCAACGGCTGTCTATTCAACATTGCCTCCCGCTTGGCGAGATATACGGGCGATGATATGTATGCGCAGTGGGCGGTCAAGATCTGGGATTGGATGAGCAGGATTGGGTTGATTGATGCGAATTACAACGTTTATGATAATTCCGAGGCGGACATTCTGAATTGTACGCAGGTTGATAAGAACCAGTGGGTTTATAACGCCGGGACTATGCTCATGGGTGCTTCTACCATGTATAACTACGTACGTCCTTCCCCTCTTCCATACAGCATCGTGTTGCTGATAAAGAACAGACAAACGGCTCAGCCCTCTGGCAAACCCGCACAGCAGGTCTCCTCTCCACCCTCGCCTTCGACTTCTTCCCAGGCGGCATAATGAAAGACATCTGCGAACAATACAACGCCTGCAACGTCGACGAACACTCCTTCAAAGCCTACCTCTCACGCTGGATGGCGGCCTCCACCAAAATGGCACCCTTCACATACAATACCTCGTACCCCCTCCTCGTCTCCTCCGCCAAAGCAGCAGCAGCCCAATGTAACGGCTCGCCAACGGGCAATGTATGTGGGCTGAAATGGTACAACAACGGGACGTGGGATGGAACGAATGGTGTCGGGCAGCAGATGGCGGCGCTGGAAGTCATGCTCGGGACGCTGATTAAGCAGACTACTGCTCCGGTGACGAATTCCACGGGCGGGACGTCCGTCGGGAATCCGACGGCGGGGTACAACTCCTCGAGTGTCCCGCCGGGAGAGGTGATTGTTCCTGCTAACCATGGGGATCGAGTCGGAGCGTGGTTTTTGACTGCGGTTCTGGGTTTGGCGGCGATGTGGTGTTGGTTGTTTATGAGTACGAGTGTTTTGGAGGGGAGAGGTGGGAAGCCGACTGTTGCGGGGAGGAAGGCGAGGGTAAGTAGGACGTGGGAGGGGGTTTGGAAGGGAAAGGGGAGAGAGACGAGTGTGGATCTTGGAGAGGATGGAGGGGTCATGAGAGAAGTGCAGCGTCCGAAACATGCTAGTGTTTTGTCGAAGAGGTCGATTGGAGATGATAGGGCGGGTGATAGGAGGAGTATTCCGATTTATAGGGGAGGTGACTTAGCTACTTGATAGTGTTAGAAAAGCAAGAAACAGAAATGAAGCATTTAAAAGCAACCATCTTGAAAGGAGGACCACACACGGTCCAGTTCTTGTCTTATAAGGAAGAAGGACTTGCTGATTGTACTGTTCGCGTACTACTTGACCTAGGTATTTAATGGAGACCCAGAGATGAAAGGCACTGGCTGTTAAAAACGGACTTGCGAAACACCCACTTACAAGATCCAATCGAAAAATTTAAAGGCCGATCACGGATATATGATCATTACCAAAGCCTTGCAATTACTTGTCGAATCATTCCGCCGTGCTAGGCTCTAGATTCAACCGCTGAAACATTCCGACATGCGCAATGCCCTCCTCCATCCAAGTACCCATTCCTTCATCGAGCTGAAATCCCCACTTCGCCCACGTCTTAGCAACTTGCTCCTGGGCATGAACACATATTAACCCCTTCCACACCGGTATCTCCCCAATATTCGACGCATTCATACCATCCATGCCCACTGTCTTGACCGAAGGGTTGAAGTATGTAAAGTTCTGTTGAATCCAAGTCATGGCAGCGCTAACAAGCAGCCTTGCGATTCCAGCCCCTCTGAATTCTTTCAAGACGGCAATTCTTCCAAGTTTCATGTATGGTTCCTTTCCGTCATGGTATGTTGTGGCTCTATCCACGATGTATGGAGGAGGTTGCGAGAAATCCCGTTCGGGGTCTGTTTCTAGAGCGTCTGCAGCGTATGAAGAGCCTGGCTCGGGGTGTGGTGGGTGTGGGAATGGAACGAGTCTGATGGTACCAATAGGTTGGCTTTTGGTTACGCTCTGCTTTCGAACGACGACGTTGCCAGCTGCATCTTTCTGCTCTGCTTGAGTGGTTGTGTTAACGGACGCATAGACAACCTGGAGTTGATTAGCATCAGGTTCCCGGACCACACTCAATCAACTTACCCAGTGGCATGCTCGCGGATCGTCCGAGTCGAATTCGTTCTCTTGAGGAACGCCTTGTTCTCTGACGAATATCTCTTCTCTTACTTCCATGGCGTCCAGGAAGGTTTTTGGTATGCTCTCCGGTTGCTGCGAGAAAGAGAACTTGTTGTCGTAATCGTCGAGGTTTGAGGGCCCTAGAAAGGAGATAAATGGCGTGCCCATGATGGCGATTTTACGTCTGAGTGCTGGAGCTCAGATTTATACTGGGAAGGCTGGATACGTCTTGAATCTGTCCCGCAGATGTTGCACCTGCACCCTCTCGGTATAGTCCACGAGCTGGGCGAGAGTCAAAATACTCTTTTGCAATTAATGCTGAGATCTTCTGTAAGATTCCGAGTCACTTCGAGCTTTGACAGCTTAAGCTTCTGGCCCGGCGATAACTTTATTGACAAGAGGAAAGCGCGACCGATTCTGGAATTAGTTGTGCTTCGAAGGGTCAATTCTGTATAGCAAAAGAAGTCTTGAAAGACTTTGAATTACCTGCTGCGGGGTGACTGATTCATCTGCAACTCAGAAGGTGGCAGATGACAGGTTTTTGAAGTGTTGATGTCGATCTTTTTCATGGATTGTGGCGAGTCAAGAGATGATTTTGGACCCTGTGGATTAAAGTTAATCCGGTTCCGATATATCTCACACTGAACTTCGTCATCTTTATCATTGATCTTTTCGATACATTCCTGATTGAAGTGCATGTTTATTCGAATATCAACTTTGAGGGGTATCTACTTCTATTGTTTGGAGAATCCTTTCGATACAAGTGGACTATCCAATACTTCGTCCCAAACATGCACCATTCTGGTGTTCTCACAAGACAACTTCACCTCTGTCCCTGTCCTGTCTATCATCTCTTTCTCGTATGCATCTATTGCTTCTGCTCTGCTTTTATTGGATTTTACAAAGTCAGAGATTTGCGATACGATCTCAGCAGCGTCTTTGATTGCCGAGTTCAGCCCTTGGCCTCGTTCTATCTCATGTTAGCTTTCACTCTCTCTTCAGTTTTTTCAACTCTACTCACGGAAGGTCATCGGATGAGCAGCATCACCGGCCAATGTCACTCTCCCTCCATGATTTTCCCACCGATGCTCAGGCAAGCTCGGATCCCACTGCGTCAAAGGCGCATACCAAACTGGCTGATCATCCTTTAACCACGCGAACGCGCTTCGAAATGGATCAGAAAACAACTCCGCAAAGCCTTGCACCTGTTTCAATCTCATCTCATTCGAAAACTCCTTATCTCTTTCTTGCTCAGCGTGAGAGTACGGCCACGAGATATAATGATTCATGATCCAATTCTCAGGATCTTCGACCTTTGGAGCAGAATGTAAACCCACCCAAGCCATATAACCGGCTGGATGCGGTGCCGCTACGAAGAGCGGATGCCAGGACCGGAGAAATTTGACTTGTTCGATTGTATATTTCGCTTGGACAATGGAGGCAGCAAATTCAAGTGTGGTGAGGGCAGCTTTTTCTGGTGCCAGCAAGAGATTCCGTACCAGTGATCGAGCTCCGTCGGCACCGATTATCATGCACCCAGTGGTGCTAGATCCATCCGCAAAGTGTGCTGTTACTGTCGCCCCATCGTCTGAGTAGGTAATGTTCGAGAGAGTCTTGCTGTATTGAATTTCAATCCCGTCTGCGATCAATGCTCGCAGTTTACTTCGGATGAGGCGGTAAAGATGTGGCGTCGTTGCTGCTCCGATTTGCTCTCCTGTTTGTCCATTCAGGAATTTGATTGTGTCTGCTGGTGGACATGGTCTATTGGGGTCAACTTGCGCGGCATCGAGCTTTGCGAATGCCTCTGGCGGTATCAAGGTCTTGAGAATGGGGATTCCCCTAACAATAAGTCAGCGCACCATTTGAATAAAGGAAGTGGAAGAAAATTCCAGAAATAGTGAACTGTGCTTCAAATATCCGGTCGCGATAATGGCCTTTTCGGCTTGGAAGGTTGGAGCTGGAAATTCTCCAGATCAAATCATGTCATGGTCGCACAAGTACTGCTACCATTCCCACTCTCAAGAATATACAACAGACTTGTTATATCCAAGTCCTATTTGACCGATCTGACTATGCTTCCAAGATGTTGAAAGTACAAGAATCGATATCAATGAAACAAAAGCTCATCAGCTCGCAATCAACTTACCAGTGTGCCCCCATATTCCAATCTCGCGCCCGCTGAAGGTTGCCTGGCTCTCTTTCGAAAAGAACATAGTTGATTCCCGTCTTTCATAGCATTGGATTAGCTCAATAATCTACGATAGAAGTATATTTACCTTTTTGAGACCCTGTGCAATGCTCAGGCCTGTGCAACCTGTTGTCACACAAGTCAACGACTCAGCATTATTAATTGGTGGTACCGCGCACTGCGCCGTCACAACTCACCTGCGCCAATGATCAGGACTGGGGCATTGGTTACGAGGCTCTCGGAACCAAGACTGGAACCAACATTGTGGGACATTTTGCGGCGAGGTGTGACCAGCTCAGTGCAAGACTGAGGCAGAGAGCAAATGATATCGAGGGTCGAAGTGAGGGGAGCGGTTCGTAAACATTGCCTCATCTACCAGTTCGAAATATTCCCTGCAATCAGATGGTGATCTGTGCAATCCCTGACTGCTGCTGCTGACTCGTGGTACCCTCGAGGTTCTGTGAACCCGACAAACCCAACCTTTGCAAACACCAAACATCACGCTAATAATCTATCACGAATCGTGCTGCCATTTGAAACCGCGACTTGGTGGAGTATGGCAGACACCAATAATTTAGCAGAGTTAGGAGGCGATCATCCTTCGGTGCATCTGTCAACGGCTGAGCCCGCCCCGGCTGTCTCAAGCGCTGATGCCGCCTTAATGGACCCCGACGCCGAGGACGAAGAGCTCACATCTGAAGAAGAGGAAGAGGAGGAAGCGGAAGAAGAGCACCACGACAACGACAATGATCGCGACTCAGCATATGGCGAAAGTCTCCAGGCCAGTGATATGGCCTCTATCACATCGGAAATAACTAAACATCGATATGAGAATGGACGGCGGTACCACGCTTATCGAGACGGTGCATATTGGGCGCCAAACGATGAAGTTCACAACGAACAACAGGATATGGCTCACCATTTGTGGCTTTTGACTTTTGACGATAAACTATATCTATCGCCCATTGCTACTCCACAGGTAAGCTGGATATACTCTTCATCCTCAATTGAAAAACGTTTTCTAACTATTTTTAGAACGTTCTGGACATTGGAACCGGCACAGGCATTTGGGCAATGTAAGTTTATGACCCCCCAAAACTCTAAAGTGAATGACATTGACTTTCCTAGCGACATGGCAGACATATTCCCAGCCGCAACAATAAAAGGCGTTGACCTCTCCCCCATCCAACCAAGCTGGATACCACCAAACTGCATATTCGAAATCGACGACGTTACGCTACCTTGGACCTTCCACGAGGAGTCTTACGACCTTGTACATATCCGCGAGATGTTTGGCTCAATTGGAGATTGGGACGAGCTATTTCTGCAAGCATATCAGACGCTCAAACCTGGAGGGTATCTGGAATGTGCTGAGCATTCTGTAACTCCGGTCAGTGATGATGGTACGGTTGGTCCAGATCACGTCTTCACACGTTATGGAGTAACCATGAATGAATTGGCGAGAAGAAGAGGGAAGGAATTCGATGTTTGGGTAACACTTGAGGAGCGGATGAAAAAAGCTGGGTTTGTGGATGTGGTTGCAATTAGGAAGAAGTGGCCGATGAATGGGTGGAGTTCTGATCAAAAAGAGAAGGAATTGGGAAGATGGAATCAATTGAGGGTCTCGCAAGGTATAGAAGGATTTGCCATGCGAATGCTGACGACTGTTGGTGGGGTAAGTTTGGGATAAGATGTTGGTTGAAGAGGAGACTGATTTGACGTAGTGGACACCTGCGCAAGTACAGATATTTGCTGCTCAGATAAGAGCTGCATTGAGGGATAGATCTGTTCATGGATATCTTGACGTGTAAGTACAAGGCTATCCTCACGAATGGACAATGTTCTAATTTGACCGCAGGATCGTCGTATACGGCCGGAAACCAGAATCATACGAGAAATCATATTAGCTCAACGATGAGAGGAATTGGCTAAACAGATAGCTTTACAGTATGCAACAAAGCCATTCCTACCACGATGCTTACCGCCGATCTGACTATGTCTCGTAGTTGCTGGTGCATTGGACTTCCCACTGATAAATATCTGGACCTGCATTCTATGAATCTAAAGACCTGCGAACATCCGACTGGGATACATGAATACAGAAGAACAACAATCCCAATTCTAATGCTCCGCCTCGGCAACAGCAGCCCGCTTTCCCATCACATCCATTTCAGAAGTCGATCCGGTGGCAGCACCCTTATCTCCGACATCCTTCTTCCTCCCCATAACCTTGAACGTCGCCGCATGCCATTGTCCCTGGAAGCACAACCCAGGATGAAACACCGTCAACGAAAGACTGGCAATTATAATCATCATCCCTTCAAGCACCATATACGTGCCTTCTTGATTATCCAATGGCCCGTGGAAACCTTTACTCAGCTCCGCAACACGGAACACGCTTCTGATAAAGATCCCGATCGTCGCTATCACCAGCGCGAACAGAAACGCTTTGAACAAGAAAATGTTGTAGATCTTATTCGCTGAATTGGATATACCAGCTCGGCGAACGGCGAACGCGAAATCGGTGCAAAGACCAATGAAGAGGAGCAGAGACGCAACTTGGAACGAGAGACCGGCGACCATGATGTGTTCTCCTGTATGAAGCGAACTTTGCGAGTTGGACGTCGAGGCCATACCTCCACCAATGGCTTGGAGAACAAGGGAGAATATATCGCAGGATATGAACGTTATGGTGTATGTGCGAGGCGAGAAGCGGGAAAGACGGGTACCGTACAGGACAACGATGCGAGAGAGGCAGAGATAGATAGCTGCGCTGAGGAACGCTGGTCCCATCGTCAAGGGAACGAGATAGCTATCGGCTACTTAGCTTCTTGCTAGAGTTTTGGGGATAGAATGGAAACTCACACAAGAAAGCCGCTCTTTTTGAAGGGATTGTAATGCAGTTCGATCCGCCCAATATAACCAGTCACCTCGAGTATCAAGCCTAGCACCATCCCCAACGAGAATCCCCATGTCTTGTAGCGAAATCCGAGCCCAAGTTGAGTGAGGAGCAGGAGGGCGAATATGCCTTCATACAAAGCATTACCGGGCAGAGATGGGACATAGTTAAACCATGCTTGTTCGTATGTATCGAGAGGGCAGATAGTCATGTTGCACTAGGGCAGAATGTCAATTCATCTATGGGAAGGTAAGGTATATCGAGCTCTACTTACAAATTCTGACGGTATGACGCCGAGACCAGTATGATTTAGCACATCGTATATCAGACCAAAACAATTACTGCTCGAGTTCCAACATGCTAGTCCTGTATACACGCACGGGTATATCTGAGGATCATTGGTGCAATGGACAATCGACCCATTGTGCAGCTGGATGTTTGGAAAAGACATTTCTTCCTTCTACTTTTTCGATTTTGTTGTGAGAGTCGAAAGCTTCTCGGGCCATTGCCCCAAGCTATATATTCTGAGGCTGGCACATAGCTAAGTCATAACGGTGAAGAGTCACCCCGCACCAATATCAATCGAACACAAGTGAGGCTTACAGACGCCTCTGTTTGAGCAATCATGAGGTGGTGGGGTGTATTGGGCGAAATTAGCGACAGGGATTGATTGGTGGCGTCCAATGCAGGGACCGGATTTGGTAATGGATGCCGAACAGGGGAGGAAAGTTCATCCGAGGCGGAGGCGCAGTTGAGGGTATTATCTTTTGAGGTTTGAAGGGATTGGGGAAAGGTATCTGGTGGTGATCTTCACTGTTGATCGCACTTTTGATAGCTTCAAGCACGATATCAATACCTCTTCTGGAAGCTCCAGATGTCCGAATTTGCTCCGAAATTCTTGCAATTCGTGGTTGCACGCTTGGATCTTGTTTTCGACGAGCAGTGCTTGTTGAAGGATTAATGAAGGATTATTGATGTTGTATTTTTGTGTTCTCATGTCTATATTGAGATTCCGGGATAGAGAGAAGAATACTGCTCCTCCTCCAAAGATCACTGGATAGTGAGCGATAGTGTCTAGTGTACCTCAAGATCTCGTTATGATTCGGATATCTACTCCAAGTCCAAATCCAAATTTTAAAGTTTGATATTTGGGTGGGTGAATTATTGTGGAACACGGACGAGACTTGTTACTGTTTTACCCTGCTACTGTATCATATCCCTGAACTTTCGATTTGGACGTGGAGAAGACAAGGAAGGACGAATATGACTTGAAATGACTTGAAAGAAGCCTGACGTGTTTATAAAGATATACAAACTCTTCGGACATTCTGTGTTTGTAAGATTTGAAAGCTTCGATCGTGTTGCTTATTATGAGTTAGAGTCGTAGCCATGTCTTTAACGATCAAGTAGCTCGCTTGATTCCAATAGCCTGCACCAAGCTTGGTAGGTCATGCATCATGCAGTCTTCAATCCTAAGGAGCAGGAGCAGGAGCAGCCTCTGAATTATCAGCCAACAAAGCTTCGACCTCCGCTCCCCTTCTACGCCTCTCCTCATAGGAGATCTCTTGTTTTGGTGACGTAGACCAACCAAGTCCTAATTCGGGATACTGAAGCGGAATATCGCCTTCGCGAGGCAAAATGTCTAAGTAGATTGGCCACGGTTTGCCCAACCACCCTGCGCGATTATCGTGGTCTTGACGTTGATTTGCGGTCAGAGGGTGGATGAGGATGCTAAGAATCGTGTCAGACACAAATCCGAACAGTATGCATCAGGTATCTGGTTGTTTGTGGCTTTTAGAAGAGAACTGCTGGAATAAGAAAGAGGAGTAGGCTCTTGTTTGCATACGCAGTAGAGAAAGATGTTGGCTCACCTTAGGTTGCCTCGATTTGAAGCCAAATAGAAGTAGACATCCGAGAATGACGAGTCGGGAACCCAGACTATAGCAAAGAAACTCATCAGCCTCGGTTCGCATCAAGTCAAAGTTTTTATTTCAATGGGTTCCCAGCACTAACTCTCGTACGATCCAGCTGGATGGGGTCCCATGGGAGATTTATTGACTCTGAACAGAGGGACAGCGACGAATGCGCCTATGGGAAAGTCAGCGATTGAAGCTTTTATCTTTTGGCTATGATCTTGCTATTTGAGCTTACCATCACGGCGTAGTCGCAGGACGGCATCACGAAGAGCGAGTGCTGCCGCGGTCTCAGCTGGTGACTGGAGCAAGAAATAAATATGGAAGTGCCATTCCCGAGTTCGACTCTCGACGACGGTTCTCAGGTCATCTTCTGGGGCAGAGATGACCTTGGTCATTTTGACGTAATACTACAGATAACGCTAAGAGGCTCCTTCAAGTGAAAAACAAGTTTCCCCTTATCTTGTTACGAGGTTGAGAGAATTCGCATCCGCAGTATAGTTACAATTGAGTGCGATGGATATGAACCTGTGGAGGTGAAGGACACTTGAGCACGCCATCCAAGCACCATTAGCGTGCGGAGACGGGTGAGAGACAATTCGGGAGATACGCGAGATCAAACACGTGATGGATCGACCTGCTAATTCTTCTGACTCCTGAATATTGAATCGTGTATGTATCTACGTGATAGAAAATGTAAGCGACTTGCTAAAGATCTTCTTTGGATCTTTCCCGCCCACTTAAGATATAAGGTCTGCCAAGGACGCTGTTTCGGCACGTGTTGTCATCGATCCCTAGCCATCTGAGGTACCAAGCAGCCCATACCTGAGCCCATCTCATCTTTGACCTGCTCGTCAAGAAGTCTCTCAGAGTTACATCGTCCCCCATTTCTTTGCTTTGGAGGTCTAATGTGTGCCACCAGTGTTCTACATCTAGCTCACCAGTCTTTACTCGGGGCTTGGTATTTGCTGTCTCATCCACCTCTTCGTCCATTTCTTTGAAGATCAAAGGCTGTCGAGAGACCGTAAGTCAAGTTCGGTCTCCTCTCCACGCTACCAAGAAAACCAAAGCTCCCCAGAAGCCATAATGTAAAATCTATCAAAGCTGCGATCGCCCTCTGCACGACAGGCGAAGAACTTCAGTTTATTATCTTTCCAAGACCTCATCAGATACTTGAGCGGAAACGCTCTGCCAGAATCGTGATACAGAAGACAAAGTCGATCAGCCTCCCAGTTCAGATAGATGAGTGCGGGCGACGCTCTCATTCCGCAATGCACAGCCGCCGCACAAGTTTGGTACCCGCCTAATGAAAGAGAATACCATCGAAGTCCTTCTTTCCTCGACTCCTGGCATGTGTGAAGCACTGAAGGTGACAAGCAATATGACATGAACATCCAGGCGTCGTTGTCAACGTGTTCAAGACACCTGACGTCGACGTTGTGCTGTTGAAAGCACACCTCTTTCCATATAAGCAGTCGAATCTCTAATGGAAGGCGACAGAATGGATGAAAGGTATCAAATGTCACCAGCGTGGTGGAAGGCTCAGATGTCATGTTGATAAATTCAAGTATCGAGTCCCTTTCGAGATGCGTTCAAGTTGAATGCCGCGGTGGTAGGTGAGAGCCTTTACTTTGCAGGATGGACAGATGTTAGGGCGAGTGGGATGATGCGTTCTGAAGAAGGAAAACGACTTTTTTGGAGACCTTATAGCGATTAAGCGAGCTGAGACTCAGGGAGCCGAAAAGGGGTATCACGTGGAGTACGATGAATTACGATTGCATTTGGGGCTCTAAAGCGCTGTCTGGAAAAGGATGGAATGAAAACAGTACATTGAATGCGATTCTATGTAGTTTTCCTACCTAGCGTATGTTGTTGAAAGAAGAAGGAGATCAAGACCTAGACTCTTGCTTCGCTTAGATGCTGGGATCCTTGTCCTCCGCAATTCCATGAGTCTAATTGTTGGCCTTTGCATTGGCTTCTTCAAAAGCAGTGTTACTAGGAAGCGTGATCTTGGACAGATGTTGCATAGTGCGTTCGATAGACTCAAAGCCCGTCATCTTCGGCCCAGTATCCACGAACTCAAACTGCTTGTCGATGCTGAAAGGAATTTGCCGGCAAACAAGACAATGTCAACGTCAAGATCAGCTAGATTCTTCAGCACATGAGCAAATCTAAGTCGTTCCATATGTAGTGAAATATTCAACGCAACATAGTGCAACCCTCTCGCGACACAAAGGTCAAGAAATACACCCAGAATGCTCATTGTATCTTTGCCCCGATGTGTTCCGCGCCCCATCACACAAATACGATCTATCTTCCAGTTTATGTACACTGAAGGCGAAGATTTCTTGGTGCTGATGTGACGTATGGGTGGCGAGGACGGAACATCGTGCGTATACCATCTCAGCCCTTCCTGTCGAGCTTCTTTATTGGTATGAAGAATAGGGGGAGGAGGGCAAGCGGTTGTGAAGTCCATGCCGTCGTAACCACTAGGTGAAGTATGGAGATTGATGTTTCGGGGAATGTGGGCTGCCGCTTTCCAAACCGCAAGGCGCAACTCGAGAGGAAGCTTGGGGAAGTGGTGGAAAGCTTCGAGCCGTAGACACGGCGAGGTGTCCATATCGAGAAACCAAGGATTACTCAACTCTGGACAGTTGAAGTAGGTGTATGTGTTGTGCAAGATTCTGTGTTAGGTCGTGGTCAAAAATTGGAAAGATAATCGGGTGCAAAGGGTATTTATGTAGACGCCAAGCTAGAAAGCAACGACAAGCGCCTAGACGGTGCTGGAAGAGATGCAACGTAGCTTCCGCCTAGCTCACCGTCTATATTACAGACGACAGTAAGTACTGGAAGTACAATTTATACCTCTTTAACAAATAGGAAACTACAGACTGTTCAAAAATTGCTATAGCATCCGCTTTTGTTGTTCATCCTTTGTATTTCAAGCCAGAAGAATCTGGTCAGGGACACATTTAGAATATGTGCGAAAATTGTATTCTACTTAAATAAATGCTGGAAGAGTATGATAGTGTCAAATTTCATCGGGACATTCTACTCCAGGAACGTCTCTGACAAGTAAGTGCAAGACGAAAACCAAGAACAAGGTCACGTGGTGCTGGTTTCCCTCCAGCTCATGGCTTTGGCATACTGCCGGTCGATTTGTGATTCTGCTGTACTCTTGTGGTCTCCAACAAATAGCACTGTATTATATGATAGTAACGGACATTCGGCATGTTTCAGAATTATGAAGTGCCGGTGGATCAATTCCATGCGAAGGTCATGTTTTGGTAGTGATTCACAGCCCAAGTATTTCCGGAGGTTTCGCCACCATAGCGATTGTCCGAGTACTGCAACTTTCTCAGTTTGTTTTTATAGTTGTGTGTATCACCTTCATCCTATTGTGAATAACTTTATTTCTTGCCTCGATAAGAAGGCAGACGCTACCCCAGCCGCTGATTCTGAGAATGTGATTCACTTACATCAAACCCAAATATGACTGAGAAGAGTACTTGCCACTACCATAAAATGTCTCTCTGGCTACTTCTTGACTTCTTTCCTACCAAAACATTCTGGAAGAAGAACCTGAAATATACTTCCACCAAGAAGAAACATTAAAGCTACTAGCCAAAACAAATACTTGAAGCACCCAACACCGCTCAGGATTAAACCACAAAGACTATCCAACAGAAACATTATCGCCTTCATCAAACAAGCTCCACAGTGCTAGAAAATATCTTCAAACAGCCTACAAACTCAAGCCTCTACTAAAAGGAGCGTTGTAAGCTCATGTGTTAAGTCGTATTTGTGTAAAGTCAATCACGGCTCCACAAAGACATAAAACACGTAGATGGACGGGGTAGGCTTCATTCAGAGAATGTGTTGCAAGGTGACATAACCCCCAGAATTTTCAGAGGGCAGATAGCTAACTTTTTTCCTCCGTAGTGTAAGAAGGTTTGCGACTTCGCTCGGGGAAGGTGTCAAATATGTAATCATATTCGGTGTAGAAATTGCGACAGACAATATGTGTTTGTTAAAGTTATGGACAAGTTGACGGCGTTGTCTCCGTGGTGAAGCTTGAGAGGACTAGAGGCGGGCAGCAAAGGAGGCAGATACGAAGACGAAGCCAGAATGATTTTCACCTGTAAGATAGATGCTGAAAGTGCTGATAGAGCATGATGAATTTGATCTTATTCTCTTGTTTCCACGAAATTGGTATGCTATCAAACAATTGTGATAATGTAATTTCCGTATTCATCAATGTTTTCACACTCTATCCAACGTGCGTTGACAGGCCCACTTCTTCCGTCAATTGAGGATACATTGATTTCTGCTGGGGTCTCGATATAAAGCAACCCAACCCTGTGAAACTGGCCAAGAGAAACGGCTGTGGGTTGTAGCACCAAGCCCCACACCTCGAAGTCTCCTCTCTCTTCTGATGGCCTGCTAAGGAAAGGCATATAGTGCAGATTAGCAGTAGACTCCAACTCATAATCTAACCGTAGGCCACGAGACCATTCTGTGAAGTCTTTCTGGTATATCTTCCAATTGTTGAGGTGTATCCAAAACCAATGTGATATCTTGACGCCAGACTGACTTGTTATGACACTCTCATCTGCCAATTCAATGGTCAAGAGAGGGCCCCTCAACTTGATGCAGCCACTCTCTACCTGGGCAAATTGATCTCCCCATGTAGTCTTCACTCGTACGTCCAAAATAGTCACTAGCTTTCTAACTCCAGTCCCTTGTATCTCGTCCTCGTCTGGAGCTGAAGCTGGAGGGAACTCCAACGTGCCATCGACACTGGCCCACGACCACGACGGCGCCAGATAAATGTTGGACTTACTGCAACTCGAATGCGTCTCTCGAGCCCATAGAATATTGGAGCGAAGATTAGACAGCCATATTCCTGCCAAATACTGATCATGCAATGCTTCCCCACATCTTCTAGCGATACCAGATAGCGCAATCAATTTGTCTGTTCCTCGCGTCAAACGACATGATGAATAAAGAGTGAGTGCATTCGACCAACACCTGTGGACGTTTCGGACGCTATCAGAAGACCCTTCGAGATCATACGAGCTTGTTTTCTTTGGGCTTTGCTATTGCCACTGAGTCGGGATGACTCTTTTGACAGCATATCTCAGGAAGAACGGATTCGGAACTCCTTCAGGAAAGACTTGACAAGCTTGCAGTTCCTGACATTCCCAGAACACTTGACGTTTTCCAAGATATAAAATTCGATGTGACAATACTCGCTCTTGGACAACCCAGCCACGAAGCATCAGAGGTGTTTCATCAACGTCCTCTTTCCATAACCATCGTCTGTGGATTTTGAAGCGATTGTTGTTGTGATTACTCCACATGGTAGTAATCTCGCAAGGTTCGTCCAGCAACCCATCGACATCATTTGAAGGAATAGCCGTAGCATTGCAGTCTTCCGACGCGATAGCTGCAATGTTACAGCTTCCTCCAGCATATATATCTCCCATAATAGCCCAAGAGCTCTTGCAACTACAGCTGCGTCTTGGAATGTTCTCGCAAGCTTCGTAGTCTCAATGCCTGTATACAACTCGTTGGCGGTCTCCGTCGTCAAGCGCAGAAATTGTGCTGTTCCCCACCGATGACTGAGTGTCATGTATGGACTATCGATTGATGCCTCTGCTGTGTCTCTGAGTCGCAGATAGCCATCTTGGAGGCTGCATAGGTCCAACAAGCGCGAAGGGTATGTAGTGCCCTCAGCTTTCTCGTTGCATTCGGGGTGAGATGTATGGCATGTTCTCAGCCACTGTCGTGCGTGGTCAAGCCGCGAGCGACGCTCAGTCGTAGGCGAAAGGGTGTCTTTTCTGCCCTGAGTTGATCCTGCCGTAATTAGCCTTTACCAAAGGCATTACTCTTAATTATCCTGATAGAGGTACGTACCAGATATTGGTGTCAGTGCAAAGTACGGCTCGAGCCATCTTGTATTGCAAGCTTCAGTGCCAAAGTCCTGTGCTACTCTGACGTCTATCGCTAACGAGAAACTATCCTCGTCGAAAGCAATGGTCCAGTTGAGATCCCAGGGCGAGTTGGGATGCGTGTTTGGGCCTTGGATTCCGAAATCTCCCTCAAAGCGACGTGAGAGTCGAGTCCAGTACCGGAATACATCTTGTTGAAGCACATCGCATATGTAACATCCACACGAAGCAGAGTAACACATATCTTTGAAACATCTCTTCACTGTGCCTGAATATTGCGCTAGCTTTTCCTTCCAATGCGCGGCGGTAGGGCTGAGAAATCGTTCGTGAGGAACCTGGATCTCTTCCAGATGACCCCGGAAAATTGACTGACATTCGTCGCATAGCATTATGAATCTGAGGAGTTTTCAAAGACAGAGGCTTTAAAGTAGGACTCCTTGCTTTGATTCGAGTTTGAAGAAACATTTTCGAGCAGGACACCTCAAGGGCATCAAAGTCAACGAGTCTTGCCTGCCTGCTCGGTGTGCAGCGCACCAGCTGAGCATTCTCATGCTGCCTCGACAAACATCAATGCTGTACAACATAGTTCACCTGCAAGAACTCGCGGTTGTGAAACGAAGGATAGGCTTATTCACGAACATGGTCGTACACGATGCTGTCTTGCATCAGAAATAAAATAAAGCAAAGAACCTCTCGAAGAGCAATGCGATCGGCGACTACAGCCAGGACTGTCATAGCCGTAGCAAAGCTAAATTACTTGTACTATTTGGAACGCAGATTTTCAGCGGCAAAGTTCAGTCGATGATGCTATCGCAGATGCTTGTTTGCGCTGTGAAGCTTTATGTTCACGCCCCCAGCCACTTTATCTACCAATTTCCAATCACAGGGCAATCGTCCTTTCGGCAAGGCTGATCCATCAATTGAGTCGATATTCTGCAGGAGCCTAACTGTGACATAGGCAATCTCAGCCATGGCGAATTGTTGTCCGATACATATCCGAGGGCCAGCGTTGAATGGGAGGTAGTTGAATCCAAACTTGCGCCCGTCCCATCGTTCTGGATTGAAGCTGTCAGCATCAGGGCCCCAAAATTCTGGGTCTGAATGCATTGTCCAAAGCTACACGGAAGAGATGTCAGCAGGGAGGAGAAGCCAGAGACACAATATAGATGACAAGAAGCAGAGACATACCTCCCAAGCAACAAGGTAACCTTTGGGTATAAATACTGGTGAAGTCCCATCCGGGCCACCTCCTACGGGCAGTGTTGTGTCCTTAGCGGCCTCACGGAAGTTGACTGGAACCGCAGGGTAGACTCGAAGGACTTCGTTCAAGCACCATTGAAGGTATGAACAGCTCTTGAGCCCGCTGAGCGTGATCTGCTTCGGTCGATCGAAGGTTCCAAACTCATCTATGATGATGCTGCGAAGCTTCTTGAAGATATGAGGATATTGTGCCAATGATGCAAAAAGGTAGCCCAGAGTTCCCGAGATGGTATCACTGCCTGCTAGAAGGATGTTCAACAGCTGGGAGCGGAGCTCCTCCGGATCCTTCACGTCAGCGACAATAGCATCCAAAACAACGTACTTTCCAGTCCCTGACTTTTTATCCGAGCCACTGTCCCTCAAGCGGCGCCAGACATACGTATCGACGAAGTTATGAACAGCTTTACACTGTTCTTTAAATTTGCGATCGTGCGTTAGCCAGTACAGGTCGCCGTACATCATAGATTTCGCCGTTGTCTTCTCTGCTGCGAAGAAGGCCTCTACGAATTGCATCATCTCCGTCTTAGAGAACAAAGTACTCGTATCTGTACTATCATCTTTCTGGCTGTGCACGCTTTCGCCAAAGAGAAACTCGGTGGCAGTATCCATAGTGAAACGTTCCAATAGCGGTTGCACATCCACAGTCGGAGTCCATTCGCCAGGCTCCACTGCACCTAGGAGGGCATGAAGAAGATCTTTGACATGCGTCTCGAATAGCCCTAGATCAGCTATCTGCTCACGTATGAATTGCGGTCTTAGAAGAGCTCGAGAGTGTTCCCATTTGGCTCCATTCGCTGAGAACTGTAGGAATTAGCTTCGCGTATGTTTCAAGTCGCACAACGTACAATACCGAGACCCAGGAGCGCATCCAACGCTCCCACTCTGGCCGCTGGTTGCTGGAAGTCTTGGAACTGGGTCGCTAGCACAGCCTGCAGGTTCTTCGGGTCGAAGGTGTAGTACCACGTCTCTCCTGGTGGGTAATATATTCGAAATGTTTTGCAGTCTCGTCCGACCTTTGCGCTCATTTCTTTCTTGCGATCTAGGAAGGCATAAGATAAGCGGTTGGTCTTCATTCCATTCGTCTCAATCTTGAAATTCTGCACGCCAAAGACATCCCAAGGTCGAAAGAGTGGTGCTGGTTGGCACCCGAAAGATTTCGCCTTCGCTGCATGTCTTACGTGTGCAACTACACAGTAGATTGTGACAACTGCTGCCACAGCCGGCAGCAAGAACAGTATTAAGCCCATGTTGGAGAATATTTGGGGTAGGACAGAGGTAGGACAGTCGATATTCTATGTAGGGCGACTTGTACATAATGTTGGTCTGACGCCGTCAAGCTTTAAGGTGCTTATCTCAGCTGATGCTGCCAAGGCGGCGTCAACTGAGATTCGCCTCGAATAAGGTTAGGGCAAAAACGGACCGTGTTAGTCAACCAAGATCTCTTCATACATGATATCCATTAATTTGAGGCAAAGGAGCTGTCTTCTACTGGTCCCTTGCGTCGATAAATTCATGTTAAGCTTATTCCAGATGCAAGTCGCAGTCTTGTGTGCCTTTTCAAGTAATCAGAGGCCTAAAACAGCCCCTAGAACACGGCATGCAGGGTAAGGTCCGAGGCGCACCACTCGGCCCCTGTACACAGTACAGTAGATATTTAACCCTCAACACAGAGCTTACGAGAGCTTGCCTCAATTGGCACGAGGGCCTTCGCATCTGCTGGTCGTACCCAGCCATCGAGCACTTTTTGGTGTTGGATTACAGAATAGGCTGCAATGGTTCGGTTCGCCGAAGAATTCTGGGTGAAGTGCCCATGAATTTCACTGTAGTAGAGCTTTGTTGGTGGGGTCTGTTGGAGAAGTAGCGAGTGTATCCGCTCGTCTTTCCCAATACAACACTTCTCACCTCTACAAATGCTTCTTTCCACTTTGCTACAACAAATATATTCGTAAGACTTATAGTTCTGTCTCGGCATGGAGTCTTCAACATATATTCTTCTCTCGGGTATAGGAGCAATGCTCCTTGCCTTTCTCTTGCATCAGATTCGTTATCGACTCGCTGTTGCCAATATCAAACGCAAAAATGGCTGCCTCGAACCCAGAATATACCCGCACAAAGATCCTATCTTTGGGCATGATTTATTTCTCAGCATGGGCAAAGCTATGAAAGCCGGCAAGTTGCTAGAAACGACCCAGAAGCTCTTCAATACCTACGGGAAAACGTTCCAAGTCAATTCCTGGGGTACAACTACGATCTACACCAGCGAGTCAACGAACATACAGACCGTCTTAGCATCGTCTTTTAAGAACTTTGGTGTAATGAAGATCGAACGACGTACGCCAGGAGGTTCGATCATGGCTGAAGGTATCTTTTCCGCAGACGGTCCTGTATGGGCACGTTCACGAGGCCTCATAAGACCAACATTTGCAAGGTCCGAAATTTCGAACTTCAATAGTTTGGAGAAACATGTCAGCCGATTTATCGAACTCATTCCTGTTGATGGATTGCCTGTGGACTTGCAGCCACTCTTGAAACACCTGGTATGCTTCTCGCCGTTTCTCAACTATCGGTCTAGTTATGCTAAGAGAGTTTCGAATGCAGTTCCTGGACATCTCCACCGAATTTCTGTTTGGCGAATCAGTGGATTCTCAGTTACCAGACACCCCCTTCGATTCCGTGCAATTCCTACAGGCGTTCGACACTTCTATGAGCGGCCTCGCAGCACGAATGATGCTCGGAAAGCTCAAATTCATTCGAGGTTTCGATACGAAGTGGAAAGCGGCTAACAAAACAGTGCTCTCCTATGTCGATAGACACGTTTCCAGGGTCCTCAAAGAAAGACCAGACTTCAAGCTGGATAGTGAAGATGGTGGGCAGAAGAAATACATTCTCTTGAACGAAATGGCGAAGGAAACTCAAGATCCTATTGATCTGCGCTATCAGCTAATCAACGTATTCTTTCCGGCACACGATTCGACGGGGATTGCTATTAGCGATATATTCTTCCACCTTGCGAGGGATCCTGAGCGTTGGGAGAAGTTGAGAGCAGAGGTCTTGACCATGACGGCTTCTCGACCCCTGACATTCGAACTATTGAAGTCAATGAATTATTTGCGATATGTGTTTAACGAAAGTAAGTCTTGCTTCTCTTGAGTCTTGAAACTTACCTACTTCTTTTCATAGATATGTTGGACTTTGCAACGACTAATCTCCAAATTTAGGTCTCCGCCTCCATCCCACAGCGCCCATAATCCGCCGAATCTGCCACCAAGACACCATACTGCCGCATGGCGGCGGTCCCAACGGACAATCTCCAATTTTAGTCAGAAAAGGCGAGAACGTCGTTCTCAACCTTTACACCTTACATAGAGACAAGGATATCTGGGGCGAGGACGCAAATGAGTTCCGCCCAGAACGTTGGGAAACGGCGCGACCCACTTGGGAATACCTGCCATTCTCGGGAGGTCCTCGTATCTGTCCTGCACAGCAGATGGTGTTTACGGATGCTGCTTACATTATTGTGAGAGTGATACAACAGTTTGCCAGAATTGAGAATCAAGACCCGAGACCTTGGGCTGAGCGGTTTAGATTGACTGTTGAGAATCGGAATGGGGTGAAAGTCAAGATGGTGCAGAGTTGAACGGGGTGTAAATTTCTAGCTCTAGCATTACTCTATCGTATCTATTCTTTGGTTTCTGCAACCAGTTCTTCTTTCTCATCAGTTGGGGATGCCGGCACTGCTGGGCATTTCAAGTCCTTGTATGTTTGAACATCAACCAGTCCAAGCAGAAGCATCAATCCGAGGAAGGGATTCGAACTTGGACTTTTGTAAGTCCTGTAACATGTTAGCATTTTCATTCTGTCAGAAAAAGGGAAGATGCTTACTCCGGCGTAATCAACGAAGAATTATACCTCTCAACAACAACAAGCGCCACATGCAGTACCAAAGCAAGAGGAACACCCAAAACACCATCCCACGGATACCTGCCCTCCCAAACGCCCAAAATCCCCCCAAAGAACACAGAAATAGTATAAAGCTCATGAAAGCCGCTCCAGATCCCCGCCATAGACCCTCCCATGATCAACCACCGCACATAGATAAACGCATTATGCATCTTAACCATAGAATGGTACCACACCGGGCTCGCGGTCATGTAGCACATATACGCAGGGAACAGCACCATCAGGGCCATGACCTGGAACCCGGTGCGGACAATGCGGGGGTTGCCTTTACTTTCGTACTTGCACAGACGCCACGAGATAACGGCGTTCATGACACCGAGAGCGATGTCGAGGGATTCCGGCTTAGGTGCTGAGGGGGAGCTGACGAGGGCTCGTACTTGATAGCGGCCCACGATGGCGAGGCCGAGGATCATGTGCACGACGAGCGGGATGTGAGGCAGTTGGGCGTATTTGGCGGGTTTGCTGGAGGTGAAGTATTTGAAGAATGAGGGCCGGAGGATGAGAGGGAGGTAGATGAATAAATGCCACGCGAAATCAAGCTGTGGTTTATGTGTGACGACGAAGTTCGCTATGGAGTCCATGTTGAATTTCTGGAGACGGGAGAATTGGGATTGTTGGCTGGATTTTGATCTGGCTGCTGTGAAATTTGTTGAAATATGAGGAAGGAAGAAAGTTCACGAGGGTGCTGGCCGTTCAATCTTGTAAGAATATAATTATTTTTTATGTACATGAGGCGTACGGCGTTGTTGGTGGTCCAGTACTGCCCACGTAAGCGCTAGTTGATTGAGGCACAATTCGGTGGGTAAATGCGCCCAGGCGATTGGTATCTTTCGTATGTCGGAGCCTACAGTATCCCATGAATAGGTTTTCGCTTGTTAATAAAAGACGTTTAGGGCTGTCGATCGGCTGCAGGTTGGTGGCATCTCATCGGGATACCTCGCCGTGTTGGAAAGTAAGACGTGGTATAGCCGAGCCGTGATGGGGGTCCAAAGAGTGCTAAGACGGGGTATATGTCGCTGACATCTCCGAGAGACTTAGGATGAGGAGTGATGTGATTGACTTCACGTAAGATCTTGCTGACAGTAGTTGCAGTACTTGTCTCTAGGCAACTACACATTTCTGCCAGGAACGAACAAGATGTTCTTCCTCCTTGCATGATTCTGACTTGAGACCGGTATGTTGGTTGGAGAACGAATGATAGGCATCTAGAGAAGGGGCAATTCGTCAAGTTAGTGTTTGCAATAGCCGATTGCATAGAATGCCGCTTAGGAAAGGAGTGTCACATGCTGGAACTTAGTAGATGTGCAGGCCTGTGGGACTAGAAAGGCTTCATGCTTGTGTCAAAGCACAGTGTCTAACGAACCAGCATCAATCATGCGCTAAAAGTACTTCTAGGATACAAATATACGCATCATCTTGACTTGGGGTCTGGTCTTAATCTCAATTCCTGCTAATTGTTCGTACTCAGCTGCAGTTGCCCAGCTGTTTGACAGTATTTGCATGTACTTATCAAAAATGACGAAAGGATACCTCCCTAGCTTTAGCATTCGTGGCGAAGGACATCCATCCGGAAATGGGATGATATCGAAGCCTTGATCGCGTTCAGAAGCCCAAAGTACCGCCGCCTCTTCCGTATCCGCCAGGAGAAGTATTTCATCGAGGAATCGGAATGTAGCAATGAACCAATAAGTATGGGAGTTGGGATTGTTACGTGCATCTACAATCACTGCGAGTGAACGTATATGCATGGCCTTGCAACGATCGATAATCGTAGGGTACATATCCGAAAATTTCGTCTCACCAGCTCGCGAAACTGGCATCTTGAAACAAATACGATCAACGGCCCAATTGATGCAGATGCTCCGGTGGAAATCATCCTCTCGGGAGAGAGCGGACTTCATGTCGAATTCGAAATTGTACCACTTCAAGCTCTCCTTGCGGGATTCCAAATTTGCAAAGAGCACGGCCGGAACTCGTGTATGAGAGGCGTAGAAGCATATCGTATCGTTGGGACAGTAGCTGTCGCGCGGCTGACGATACTGCTCTGCGATATGAAGGTCAACATTTCTCGAAATATGGGCGGCAAACTTCCACTACAGCGAGTTAGTATATAGCTTTGTCTAAAGATAAACATCTAACTGTAACACAATGCACAGAACTTTGATAAATAACAAAAAATGAAAAAACGAAGGATTCACACTTACTATCTGGAGTCTGATCTCGACGGGCAATGTTGGGAAGCATGTAAATGTCTGCTGGCTAGGAAGAGGTTGAGTATCGACAGATTGCTTAGTGCCTCCAAGTGTTACTAGATTGCTGATAGATGAAGTGGCCATTATGATGTTGTGTTGAAGGTGCTGAAGATGGTGCTGAAGATGCTCTGCGGAAACTTGTCAGGTATATAAGCAGGACTGTCTTGGATGCCTAGCTTTGCCGAGACCTTCTGCAGAAGACGATGAAAAAACTTACGAGATTGAGGTTCCAGAGAAGGAAAGAATGACATGGACATTATCGAGTCACTCTGGAAGGTTCTGCCAGTGAGCACTAAGCACCATCCCCAATATCCTCTTCCATTGATCACAGCATTTACTCCGGCCGTGGCATAAGTTGACGCAATGGCAACTTGCGATCATTGGGCCAATTTAACATAAGTGTAACATTCGATCCCTCCTCAGTATACTGAAGCCCTCCGGAAGTATCGCCCTGGTGCCAAAAAAAGTCCGAAGATGGAAGCTCCATCGAAGGCCATTTCGATATCAATAGCGTTCTAATTGCCTCCCAGCCATTGCCACGATAGCTTTCTCGATTCCGCACACTGCGATAATCTCCATCAGGACAAAAGCGACGAGTGTCCCAAACGAGAAAGATGTCCTGGAGATGCTCTGCACGCAATAGCGGAGGAAGGAGAAGTGGCGTCTTCTTGTCCCGCACAGTGAGGGCGAGAGAACGGACTTTGCGATCCAAGAGGAGATCTCGCAAGGCTTCGGCGCCGTATAACGCGAAATCGTCGTCGATGCAGATCCTGTCAGCTTCCCAATTGACATAGATTCGAGGTGGGATTGAGCAAGTGAGTCGTTCAATGCTGGTATGGATGCCGAAATCTAGTTGATACCGTTTCAGGGCTTCACTACGAGACTCTCGAGTCGTGCGAAGGATTAGTGGACATGAGGTTCTGGAGAAGTAGTAACGATAATCGACGAGGCCGATCGGTGATGGATTGGTCCATGGAGTAATCGTTCGAACTGTTTTGACACCGACATGGACGTCTCGCGGGTGAAAGCAAGCCCAGGTCCACTACAGCAATTAGTACCATGTTGTTTCCTCTTCACAATGGGACTTGACGACGACGAACACAATACAGCAAAACCAACAGCTATCGAGGATTAACTGTGCTACTTACTATTCTGAGACGAAGCTCTATAGGCAGGTCTGGAAAACAAGTAAAAGCAGTAGGCATCTGCCCGCTACTCAACGATTGACCTTGAGAATAGACCTGTTCTTGATCTGAGCTTTCGAAAGTTGCCATTGTGATTGGTTGTGAGTGATGGTGCCGGACTTTCGATGTGATTTATAGAGATGCTAGAGTGGCGAAGTTGGATCGTCATTGGCTGCTGCCTGTTAAGCGACCCCACATGATGACCCCTTTTGGGTAAGATTTACGTTGGAAAGTCTCTTTTGTATGAATGGAAGAAGAACATGTGAAGATGAGATTTCATCTCTGAGTTGTAGGGTGAGTGGAAAGTTATGTATGCCACGTGACTGAGCTGCACCTTGACGAGGTATCTACTATCTAGGTATGTCTACCTAGCTAGAGGCTGGTGGAATTGTGTTGACTCTCGGTGATTGCAATATCTCAATAGCCATAACTCCTCAACAGCTGGGGTGCTTGAACAGCTGTGATCCCTCAAGAATTTGTAGCTAATTTCATCAGAAACAAGAAATGCGGGATGAGAAACTTCTCCAGACCATGGCAGAGAGATTGAGAAGGCGAGGAGATATAGTAGCATTAGTAAGACCTAAAAGTCCCAGGTATGGACTAGGATTTTGGGCATGGGGTTGTGTATCTACAGTAGGACGTGAATTTCGGCTGGAATTCTTTTCTACTCGAGGAACCTGCTCTTCACGTTTATAATGTCCCACAAGCTGCAGAGCGATATTATGTTATATTCCAATTCTCGTAGGATTTTAGGCTTGTTGTCCATGGAGAACATTCACAACCTGCACCCCTTTTGTGAAAGATTACATGAAAGGAAGCATCGATAGTTCAAAAGTGCTTGCTATATGCACTGCTCGAAGACTAAAGGCTCTATGTACATTTGAAAGGCTTGGTTGTATGATATTGCTGATGATGTAAAAGTAATGCTCAAGGTTTTCGTGGACGAGGGGTAATGAACCGCATCAATGTAATCGTGGGTCTTGGTGGCAACGTGACAAGTCCCTCCACGCCATTCTTCTTCTTCTCCTCCAGATCCGCTTCATACGTATCCCAAGAAGTAATAATCATATCCCGAGCCGTAGATACCTCTAGAAGAACGCCAGGAGCCTGAATAACCTTCGACAACGTTCCGTTCCTCTTCGTCTTCTGGAAAGCTTCGAATCTGTAATTGGCCTTGGATGTCGAAGACGCGTCGTCGAAGAAGATCAGCTCGCTCAAGCTCATCTTTCGTAATGGAATCCCAAAACTGTTCGCCTTGATCGGACCCCAGTATTTGAAGTTCTTCACGTTGAGTGCCAAGGTCTTGAGTCTGTTGTCGCGGCATAGTTTTGAGAAGGAGGTGTCGCTGTATAAGGAGGTTGTTGAGATACAGTTCGAGTCCTTGACACAGAGCAGATCGACGCTCCAGTTGATGTAGATCTTAGGTGGTAGGATGTACTGCACTCCGCCGCACTTCATGTTGATGCCAAACTCGAGACGATACCATCGTAGACCTTCTCGACGCGACTCCTGGTTGACTTGAAGGATGATAGGAGGGACAGATTTGGTGTGATAAGAGTTTGGGAGGAACCGTTCGCCAGGCGTGCGTTCAGGAATCTCGGTCAGTCGAACTTCGCCTTCGGAGCGCATCCAAATATCCACATCTCGGGGGACGAAGCAGGGGATCTTCCAGATCATGGATCGTAGCTCGTAGGGAAGTTTGGGGAAGTACTCGAAGTCTGTTATCGATGGCTGGATGGCGGTAGATCGACGTTTGCGTTTGGGTTTTGGTGGCTGAACAGCCGGAGCTTGCGTTGCCATGTTTGCTGCCAGAGCTTGACTCTGAGTTGGATTTGTGAAACTCAGAAGTTGTGGAGAGGAAGAAGAAGAGGTTTGAGGGGAGACTCCATGACGAGAAGAATCTAGATCGGCTTCAGCATCGGAAAGCACCTTTACATTAGCGAAAGAGGAAGTCGCGTCTGTAATCACGTGAAATCACCAGGAAAAAGGATCTCGCGTGAAACTGAAGCAATACTCAAGTAGTAGAATGCTTAAGTGATAGAATCACTAAGTCTCAGAATCCTCAAGTAGCAAAGCACTCAAGTAGTGGCAGCACAGAAGAATATGGCAGCACTAGCTACCCTGAACTTCAGGTTGGCATAGTGGTAGCAGCTTCATTAGAGACATATTTAACTTGCTGCACGTTTATGAAGTTGCCATCTGCTCGAGCAGAAACTGGTATACTATTTTGATTGAAGAATATAGCAGTTTGCTCGAAGAATATTGCGGTGAGGAAACCTGTATGACACGATGCTCAATTTCGGCACGTCTTCTCAGGTACAGAAATAGGAGCGCGTTCTTGATGAAGGGCCTACGAGTTCTGATGATTTTACCAAAACCATTAAAAGACTATACGATGTTCTTCGACGGAATAGTGCAATACTTCCCACAAAGTGTATTTGTAGTGCTTAATGTGTCATTTAAAGCGATGATTGAGAAAGGTTTATTTGCGTGTAGTTTTCCCCAGATGAAAATCGGTCACTTATCTCGGCCAGGAGACGTAGGATCAAAATAACTCGCTGGGCGACAGTGGGATGACAGCGGCCTAGCAAACTCGCTGTGGCAAGTACAAAGGTCGAAATGTGGCTGATTTTTGTTGCTTGGGAAGTCGATTGGGAAGTGATATCAAGCACGAGAACCCCCCACCTCCCTAGAGCGTTTGATGAATCTACGTGAAAAACAAGACAGAAAGTAAGAAATGAATTCTCCAATGAAGTGGTGCCGAGGTATGCACTTCGAGAGGAAAATTCCAAGCTTCGAAATGGGATTGTCGGTGAAGGATGGAAATCTTGAATTTTCTCGATCTGCACCACCACACGCTAGCTGCGCCTCAATTGTGGCTGGTGACCGCGTGCATACACACTAATTTCCAAGGCAAGCCACATTCCATTTCTTCTATCGTCACCACAAGTGCGGGGCAAGAACGACAGCGAAGCGGCGTTGCGAGTAGCCTCAATCCAAGAACGGAGATCTGCCACCGGGATTAGATCAAGGATTGAGAATCCCTTCCCACTTTGGTTATCAATTCTGGCGAAATTGTATGGAATCAGGATGATCATTGATTGAGATCAGACGAGGATGGAGCAGCCATCAACAACAGCCAGAAGATGTTTCTACTGGGACCAATCCACATCCCATCCTCTCCCCACGATGCTCAACCAAGGACCACAAGCTGTTGGTACCACGATACTTGGCAGGGTAGCGCTCAGTTGGTTTGTACCGGTAGCACACTTGGGTCCAATGACAGATCGAAGCCCTCTATTGTCGTCCGCTGTTTGACAAGTCTAGTGCAACGCTCTACTGCAGCATTACTGCAGCATTACGGCATGATATACTTGAGATCAAGGTTATTAGGAGTAAGTGTTTGAGTAGTGTATGGCGTGAGTTGAGGATTTCTCTTCTGCCGCAAAGAAAGAGGCTTGTGATGAGCTTCGGCCCTGCCAACCCAATCGAGCTTACGCCACACACGACATCATAGCTCGATGTACCCCGCTACGAATCTGGAAGGGTATGGCTGCTGGGGCTGGTGAGCTGGAAGATTTCCATACTGGTGGGAAGTAGTTACATTATATCTCCTCCTTCCCCTCTTTCTTTGTTACTATTCCTAATTTTCTTCAACTCAAATCTCCCTTTCACGACAGTCTATCTTCTACTCTTCTCTTACTTTGATACCCATTACCGTAATCATGGAGAAGATCAAGAACCTCATGTAAGTCTGCAAAATCCGTTTGTTCTTGCAATGCTGATGAAAAATGTAGCAACCCTGGCAGGGCCCAGGATAATGAGACTCTCTACGGAAGTGGTACGAACACGGGAAATACGGAAACAACAGGTACCCACGGCGGTCTTACAGGCGAAGGAAGCCATCTTGCATCCAGCACAGGCAACACATCGGGCCTTGCAGGCTCACAGGCAACAGGCACATCAGGAATTGGTAGCACAAACACTGGAGTTGCCTCTGAAGCTTCAACTGATCAAGCTGGACGTGGCATCGGCAACACAGGATATGGACAGTCTTCACAGACTTCTGGTCTGCCCGGCCAAGGCAGTCATCTGTCTGGAGCTCGAGACACAACTTCAGGAACATCTGGCTTGGCAGGCAATCAGACCTCTGGTCTAGGAAATACGTCCAATACTGCAGGCACTGGGAGCACATCAGGATTGACTGGAAACCAGACGTCTGGTCTTGGTAACACCAACACTTCAAGCACTGGTCAATCGAACCTTGCTAGGGACGCAGCGGCAACTGCTGCTGGGACTACGGCTGGAAACACAAGGTTTGCACACCAGTAAGTCTTTCCCGATGTGAGTATAGCATTGCTAATTCCAGCTGTCAGAGGCCAGAGCGGCATTACCTCTGGAACGACTACCACGACTTCCTCTCACATGCCTGGTTCTTGGGACGACTCGTACGAGCAAGGCTCTGGCAATACGGGCTTCGGAGGTGCCAATACATCTACAGGTCTTGGATCTGGCACAGTAAATCCCAGCACAACTCAAGGCACAGGTCAATTGGGATCTAGTACGGGCACCAGTGGACTCTCTCAAGACCCAAACACTTCTTCAGGCCATCACCTAAGCAGAGATGCTGCGGCAATTGGCACAGCTGGTACAATTGGTGAAGGTGTTCATCATCACCGCGAGAATGAGAGAGGTCTAGGTAATACTGGATCTTCAGCGAACGATTCAGGACTTGGTACCGCCAAGGTGTACCCTCCCACTACATCTCACTCAACTCATCTTGGATCGGGATCCAACTATCCATCAACCGCATCTGGTACATCCGGGTATACCTCTACCCTTCCCGACAGGACTCTGGGGTCTCAGCAACCTGGCTCTACCACCGGCTATGGAACAGGCCAGTCAGGAAACACATCTTCTGGCCATCAGCTTGGTAGAGATGCTGCAGCTCTTGGTACGGCAGGTGCTGTGGGTGAAGGAATCCACCATCATGAGCATGACAAGAATCTTGGCAATCAAGAATACACTGGCACAAACCGTTTTATGCCACTCTCATCTAGCACTGCCCAGACCGGAACTTCAGGATCGCAGCCACTAGCTTCTAATACTGGTTATGGAAGCAACCAGTCAGGAAACACATCTTCTGGCCATCATCTTGGTAGGGATGCCGCTGCAGTTGGTGCCGCAGGTGCCGTGGGAGAAGGCATTCATCATCACAGAGAGAATGAGCGTGGTCTCGGCTCCACTGGTGCAACCTCTGGATCTCACTCTTATGGATCAACCACAGGAGTAAGTCACGTTCCTTTGTCTTTGCTAGCCTGGATTCTATCTGACACTTCATAGCCCCACAGTACTGATACTGCTAATCTACTTGATCCTAATATCAGCGGCGGCGCAAGCAAGCTCGAAGACGCCCATGAACACCATCCCCATCATGGAGGTGGAGCAGAAGCAGCTGATAAAGACCATGTTGGAGGAGGTTCCACAACCGGTTCATCAGGTCATCACTTAGGCAGAGATGCCGCAATTGGGGCCGGCGGAGCAGGAGCGGTTGGTCTCGCTGAGCAGTAAGTTGGAATGACAAATTACGATAACATGGATGGCTAATTGTCTTCAGCGAACGAAACAAACACCACAACCAGGGAGCTACCGGAGTTGGCAACAATTCCGGTATCAATCAGCCGACAGCAGGAACCTATACTTCCCAGACTGATCCAACATCCACCAATACCACAAGCCGCGATCACCATTATGGACGAGACGCCGCAGTAGGAGCTGGTGGGGTTGGAGCTGCAGGCCTAGCAGAACAGTAAGTTACTGCTTTAATGGGATTGAATCATGACTGATGGGTCACAGCGAGTACAATAAGCATGATCGTAGCCAAGGAGCAGGTGTTGGACCTACAACAGGCACAACCAACCCCACGTCAACAACCCCGGATCCCACGACTTCCAGCAAGGATCACCACTACGGACGTGATGCCGCTGTGGCTGGAGGAGTTGGAGGAGCTGCGTATGAGGCTGACAAACACTACAAGCACGACAAAGATCTCACACAGGCTGAACGTGATGCCAAGAAGCAACACAAGCATGACGAGAAGGAGTTGAAGAAGGAGCATAAGCAGGAAGAAAAGGAACACAAGCGCGAAGAAAAGGAAGCTCGTAAGGAGAGCAAAGGTGGTCTGTTTGGATTTCTTCGTAAGTATATTCTGCTTTTGTTTTGACAATTCACTTACACAATTAGATCGTGACAAGAGCAAGAAATATACTCCCGAGGAGGAAGCCGAGTTTGACCGACAAGAGCGCGAACATAACTCACACAAAGGCCGTGATGCGGCCCTTGGTACCGCTGGAGTCGGAGCCTTAGGAGCTGGAGCATATGAAGCTGAGAAGCATCATGATCACCAAACGACAGACACCAACAAGCCATTGCCATACGCCCCAGGAAACCAAGGCGTGGGCACCGGTGCCGGAACCCAAAACGCTCTTGCTGGTGATAGTGCTACAGGCCAATCCGGTCATCACTACGGACGTGATGCTGCTTTAGGAACTGGAGCTGCTGGTGCCGCAGGTTATGCTGCTCATGAGCACAATAAACATGAAGGAGCTACCCCTCTCGCTGATAAGCCAGTCGGTCAAGATCTTGGAGACAAGCTTCATGGAGTTGATCGCAACCGTGGTGTCCCAGGTTCTTCAGGCTTCCCTGACACTCAAGGTTATGGCACCGGAGTCCACTCAGAGGCTTCGACGGACCAATATGGGAACCCAATTGACGCTGGTGTGACTACCGGTACTGGATCGCAAGGTCATAATCTTGGTCGCGATGCCGCCTTGGGCGCAGGGGCAGCAGGTGTTGCTGGCGCAGGCATCCATGAGCACAACAAGCATGATTCAGGCTATCAGCAAGGGTCTACCGGATATGGCAACACAACATCTGGCTCAGAACCAACCGGTTCTCAACAAGGACAACATCATTACGGACGTGATGCCGCTGCTGTTGGAGGAGCAGGAGCTCTTGGAGAACACGAGTATCGCAAGCATGAAGGTGCTGGTCAACACACTGGCTTGTCCGGTCAAGACAATACCTCATCCGGCTTGACAGGCTCCCAAGGACAACATCACTATGGACGTGATGCTGCTATGGTTGGTGGAGCCGGAGCTCTCGGAGAGCACGAATACCGCAAGCATGAAGGAGCTGGACAACAAACTGGCCTATCTGGTCGAGACAACACTTCCTCGGGCTTAACCGGATCTCAAGGTCAATCAGGACACCACTACGGCCGTGACGCAGCGGCTGTGGGCGGAGCTGGAGCCTTGGGTGAACATGAGTATCGCAAGCACGAAAACACCACAGGTGCAACTTCCAGCAACCAAGGTCAATCAGGTCATCACTTCGGCCGTGACGCAGCCGCTGTTGGAGGTGCCGGTGCACTCGGTGAACACGAATACCGCAAGCACGATACTACTACAGGTACAGGCTCAAGCAACCAATACGACAACTCCGGTCTGGGTTACGACCAACAACAATCAGGCACAACAGGAAGCAATATCACAGACCCTGCAAACGATGGCCGCAAAGGCCCTAATGTAGTCGAGGGCTCGGATGGTCGTCACAGGCTTCACAAGGATCCTCCTGCGAACCACCCTGCGAGCGGCGCTTCTCATGTACCGGCTAGTGGGAGTGAGACTCAGAGGATGATGCAGGAAGGGAAGCAGGAGTTGAGGGATGATACGGGGGTTGCTAATTCGGGGAATGAGAGGAATAATTATTAGGCGATGGAGATTTTGGGACTTATGATTATGAGTTTATGATGGCTTTGTTATGTCATGAGTGTAGTTTTGGCTTTTTGGGAGGAGAGAAAATATATGGAAAATGAATTCACTTCAACGTTAACTCTTAATTGGCCAATTCCCCGCCTACTTCTCAGTTTAGACCTGAGACCAAACCTCTCTTCACTAAAGACGTAAACTTCAGCACGTGGTTGCGGCGCACTGGCTGTAACATAATGAGATACTCCTTGAAGCTGCTTCGTCTCTAGATATTAGCCATCCCGACGAAAATTAGTATTCAGTACTACATAATCTATTTTACAACAGATAAAAACGGGATAGCTGACAGCAATCTGCCAAGTGCTAGCAACAATCCTACTTTCTCCAAAGGCTATTAATAGGTGTTATCTGGCCAGAAAATTTTGGGTAATACAATCGTGTACTTAGCCTAGACACTTGCACCTTGCGTCGATGGTTGGAAACATCTGATACCGTGTTGAGTGGGCCGGAGCTGGTTGCAAGGAGAGGGGAGGGGAGTGGAGGGGAGTGGTGTTTTTATAGCTGAGGGGGCCTGGTTAGGGGATGTCGGGTTGGCCTTTGTGTTCTCCTTGGCAATAAGATGCCTTCCGAAGAAAGAGCGAGGTTGTTATTTTTGCTGATGTTAAGTTAAAATAGACTAAGAGTGAATGCAAACCTAGCCTATTCCTAGACGTCTCAACAAAGCTATTGCAAAGTGCCAAGGTATATATAATCAGGGTCAGCAGTCGGTGTTTGTCTTTTCCTTTACGCCGAGATGAGAACGATAATAGGAGCAAGCATGAGTATCGGCGTAGTGTGGTTCTGTGTAGTAGGTTGAGGTAGGAGGTGGGTGGATTTGTAGCTTTGAAAGGGTGTAGCGGTAGAGGTGGTAGGGTTGGTAGTGGAAGGGACGGAAGGTTGATGGTAATTTTTGAGTTGACAACTAGAAAAATGTGAAGGAAATTCGATAACAAATTGACAATCGACAACAACATTGCTTAACCCTATTATTTGAAATATAGCTTTTAAGCAGCAAATAAAAGAAGTCGTCCGAGATTTTGCCGGGAGCGCGTGATGTATGGGCTACAACTCAGACTTAGATCTCAAGTCTGATTTCAATGGGGTTGTTTGTAGGAACGAAAAATAGATGGGCCGGCGGTTGTATTTATAGGGTGTCGGAGAGACGGCGTTTTGTAGAAGTTCTGAAATTGAATTGGCGGAAGAGGTGAAGATAGAGGAAAGTCTGACAAAAAGTGCTGACTGCAGATTAACTTCAGGTTTGTGAATTTCTGAAAGACGGGAATACTTTTCGTGCTCGGGTGGTCTATGAAAGACGGTCACCTTTATCGTTCTTTGGCTTCTCAACATTATATTAAGACATTGAAAATCGCAAAGTAGGAAGCAATTGCGCTTTCAGGGCTATTTTGCTAATAGATTGTGGGCGTTATCTGATATGGAAAGAGTTGAGAGGAAATGGACACAGAAGATAAAATCGGCGTAGATAGAGAATATCTATATAGAGGAAATTGGCAACAAATGAAACGTGGACAACAATATTAATTGCACTACCACGTCCCATTATACGAAGCACATCTCCCAAAAGAAGTAATAAGATGAACTCAAAACTATCTAAGTCACGGAACAGGTGACATACAAACGGAATTTGAATAAGTACGGTGCTGACCCTCCTCGCTTGGCTGAAGCTGAAGTATGTGTGGACCTCCTCTGTTCTTTGTTTGTTCGGAGAAAGTTTGGGCCGGTCTGTGTTTATATAGCGTTGGAAGAAGGGTTTCTGGGGACTTACTCGAAGTAAGGTGTTTGCTTGTGGTGAATGTAAAGAAGAGTGAGATATCACAGAAACTGTAATTTTGAGAGAGAGAGGAAAATTGGTGAATGTCGGACGGACTGCTCGCACCCCCGACCTTCCTAAGAAAAAGTCTATAAATACACGCCATCGGCCCGACCATTTTCCCTTTTGGACAACAAATTATGAGTCTCTTGGGAGACCCTGATCCTTTCTGTGACATCCAGGATTTCAACTTGTGGCAATTAGCTTAAAGATTCCCTGAAGACGGAGGAATAGGAATCTGTGGTAGAAGTGATAATAAACTAGAACGTGTGATAGTTAGTTGATAGCAAAATTGTATTCAATGCTCTACCTGCATTCAGATAACAACAAACATTTTCAAAAGTTCTTGATAGTGAAAATGTCAGGCTCAGGCTACGCATCTATGCTAGTGAAAAGCTTGGTGAAAGTCAAAAAGTTTCTACAATTAAGAATTTGAAATTTATTTCTAGCAGTTCTTGAAAGTGATAATGTGTAGCTTGCGTTAAGGACTTATGCTAGTCAAATAGCTTATTCTAGTTAGGAAATTTATCTTAGTCAAAAGAGTGTGCTAGTCAAAGAGCTTATAAATATCAAAAGTTTTATACTTATGAGATATATTCTGCTTATCAGAAGATTTATGTTTATCAAAATATCTATGCCTCCCAGAATGCTTATACTTGTCAACTACCGATCTATGCTTCTCAAAGACTTATGCCTATCATAAATAGTTTGCTTCTTAAAAGCCTTATTTAGATTAAAAGGTATTACCCGTTTCCATACGTTTACGTTTACGAGGAATATGCTACTCTGATCTGAATTTTCACTTTCCATGCTTCCCATAGACTCTCATGTCTGTGATTCTGATGTGGTACTATAAGAAGAAAACTTTTTCAGTTCGTAGCGCTTCGGTGTATATCTCTCTCTCCAACCCCTCCTACCTGTCTCTTCACGTTCTTCACAACAGTTCCCAAGACACCTCGCACGTTGGACCAAGACTTCCTGCCGTGTTCACTGGCAGCGGCGACTCACCAGCGATGCACGGCGACTTCATCACTTCAAAACCCGTTCTATATAAAACAACAAGCTTTCAGTCCTGACTTGTCATACACAAATTGGCATCTGCAAAGTTCGATGAGGTGGCTGGGATTCGCAACGGGACTGGGATTCTTAACAAGATTGGAATAGACAGGAGAATAAGACGACGCAGATAGAGAATGGTCTTATTTATATGGTGCAATTGAACTACTCCATGAGTTGCGGAGTGGAGTGAAATCACTTGACAACAGTCAAAAGGTTGACAGCAGTTGGCAAGTTGACAAGACTTCAGTGGCCACTGTCTTTGGCACTGATATGGCAAATTTGGAACTCATTTTCAGTGGGATTGGCATCCAAAGTCGTCTTTGATGCTGACTAGGGAGATAATATCACGTCTGACATGGCTACTTCAAAGTCTGGTCCCAGATTTCTAGCGCGTCCGTCCTAGTTTTTGAATTGCTTTGTTCTTACCTCGGACGGTGAGTCACGAGCAGATGAGTAGATCTCAAGAAGTACATAAACCAGCCTCCTCATCTGGAATTGATATACATAGATTCCTTTCCAAGCGCACAACTCTCCATCCTTTTGTGGGTTGGTGTAAAGAGCAGGATCGGGTGGTTCATAATCTGATCATTCATGGATGCGTGGATTATGGAACCATCACATGGTGATTATTCTGGGGCTATGGTTACGAGTCAAGAGGAAAGTTGATAGAATATAGGTGTTCTTGACGGCGAAGGGGCAACTGACAGCAGATCATCGTCTCTTCCTTTCTGATGAATTCAATATCAGTTGCCCTGGCACCAAGTTCTTCATCTATTTTGAAGGGTGGATAGAAGCTTGAACCTAAGATTTAAAATTGCTCCAGAAAGAATATCAAGAAGAATCTCATTATTATTGTCCTCTAAAGCAATCTAGACTGAAATTCGGAATTCAATCTCAACTTCACCCCCTCCATCTTTTGGTCTTCCATAAAGAGCATCCCAATCCCTCAACCAATGAAATAAACATGAACCACAGCCAGATCTCACTCCAAAGCTATTCAGCTCTATGAGTTTGCATTCCTCGCTTTCCTCATCAAACATAACATCAAAAGTGAAACCTTGCTGGAGTAGTAGCTTGTCCATTTCTCCCCCATTGCCACCTTTAACCTCATCCAGAATATTTCCATGTACTTCTTGAGCACCGTTCATAATTCTTTCCATGGCCCGACTTATCTCATCTGCCGGTCTTGCAGAGAAGAAATTAGGTTTGTGCCATCTGTACTGACTAACAGCAGTGATCTTCCCTTCTGGTGGTGCACAAAAGACCCTGTACTCGTTTTCCGTCCTCATATGCTCATTAAATGGCAAGAAAAAGAGCTCAAAAGCTTCATCACCACTCTCAAGACACCTCAAAATCGAATTTGTAGCCCGATGTGAAGTCGTGATTCGCAACACGATTTCCTCCGCAGTCCTCAACGGGCTGATACCTCGAACTCCATCTTTGGCAGAACAAGCATCCAATCTCAAGAATAAGCCTTTTAGTGTAAAATTGAGAGTGTTGAAACTCAGTGCCAATTCTGCGAGCTCCTCTGCATAAAGTCTATTCGGCTCCCTCGTATGCAGTGAACTTTGCGCAGCTTCGAGAATGAATCTTGCTTGTTTGCTGGTGATGTTGGTGATTTGTATCTGCTCGAGAGAGATATTCTGAGACTTTGCTATGAGGGGAAGCCAGCGTTTGAATGACTGTGGGACTTCTGATGGGATTGATTCTCCGGGAGCTTCGGCTTCAGTGTGGAAGTATGAGTTGTAGTTTTCTTCGTTTGCTGCTACCAGCGCAGAGTCAATCTTAACGAGTCGCATGTTTGTGATGTCTCAGTGGAAATTGAGATCATAACCCATATTGCGTTTGTTGTTGTAAGTTGAAGCATTGAGGAAGTGGGTGGAATGTCGAGTTTTGTGAATGAGAGTTTTCGCTTCGAGCCTAATACGGGCGGAAGTTACGACATAAAGGTCGCACCTACTAATTATTCACTTTTTGGAGTATTAACTATCGAAAAATTTGCCCAAATACTTGAATTTTCTATGAACGCGCTGCAACATCTTATGTACATTTTCAATAACTCTACATAATACGTACTCACCTGTTACGGATCACCTGGATCACCCTAATCTGAATCGCCTGCAGTAATCGCCTGCCCCAATCGCCTGTGACAGGGATCACGTGAGCACTTGGGTAGCCTCCACGTGATCCTCCCTGAGAACGGATCGGGCTTAGGGCGTAAGCATGTTTCACTCTGGCGTATATAAGCTCTGGCTCTCCCACTCCCTTCTTCCTTCCTTACCTTTAGATTCTAAGAGATAGCCGAATCGATTCTTCGTCTACGTACTGAGCTTCTCACCGTGTTGTCACAAGAAGGCTAGTTTATGTTGAAAATGCTGATAATAACGACCTGTTTAGAGCGCTTTAATTAGCTAGTTTGGAATCTCTTATTATTAGGAGAATGGCAAATTTAAGAATTAGATTTTGATTTTTATAATATACATAGAATTTTGCAACGCGTACATAGAAAATTCAAGTATTTTTCGATAGTCAATACTCCAAAAAGTGAATAGTCAGTAGGTGCGACCTTTATGTCGTAACTTCCGCCCGTAGCCTAAGCGATCGCCGTGAGTCAGGTCACGTGTGTTTTCGTTCGCTGTGGAGCCTTTGTATCGTTCTCTTTGATCAAATTGTGGAAGAATTGGGACATGATAGTAATTACTTCATTCATCTTCATCTAATTTACACAATCCGTTTCATTCAAACGAGATGTCTCTCCTCCAACTTCTCAATCCCTGCCCACGCCAAGAGCTCATTCATGCTGTTCACAAACACTGTCTTCTCCTCCACGCTCTCTTCGAGAGGTACATATCTCCAGAGCAAACCTTGATGCCTCCTCCCAATCATCAAATAGTCCATGTTTCGCTCCAATGCGTTTCTTTCCAGTCGAACTGCAATGGCATCTTCGCCGAAGGACAATGGGAACAAGTTTAGCAGCTTTTTCCTGAGGTGCATGCTGACTTTTGGTACCAGAACTTGGATGTTACGAGGGAGCCGTGGGATGTGTGGGGGAGGCTTTATAGCATCGGATTCAAGCAAACATGTGACGCGAAACAAAGTCGAGGCTCGAACATGAATGGGGAACGGCTCCAAGTGCATGTTGAGGATAAGAGGCTCGATAACGTAGAACATCTTGAGGCAGATCTTCAGCGCTGTAGCATACTCGGCTCTTACTGCGTACGCACTGGCAAGTATCTCGTGCAGTTTATGCATGTGGAGAGATCCATAGCCGAATCTAGCTGTCAAGATAGCTTGGATGCCTCGTTCAATGTCTTCGATGCGGTTAGCAGCCTTCATTGTTCCGAGAGCGCACAACTTCAAGGTTTGAAGACGTAAATAACCAGTTGGAGCTGGCAAGGGAGAGTTGCACAGGCAGCATCGACAGTTGAGGTGTCTGTTCTTCAGGAATTGTCGACGGAATTCGTGGTCAGGTCGATCTCCCGCGCGGTTCAGTGTGATTTCCTCGTCCTTGGAGATATTCCTGGTTGCCCGTACGCGCAATTCGTTTCCCTCAAATATGAGCATGGAATTTGGGTTGCAGTCGTGGGCACAATAAGAAACGAAGGGTTCGACGCATATTCCAACCATAGCTGTTGAGCTAGCTTCCATGAAGACGCATGTCGAATGTGCTTTGACAAGAGGGAGAGCTACAGGACTGGCGTGGTAGCCAAACTGTCCACGTTAGCATCTAGGACCGAATCAAACTCTGGTTGTGGAAAAAGACTCACTGTGGCAAGAATGTGTTGGAGAGTTGCCTCGTCAAGTTGGGTTCCGATGATCATTTTGGTGAGTCTGGCAAGATACAAGTATAAACCATTCTTGAAGTGCGGATCCAGCAAGAGGTTTGTTTGGCCCGGAAGACAGTAGTCGAAAGCTTCATACACGATCTTATACTTGGGAAAGAGAAGGACATAGCGCAAAAGGAGTCGAAACTTAGCACTACTGAGCATATGCAGGTCTCCCCTGTGAGCTTTGATATACTGCATTTGTCTGAGGGTATCGAAGGAATGGCATTCGCGGCTGTGATGGTGCTCCCAAGCTGATGCCCTACAGTTCTATATTGAAGTCAGGATACTGTTCAAGAGTGCGGATCTGAGAAAAGGAGACATAGAAATACCACGTACCTCGTTGCAGTAGTATACTACAGCACATCCAGTGCAAGGCTGTAGCTTGTTCTCGATCTTGCCATCCGTTGTCATCCATGTATCCTCTCCGCCAATTGGAAACACAGTCGCAAAGCAGAAGTCGCAAGTTTTCCGTAAAGCCTCTGGAGTGTCTCCCACAATGGCGAGAGGGTCTTTGACCTTGAAGATAAGATCACCTTTCTTGATAGAGGCACGCGCGAGGACTCCTGGAGATGGATCGGCACGGGTTACCATGAAAGCAAGGAGTTTGTCTGTCTCAACACGATTTGGGAGAGGGATTCCGCCATAGACTTTGGTTTCCACGCCGAAGGCGTCGATGGAATCCATCTTGAGGTCAATGCTGCTGCGCGTCTGCAGCTAGGGAATGAAAACAAGAGTTGTAGTTCTCGTAAGATCTTTGAAAGAGGGTGTGGACTGAACGGTGTTGACTCTTGCGGAATTTTTCTCGAAGGCAATATCCAGGCTTAGCGTCTATCACGAGGATTTTGGACAAACCACCTAAGAGCTCTTCATCGCGTCATAGTCTACCCAAGGCTATAATTTGGTCGACTCAGAAATTTGGAAGATCCCAGGCTGAGTATCTGGTGCGTACAGTGTTGACGGCTATTCATGATCGAAGAACGATTTAGGGCTCGTCGACTTCTGAAAGCACAGTATAGTCCAGTTTCTTTTATGCTAATGTCGGATAGTCAACATACTTCAATATACTCTGAATCTGAAGAGGAGAGAAATTGAGTTCTTGCGAATACCTCCGCTTTCACATCATGATACAGTGAGTGGCGGATGTTGAACAAGTTGCCAATCTCCTTGAACAAGAGGCACTATGTCTTCTCACGCAGTAGGTTGTGTTAGAGCTAATGCACGACCTTCTTGATTCGTCTCCATAATATTGTTCTTTAATAAAATAGTCTATGAAAGAATGTCCGCTTAAGGTCCCCCCCAAAGGCAAGCATTGAATCAGGCAGGTAAAGTGAGATCCCCTGGAGCGGAGAATCTTAGTCTTTACTCCTATCACACGACATAGCATGTCTTCTCTGTCTTGTTCCTGACTTTGTCTCACTGCACAATCCTTGGCCCCTGCCTTCCTTGGCTTTCCTACCTTTTATTTGCCTACGACTCAGATCAGTACAGAGATCCAATTTTGAAATTGGAACTGAGTCTCCAACAACTTGACAACTGAAAAACACAGACAGAATAGGATTCTGGAGAGTATTCTCACATGACAATGCAGCGAACAACTTAGGCGGATTAGCTTGGCGAATCCGATCAAATTTAATAACCTTCCACTTATCTTGCGCATTGCAAAATCCCATTATCATCGACGCTAGCAATCAAAAGTCTAGATAGAACATAATTCAATCCTCAAGAGCTCTGGGACATGGAAAAGCGCAATGTCAAAGGATGGCAACATAGACTCTGATCAGCCACCACTTTCGCCTTATGCGCTTTCATCGACAGACTGTCTGCCGATACATGCTAGCTTTACGCGCAAACTTCTCCACTTCTCAACTGCTCATAGCCTCTAGCATTGGAATTCCCGAGATTCCTCAAGACAATCGCCACGTGAACATGACTAAAATTGCTTCCGTATTTGAGATGTAAGTGATTGGTTGCTCTTGCACCCCGCACAATTAAGCATAACTCGATGCTCTCGGGACGGGAGCATTGACCTCCCGAGTTGATAATGCTTATATATTGAACTTTCTTCTACAGAAGATGCGGGGTGGTGACCATATATTTGAACACCAACACCGTAATGAACCTTCCTTTGAATTGAATAGCTTAGCAATACGGTCGGGGCACCCAAACATGCTCAAGTTCTCAGCCGTCACAGGAGCCAATTCTCGCTTCGCAAGCGACAACTCCCAAAACACAGGCCTAGTCTGTGTCTTCGCTGGAGCAACAGGCGGCATCGGCGCAGGCACAATCGAGAGACTCGTCGTCATGTTACAATCCGCAACTTTCTACGTCCTAGGAAGATCAGCTTCCCGTTTCGCAGCCCAGCGTTCTAAGCTCGAGAGCCTCAATCCGAGTCTCAAGATCGTGTTTCTTGAAGCCGAGCTCTCGCTCATCGCTGATATTGACGCTGTGTCGAAGAAAATTCTGGATGCTGAGAAGAGGGTGGATATCTTGTACATGAGCCAAGCTTGCTTTCCTATCAATGTACCTCAATGTATGTCTCCCAGTCAGTCTTCCAGATAACTCACACTGAGCAAATACAGACACGAAAGAGGGCATGGGCATCGATCTTTGCTTTGCCTTGCAATTCTACTCCCGTCTACGACTAACATCCAACCTCCTCCCACTCCTTCGCAACTCCCAGCGACCACGAGTCTTGACCGTGCTCAGCGGCGGCAAAGAAGCGAAAATGCTCGATGAAGACATCGGTCTCCAGAACCCTCAAAACTACGGCCTAGCTCCAGCTATTTCTCATTGTGCCACTCTGACAACGCTGTCCTTGGAGTACCTAGCCGAGAATGACAAGCAGATCACTTTCATGCACAATTACCCCGGTCTCGTGTCCACGGATCTCTTTGCACGCCTATCGGCTCCAGAATCTTTTGGAATCTTAGGAAAGGGACTCTTTGCGGTCTTTCGATTCGTTGCCGCTACGTTACTAAAGCTTTTCGGACAATCACCGCTGGATTCTGGTGCGAGGCAGGTGTTCGTACTAACTAGTGACAAATAGCCCAGGTGAGGTGTGGCGCATTAATGAAAACAGTGAACCTGTCACGAGTTCTGCGGTGCTGGGGAGGTATAGGGAAGAGGGGTGGCGTGAGAAGGTTTGGGATCATGCGACGGGGATTTTTGAGAAAGCTCTGAGCGGAAGCAGATGAGATGCAAGTGTCGTCTCTTAATTTTGGATACCTCTTTTCTATGGCTGCGAAGCTGATGTTGATATTTGCGGAGAGTTGAGCAAATTTGTGATACTAGTAACTTGTGCCTTTGGTTTGGTAAAGGGGTCCTGTAATGAGAAGTTTAAGTCAAATTTACTGCAAAGTACCGAGATTAGCTTGCACACTGAGCCAAGAACCAACTCGAAGACAAGCATGCTGCATAAGAATCCAAACTTCCTCGTGGCAAGCAACTTTGCAAAAGCTTGTTTCCACTGGGTATATTCAAGTGAAGAGCCATGGAATTAGGCGACACGTGCAGATACAAGCAAGCAGGCAAATGAGAGAGTCTCAGCTCTGATTAACCTTGCATGAAACTTTGTAAAAGTGTTGCCAGGAGCGCCTTTTACTCTTGCTTGGGCTCACCTGATGGGATCACGGTCTCTTGAGAAACTGATAAAAATGTATGTATATTGCAAGCTTATTGCTTCAAGAGCAATACTTCGACTTGCAACAATGATTAAGCAAGAATTTTGATGTGGTAAATGACCCTCATGTGCCAGAGTCTCTCCTTTCTCCCTCCATCTGAAAGCGTCGTCGACGTGTACACTAAATCAATTTTCGTAAATATCCCCTCCTGTTCAAGTTATAAATATTCAAATCAATTCGCAATGGTTCCAATAGCTTATTCAATACCGCTCATAGTCCCTCTCCTTCCTCGGATGCTTGATGATCGTCCCTGGCGGATGATCCTCCTTCGCAAACCTACATCCAAATGCAGTACAGAAAGGCTCCTTCCCGCCTGCTCCTAAACTAACACTCGGACAATGGTGCCCGTAAATACAAAATTCCAACTCGCAGTCCTGGCCATTGAGACAAGGATTCAGGCGTGTCAGGTAAGCGATGGCTTTGAGATCTTCTTCCGTAGGTTTGTACTTGTGTTCAAAGCAGCATTCGTCGCCTTTAGCGCAAGGTCCACGGAGATAATGATTGTTGCAGAGTTTGTTACTGGTTGTGCGGCGTTTGATCTTGTCTAAGACTGCGGCGTTGACGGTTATGGGTGGATCGAGACCACGGGGTGAGGGTGTCCATGCAGGCTTTGCGACAGGTGGAGGTTGGATTGGAGATGCTTTTGGTGCAGGTGCTCCATTTCTAGCCGCCGGGGACGCAATTGGGGACGGAATTGGAGCTGCAGGAAGGATGGATGTTACGCCAGCCCATGTATTTGGAGGTGTTGGAGCCGAGACGAAGGTACGATCGATCAGCTTCTCTGCACGAAATATGTTTGTGAAATTTAAGATTTGTAGACCGGTTGATTGGAGTTCGCGGACTGCTGGTGGCCCTTCCAAAATGGTGATTCGGCTTCGATCTTCGGGAGTAACGACTTCGTCGAGGAAGGGAGCATAACCAGCATCGTGAGAAATACCGAGGAGGATTTGTTTGCAGTTGTGATTTCGGAGGTGCCATCGCATGCATTCTGCTCAAGTCAGACATGGCCGATACCAGGATAATTGATGAGGAATGTATACCCTTGATTTTCGAATCTGCTCTCTCTTTTCCATGTCCGACATCGACAAAATCAAAAGAAGCTTTCCCTTGTGTAAATCCTAATGTAAAATCCCTCAACTCGTCTGGACTATTAAGAGAACCATCTCGACACATAGCTTTCGACAGACCGGTAATATTCGCGCAAACTTTTGCCATTATTTCGAGTTGATCGGTGGCATCAGGACAATTCTCGAGGATGGTATTTCGAAGTTGTGTCGCTGCTTGCTTTCCTCCTTCGATACCAAGACGAATGAGAGCTTCGTTGAACTATCAGAGTCAGTGTATTTCTCCAATCAGGCAGCAGATACTAACGATCATGCCATCTCCATCAATCAAGACCATAACATAAGGATTTCGATTCTGCAGACATTAGCAGGAGGCAGCAGACTCAACAACTGCATACCCTCATAGATTCCACATCAACGCAGTATTGGCCCATGCGTTGCTGAGCCTCATTCAACTTGGTCTGCAGATCTCTTCTCGAGCGTCGAGCGTCGTCGAGATCCAACTGAGCGTCTGTGAGCTCCCCAGAGAGGCGAGCATTTTCGTGTCGTAACTGGCTTTCAACGTGTTCACAGTAAATCAATAAATCCTATCGAAGTCACGAACGAATTCCCATAGGCAATAGCAAAGAATAGCTCGGTCTGCAAATGTATGTGCAGTAGCCTGAACGTGGACTGGACTGGGACCTACCTTTATTAACTCGTCGGAGTTGTCTCGCTGAACCTGCAGAGACTGGAATCTTTGAACGAAGTCCATGATAGCCATTGGGGGCAGTTGTGCCATGACAATGTTGTTGCAATGGTGTAGCAAAAAGTGGTTTTCAGCTGAGGTTGTGAAAAATGTTGGGGGGATTTTTCTTGAAGTCGCTGCCGGGCGTCGCGTGTTTCTGGATCTGCAATGCACCGAGGGAGACGCGACAGTGGGTCACCGAAGAGCTAAAGTGGGAGGAAGAGCCTGGGATAAATTGTTATAAATATCTCCCGTGGTCCTCTGCAGTTCTTTCGACAACAATTCGATCTTCTCGTCGGTCGTCGAAGAAAGGATTGACTTGTGTCGTCTGAGGATCGGATCGGATCGATAAGAGAGGAGGAAAAGGAAAAAGCAAATCTTCAGTTGTCTTCCCTCACTTTCTTTTTTGCAATGCCCCAATGGTGGTTTGTGACGGCTGTGCTGCGGTGCTTCACCTGCTGTGTCTCGGTTGGCAGCCGCTCAAGTGGTTTGCAGTGACGCCGAGTTGTTCAGCAAATCACTTTCCCTGTTTGCAACAGAGAATTGCGCAGCAGCGGAAGTGCATTTGACGGTGTCCAGAACGGGTTGCTGTGTATTTCATTTCGACCCGATGTGGTGTGAAGCTTCCGAGACGAAACAAATTAGTAGGGTAAGGTTAAGTGCGACGTGAGTCGGGATGAACGCGTCACGAGTTGACATGCAAGACCTTACCACGCTCGCGCTTACTTGTATGTTTCTGCGTTTCTAGGAATAGGCTTGATAACATAGATTTTGTTCCAATCTTCGAGTGAGGTTGGCGAGGCTCTTCGCTTCAGTGTGCCAATTGGATCTGCATTTCTATAGTAAGATGTTTCAACGGTTCTCTGAAAATTGAAGATGCGAGCGCTATTTCTATGTATGTCTTTGCTAAAATCACAACTTTTGTGGACGGCATCTGTTATACTACTTTTCGAATTGATACTACAAGCAATGCATTGTTTGCGTAGTATTTTCAAGTCTAGACCTTAGTCTAGACCTTGGTCTGTTGACAACCTCGTTTTACAAGCAGTTTCGCTGCACAAGTCGAATCAAAACGCTGCTTGTGGTCTGCTTCGTTGCCGCCTACCCTATTCTCTATTTCTATGCACATGCATACAGTTCACTTCCACTAGCCTCATCATGTCTGGAGGTTAATTATACATTGAAAATATATACATTGCCTCTGGTTCGTTGAGTGATGTCCAGTCCCAACTGTATACCAACAATCATAAGTGCGGAATGTTGCCCATGATATTCAATGATGGCGTCTTATAAACACCTATCGGTACATGCCGCAATGAAACAAAAGACTCAATGACGATGTAGAGCCGGGCACAGACATATAGGAATGCGATTGTGCCCAAAAATCCTAAAATAGCATATCCGATGCCGTTATCTATCCTAATATCAAGTGAAGAGCGCTGGTGGTCCCTGCGGCCAGCGTTATTGGGCCGAGGTCGATGTCGACGCCAAACCGTACGCCGCATGTTATTGGCAAATATTACCAAAGAGATTAGCGCAGTCACTCCGGCGGTTGCAATAAGATAATAACATGACGCTTTCCAGAGTAGCCTCTCAATCGTCGTTGGGAAGATTATGCTCAGTGCCCCCAGGTGGACACAGCCATACGCTGTGGGAATTAATGCCATCGCGCTTGCTAAGTAAGCTGAATCCGAGTTAATATCATGAAGAAAGCTTCCATCATAGTTCTGGGATCTCAGTGCCAATATGCCCGCTGTTGAGGCGTCGCGGGAGAACATCCCGAGGGTGGTTGTGTTCTTATAAAACTCTGCAGTGAGATCCGAGTCATGATACCTTGTCTCTTTGAAGGGATCATAACCGCCCTCGATGACCTTGATGATGAATTTTGCGGTCAAATTAAGTCTGTCGATGTCTGCTTGGGAGAGCGACACCGCACAAATTCTATCTCGAGGATGGAGTAGATAGACGAGTGATGTTACTGAGGATATGTCCGGCCCAAGACCACAAGGTAATGCTTGTCCGCTAATCAACCTGCAGACCACCTTCGAGTCGTGTCGTGGGGTGTACTCCTCCGCAATATTCGCAACATTGCTGGTCATGTCATACTTGGTCAGAACCTGGGTCTCATCTGGTGTAGAAACGACCTCATTTGGTGCCTCTCTGACCTCCGACGAAACCGATTGCGGACTGGCCCACCACAAGAATGTGGGCTCCCGCGTAGTGATTTTGTCTCTGTGTCTCCTTTTATATCTAAAGTTCACGAGATTGCCATGATGTGGTGATGATACCTGTAGCATATATGCCAAGAGGTCCAAGCGATCTCGGAAATCAATGACAGTCGGATCCTGGACATTCAAAGGCTTGCGGATCCAGAGTCCATACATGACAATCACACACACCACATGTACAATGGTATGCACCTCGAGCAAAGTAACAGGATACCCGGCAACCTTGCGCTCGATAGCTTGTCCGACAATCCAGAGTACTTGGAAACACACCAGACCCTTGGCAAGAGTGTCGGCTTTACTTTTGTCTTGGATGTTGATTCGACTTGTTTCCAGAAATCGTCCATGTTTCGCAAGAAACAATATACCATCGGTTGTGAATGTGACCCTGCGTAAGGTGTTGTGCATGTTTGACACATCCGCAGCAAAGCCACCCATCACCGCATAGTGAGCGTAGACCATGTCGAATGGAGGCTTTGAAGGGGCATCTCGCTCTGGAGGTGGTGAAATCATAAGGGCCGTTAACAAGAAATCCAACGATACATTCCAGAATAGTTTCACGAACCTGGTCCTTGCCTGCCGTACTCTTCTCAAAAGCCTCATTGATATCTTTCAAGAATCTCTTGGCCAAAAGCCACTGCTCAAACGCCGTGTAAACCACCAGCTCCGGCGCAAAAATCGCAATTCCCACCCATTTTGTTTTTCTCAGCCAGAATTTTACCCTGGTATCGTTTGGTGGAGGAACGTTCAAATGAATCGCCGTATAAACGCAGAGCAGAAGGGTAAACAGGCAACTGTAGAGAAGGCTCCAGGTACCGCGCCCAGCTGGATCGGGAACCCAGCTCGGAGCGATGTCTCTCTGCAAGGCTGTGAGGTTTGTGACGGGGGCCGCGGTCGCGGAAAAGAAATATAATGTGGAGAAAAGTAAACTCATGTTGGCATTGTGATGATGATGATGGATTAGAGAAATGAGAAAGGGGAGAAATCAAAGAGGCAAAAGGCTGGAAGATATAAAGATGTGTAGGTGAGGCTACGTGGTGGTGGCTCAGCTCGGGGTGCCAAGGAAAGAATTCGCCAGAAGAGAGGCTATTCGCTAATGCTTCTTCAGGGGTAGTTCAAACGACGATAGGGCCTTGTGGCTATGGCTGTAATGTTTCAGATCAATCGCTCCTGTCGAATGAAGTGATGGCAAGAAAAGAGAGCAGAGAAAGCCATGAAAGGTGTAGGTTGACACATCTGTGGAAGCTTATCACTAGATTTGCATTCATTCGACAACCATGACCTCGACATGTAGATCCACAACCAGTAAGAGATGAGGATAGTCACCCTTTATGATGGACAGTTTCTGCGAAAGCAGCCCCATGGCTACAGGCCCTCAACCAGATATTGCGATTCTGACCACGTGATGCTATTCAAGATCACGTGCCAAGTCCCCTTTTGAAGTCTCGACTCTCGTTCAAGGAAGCTCTGGTCCTGTAGTTGCCGTTGAACGAAAATCAATTCTCTGTACGAAATAAACAATGCTAAAATCATTCACAGTAATCCAGCTGCAGGAGCGAGGAACCAGAAAAGCAAAGCAAATATAATGCGGCAAACTCTTCCGTGGAACAGACAGTGGTTGATAGCTGTAATCAAGCGATCAATTCTGTCCGTGAGCGCAATAACAGAACTCCATGTATAGATACGATGCGAAAGTACAGAAGCTGTCATGACACATAGCATGTAAGTTTGAGAATGAGAGGACTCCCCTTTTGACTGGCTTGCACTAGCGCCGTTAAATTCATTTACGCACTTATTTTGAGAATCTTCTTGGGAATCAGGGTAATGAGCACTGGATGGGAGCTCAGTCATTGCAAAGACGTCAAAGCTTTCTACTGTAGGTACTATACAAGAGAGGAGAGGCGCATGTTGATACTCGAACACGAAGAGATCTAGGACTTCGCCGGCCATGGATAATCAGGCATGGGAACTTTCTTCTCCGTGAATCCTAGCTTAGCTCCCACAGTCATGGCCATCTGATCCAGCTTCGTCCTTGTCACAAACCACAATATCGTGTTCCTAATCTTGATGCCCCACTGCGTCTGCGGATTAAGAAGCTGCATCGCATAATCTCCAATGGTCCCACCCTGAGTGTGCTTCACGAATGGAAGCAAGATATCCTCATATCCTTTCAACGCCGTTTTGAAGTCACCAGGATGATTCAAAAGCTCTCCAGCGAGAACATACCCGCCAATGATTGCGAGACTTGTACCAAAACCAGGGGTGGCATAGCCGGCATCCCCAAGCAAGACTACTCTGCCGTCCTGTAACTTGGGAGATCTGATCTGACCAAAAAGAGAGCAGTAGAAGTCGTCGCTTTGCCTCATGCCTTTCAGCGTCTCTGGTGCCAACCAACCCATGTCTTGGAACAGCTCTTCCATCAGGTTCATGTAGCTTTCATTGCCTTCACGGAGAGTTTTGTTGAGTCTCTCCTTCATTTCAATGTCTCCCTTCGTGGTTATATTCATAAAGATAGCTCTCGTGCGGCCAGCAGGATCGGGATCGGGACGTAAGTAGAGAGCGCGTCCGCCTACATCGCTGAATCCCTTTGCAAGACGACCGCCCTGGAGTAGATCTTCCTTAATGGTAAAATATGCTACATGGACACCCTCGTCGTGGAGTTGTTCTTGCGGACTGGTGTTGAGCATCTTGCCGCGAATCCGTGAGCCAAGCCCATCGGCAGCAACAAGAAGGTCGTACTTCTTCATTTGCTTGCTTTTTGTGAACGTGACATCCACTCCGTCATCGTGCTGCTCAAAATGGTCGACGGACTCGTTGAAGATCAGTTTCACCCGATCCGTGATTGGGTTGAGGAAGATTTTCGCAAGTTCCCCGCGGAAGATTTCGTATTCGGATGTCATGCTCTGAACATCTGATCTGCCGGTCGCTCTGAACGTTGCTATCTCTCTGCCATCTACATCTACCAGCTGCATGCCCTCTTCCTGAGTGCTTTGTCTGCGTATCTCCTCCTCCGCACCCATCCTTTTAACTATATACAAATCAGTATAGACTTTTGATAGAGATCTTGGAGCCGAGGTGCACATCCGAGTCGAAACACTACTTTTTTGATGAGGAGCTTCCGAAAATGATCTTGAAGATCTCGGCTCCTACAATGACTATAAAACAAGGGAGAATTTGACATACTGATATCGACGGCTGAGCTTCGTATGTCAACACTGGCACCAGTCAACCGCAGCGCAGGGTCACGCTCAACTATCGTGATGTTGGCATCGGGATGGGCACGGAGGAGCCAAAACGAGAAGAGAGCACCCGCGATGCCGGAGCCAGATATGAGGATGTTGAGAGGCATTGCGGTGACAGTCACGTAGTCTTGAAGGAAGGAAAGTTTCGTACCACGAATGTGGGCTCCGGATCAGTCTTTATATATGTCATGACGACATCAACAAAACGACGGAGCAATGAGGCTTATGCTTTATGACCTGTGAGATTAGTCCGAGCCCGATCCGCTTATAATTAAAGTTGTCGCCATATCTGAGTTGGTACCTAGAACACAACAAGTCGCGGTTCAAAATTGAGGATATTTCGTGTTCCCGTTTAGGTTAAGATGTTCGTATTCCCAAAGAGGATACTCCGTACTCTCGTTTCGCGCACTCCCGTCGAGGACTAACCATAACAATGCTAGTACACTTCTGGATTTCGGTCGCACAATAGGCAGTCAAGCTGGAGAAAAAAAGCGGACGATGTTGCCGTGGCTTGGAACAAAATACCGGCCCGCGATGTTTTGCTGTCTCTGAAGAAGGCCTATGTGAGCTTGTACCTGTACCTTCCGAATATTCAACCGAGGCTGATGCTTTCAGAGTTCGATGATAAGAGGAGGGAATAGAAACACACTTTTTAGTTGCTTAAGAATTGGCATTACAACTGGAATTGAGAGATTTACAGGAAGCCCTGAAATCGTTTCTCTATGGGCTTTGGTGATAGTACTAGACCTGGCCTGAGCGAGGGGTACCTGTGGTAGACCGGTGTACCTCCAGATTCGGTGGGACGCCCGTCACGGCTCCCACTATGTATTTGCTGCATGTTTTATGAGCAAGCAAAACAGTTTCAATCTTTGATAAGCGAATGTAAAAATCGAGTCGCTTTTGTGCTTATTTCGTCATCAACAACGGATCTGGGTGGGTTGTGGCTTTTGGTATTTCGTCCTTCCTAATTCGGTAATTTTCATCAATGCTTCGACTCAGAGCGACATATACAAAAGCGCTCAGTGCTACCCCAACAAAATGGCAGAAAACATACAACGCATTCAGATCTCTTCGAAAAGTCCAGTCTCAAGACTCAAAGAACCAACAAATAACTTTTTCCATTAATTATCAACATGGCATCCCTCACACAATTGAAGCCGAAGCCGATTTCGATTATCCCTCTGCAAATAAGCCTTGTAAGACTGGGTACAAGATAATCAGCCCTGCTGTCACGGACTCTTCACGCATACCTCTAATCTGTATTCATGGCGGTCTCGGAATGACACATCACTACCTCTCAACACATTCAATTCTCACCGAGAAATACGGCATTCCAGTCATTTTCTACGATCAAATCGGCTGCGGCTTCTCTACCCATCTGCCAGAAAAATCGATAGATCAAATATTTTGGACAGAAGACCTTTTTATTGCCGAACTCGAGAATCTCATCGCACATCTCAACCTCAAGGAATATGATATCCTAGGATCCTCTTGGGGAGGCATGATGAGCTCTCGATTTGCTTCTCGACGACCGGCCGGGTTGAGGAAACTGATTCTTGCCAACGCCCCTGCGGATATGAACCTAAGACATGAGTCAGCTCGTGAATATTGTCTGGATCTACCTCAGGATATTCAAGAAATCCTGCTCAAACATGAAAAGGCTAAAACAGAGGACTCGAAAGAGTGTAACGAAGCTTACCTCGAGTTTGTCCGTCGACATATACAGGCTGGTAAATCAGTCAGTCAGTCAGTCATCAGTCGAGCTTATTCTCCAACTGATTGACTGATTATAATGAAGGCATCCAACTGACTCACTGA